GTGAGCCAGTCCTGGTGAGGTGGGTCCTTTTGTGTAGCAAACCATATGGCACAAAAAGACCCAAAAATGAGCCGTAAAACACATCTTCTCAGTTTTTTTGTGGGCTGTTGTTGTTTGTTGACATGTCCGAGATAGTTTTTCCTTCACAGCCTGCTAGCCACTAAGCCTCTAATCCCTGCTGTACCTGCCCGGATCCACATGTGCATTTTGGACAATCCACCTTAGCCTGTAAGCCAAACACATCTTTCACCAACTCTTTTATCTTGACCAGCACAAATCCTGTACCTTTCCTTTAGTCCCTTAACTAGGTTTAGGAGTCTTTTGGCCTTTTACAAAGTGATTCACTCACAGTTGTGTCCTTCATGTTGATGCCAGTCAACCTGCTGGATTTTGGTTTGCTGCCCTTGAGCCCTCTGGACTTATTTGTCTGTTTGTCTCTTATATCAATATCGGATGCTCTGACTAAAATAAACCACTCTTACCTGTAAGTGCTGCTCTTTGATTCAACACTTTGTTTCCCAAGATTGATTCATGGCCAAAACCGAAAGATTTCATGAACTAAAATAAAGCAGTAGCTTATGGCAAGGACACAGTGACCATCACCGTATAGTCTTAGTAAATATATTCATATTTTCTGTGTGTTTACTCTTCATTATGTATTCTTCACCATAGTCTGAGTTAAAAACAGGCAGGGCAGAAAACTGCATCATTTGCATTCTTGCAGCCCCATGTGTCCAAGCTTTCATTTCCTAAGAAACACAGCATTACTTAATATGTTTTGATTCCATCGATGGAAAACTGGAAAAAAGGGGAACCAAAAGTTGCAAAACTGCCAGAGTCAGAGGAATTACATCATCAGATCATCCTGTTTGTGGGTGTGGGCAGCAAGGGGGAAGTTTCTAAATGCTTAGACCCCTTAAAAATTAACTTCCTGCTTTCAATTTTTGTGTTTACTTCAAAAAGTGACAGTGCTGTTTTTTCATGTCTTATTATAACACAATATACAGAACTAAACTCAGTGTATTATATGAATAGTGGAGAGCTTGTACCTGTCTTAAATCAATCCGTCTCCTTTCTCTGACGTTGGTTCTGACACAGCATTACCTAAAATGTGTCTGAGACTGTAACTGATTCCTCTCCCAGTCTATAATTTGTGTAATTGTACCTTTCACACTCAGTCGTATCATGCTGCAGAGATGTCTCCGTAAACTCAGAATGACATCTCAAAATCGTCTGTTTTTTTATTCGACATCCTGACAGGACGAAGACAGTTTTTAAAGCTTCCTGAGTCCTGGCAACCTTTCAAGTTCAAGGCGAGCATCTGCTGCTTCATTAAGGAAAGCAGCGAGTGGATGTATGCTCTGTGAAAATTAAGGAGCAACAGAATTAAAGCCACCCTGTGGTGAGTTTTTATTGTAGGCACAGACAGCTTTGTTGACAATCTGTGTTGTCGGCACAACAAATTATATGAACCCTTGAGGCCTTATATCCATATTGATGTCATTTATGAACCCTACAAAACATTTAGAAGCATTTTTAAACCTCTGCATGGCCTTTTTTATTTTCTTACAGGTTTTTATTTGTGCACTTCTTCCGTTTTACAACTTATATCCTCCACCAGCTGGTAATTTAACATTACCTCTATGGTCCCCGTTGGGAATGTGCAGCCTGTTTTTTACAAGTGTGCTGGCAGAATTAATGTGGTATGAAAATACTGGTACCTGCTTTCAATTGTTGCACCACAGCACAACTGTTGGTCAAGAAATGCTATAACATTATTGAGTTGGTTCAAGATCTAAGCCTGAAAGGACTCTTGTGCTGCTGCAACTGCATCTTTATCAAACACTGAGCAGTGAAAAAGACTCTAAAATGTCATGAGTTATGGACACAACATGAAATGAGAGTGAACAACCAAATGAATCATGTCACACTGTGTCTCACCACAAGGGGGAGCACTGAAAGAAATGCAATCCTAGTATGGAAGAGGAGACTTTAAGCAAAAAATGTAAAGTTTAGGTCACTTTGGAGCAGAGGTGAAAGTAGGATAAAGTTCTTGCAGGTACTGTACCCGTAGGCTTTGTACAAGAGTCAAAGTCAAGTCAAGTCAAAGTCAACTTTATTGTCAAACATGCCATACATGTTAAACATACAGCACGGATGAAATTTCAGTCCTCTCAGACCCACGGTAAACTATAAGAATAAAACAATAAAAGTATGACTATAGAATAAACAACTAAGCTAAACAAAGACTACCTTAAATACTCACATCGATTTACAAAATAAAGATAACAATATAAACAGCATGAGAGGAGCACACCCAAGTTTAATGAGGTGCCAAATCTGATGCCACAATATCATCATCTGCTGCATCTTTCTTTTTCTTGAACACAAAATCAAATTTTCTCTGTATTTTGTTTTATTTCTGCATTAAGATTGAAGCAGCTGTCTCTTTTAAAATCACCTCCTTCCGCAAAAGGCGCGAGGCGGTCCCCAGCGCCTAGGCAACGAGCGTCCAATCAAAAGTACGCACTGAGCGATTCCACCATAGACATAATAAAAAGGTAGACCCCGCTGGGGGTGCTGCGCAGCGAGAAATGCGGCCGCCATCTTGGTCAGGTCAAGCTTCCCATACGCTCCGGTCAATCATATTCATTCATTCATTCATTCAGCGATGCCGGAGCACTGTGCGGCGTATTCCTGTGCCAACAGGCGGACAGCAGAGAACAGGGCTCAAGAAATAACTTTTCACAGTTATGATTAAACGTTTTTTAAACATTACACTTGACTGTAGAGTCATTTGTAGGCCAAAGAGGAAGACTATCGGTCAACTCCAAAAAGGAAACAGCATTTGCGAACAGCTAGCTTATTCACAATAATAGCAACTTTGGTCGATTATCAACAGATTTGCATTAGATTGAAAAACTTTTGTTTGAGAGAGGTTCTAAGAAACGTTAAGAAATAAAATAGAAAGAAAAAGGAAGAAAGTGAGCTCTGTTTTATTATCTGTTTTATTAAAGATTTCTTTGTGGTGATCTCCTGTTTCATTTTGAAGATTTCCTAAGGACAAAAACTTGAGGAAGAAGTGGGAGATTGCTATTAGAGGGAGAAATTCGCAGCAAGTGATTCCTCTGTGCTGTGTAGCCAACAAGCAAATTGATATGTAGTTTAGATGCTGTCCTGTCATGCTGTTCTTGTGTTTAAATTTTTTTGATATGTAGGCTATACACTCACCGGCCACTTTATTAGGTACACCTGTCCAACTGCTCGTTAACACTTAATTTCTAATCAGCCAATCACATGGCGGCAACTTAGTGCATTTAGGCATGTAGACATGGTCAAGACAATCTCCTGCAGTTCAAACCGAGCATCAGTATGGGGAAGAAAGGTGATTTGAGTGACTTTGAACGTGGCATGGTTGTTGGTGCCAGAAGGGCTGGTCTGAGTATTTCAGAAACTGCTGATCTACTGGGATTTTCACGCGCAACCATCTCTAGGGTTTACAAAGAATGGTCCGAAAAAGAAAAAATATCCAGTGAGCGGCAGTTCTGTGGGCGGAAATGCCTTGTTGATGCCAGAGGTCAGAGGAGAATGGCCAGACTGGTTCGAGCTGATAGAAAGGCAACAGTGACTCAAATAACCACCCGTTACAACCAAGGTAGGCAGAATAGCATCTCTGAACGCACAGTACGTCGAACTTTGAGGCAGATGGGCTACAGCAGCAGAAGACCACACCGGGTGCCACTCCTTTCAGCTAAGAACAGGAAACTGAGGCTACAATTTGCACAAGCTCATCGAAATTGGACAATAGAAGATTGGAAAAACGTTGCCTGGTCTGATGAGTCTCGATTTCTGCTGCGACATTCGGATGGTAGGGTCAGAATTTGGCGTCAACAACATGAAAGCATGGATCCATCCTGCCTTGTATCAACGGTTCAGGCTGGTGGTGGTGGTGTCATGGTGTGGGGAATATTTTCTTGGCACTCTTTGGGCCCCTTGGTACCAATTGAGCATCGATGCAACGCCACAGCCTACCTGAGTATTGTTGCTGACCATGTCCATCCCTTTATGACCACAATGTACCCAACTTCTGATGGCTACTTTCAGCAGGATAATGCGCCATGTCATAAAGCTGGAATCATCTCAGACTGGTTTCTTGAACATGACAATGAGTTCACTGTACTCAAATGGCCTCCACAGTCACCAGATCTCAATCCAATAGAGCATCTTTGGGATGTGGTGGAACGGGAGATTCGCATCATGGATGTGCAGCCGACAAATCTGCGGCAACTGTGTGATGCCATCATGTCAATATGGACCAAGCTCTCTGAGGAATGCTTCCAGCACCTTGTTGAATCTATGCCACGAAGAATTGAGGCAGTTTTGAAGGCAAAAGGGGGTCCAACCCGTTACTAGCATGGTGTACCTAATAAAGTGGCCGGTGAGTGTATATTTGTGTGTATTTTCCAGTTATTAAAATAGTGCTTCTATATGACATTATTTGTGTGTGTCTACAAATGGATAAATAAAATTAAACTATATAAAAATTTATAATCAAATCAATATATATTGAATTGGCCTATTAAAACCGCCAGTTATTAATAATTATTGAGACATAGCAGGAACCTAGCTCTAAACCTAAATATATCCTTGATTAATTGTTATACTATAATACAGCCACTGCTGCCATGTTCTAAAATATCGTTTTATTCATCCTGAGTATTTGAAAACGCCAAAAAAAATGGCCTCTATCATGCCTCTTTGAATGGCGTTTGCAGAGAAGAAAATTACGTAGTATTGAGCGAACTATGATTCATTTAATGCGCTCAGACTTCATTCCGCCGGTTAAACAGCAGTGCAGAGTGAGGCGGATGACCGGACCAAGATGGCGGCCGCATTTCTCGACAGCGCCCATTCGTGGTAGCGGCCGATGCGGAGTTATTATGTCTATGGATTCCACTGCCGGAGTTCGTTTGTTTGCGGAATCAAATACGGCTCACTCGCGAGCAGCATGGTCCTATCGGATTACTGCGGTTTCAATGCAGAGTGCAGACTGACGTGCAGCAACACGGTAAGAAAATGTAGCCTACATACATTACAGGGGTGAAAGTTTGTGTATCACTGTAAACTGCTGGTCATGTCTTCCGGGTACGGTGTACCGCTGCGTACCGGCTTACTTCTACCCCTGCTGTGGAGCATGTAGCTTTGAATTACCGTTTAGCTGGCAGGTAGCCATGACCAAGCCATTTGAGTTGTAGACCTGATAATTAACTCTCAATTCTGCTCTCCCTTTACTCTGACCAAGTGTTCAGTGGAACAGAGAAGGATATCTGTGAAAGTTCATCTAGGTCGTGGTAAATCTTAGCTTCAAGCAGCCCAAGACACCACTTATTGTCACAGTACAGTTCAGTCTTCTCTGTCCAAACACCCAAAGCCCAATTCATAACCTGAATCTAGTGACCCCAAAGGCTCACAATACATGGTGTTAACAACTCCAGGAGGACTAATAGTCTTGGTAACAAAGTTAGTGACTTTCAGTCAGTCAGGGGCATCTTCAGGAACTTTAAGAACTTGCTTTTGTGGATAAACTTTTAAGCCCCAAGGAGAGTTTGTTGAAGTAGGACAAAGACCTAAAGCTGGGCACTTGCTGATAGATTTATGAGGATATTTTGGACCAAGAGGATATTTTATTGGTCTAGACATGACTTAAGCTCCAACTTTGGTGACTCTTCACTGGCTCCCAGTCTGTGTCCGCATTGGATTTAAAATTCTTTTAATCGTTTTTAAAGCCCTCAGCGGTCTCGCCCCTCCTTACCTGTCAGAGCTCTTGTATCATCACTCCCCAGCCAGAGCCTTAAGGTCCTCTGACCAGTTACTTTGAGCGTCCCGAAAACCAGACTCAAGTCTAGAGGTGACAGTGTTTTTTCAGCAGTTGCCCCTCGACTGTGGAACAATTTACCTTGCCATATTAGAGCCTCTCAGACCTTAGAGTCTTTTAAATCATCCTGAAAGACCCACCTTTCTCCCTTACATTTAATAAATGAGCACACTTGAATCATAGGCACTGTAGCTTTTATTCTTTTGCTGTCTGTATTTTATTCTACTGTTTTCAATTTTATTTTTTATTGTTATCGATCTATTTATTTACTTGTTTTATTTATTCCATGTACAGCACTTTGTTTGACTGCTGTCTTTTAAAGGTCCTTTATAAATAAACTTTGACTTGACTTGACTAACCAAATGTTATAAATCTCAGTCAAATGTGCTAAACTTTTGAAATACTGCAGAGGTTTCATTGTAGACTTGTGCAGGTCTTTAATAATAACAGCATCTACAACCTTGTCTGGTCCACTTTGTCTGTTTCTCAGGGAAAAACTCTCTGAAGCGGGTGATCAGCTGTCAACTCATCACATCAGTCAAGAACGGCTTGAAATGGAGGGCAAAGGTGGGACCAGGAAGGACTCTGCACCAACTCACCATCTGTTCAAAAGCCTTTCGTGAAGATGGAGCTTATTAATTAGGATCCAACGGAGGGGTATGTGAATTTTCTTTTTCCAACGTTGGAGAATGCTGTCCAATTTACTCAACGTCTTCCTCCCTTATATGTCGTCTTCTTGATCAACTGCACACAAGAGCACTCTGACACGCCCATAAGCTTATCCAACATATTGCTGTAATACTGCCACCGGTATCTGAAAAAAAGGGGGGGGAAAGGCAGAAGGATGTGTGAAGAAAACAGCTTTATTACTCCAGAGGCAACCGACCCGAGAACTGTAAAATTGGTCACAGAAATGGTATTGATCCACCTTTTCAAAGCGCTTTTGTGACTTGACTTTTAATGCCGCTTTTAAAAATGCCTCTTTCTTAGCCCCGTCTTTTCCTCCTTACTCTACCAATATACATGGATATTATCATGCACAGTGTGAACCAAGAGCCAAAGATTTTATGACTGCAGGGTTATTTGCAGAAGTCCTCCTGAGGTTGCATCTGAGGAAAATAAATGTGTTTTTATGGAGATTATTCAAAGAAATATTGGAAAAATCCTCTGTTTGAACTGTAAAGGAGAACCATACTCAAAGATTAAAGTTTCTGTAATCGATCCCCAGTTTGACAATCGTAAACACGCGTGCATCTGCCTGTGCACAGAGCAGGGTGACCTTGAAGGAAACAGGGAGCAGGTCCTCAGACAGATCCAGCCTAGACTGTAATGGAATGGGAGATGAGGAGGATGAGCCTCTGCGACCATCTTGAGCAGACAATGACTGATTGTCCGAGGAATGCTCCCTAACATAATGCATTACCGCAACATAATTGACTTTAGTGCAAGACAAGCTACCCAAGGGCTAACAGTTTAGCTCCAAGGTTACATTTTTGGTCTTAGAGGAAGTATGAGAAGGTTTGTGTCAAGGTGGACAAAGGAGTAAAACACACAAAGAGATCCATTATCCTTGACCTTGCAAGCAGGAGTGTGTATTAAAAAGTGTGGCTTGCTACATCCTCTGACAACCACGGATGCAATTTAATGAAATCCTGACCTCCCAGTGATAATTCAAGAGCTTTACCTGGATAGTTTTTTTTTTTTCCTCTTGGAGTTCAATCAACCTTTACAGGCCAGCTGAGAGACTTTTCTAGATGAAGAGTCTATGAAAAAGCAGAATAAACATATGCATGCATACATCTTCCTGCCATATGATCAGGAATTGTGCCGGTGGAAGCGCCGTGTGACATTTAACGAGGCCCGCTGACTGAGCCTGGCTTCAGTCTCTGGCCAAAGACAGCATATTTAGTGTCATCACCCATCAAGTATGTGTCAGTGCGCTCTGCCTCTCCCCCTGATTGATGGTCCCCCCTGGGTCTATATTGAACAGCGAGCCGTCTGACCAATGTGTCACTATCTGTGCGTAATGACCCACCAGAAGGCTGCCGTTCCTGAACAGGGGGCTGGAAATGAGCAACAAGTGTGCACCAACAAACAAGATCAATGCAGTTTGAGCTCAAACACAGTGTGCAAACAGATGATTTAAGGCTTTAAATATTTGTTTTGAGATGAGGAAAAGCATGCAGATTGACAATAAAGCATCCTAAAAATTGGAATTTAAAAAAGGTCTCTAAAAGTTCATGTAGCACATTTCAGCAACATTTTAAGTGCTTAGTAAAAGATGTTTAAAGAATCATTAAGAGGTCAGGAAAACATCTTGAGAAAAACAGTTAAAAAGTCAAGAGAAGTTGACATGTAAAGTCATTAAAAAAGCTTTAAAAATCAAAGCGGGATAGAAATAACCTAAAATGAAATCAGCAAAGAGAGAGGGTTAAAATATGACAGTTTTAAATCAGAGGCTTAAAAGCTGCAGATTTGTATATTCCAAAGAAAAATGGATCTTGAAATAATTTGTTCAAGTAGTCTAATAAAAAGCAGCTGTCAACAGGTGAGTCTTAAACCTGGACTCCAAATAAGTCTTCTCCAAATGTCAGCAGATCTGACATTTCCTCGCAGTTTGTTCCAGATATTTGGAGCATGAAAGCTGAACACTGCCTCTCCCTGATTGGCTGTGACTCTGGGATAGAGAACAAACCTACACTAGATGACCTGAACAGTCCAAGTAATACATATTGAAATAAAAGATGTACATGGATGTATTTTGAACCTAAACTACTCAGTGATTTATAAACCAGCAGCAGTATTTTAAAATTGATTTTCTGAAAAGACCTGAGAACCTGTTCAGACACTGTCGCAGTAATCAAGTCAACTAAAGATACATGCACAGACCTGTTTGTAATCGTCTTTATGTGGTTTTTAAAATTCAGGTCTGAGTCTGTTAATACACCTAGATTTCTTTGCTTGGTGAGTTGTTCTCAACTGTTACACCTGAAGCTGCAGACTGACCTTTAATCTGTCCCGTTTGGTTCCAAAACAACTACATCAGTTTTAGCCTTGTTAAGATAAGAGATTAGATAAACCTCTATCCATTCCACAGTGGGGAAATTTGCAGTGATACAGCAGCAAAGGAGCAGCATAGCAAACATAGAAGAATGAGTACATTCATCATGCACACAGTGCACAGATAATTATAAAAAGGTAATTTAGATCTGTACGAGAAATGTTATATACGAGTAAGAGACAGCAACTAAAAAAACTAAAACAGTTCTACACAGTAAACAAAACAGGATTGGACATGTTACTGCACATTATTTAAGTTATTATACATTAGACAACTGTAGGTATTTGTAATTGAAATAAATATCTGGCCTGTCAGTATTGCACATTGAGGTGGCATTGAGTTATTGTCTGTTAGCTGTGCTAGAAACCTGGACTACTGGGAGCAGGCTTGGTTAGTCTGACTGAAGCAGGAAGGAAGGAAGGACTTGTGGTATCTCGTTGTCACACACCGCGGGTGAGGAAGCATGTCACTAAAGGAGCTGCCTGGTGCTGTTACAGCGCTCTGCAGGGGGTGGGAAACATTGTCCATAAGAGATGACAGCTTAGCCATCATCCACCTGTCCCCCATCACCTCTACAGGGTCTAGAGGGCAGCCCAGGACAGAGCTAGCCTTCTTCACCAGTTTGTTGAGTCTGTTCCTGTCTGCAGTCGTGATGCTGCTGCTCCAGATGTGCTCCCTGCACTCAGTGAGGACCTCAGTTTTCTCAGTGGGTGAAGTCTGCTTTAGCCTTTCCTGTATAGTGAGTTTGTGTTGTCAGTCCAGTCCAGTTTATTCTTCAGGTAAACACCTGGGTACTTGTAAGAGTCCACAATCTCAATGTCTTTTCTCTGAATGATCACCGGTGGTGGTGGTGGTAATGGTGGTGGCACACCCACCCGTGGCACTTAATCAGAGTCTGCATAGGGCCATGGTCACTCATCGATGTTGTTGTGTACAATGATGTGTCATCTGCAAACTGTGGTAACTTATATTGTTGTTTCTTATAATATGAACTAATGAGAGCATGTAGATGTTAAACAGAAGAGCCTTCCAGTATATTTTACATTTTATCATTAAATAATCTGTTTTAGAAAAGCCTGCCACTCTGTCTAAGCCATTTCTTCAGACAAGTACAGTGTAGTCATAGTGTTAATTTTGGCAGCTATTTTAATAATTATTCTTATCCTTTATACAAAGATGCAAAACATTTTTGGTCACATTTTAGTCTTTTTTGCTCTTTATAGTTTCAGTTGACTTTTAGTTGAGAAAAACTCAACACGGTGTCATCAAGGCTGAGTCAAAATAAGTTTTTGACATCTTGATCTTAAAATAATTCAGATTTAAAACTATAAAAGTGGGAAAAACACAAAGCCAAGGCACAGAAAATGAACTGGCAACTCCATGAAAGAGGTATACTGTATGTAAAGAGCGGTTCTAGTCGAAAAAGTGGATGTAGGTGAAACACTAGTGAGGGAAGTAAAGGGATAAGTTGGAGACCTTTTTAAAGTCAGGATGTAGCTGCTGCAGAGGAGCAGGCAGACAGACTGATCAGATTAAATGCTAAATTATGTGGTTGAGAGTCTACTCTGGATTTGGGTTTCCAGTGGCTTTAAACAATTAAATACGATAATCATAGCAATATATGCATGTTAGAAATTGTTGCCATCCAAACAGAATGAGTCTGCCAGTTGCATATTTGACAGTTTAAGTGAAGTTTTTCTCTTCATTTTACCCCAAATTAGGTTTGAAGAAGAAAAAACCAAGTCAGAGAGATTCATCCTTTTATTTATTCATGTTAAGTGAAAGCCATAGAGCTTCTTATGTGTATTGAGCGTTTGATAAATGTGCACTTAATGCCCGTTCTCAGTGAAGGTTATTTATCACTGCTGTTGTTTTTCATTGTTAGCTGCAGCAGCTTATGAAGATGGACTCCAACTGCAGCCACTCAAAGTCCAATAGCTTGTCCGGGTGGTAAAATGTTTATCGATGGAATAATCTGTGCTGTGATTCACGGTTTGTGTGTGTTTTTCTGTGGGACAAAGACATTATTTTTTCAGCAGCAGTTCCCAGTTAAAAAAAGAGCGAGTTTTCTCACAAAAGTAATGTTTCGGCCTGATTGCTACGCTTCACAAGTGGGCAGGCGGCTGAAAGCTTTAGCAGAAAATAACACAGAGAAATCTGTCTTCTGTAAAATGAACTCGAAACTTAAATCCTCAGGGGGTAAACCCAATATCTGTCGCAGGGAAACAAGGAAGATCCCACATGTGATAGTGGAATTTTAAAAAAAATGATGTTTTGATTTTGTTTTTTGGCAGTTTGTCAAAAAAAAATTGTCAAAAATTTTGATATAAGCTGCACAACATTACCAGTTTTGTTTAGTTTTTTTTTTTTTCTTTGGTCAAAATCAACACTAAAGTCAGACTGTGATTAAAAGAGCAGTAGAAAGCCTCTTTTCTCAGATATTCTTCCCGGAGCTTTCCCCAGAGATCTGTCCTCCACAGGGGCCTCAATATTGAACATGAAGGTACCCTCAGAGCTGTTTTCCACCTGTCGGGATGTTTTTGTGTCTGCCGCAGGAAAGCAACCATGTTTTCTTGATTGTGGGATTAAATGGACGGGGCAGGGATTGCAGGTTTGGAATGGCACCAGCTCTCTTTCAGACAACCTGAACTTTGCGATATCAGTTCCATATAACAACGCCTGGTGTCTTGTTTATTTATAAGCTACTGAACTGATGCAATAAAACATCCTGCATGATATCAGAATTCAATCCACCAGGTATGACATGCATTATTTATACTCACACGTAGAGCAATGTAATAAATAATGCATAATTTTTATTAAACATTCACAATATTTTTACATTACCTTAACTACGTTATGTAATTTTCTATATGCCCCTGGCACAGACAAACCATTGCAGTTTAACACAAATAAACAGGCTTAAATACTAGTGGTAGACCATGACCTAAATTAAGTCACTGTGTTTTCTGCCTACAACAATCAAATGATTAAAAATGATACTGCTGAATTTGGATGAACATTTTAAGATTATATTATATTATAACCTTCCTTGTTGTTGTTTCAATAAAATATTACGAGAAGGGACCCCTGGATTTCTGTCCAGCTGTCCATACTAAATGAAACAGAACAATTATTCATGCACATGAAAAGGCAAACATAATGATCTTATTTTTAGATGTTTCTTAATTATGAAATAGTAACACATTGGCTCATACTACATAGGTCTCAGAAACATTTTTTAACTGCAGGATTCCTATTCAGAACTACTCACCAGTGACTGTTTTAGATTTATGCTGTTATTAGGATGTTAACATACAGAAATCACAATGGTGACTGAGGAAATTAAGGCAAACATTAATAGATATGGTCAATACTTAATGTTAATGTAGCTCTTCCTCTGCTGTCCTGGCATGAGTGTAAGAGTGTGTAAGAGTCATAGTAAAAGCACAGGGTTCAAACTCTTCCATCAGCTGTCCTACCTTGTCCTACAGCAGCCGCACCAATGAGGCTGCCTGCAGTGTCTGATGAAATTATGTGTTTGATTGTTTATTATCGGCCTTGTGAGCACTGGCAACAGGTAATTAATGATTTACAAAAATGTCCTTTATCAGCCAAATTAATCAGTCAACCCATTAATTTGTCTTTATTGAAACAATCTGAATGTAATTTCAATCGCTAAAAACTAGATGCCTCTGTAAATATGGTAAACTCTTTGCATCTTATGATCAATATTTTATTAATGATTGATCAATAGATTTTGAGCGATTTGAGAGAGGTCTCTATTTAATAAACCCCTGGATTATGCTTTGACATGTATTGATCCGTCCCACCTCTGAACCCAGCAGTTCTTTTTCTCATGCTGTATCTGCCACTGCAAACACGAGTCAATGTCAATGTATTTCCAGGGTATTCAGCGGTTAGTGATTAATGTCCTCTAGTCAGGACTGTATTGTTTACATTACAGTTAGCAGATTGGAAAATTAGTGAAAAAGCAAAGTAACGTTAGCCTCTCCAGACTGCCTGTAGATTAAACATTATTTTTTGGGTTCAGAGTCAGGTGCATTCATCTTTTCCAGGTGAGTCCCAGTTTTACTGTAGATAGAAAGTTACGGAGATGCTTCACCTGTGCCCAATAAAGATAAAGTTTTTCCTGTAATCTATTTGCATTAAATGGGTCTCAAATTTGACATTATAGCACCATCATGAAACAGACTTAGAAAAAGGAAATTGGGCAAATTTTGTTGGGTTTATAAAAGAAGTAATCCACTTTCAAAATGCTTGTTTGTTGATGGGAATAATTGAAAAACAACTTTTTTATATCTTTAACAAAATCTTCTTTGTTTTAAGTGCCATTGCAGATTATAATTGATCAGATTTTCTAAACAGATCTTATAGTTAAAAATTAGGTGCACAGTTTTGTTATTGAAGTCCTCCTATCATTTTTTTTTCCTGAGTCTACAGACAGCATTTTTTCGCAGGGAGACAACCCAGAGCTGCAACCCACGTTTTTTTGCACTGCTGTTTAAAGGCATGTTTCCTGCCTCTATCATGGCCATTAGCCAATCAGAGCTCAGGATTTGGGGGTCGCACCAGCATGCCTCATCAGTCCCCAGACATTCCCTGAGGCAGCCATGGAGATTCAGACTGGTACAGCAGTTGATGCCCTCATTATATTTTAATACATCACTTGAATACATGATGATATAAAGATTCAATGAGCACTTTTTTGCTGCTCTCGTGGCCTCACAGCGTGAGAGCAGAAATGAATTACATCGCCACTAGTCATGAAGATTCATGATGAATATTTCATCAGGATGCCAGGGAATTCTAACTATTGCTGTTAATGACAAAGCGTGCCATCTGCCACAGTTACAGGTAATTGGAGAACTCCATCATAATCTGTTGTCAGACACTTGAACAGAGGATGAAGCACAGACACTGCGAACAGACGCCAGACAATACCCAAATGTCTGCATGTCTGTCCCCCCAAAAACAAGTGATAACCTTACAACTATGAGCAATTTCAGTACTTAAAGCAATGACTAATGTGTTCAAGAGGAGCATCTTTTTATCACATTTTAATTGAGGGGGTTTTACAGCATGATGACACCATAACCCTCCTGCATTAAACTCTGTGGTTCACGTATAAACGGGGGCGTTGTACAGTCCGAGGACAAATTAGTGTCAGTGAAGTTGACTGAGCCAGAGCAGGTGCTCCTGGTGAATGCGAATTGTGATCATGCATTTTATTATCAAATATTCATGAATCACTGCATTACAGCTTACGTTGTAAGCCAGTGTCTAATTGCCAATTACACCCACATGCAGGGATGGTGAAAAGGAGACTCGCAGTATAACAGAAAGTGCTGAGATTCATGTGTGAGGTCATTTTTTAATGTCTTTCTCATCTACAGCTGTGAAGATAATAAACATCCCTGAAAGGCCATTTTTGAAGGACAGTTAGAGGATCTCTTTGGTAAAAGATAAAATGACCTCATGATGAATTTAACAGAGAGCTAACATTCATCCTGTTAAAATCATCTTCAGTGGAGATAAAAGGATTTGTCATCTGTCCTGACATCTTAAGAGTCTGATATAACAAGGAAAACTCATGTCTCTTTCTTTTAGAGCAACCTTTTATTATGTGTATTTTCCTTTTCCTGAAGCATCTGAACACTTATTTCTTGGTTCCCATTTCCTCTGTTTAAAAATAAATGTTACAGTATTGGAATTTTTTACATTAGAATACGAAATCTGGAGATTATGGTTTTAGGTGGCCAATTTCCCAATCCCATACTCTCCATTTGAACTTCATATTCAGTGATTATCCACATAATGTGTCATTTAGGGTGAAATCTTGCAATATTTATACATTATTTTACATTAATATTTCCTAAGTTTCAACTTTTTATGAGTTTTTGTTGGTAAACAATAAATTTTTCATTTAATCCAAATACATGTTTAATCTTAAGCAGTGGAAGTTTCTCAACTCATTTGAAAAATTAACATAATTTAAAGCTCCTGTGGGGAGTTTTTAGCTCAAAATGAAACAGACAGTAATTCAAACTGAAACCTCTTTATGAGCCACAAAAGTAAAATATACCAAAGATAAGGACATTGCCTAACCCCCAATTTCCCCCGCATCTGGAGTGGCTACGAAAAGGCCGTATCCGCCCATCGTAACCATTCAAGTAAATTTTTTCAAGCCGCCAGTGCATGGTGGATAAAATTCAGCACAGATTAACCCATGCTGGAAAGGAAGTCGGCACAGACACAAAATAAAACATCCGTCTTCTTTTCAAAATAAAACACTCAATTTTTTAAGGCGGATCGTATTTCACATCATGCGAACAGGCGGAGACGAACAAGTGAAAGGTTTTTAGACAGCATTTCACCCAGGTGACACCATGGATGAGAAGATGCTGATTTTAGAAGTCTAGAGGTGGATTTCCTCCTCTGGAAGGACACAATCTACTGCTTATAGTTTGCCTCGTTATTGCGCGATTGCACGTGAATCCATGGGTTCTTGTGAGTTCCGCTGTCTGTAATCTGCCAAGAAATTCGTCTCACTGACAGATCTGGTAGGAATTGGTGTACGGTGAAAATTGCCACCCTTCCGGATCGGCGCCGTTCTGGATGCAGAGGAAATCCTGGGTAAATCTATACAGTTATGATTAGAGACGGTTATTGATGTCATCTGGTGAGTGTAAGTGAAGCACTTAAAAACCCAGCAGACATGAAATACCTTTGTTTATTGTTGCTGCAAGTTTAGCACAGAGTACGACGTAATTGTTACAAAAAAGCAGGGGGTGTCAGAAAACATACATGAAAAATCAAGATTAATATGGATATGAAAAGTACTTCTTTTGTCTGAATTTAATGTGCTTTTTTGTCCCTTTTGACACACTGTAGTTCAGCCCCTGCAGCATCTTTCTCCTCCTTTTGACACTGTGAAAAAAATTAATGACCCTACTATGTTTTGTATGGCAGTGTTTTAGGTTGTGTTAATCAACACAGATCTGGAGATTAAATAAAATCAAGACATGAATCCTCTTGTCTGATGGTATACAAGGGTATGCCCCAAGGTTTAGTACTAGGCCCTTTTTTATTTTCCATCTATGTCGATAACCTGTGTGATAACATGCCAAATGCCTTTCATCATTTTTATGCAGATGACACCATTACTTATTGCTCTTCATCATCTTTTTCACAAACATTTGAATCTCTTGTCAGCTTTGAATGATATTCAGTATTGTCTGCAAAAACTGAGATTGGTGTTAAATGCAGATAAAACTAAGGCTGTGTTAATCTCCAATTCTAGTTAGTTACTTGTCACAAGCCATAAGAACTTGTTTTGGCTCACCCATTACTGTGACCTGTGTGCTCGTTCTGGCTGGCCAGAAGTTATTTTTTAACTTGTCTGGTTTCAGGCCACACTGGTGAAGCGGTAGTCTTAGAGTTAAGATAATAAAAAAAGCACATTTCATATATTTGATTCCCAAATCAAGATACTGCTCAGAACTGTTGTACATGTTAGTGAAATTAAAAAACGTTTATGAAATGCAAAAATAATGGTACTTAGACATAGGACTGAAAATGCAATTATATTGTGATTGCTTATTAAAATCCAGCGATCAATCATGCTTAAAACGTTTAATTGCTTGGCAGACCAAGTCTTATGTTCCTCTGTAATGAAGGTGGTATCATCTGGAGATTTTCTCCTGAATTTTGAGTTTATTCTGATCAAAATTCTGTTTTTTTTGCCCAACTGTGTTCCCCCTTGAACACCAGTTCAGCTATTATGAAATGCGCTCCGTCTTCAGCAAGAATAAACAGAAGATGCTGAGGTGTCTGCCTCTTGTCCATGTGAGCCTGCTATTATTCTGATCACATAAAAGCTGACAGTGCTGCGACCTCATACTTTCTGAAAGGAATAGCTTCTTTAGTCAATTACAAAAGCAATCAATAATCCCAAATGAATCTTTGACGGTAAGCTGTCCTGGTGTGGGTGCCATTGATGAGATTTTTGTAACTTCTTTCTGCACTGTTAGTTTTATAGATTGCATTTGGCATGCTGAGAAAATGCTGTTCCACTTTGTTTATCTTGAGAATTACCTGTGTTACCCTGGGATAAACATGATTCCCATTACAAGTAGATAGTTAGATATCTCTAACATTTACAAGTAATGTAAAAAATTGAGACACGAGACATCTATGAATATATATCAACATAAATATCAAGTTACTGTGTGTTTCTCTGTGGGCTTTATATTAATGTCTACAACGTGGGCTTATCTGCAGTAAATTCCTGGTAATAAAGGATTTTTAAACTTAAAACACACGGCTCTCCACTTACAGACATTTTATCCATTTGGAAACGTACTCCCCATGGAAAAGCTCCACAATGATAAAAGCTTTCACAGGAATATTTAGTCAAAGGTGCGGCAATAAAAAAAAGGTAATAAAAATGTCAATGCAGAGCTAGGATCCTTTTTCTTTTTTATCATAACAGGACTCAGTATTTCTCTTCTCTTCTTTGTCAGACTCTGGGTAGTTTCCTCAGGTAAACATAAACAGCCGACTGACAGATTGTCCTCACTGGTGCAGATCCACAGCACGTCTCTGTGGTTAAAAAAAAGGGGGAAAAAAAGTTTTCCACTTGTTATTTCTTTCTTTTCAACATTGTTTTTTTGCCCTCTGGTCATTTTTCATGAAAGATCAGCAGGTTTCACTAGTGCTCACTCTGGGCGCCTGGCTCTCTGCTGCTGGCTTTGAGATATGCTGCCATTTTTTTGTGGTTTTTATCCTGAACTTGACAATTATTAGGATATTGTTATGAAACTGTTTAGGATTACTGTCAATCAAATCCAAAGAAATATCCAGCTATTTCAATGTGAAAGACATGTCCAAATGCCTTTCTTGTATTTCCGCAGCCCTATATTTTGCTTGCTTATTTATTCAGTAGATTTTACAAAAGAGCCCCCTGTACTGTCACCTCCTAACCTGTTGATTCGCTCTTCTTTTCAGGTTCTACCTCATTTTGTCTGTTTTATTGACTTGTGCAAACAGTGTGCAGTATTTCACATATGGAGTCATGTATACGCAGTACCTAAAATCTGATCTACAAGACACATCATTTAGTTCAGCTGCGTACAAGGTATTAAATGAAAAACCATAAAACTGATATTGGATAACCCGTTTTCTACATCAGCATTCAGTGTCATTTGCAGAGGATCTTGTGTTTGGCTTTAAATATTCTCAGATTTCTCAACAGAGTTTGATTAAAAACTGTCAGTTCATTCAATCTGAAGTGCTAAGGGTTATGAAATAGTTGGGCACCCTACATAAAGACTGTGTGAAAATGGTAGATTAAAATTTAATTAGACTGGTCAAACCAATGAATAGTAGTCTGGCTCACATCTAACACATGCAATACATATATCACACTGGCATCTTTCTATATTGAACATATTAGAGTTCAACAAGGATACTAAGACCAGGAAAGAGACAAGTGTAGAAATAAAGGCAATATTAGGTGGTTTGTAATACAGTTGAATCCACTTTAATTTGGAAAGCACATTTCATACAAACTTTACTTCAAATTTCTTAACAGAGAGACCAAACATTAATCCACCATGAGCCCGCTCTCAACAGCAGTGAAATGTAGGAATCTCAAGCAGAGTTAGAACTATTGATGTATGGTTAGCAAGGATCACATATCTGGACTGTATCTAGTTATGTGTTTTAACTTATAGTAGGTGTAATTATTTAACGTTGTAAAATGTGAAATAATTGAGTTTAAACGTGCAAACAATGTTACATTGGTTTGCAGAGAGTGGCTAACACTAGCAGAGCTAGCACCACCAACCCTTTAGTCCAAATCCAGATTTTGGATATCTTTCCAGATCAAAATACTGCCAAACTATGCTGAGCTGCAAGCTGCGTTTTATGTGCCTATTTGTCAAGTAACAGGTAACTTGACAGATTAAACCTTTTTTTTCACTTTATGTAATTTGATCTTTTCAGTAAAGTTAGAAACAGATATGTGAACCATCAGCTCAGACTTCTTACTGTACCTGTGTAGCCTCATTCATCCTAGAATGGGAGGTGGTTCTAATTCTTAACCTTTAGATGCCTTTAAAATTATGTAATTCAATTTTTGGTTTTTGTATTCATGCATCCGATGTTCTGTTTGTATGGCCCCCCTGGATTCACTGACAGTCAGGCCCTGAATTTAGAGGAGTTTTCCTCCATCTTCTGCTGAATGTTTCAATCTTGACTCCCTGGTTGTCAGCTGCTGTGGTTTTGATGTCTCTCACCTCGCTGCTTTCAGGTCTGCCGCCTCTGTAGACGACTCTCAGTTCTCCCGAGAGGCTTAATTTGGTGATGATACGATGGATGTCTGACTGAGGCACTCTCCACCAGTGCCAGCCTGCAGTCTGGGCTGAACTTCCCCCCCGCTGGATGTCCAACATTGCTCCTTTATCCCCTAGGATGCATCTTCACCTTCTACTTAATGTTCCAACTGAGAGGCCATCAATTGTGATTCAGCCTCCCTCTGAGCTCTCTGAATATTAACAAGTTTGGTGAGTGGAGTTTGAAAGTGATAAGCAGAAAATGGGACTGTATTTTAATACTTTAATTTGAGGATTTAGTTCTTCAGTTCTTACTGTTTGAACAAAGGGTGTTCCTTATAATTGGTGAGATGTATTTCTAGCTCACTTTGAGGGTGATGAACAATTTATTGACAGCACTAGGATATGGCTAATATGGTGCAAAAAGTCGTGCATATATACTGGATATTTATGGTATATGCAAACTAAACACAAGCAGTACATTCAACAAGCTGCATTAAGGCAGTTTAATGAATCCTTCGCAAAGAAAAGCAAATATTCAGCATGTGGTCCCATGATTTTTGAGACTGTGTAAAAATGATTAAAGACGCAGAATCTAAGCCATCTCATATCCATTGAGTTGTGGCAGATCCGGGGGAGAACAAAGCCTGTTGTTCATGTTTTCAGAAGTCGGCTCGTCTCAGCACAGAGCCAGCAGGAGGCTCAGGTGCAGCAGAGAGAGACAATCCCTTCATATTTGGAGGGAGAATAGACCTGTCAGTCCTGTAGAAAAACCATTGAAGAACCAACCAGTGGAACCACATGAAGCCCTCTCAACACACGCCACACTTATCTGCTGTGAACCAGTGTGGAAAGATGCAGACGAAGTGCATCATCATGCATGAGGCGGGCGTTCACAATGGGAAATGTTTGTTTTTGTTATTCTGATGAGTTTCTGGGATGTTGATTTGGGAGGATCACATTCAACGTTTATCAAATTTCAATGACTCACACAGCTGCTTCTGAGCACAAAATGTTCGTGTTTATTTGTTTCAGTATTATTTCATTAAGTATCCTGTCTGTAACCCTCCCATCAAGTTGCCTCATTATCAAGCACAAGATTTCATTTATCAGATTTCCACTTCCCCCCTTTTTCATTTTTATGAGATAGAGAGGCTTCAATGGCTTCCTTTGAAAAAACTGCTTTGCATGGAAAACCGTAAATATCCTCTCAATCTTCAAGTGCCTGTCTCTTGAAGTGAGTATCGAGGTACTTAAAATATATCACTTGATGCAGCTGATGCTTAAGTCTGGCAATACTTGACTCATGTCTGGATGGAAGTTTGCTCTTATTAAAGGGCTGCAAGTTAAAAGTAAATAACTGTAATGCTGTCTAAAGGAGTTTTCATGTTGCTGTCAAGTCACTGTTAATGAAAAGTCATTTTGTATTAGGCTTCAGCTCATCCCAAAAACTGATTTTAGTTGTGAAAGAAGATCTCATGTCTGTGTATAAATAAAAACAATACGAGAGTATGAATTGGCAAAAAGACAGAAAATAGAGGGAAACAGCTAGTCCACAGGTAACAAGATCCTTAAACAGGTCCTGCTAAGCTCATTATTGGCTCATTTTATTTCTCTCCCCTCACTTGTACCAAACTTCAGTGGAAAACAGCTAGCTAATCATGTAACACAGTGAGAGGACTATTTTTTAAGCTAGGTGCAGTGATAACCTTGGCTAATGGTTCGAATAGCTATAACATCAACTCTAGTGGCATAATGGGACTATCCAGGCTTCATACATTGCATACTTTTCCTCAGGTAAGACCTTGATTTATTATTATTAATTTATTATTATTATTATTTAAAAAAAAGTATAATCTACCATCATGTGTCACAATATAAAGATTTCTGCAAAACTTTGATTGTTTTTTCTGCATTCACAAGTATTTCCGAATCAAGAAGTGTTGTAATATTTTTCAGCTAATTATGCAGGATTAGCAAATCAGTATGAAACTGTGTCACTAGCATACAGTTTGATATTACAGATGAAATATTGACAACATAAATCATAAAACGGTAAAGACCATAGACTGTATATACTATGGATAACTTGGTTCCGCCTTCCGCCAGTATACAGATTTGAAGCCAAAAAACTCTCGGTATTTCTACGATTTTTCTCCATTTCCTGCAACCAACTTCGCACAGTAGCGTTGTACACACTCCACTACTTGCGCAGTAGCATTGTGCGCATTCGGCGGAAGAGTCGCCGAGAGTCGCTGTGATGACGCTCGGCTCAAACAGCGTATCCCTGGGTGAGCTACGCAATCTTTGTACGCCCATAGGCTGTATCAGGTGTCAATCATAGAAAACATGAACCCCCTAATAACTTTTAAAAACAGAGCTGCACAGAAAAAAGAGGACTTACAATAACTACATTTTGACATCACAAGCAGGGGGGAGAAAAATGTATATTCTGTGTTATAAATTTCTAATGTTTTTCCACAGCTCCGTAAGCTTTGCTGGAGGAGGCGAGATTTATGACCTATACTGCAGCCCGTCAGCAGAGGGTGCTGTTCTCAGAGTAGCTTCACCCAGCGAGGAGGCAGATGGTGTCCATTCTATACACAGTCTATGGTATAGACCCAACACAGGACCTTGTTGAACCCCTTTGAAAAAGGTCATCGTGCTGAGCAAATACATATTCCACAATCACACCTTGTTGCCCATCAGATTTATAGTCATGTGACCATGACTAACCCAACATCACTAAGTGTCTGTAGGAGTACGGCATGGCAAACAGTGTCAAATGCTTTAGTGAAGTCAGCAAGGATACAGACAGTTTCCTCCGTTATTAACAGCATTTCGAATCTATTACTACTACTATTTATTACTAAAGGTTCCTTGTTTGGCTTAACAGCAGTTTTGGAAAGAAACAATTCAGGCTGATTATAAACCTATGACTCCAAGACTTTAGCAAGACAGGGGAGCTTGAGATCAGCCAATAATTAATGAGTTCATTTTTATCACCTACCATGTGTAATGGATCAACACGTGCCGATTTCTAGACCTGGGGGATAACTCCACTAGCAATGGATTGATTAAAAAAAGAAGAGTGGGATAGGCTGACAGATAAGAGGGGTACTGAGTGTTAAAGAGTATTGGTCGAGATTGTCCTCGTATCTACAACTTGTAGAAAAAAAAAGTAAAGGCCTGAGAGGTAAATTTCTTTGTATGGGTTGGGGCAGGCTTTCTTTGGTCGCAAAATATCTGGGTACGTTGTGTCAAACTGTTTTTCAGCAACAGCAGAGTGCAAGCCAACAGCATTGCATACATGTGATATTTTACTTGTTAAGCATGTTGGTGTAACATAAGAAGGAAAGGTAGAGGAACTGTTCTTGTTTAAATGCACATCTTTTGAAAACTTAGACAGGTTTGAGGAACAGGGAGTAATTGTTTCCAAATGATGAATAGCTTGTGTTTTTCTCAGCGAGGATGTGCATTTATTTCCAAGTTGTCTAAGAGTAAGCCAGATGGCTGCTGCACCTATTTGTCTTGCTAGAGCCCAGGCTTTATCTCTTCCCTTTAACAGCATTAATAACTCTGTGAAGAACCGGGGGCTTGATCTGTCCTTAGCCTTAGTTTATTGAAGGGTGCACATTCATCAATTACTGAAAGGGATGTATTTGTAAAAATATTTAAGTGCAAGTGCAACATCTGGTATTTCAGAGGCATGATAAATATCTGGTGTACTGTACTACGAGAGTAAGTCTGTCTATTTATTTATTTACTTCACTAGAGTTGGCTGATGATAGTCTGTAGGCACCTGTGAGAGCACCAGAGACAGGCCTCTATACCGGGGTCAGTCCTTGATAAGCACACAGACCTCTAATATTTAAACGAAATGAGTTAAGATAGAGATAGCTATGGTTGCATTAAAAATGAATCATGACTGTGGATTCTTGAAGAATAAAACAATTGATGAATTTGTAAGAATATTTAATCTTTTGAGTGATTAAAATTGTCAGAAATACTCCAGCAGGAAACACTTTACAAATTACAAGCCTGTTTAACTTTCTCCAAAATCTTTAAAAAATTGTTGAAAATTTCTTAAATGGTAGGTTAGACAAATTTAAGAGACTGAGAGCAAGGGGTTGGCTTGAATGTGATTAAAAATCAGGCAACAATTTGCTAAGAGATTAGAGAGTTTATGCTGAATGTTTTGAGCATTGGTTGTGGTGTACCCCAGGGATCAGTGTGAGGAGCCTTTTTTTTCTTTCTCTAAATCAACAGTTAAAGGTGGGGTAAGCAGGATCTGAGGGAGCGCCAGTTTTGGGGAGAAATCTTGAATGTAAACACTACCCTTCCCAACCAGTTTTCCCCTCAGCTCCTCCTCTCCCCTCCCTCTCGGCTCCAGCAAGCCCCGCCCACAAACAGACGCTCCTGCTCTCTGGTATCGTTCCAATTAAATTTTGATATGAAAGTAAAAAGCATTGGTGCTACTGTAGATGCCAACTGTCTACCAGCAAACCCAATGTTTGCAGGACTTCTAGAACTAGCATAAAATGACATACTCCAGGACCCGAGGTAAACAGTTTAGCGGCGCTACGACACGCCGCAGGTCCCGTTTGACAAGAAACACTTCTGTTACAGACACTTGGCTTACTTTGTTAAAGCGGTTTACCTGTCCAGCAGAAAGTTTACAGGGTCTGTAAGATCCCGAAGCATCCCCCATCATTGTTGACCTGGCTTTTTAGCTCTTGTCCAGGTGGTCTACCTCCTGGACTAACGGTCTGCCGCCCGTTATTCCACCAGAGTCTCCAGTATTTACTCTGTTTTCTTGCTTGAGTTGGCAGTCGTAGCTAAAAGAGAATTCAGACAATTTTTTTCTGGTTGGTTTCTACCGTTCGATATTGTAGCACGCTAACTTTGTTTGGGCTCGTGAATGACACGGGGGAGCAGCATCTGCCTCACAACCAATCAGCACTAAGGAGCAGTGTCCGCTTGACAACCAATCAGGTTGGGGGAGGCGGAGAATGGCTTTGTTTACAATCAGAAAGAGCGGAGCGCTCCGAAAATTTAAAATGTTGACTACACAGACATAACAAAACACAGCGATATTGTTATATTACCAAAAATCATCAATAACTAATAGCTATTGACTGATATTAAAACCTTTTTTGTATATACACCACAAAAAAAGATGCTTCTTTAACAGATTCCTGCCTACACCACCTTTTAACTGAGGAAAAATTTAAAAAATTATCTTAATCTGTATTATTTGCTAATTACAGAAATATATTTTGTTTTTTTAAAGAGGAATCACAGCAACTACAACAACTTCATCACTTCAGGGACCAGCAAATTAAAGCTAATATTCACAATATTAACTCAATATATCTCAAGCCCACAACTTTAACAGTCTTTGATCGTGTGGATTTAAAGTCTTCTCAAATAATTTATAGAGCAAGGAATATTCTGCTGCCCTTATACATTCAGAGGATGTTCTCTGGAAGACGTAGGGGGTTATAACGTTAGCATTCATACAACAAAAATGCTTTTTTTTCAATCTGTGGAGTGAAACTATGGAGCAGACTTAATATAGACGGATGGCTTTAATATTCGAAAGGGTTTGCTTTTTATTCCAGTAAATAAGAATGTAGCTATGCATAAGTATAAATATTTGTAGTATAAATGCATTTGTGTAGAAGTGTTGTTATGTAAATGAGTAGTTTTACAGTTGTCTAAATTTTTTCAGACTTTGTTGTGGTGACATTTTTGGCTTGGTTGAGTGCTGAAAATGAACCTAATCCCATTACAAGAGGAGGGTTTGGAAATGTTCAATAGACTCTGTTGTGAAGGAGGCAGTATTGTGTGTGTGTGTGTGTGTGTCTGTGTGTGTGTGTGTGTGTGTGTGTGTGTGTGTGTGTGTGTGTGTGTGTGTGTGTGTGTGTGTGCGCGTGTGTGTGTGTGTGTGTGCGCGCGCGTGTGTGCTGCCCAAATGAGAGCCGAGCAGACAGCTGGAGAGAGAGGATCACTGCTCATACAGCGTGTCTGTATCAGAGGAGGAGGAGGGGGTCACCCAGGAATCCCTTGAAGCAGCTCTCCAGGAACAAAAAAAGAAATGTTACAAGATTTGCTTCGTACCCGGTTACGGCTGTACACTGGATCGGATCTGCTCGACGCTGCTGCTGCTGTTCAATCTTGTTCTGTCATCGATCCGTCTCTTTTTTAAGAAGATGCCGAAACGAGGAGGAAAAGTGAGCCAATGCTGGGATTAGACAGTTTGGAGGAACAACGCGAGAAATTGACGATTAAGTTCGTTTTTTAAACTTAATTCACCACCTTTTTTAATTAATTCATTTTTTGCACATTTTTTGAAATAACGGGAATTGTTGTTGGGTACAAGAATAACTGCTTATCTCCTAGATTGGAACCAGCCAATCAATATTGGAGTGATCAGTTAAGGCATTATGGAGGATTCCCGTTAGCCCTGAGCTTTGCCTGTCAGGTTATGCAGGAAAAAAGTTTGATAGTTATCATGAAATGGCATTTCCAGTCAGCTTCGTGTCTCCCTTACAGTGAGCTGCTACAAGAACAGCGATTTCTAAGCAGCACTTTCGTCCACTCCTGCTGATTTTACCCACATTTGCGAGAATCACGACGAGGCATAAACTTTGCAGTAGTATTTTTTGTGCCTGTTTTCTTTTTCTTTGAGGTGAAATTTTCAAAGACAGTGTAGCTAAGGGTCTGTCTCGAAAACTCCGGAGAGCCAGGCTATATGAAGATCGCGACACAGTTGTTGGTCTTCCCTCGCAGAAATGCCAGTGCGTGCTGTGACCACCAGGTTCATGTACAAGGGACTTTGCACTATTCCAGATGTCCTCTCCTACCGGACCCCTGTTAACCTGCCTGAAGATGAGGTGGAGGGTGAGTCTCGAATATCTCCCCGTTTTTCATGTGAGGTTAATGTTAAAGTTGTGCCATAAAAATGCAACGTTGAGATGCCAAACTAGTCCAGGACCCTGGAGAGCTCCAGTCTTGGTAACCTCATCTTCAGATCTGTCTCTGCACTGAACTGTCTCACCACAGCAGATTTTCCACATTAGTAAGGGTTGAAACGCTTCTTGAAATCGGAGACACACTGAAAATGTGTGTGTGCTGCTCTGTGTTCTTAATTCATCTCTAAATTTGTCGGTTTTTTTGCAACAAAAAGACAAAATAATACATTTATTTTCAACCTTTTGAGCATTCATTCAAGATTTCACACTATATTCGAATATTTGTGGCACAAAACTAACAATCCTCAAGTTTTTAAGCCTCATTTTAAATTCTTAGTTCACCTAAAAAGTCAATCTATGTCACCTGTAATTCTGATTGATTCCACTATAGCTGCAAGTTTGTGCTTGAGTGAAATGAATTCAATCTGTACTAGAGAAAAAAGCATTAAAATGTAGATTACAATTTAATATCTAGAAAAATCTCTCTCAGGTAAAAACAAAAACCCATTAATAAGAGCTGAGATTGATTTATTTTTGCGCCTCTCATCTCTTTCTCTTCCAATCTTATTCATTTCTTAATTACAAAAACTGGGCCTCGCTGCTTAAGAGATTCATTTGAGCATGTTTCTGCTACAGTAACCGCTCAAAAGTGAGGTTTTGTTTGGTTCAAATGGTCTCCACAATGAGAAAGCACAGCTGGCAGTGATTTGGAGCGAGGCCAGGCAGACTACAATAAAGAGATAACTCTGATCAGATTTGATATCAGGGAGTCTTTTATGCGAAGGGAATTCCATTTCCCCTTTCTTCTGTGTGGAGGGCGCCTGGGCATACAAGTGGCTGCCTGCCCTTGCTTTGAGTCAGGCGTTTGACATTGAAAACCTACTATCAATCACCTACAATAAAGACATAACTTGAAGTGAAATGTTTGCTGGAATGTAAAATGTTTGTTGCGGGAAATGTCTGGTCAAAACCGCAGTTTCCTAATTGAGAGCTATTAAATATTCAGAACATAGCAAGATAGAGCATCCAAGCGTGAATGTATTTACCCAGGGAGCACATAATTCACTGCTTCATTTACACGGACTCACACCTCAGCAGTGCCCAGGGTAAACAGCAGCCTACCTTTTGTCACTGAGCAGCTCCTCCTGTAGATAAAGAGCATTAAAAAGCACTTGGTGTTTAGCTGTTTAAAGAGCTGGGAGAGTTTCTGATTATCATCAGCCGGACTGAAGAAGGTCTGAATCAGGAAACTCCTACATAGACTGACCAGCCACCCGTTACACAGCCAGTGTTCCAGCTCTGCTCACAGTCTGGTATAAGTCTGTGGATAAATGAATGAAAATGGCTCCATTCTCCACCAGGGAATGAAATCAGCCTAAAAATATTGTGTAATACGCAGGAATCTTTAATTACTGCGGGGCAGAAGTTGCTCAAATCGTATAATTACTCTCTCTAATCGAAGTCCCAATATTAGCTTTTTTTCCTAGCATGGTTTGCATATTAACACCCAAGTTAATGTAATGTAATGTCATTTTCGAAGCAGATCACAAACTCATTATCAGATATATATTTTAAGTTGAAGATGACTTCACGACTAACACTATTAAGAAGTTTTTTTGTAGTATATCCTCATTTGACTTTATAAAATCATCTTAAATAAACCACGAAGAGAGAAGCATGTACAGAATCCTGTCATTGACATTCAGATTTTAAAGTCAGGGCCCATTTCTGCAAAAGTAACCTAGTGGTATCAAAGCATCTGGATTGGCTCAAACCTCAAGAATGGGAGAAGAACTAAGAAATTGTAAGACTATGTAATCTAGTCTTGGTTTCTATCAATACTGCTGGTTTAAAGCAGTTTGTGTTGTTCAAAACTGCTGAAGAGGATTTAAATAAATAAGGACTATCCTAAACCCAGTGGAGAGCTTGATTTAGGCTTGTTACATAAATAAAAATGTAATAAGACTTAACTTTAAACATGTGTAACCCTACATGAATAACCAGACACCAAATCCAGCCAATTGGAGTTTAGACAATATTTAATGTAAATGTAAAACCACAAGGTCATATAGTACTCTGCTTTTTTTCCCCAGAGAATGATAAAATCAGGACATTTCTTTTTGTACTTTTTGTAAGATCAGACCTTCACACTACAGAAAAAGTCACTATCAGTGTCACTAAATCAGGAGTAACTCTTGATGACATTGTTACAGACACATGCTGACCAAATTTCAGGGTGGCCACTGATAAACACGACACACAAGGACAGGAGGACCTTGCATCCTGTGCCGACACACAGTGCATGACACACACGGCCTTCGATAAACAGATAAAAGTTCAGTTCAGTTTCCAGCTTGCAGTTGATACTTTTTAGAGTTGAAGGTGTTGTGTACTCGATTTGAAGCCTCAGAGCTAGACCTGAGTACAGAGCCGGTTATAATTACAGGGAGTTAAATGAGTCACATTTAGATGGAACTGTCGAGGGAGGACACTGGAGTCTCACTGCAACAATGAGAGACAAGAATCTAAAGTAAATAGAAATATTTTTTATGCAGAGAAAATGATGTGGTAATTAAGTGTTGGCAGAAAGTCTTTGGAGCGTAGAATCTGTAGGGAGGTTTGAAAATTGAATGGTGTCTGCCTTGAGCAGCAGTAGCAGCAGGATATATCCCCCCATGGAGTCCAGGCACTCGTGGAATAGGTATTGGCTGATGATATATCTGCAAGTAACTAGGAGGGCTCGGTGGTGATAGGGGAATAAAAAAAATAACATGGGCTGAAAAGGTAAATGATAAAGCCTAAAAGTCAGGGGGTGTTGCAATGGTATTAGATAGTTGAACCAGTTTGTGCCTCCAGGAAGATAGGGGCAAGAGGAGTGTTGCAAAATGTGTGAAAATGAAAATACAGGTTTGAGGCATTACTTTTGCCAGAGCTAAAGTAGAAAACTCAGACTCAAATTTTAAAATTGAAGAGGAAAATATTAAATCTAAAAAAAGAGTTTCTGCAAAATGAAAAATGAAGCTGAAGTGAAAGAAGGAGAAACTACAGTTCTTTGAGTGTTGAACTTGAGTGACCTTAACCACGTCTGATATCAAAATGCCCATTTTGTTTTAGGAGCGGTTAGCATGAAATAAACATATTAACAACCTGGTTCACAATCAGAGGCACAGCTGAGTAAACCTACAGGTGAGCATGTTAAAGCTGTTTTCACTGTTTGACCAAAAGAGAGGCTAAGTCATCATTTCCAATATGGCCACCACCATTGTTGGGCTTCCTTGAGCTGCGTCCCCCCCATTGTAGTCCGTAATGGACTGGCCTGAGGTCTTGCTACAAATAAGCAGCTGCTGGAAGAGAGTAGGTGAGTTGTGAGTCTTTGCAAAAAAAATTAGGCAAAGTTAAAAAGATGTTTGTGGCTAGTGCTGAGGCTAGGACCCTATATGTACTCTTGGTGAAGTTAGGTGCTGTTTTGAGCATTATTTGTGCCGTTTTGGTTGAGGTTTGTTTGTGGCTCCTCAGACTGCTGTGTATTGCTATCGTGCGGTCGTTTCTAAAGTTGGTATAACTAGAGAAGCAAGTGGTCAGCAACATTCATCTCTTAAGGGGGTGTCTAACTTGGTGTTACAGTGTGTTTGACTCTAAATTAATTTCACGCTGAAACATCCCTTAAATTACCTTTATTTTTTTTCTAAATGTAAAAACTGAAGGTATCGTGCAAGAATTAACAAATTTAAGATAACAAATAACTTTACAGACTTTATTTTGAATGAGTCTTGGTTCAACACAGCTTATCTTCTGTTTTGACCATGATTGCCTTAACTAAACAGGCATTGGCTACATCATTTGTGGCAAATAAACAAGTAATATATGTAGTTACTTGCCCTGAATAGAGGGATGATTGTTTGTGCGGGCTGAGCTTTGGGAGGCTGATGAAGTGCTCGCAGCTTTTAATGGATCTGCAGTTTCCAGGGAGCGTTTTTCGAACAGATGTTGTCGAGGTGTGCAGGGTCAGTGGCGAGGCTCCCTGCCCTTTTCTTCACCCTTGTGTCAGGCAGTTGTCACAAACCCTGATACCTATTCAAACCCTACCTGGCTCTGTATTTGTACGATTTTCATGTCTAATCTTATAGTACCTGATCACTCTGATTTACAATTATACAATCTCCTGGTTTGAAAACTGGGCTATTAGATAGTCTCTCTGTTGTACACACGTATATCTCAATAGAAGGAGAAAAAAAACAATATTCCCATCATAAATCACATCTACACATGCACTTTTGGGGTTGTTAATGTCAGTGGAATAACCATAATCACCATGTTATTAATATTCAGCGCATCCATTTAGCATTTATGCGTGTATTTACCCTGTGTGAGAGAGTTACTCTCATTATGCATAATTTTGTGGATGTGGATGCTGACATTATTCTGTGCCAACTCTCCCAGTTTTAATGAGCACAGTATAAAAACCAAGGTCCAGTGCCCAGTCTAGTCTGTTTTGCATATACTGCTGGGATAGCTCAATACGAAGATGATACTTTGACTTATACATTAGAAAGAAAATCCCATCACTGAAGATAATTGCTGTCATACTATAAATGAATTAATTACCAGTCATTAATTATGTGTATGAACAGATTGGTTTACAGTTGAGATATGGGTTTTAGTAATGATTGACAATATATTACTTTGATCAATGTTTGACAAATAATAATAAATAACCCTCAAACACACACACACTCATACCTTGCAGTAAACTGTCACACACTTTAAGCACACATGTGTCGAGCCCAGATAAGACACGGCTCGTTTTATGGCTGAGCAGTTGTGACTCCCCGGCAGTTACACTCTTGGAGGTCTCTTGGAGCTCGTATCACTCCTTGGTGCTTCGCTGACAGAGGATGTGAGTAGTATTTATAGATCACAGCCAGCAGGAGAATCCCCCAGATGTCAGGCATTGTAGTGGAGTGTAGAGCGTCTTCCACTTTGTATGCAAAGCTGGCGTCTTTTGTGCTCACAAACAGAGTAGGATTTTTTTTTCAGACTGCAACATCCTATACAAAGGAGTATAAGTGCTCTATAGAGTATTAAAGCAGTGTTGGGTCTTTACATATAGATAGACGCTTTAAATTTAGAGAGTTATGTGTCAAGGTGGAGCTGGAGCTGCTTTTCTTCTACTTTCCTGTTGAATATTTCAAAGTAAACCAACAACAGAAAGGTAACACAGAAAACTACAAACATGGCTCTTCAGGTTTCATCTTGTTTCCTTTGGTTTCTTCTTTTTATTTCACTCCTCTTAGAGTCACAGTCTCTAACAGCATCCCTTCCCGCTGTTACGAGATGTTAATTACGAGACAGCGTCCTTTCTCTCTCCTTGTCTGATTGTCCACAACAGCCATATTTCATTTTCATCATCTCACTGAGCTGGGAAACACTCAGACGCAAACTAAATATTATCTGATGAAAAGTGAAATGCCTTTGGACAAAAACATTTCGCCTGTCTTTCATTTACCCTTCGCTGGGAGGTGACAAAAGCTGAGGGTCAGTGACCCAAAGATTCAATTTAAGGCCAGTGAATTGAAGGGTTCACAGCCTCACACAGGGACTTCTCTTTGTCATTACAGGACAGGTGGACATAATCTGAGCTGTAGAAACATCAGTTAAAACAGTGGTTCTCAAGTCCAGTCCTCGAGCCCCCCCGTCCTGCGTGTTTTGGCTGTTTCCCTGCTCCAACACACCTGATTCAAATGATCAGCTCGTTATTAAGAGCTTGATAACGAGCTGATCATTTGAATCAGGTGTGTTGGAGCAGGGAAACATCCAAAACATGCAGGACGGGCGGTCTCGAGGACTGGACTTGAGAACCACTGAGTTAAAAGATGCTTCTGCAGTCAAAAACAGCTAAGTTTTACCTTCCTCCTGTGTTAGCTTTTACGACGCACCCACTCTGTTATAGGTCGGTTTTGACCCATGTCTTAAATCAGCTGCAAATTACACTAAAAACATTTCTCTATCATCCAAGTTGGTTCTCATCTCTAGGTTACCTTGTTAGGCTTCATTATCCATGAAAATATTGCTTATAATAGTTTTTGTTGTGATCCTCTGGGCCTTTCTTTGTCAGTATACCCCTCATACAGACATCCATACTGAATTGATCTTACATGTCTTGACATGCCGAACGTTGTTTTTTGTACAGGGAAAAACACGGCGAAATGAGACATGAGAATTTCCTAAATCTCACTTGATTGGACGAGGATCTGACTGTCAGTGTGATGCCTGACAGTGCACTTATGATTTCAGTTTTTGCTCTAATCATTAGATATTGATCTAACCAGGTCAACAGCGACCCTAACACAACAAGTGTCATAATTTTAATAAGAGCATCTTATAATTTAGTCAGTATGATTTTTCTGTTTTTATTGTATTTAAATAGAGGTTTCTGACAAAGTCAAAAAGTCTTGATGCAAAAAAGCTAATTTAAGTGGTTCTTTTAAGCCTTTAAAATCAGATCCTGCAGACCCTAATACAGGAGAGGGGTTTAATATTTAAAGATAATATCTTGGAAATATGCAAGTTAAGATAACAACACAAGCAGAAACAATAACATCTCAGAACCAAAGAGAGCAGCTGGACTCAAAGCCTCTACTTTATCTCTGTATTACTGTCATTTTACATGTTGCCCAGGAAAAGTAAATGTCACGTAATTAAAACTGCCTGCTGATAGCTGCTGGTAATGTGGGAATATTTCTTAGCACTTCTTGACAGCAGGAGTTTCTTTAGCTGCAGGGCTTGTAAACCAAGTCTTCCCTCCTTCTCTTGTTACTGTGTTTGTTTATGTTGGTATAATAATCTAGAGATGCTGTACGTCTAGTATCACAGTGAGGTTGAGAGTAAATAAATGTTTAGGACCTGGAATGATAGGATGATTGATATTTAATGTATGCATGGTGTTATAAAGCTTTTCTCAGGGAGGGAATTGTGTTGTGTGTGTGAGGTGGACAAACTTTGAATAATTCAAGACAGAAAAGGATGTGGAGCTAAACGGTTTAAAAAGTGAAATTAAATAAACTAAATATGAAAGATATTCTGTGTACTGTCTGTGACATCTACAAAGACATCACTCAATCTTTGAACACATCTTTATACGCATAGCCCCAAACCACAATAAAAGTTTTCTTTGAGATTTTGACTTTGAGTTGGTCTAACATGTTTCCACATGGGCAGACAAATGGTAAACCATCCCCTTCACTAGTAGGACTCAATGGTGGACAGCCATCTACAATAATTAGATTAGAAAATTGAAGGAAATGATGAAAACAAAAAGAGAAAGAGGCGACACACAGCAGCAAAAAACAAGCAAATTCAGAAGAGCAAAAAACTGCAGTTCCTTTAGTGCTGCCTGAGGTCTGACTACAAAAGCCAAAAGCTGATTTTTACAGCAGAATTAAATGGGTGTACAATCTGTCCCAAACAGCTCATTTCTGTACTGTTGCACAGTTTATGGTGTTGAATTTTTTATTAGCCTCCCATTCTGAAAGATATTAAGGTTAAGAGATTCACATACATTTGCATAATTAGAGGTGTATTTACGTTCACCAGGAGGTTATTGCCTGCCAGGTGGCCAAATGTCCGACTAACGTCCACCTCTTTGCCTGATGGACAGTTAGGTTAAGTCAGCATTTCCAGTATGGCGTCTGCGTATTGGAACGTATGGCTTTTTGTCACATCAGAAACAACTGCATTTATGGTTATATTGTTTGGATTGTGGTCGTACATTAGTTGTGTTAGCTCGCACCACCAGTCTGTGGCCCTCGGCTGCAGGCTAAAAATCACATGCTACAGTCATATGGTAACAGGCCAGTTTAACCAGACACAGTCTGCAAACAACTAGATCAAAATTCTGCTGAAATGGATCTTGTAACATGATGCACTCTGCCATCTGTGTTTGGTAGTAATGGTTGGCGGCTGTGCGGCACCTCAGGCACAACATACGACCCGCATTTTTGGCCAACAGATATCAACATATTAATAATTTGTTCAACCAGTATGACACTCTGGTGCAGGTTCACAACAGATTATTTAGTTGACTAAATGCATACATCCGTTATCAACAAACATTATGTAACTGTGAGGATTTTGAGTAGAGTTTCATACTTTAATTCTGCTGCCTTTAAAGCACTTATGATGCGGAGTTTGAAAAGTAATGACCAATCATGACCAATTTTCACAAACAACAGTATTTTAAGTCTGAGATTTATTTAAATTGAAAGGTCAGGTTGTTGTTGTTGCCGTAAGAGAGTACCTGATTCAGTCTGATTCTTTTTCTTGTGAAATATGCTCGATACTTTTATTTACATCCTTCTCACCTCAGCAGCTGGCTACATCTTAAACCGAGACAAAAGATCCAGTTTGATCCTGACTAACAAAAGAAATAGGAGGAAAAAACCCAACTCTCCTCTTTCCTCTGTTTGAATTGGTTCTCAGTTTTTCAGCATTACTCAACCACCGGCCAAGCAATGCATAAAAAGAAACAACTTAATTTGACATATGTTCTTGACATATGGAGTAATTGTTTTCAGATTACAGATGAAAAGTATCAGGAGCAATAGTCTGGTGATTGAAGTCTGCCTGCTGTTGTTCTCTGCTCTTCAGTTCCTGTGGAGCAATGAGTCCTCTTCATCTACCTCCTGCTGAATTAACCCTATTACAGTTTCTCTGCAAAGTCAGGATCATTACTGAAGGTGAGGGAGGATTCATGCTGCAAACTGGACAATCTCTGCAAGGTGGCATATGGTGGATTTCTTTGCTAGGAAGACAGCAACTGTTTTCCCTGGACCCCCGATTTCCTTTTTAGTTTATCCACAATCACTGCCCAAAAAACTATGATTGCAAAAACACAGTTTGAAAACTTTCTTTCCTGGTATTGTTCAATTCCTCCCCTTGTTCGCATTTATTTGGTACCTCTCAGGGGTATGTCCAGACTTTTTTGGCCAAACTGACCCATGTCCCTGATCTCTCAGCACTGCCACTTGGTGGGCCTGAGCTTGAATATGAAAACAGAGGAAGACACTTGAATCTTCATTAAGAAAATACCGTATACCATACACTGCATTTAATTTATTTGTCCCGCAGAGAGATTTGTCTTCATTGACAGTACATAGCACATCACAAACAACAACAGACACTTCATACACACCACCAACAATAAATGACATACATAACAACAATGATGATAAACTTAAATGACAACGCAGGAGACAGACTGATCAGCGCCCTTAAAGTCTATCAAAAATAAAAAAATATATATATATTGGCTAATCTTGATATGAGATGTAAACAGAACTGAGTGAAAACACCTCTTCATAAGTGGTCATTCAGCTTGTTAGAGGAATACTAAAAATAGAGGTCGATGTAATGTCAACAACAGTTGTAAAGCTCACAGAAACATGCTGCTGCTGCTGACCTGAAACACATCTCAATGTGTGCTTTGAAAAGTCCGTTTCCCAAGTTTAACACTGACCTGAACTCCATGAGCTGCATTTGACTGAGACAGTTTACGCTCGCAGCTCGAGTCGTTGCCAGGCGTAATAAAGAGATTTAATTTCAGTGACAATCACTGCAAACTCCATGACCAAAAAGCTCTATTGTCAGAGCTGCACAAGCTGTCAAAGCTGCTCCACACCATATATACAAACTGCCAGTGCGCAGAGGGCCCTCCATTAACAGTGACTAATGAATAGTTCTGGCCGTGGTGGATATTTGATGATGTTATGAACCTCACTCAGTTTAACGATGGGTGAAGATAGTTCTCCAGCATTGGTAAATTGTGTATAACTGAGATAAAGCCTATTTGTCTGTTTCCTTATTGGAAACGTGGTTGTAATTGCACTGGCTTTAATATATGGTGGCTGCTAGGTGATTTTTCTGTTTGTTTGTTTGGGTTATCTTACTCTTAATGTGTTTCACAGTCTTGTTTGTTAATGCCCTCTGCTCAGCCCTTTTTTCTTTATTGTTTTTTTAACTTTTTGGAGGCTGTGGAAACACGTGCCAGACTTCCATCAGTCGACAGTCTTGATGCCGTCTCAGCACAAAAACCCATGAAATGGACTCCAAATGTGTCATCAAACACTCTTCCTGACAGTAATGAACTATTAATTTTATGACTCAATGACTATGAGTTTTCTTGGAGGATCTTGACACAATCCTCTTACATGCACGATTTGGTACAATGCAGCTCAGTTTAGTCACAGTTACAGATTTTAGATGATGAAACTTTTCCTCTTCACTTCTGTGTAAAATCAAGTCTATTATCTCCTCTAAAAATTGATTCTCCCTTCTATTAAGAATGTCTGGTGAGCTCAATTTGGCGTTTTTTTTTTAGGGACATTAAGATGATGCACAACACTGTTTTCTTTCTCAGGGTGCTGTGTTTGTCTCCTCGCTCGGCTCTGAGCCATTATTTGGGATTTCCCCAATTATTCAGTTCAGAGAGCTTGAATGGCCTTTTTAGCCCTGCCAGTGGCACTGACACTCTGCCAACACGCAGCACTGAGCTTCTTGGCATCAGCCTTAGTCATGGCTCCTTTTCATGGACATTTTTAGCTGCACTGACCAGCATGAATCAGTGCACGGTTGGTCAGAAAGGTCAGGGGGACCTGTTTGTTTTTATGTTCTGTTCGCTCGGAAGGTCACAAGACTTTTAAGTCCAGGGTTTAGATCTCTCTGTCAACAGAGGTGCGTCTCTGATGTTTGAAACAAATATAGAACAGGCTCCCAAGATTACGCCTTCAAAGTCCATAAACATCTGTAATACTGAGATGATGTGTGAAACAAGCTTTAACAAACTGCCCTAACTTGCAGAATGAATGAACATCAGCCGGCCGGTTTGCTCTCCAGGAAACAATCAGCGTCATGATTCCTTTGGCAGCTGGTGACATAACCTGCCGTGAAATTGTCAGTCAATATTTCATTTTCTTCTTTCATGGCAGAATTTGATGAATCGGTTATATCACTCATGTTTCACAAAGCTAAAAAGGTTCCTTAATGTAGCACTGTTCTGCTGTAATTTCCTTTTCTCCTCTTTCTTTGCCTCAAGCGACTCAGTATTACAGCATCTGTGATTCTGCAAAGTTTCAAAACAACAAAACAAATATTTCTTCCGCAGTTACCTTTCAATATGATGAAGCACCTGTCACCTGTATGTACAAAATTCATATTTGTTCAGATGAAAAGAGATTATTTTCTGATCTAGACAAAGGTGGATACATATTTATGACCACTTGATGCAGGTTTGCACAGACCATCAATAAACCAGTGCTTCATAAGATTTACACCAAAGACGTTCAGATATGTGCTTAGGCTGGGAAAAATAAACGTATGCTTTGCAGAGAAACCATCTTTTATGAAGTAATGCAGACTGATGACTTAGTCTGGCTATAATTTGTCTTGTTTGGCATTATTGATTCATATGTTGTATGATGGCTGCACAATAAACCAAACCTTAATTGTTATAGAAATATGAGCCTCCTGAATGAACAAACCTCAACTGTTCACACTTAGTCAGACACCTTATTCAATAAAAAACAATACTTTCTGACAAAGTATGCATGCATTGTATCTTTTGGTTATGGTCCTTGGTTTAAAGGCCTGTGCTGAAACAGCTTTTACGACTTTTAGTGCTTAGCATACTGAGCTAAAACCTGCTCTCAGCAGCCACTGCATTCAGAGTGCTCCTGATTAGATACATAGAATGGATACTGGGCTGTCCATTTTAATATGTGAAGCCAAAATACAGCCTCTATGGGCACTGACATGTTGAACCAGGGAAGCCTAGGAATGCACACAGGCAGGGCTGATGCCACACCTCCTCTACAAAAAGCCAGTGCTCCCTCAGGTTGGTACAGTCTGCACCAGATTAGATTCTTGTGTTGATTTGCAGTGCACATTTACAGTTACAGAAAGTTAAAAGACTCTTGTTTTTGACCAGTTAACTAATGAAAATTAAGTTTATCAACAACAACAACAACACAAAATTTAACTATAAACCAGAATGATATAAATTATCTGCTATGACAGAAATCCTGTTTGAGAAAAAACACATTAAAGCTCCTGTGAGGAACTCTCAGTTTATGTCAAGCATGGCGCCCCCCTGTGGACAAAGCAGTCTTTACTTTGCTTGTCTTCTACATGTTTATGCTGAGTCTTATGAAGAAAAAAAAAAAAAAACTCCTCAGAGGATTTTAAAAGTGGAGTTTAATCTTTGAGTTTGACTCATGTCCCTTCTGGTAAAATGAAAGTTTATTAGCTGTATGATCCAGTTACTTAGAGGAGCTCTTAAAATCATGGCTTCCTCCAGAATCACTGTTGTTCTGTCTAGCCTACTGTAGGCTACATACAGTCAAATGATTCAACTTTTCAAACACAAAAGCGTCACTTCTCCACCATGGATGAATTAAAATAAAGACGAGTAGGACTGCTGAGCTGAATTATGTCAACATCGATGAGGAAGGTTTTTCACAGAGGACAAACCAACCACACGTGAGTTAATGAAGATAGGTTTAAGGGATTGTGTTTAACTTATTTATTTAGTTAATTATCACAATGAAACACTAATACTTCACACAATGAAGGAAAGTGTACAGTAGTTGCTGCTAGGCATTTTTCATAACTTGGCAACAATTAGTGCCAGTTAGAAAAGCTCAGAAATGGAGGTTAAGGGTATCGCCAGTGCTAAAATGTTCTTAGTGGTTATAGGCTCTAATAGTTGCGCTTTCATTAGATGTGATGCAGTCAAAAAGTTTAGCTAACCTCAGATTTATTCGTGCCAATTCAGAAATGCTTCTTGGTTTATTTGTATTTTTCAGGAAAATGTTGCAAACACAGGTGTTGTGTTAATACAATAAACAGCAGATGGCGGTAAATACTGTCTGCTAAAGCTCACATTTTTTTCTGTCGTCTGTCATTTGATTAAATTGTAGTTCAGATTTCATGTCTGATACCTCGTCTTCCCAAGCTGGCTAGGTTTTTGTGCTTTTTCCTCATGTCTTAATCTATTGCATTGTAAACAGCTGGCCTATAAAACACTGTATCTGTCATCATTTCAAAATCATTTCTGCAACACACACTAAAACACATCCCAGGTACACAGAACGTCCATAATGTCTGAGCTTTATTTAACAATGTTTGCTCCAAAATTTGTTGTCGTCGCTGAATTAAGTGATGACACAACATGCCACAAAGTAACCTCAACAAACCAAATAAACTACATTCTTGTATCTGTCATATTTATCATATTTAGACAACCTGATTAGATTTGTTCATGATTGAATGTCCATGTCAGTGACTGCTTTGAAAGATACACAAAGATAATTCATTTCCAACAATCATGTCGAGCAGATTTGTCATTGTGGGCACGCCCATGTGACCATGTTTGTTCATTACCCTTGGTTTGACTGTGAACACGATGACGTATTGTGTTTGACTCACTGTTACCGTCAATGCCATTACCTCAAAGACTACAGGCACACTGACGTCTTTAATGACCGCTGTGCCACAACATCTCTGTCACTGACACCGACTCCAGCACTAAGATACTTAACACGAGTATTAATGAGGTGCTAAACACCGCTAAATGAGTCGGTATTTATAAATGCTCTGAAATCCCCCCTGTCAGCAGACGGAACTCTAAAAAGTTCCTTCATTCAGACCTTGATTATTTTGCTGCTGCAGGGGAAATGTTGGTTTAATTAAAACGATGGTGAGCATACAGTGCAGGGAGTTTCTAGGCCTGGTTCTGACTCCTGATAAACCAGACGATGAACCCTCAGGGTGGTGCGAGGTTACGCAGATTTTCTGATCAAGAAATCATATTGGGACAAATATTGAGACTCACTGTTGAGTGTTTTCTGCAGCATCTAAAAGCTCAGTTTAGGCAGATTTGCTAAATTTAAAACCATGTTAGCAGTTCTGTAGTCATATCTGTCAGGTTTTTTATGCTAAATAGTACTTATTTAAGTTTTTATATGAGATTGCATGACGGACAGGTCTCCTGTGCTGTATTTCTTCTGCAGTGCACCATATGGTGTTTAGATTACGAGCCTACTTTCTGTATTCAACATGCAGGTATGAATTAACATCCTTAGGGGCCCATAAAGAAATGAATATATGAACATTTCTTCTCTGAAGTTTTGGTGAAGAAATGTCCTTCTAGAAATAAATGATTAACTTTAAAAATATGGTGAAGAATTATGATGTTATATAAAGAAAAAAGCAAACATCTACACCTGGAAAGGTATTTATTCTGACTCTTATCAGGAGAAACCAGAGGATCCACTTCATATGAGGCTATAATGAATTCTGCTTTGTTCTTTGAGGTGAAACATTGTCGTGTCCCCCGGGGTAAAATGTGTACATTTTTTGAATATTCACTCCTCACTCTGGGAAACAATCAGTAGTCCAGCCACTTCCCCGCTCTCTCAGTGAATTCATTATTTGTCGCTGGCACCGGGGGTCGTGACATTGAATCTGGGGTGGAGCTGCAGGGAAGATAACAAAACTGAAGCAGCACTGCTGGCTGTAATTTAGACAAATATGTTGTGTCTCATATGTCAGGGCTCGGAGCAGACTGTGTCACCTGTTCAGTTCAAGAGGACCTCGATAAGTGCGCCACATCCCAGCCTCTTTACCACATTTTCTTCTCTTTTTCTCAGAAGGCTGTAAACTGTCTCTGCGGGCCTTGGCTTGTAAACTGTCAGTCATTCATGGGCACAAGATAGATGGTCACCACTTGTCCACTTGTCGGCCTGCATGCAAATTACAGGTGGTGTTTTCTCAATCACATCCTTGCATTTAAGATTGTTTATTAGTCATTTGGGGAGGCAATCAGTATGATTACACGCTTGATGAAGTTGAAATTATGTTGCTGACAGACTTTTTATTTGGCAGCAGTAATAAAGTAAAAGACATAACGTGTTGACATTGACTTGTTCTTCTCAACATATGTCCTCTGTTACTAACATGGAAACATAGTTAAGGCTCATTTCTATCAGGCTGCATTTATTATAATTGCTCATCTTGTTTTATCTGATCATACAGTACATGACTACGGAGCATCCGTTGAGGACTCTAGTATATATTTGAGGATCTACATCAAAAAGAAACCGCCGAGTGTCTGCGCCTTTGATGTGCAACTGCTCTTTTTAGCACTTCAAACAGAATAATGTAATGCAGGGTGAGGACAGGAGCCAAATGGCAATGTTTATGGATTATTCACAAAAAAGTTGTTGTTCATAATGAACATATGAACCTGCTCGCTGCCTTCTGTCACAGTCGATTGTGCGATGGTTGTTGTAACAGGTGTTGGCCCTGAAGGTGTCTGCTAGTTCCCATCTGAAGCAAACAAGAGATCAATCTTATGATCACAGCTGTGGAACATAATAGGACAGGTCACTTTACAGCCGATTCATAATTTAAGAATTGTAAAATGTTTGAGTGAAAAAAATTAACATGAAATTTGAAAAAAACATATTTTTGGGGGGGAAATCTTGGTCTATTTATTCAGTCAATCCTCAGCAGCTGATCAGTGATGACAGGACAGTTTTGTTCCTGTAGTGAACACAGCTTACCAGACACAAAACAACACTTTTCACCAGTAACCAGAGTTTGACTGTCAAAACTGAAAATCAAAGGTCAAACAGGACTTTCAAAAGTTGAAGTAAAAAACACGGTGGACTGCAGGAGCTAAATGTTGCTAATTGCTTAGTTTCCTGTTTTATTTATTGGTCCACAGGTAGCTTTTCAGCTCTTCCTCCTACTGTGTAAACCCTTGTGTTGTTGCCATTTATCAACAAGCTGTTTCTTCAGTTTCTGATGTTAGTCTATGGATGTGTCCTAAATGAATCACTCAGTCCCTAACTCCTAAGCCCCCGTACGGGGTTTCACTATATAGCTGACTATGTAGTGAGCTCAGTCACTGGAGGTTTCGGACACTACATGGTGCACCGGTGAGACGTCACTGCTCAGACTGCCGCTGGCGACACAATGCATGACGGGATGCCCACCACCGGTGAGTGACCATCGGATGGTCACTATATTTTGCAATACTCTATGGGAAATTTTGAGTCGCCTATATGGGGCATTGGAATTGATCACTCGCTAACCCCCATGTAGTCACCTATATAGGGGTTAGGGATCCATTTCGGACACAGCCTTTGATTTACATTTACTGTATTTTTTCTGTCTTCAGTCAGCAGGCTTCTCTGATTTAAAGTTACAAAGGTTAGGGCAGCTCCTGTTGTCTCCAGCACAGACTGGGGGAAAAAGTCCCCCCTCACACACCTCACAGGACAGGATAATCTGGGAAGATTATCCTCAGAACTGTCCGATAATCAGGCTTTTACTGACCTTTGTCAGAGGAGGGGAACTGGCCCAAAAACTTGTGGGGTGTATCCTGTTTTAATCGTGCATTTAACTTGTTCATAATAGGCAAGTAAGGACAGGTCATGACAGTCCAAAACAGAGCAAATTCTTGTGGTAACCTAAAGCAGAAGCCCATGGGAATTTATCTGTTGAAGGTTTTCTTATAAACATTGAATAAATAATCAAAAATGAATTTGTCACCCTGAGACAAACTCAGCATAATAAGAACTCATTTTAAAGACAGTACCCACAATTAAGAGAATTTCATTTGACATCTTATATATATTTGAGCTTGGTTCCATCTGTTAACACAATGGAAATGAAGAGAACAGTTAACACTGCAGCCCGTCACAGGGAGAACTCTGATGGTGTGTACGTGAAACTACAGCCTTTGACTCTTGGGTGGTAAATCTTTAACCAACGGCCTCCATAATGTCACAGACATGAAATACAGCCACTGCCTTTATTCATGGTACTGGATTATTAAACTACAGCCACTGCCTCCCTCCAAGGTACTGAAGAAATAAACTAGTGGTTTTTCCTCTATCAATGATCCTGAAGTATTTAACTACTTGAAGATAGAAGGATACTTTATTATTCCCAGAGGTCGTCGTCGTCGTTTTCTTCCGCTTAATTCAAAGCTCTGCCTCTAACCATGGTACTAAGCAGTATCTACAGTCTGTGTCTCTGTCCATGGTACTAAAACATTAAACTACAGCCTCTGCTTCTATCCATGGTACTAAAGCATTTAACTACACCCTCTCAGTCTATCAATGGTGCTGATACACTTAGGTGAAGCTCTATCCATGGAACTGAAACAAACCGCAGTCTCTATCTCTGCTCATGATGTTCAGCACTAAACTACAGCCTCTGTAGTTTCTGTTCTGTTCTGTTCTGTTCTGTTTACTGGCTCTGTTTGGCTTTATTATTTCTCATACCTTCTTTTTGTTGAAGCATAAATATTTTAAAAAACAGAGATTATACCACTGAGGCTATGACTCCATCCAGCTGTGTGGATCAGTCAATCATAAACACAGAACTAAACCAGCTGGCTGCCCGACACCATTGTGTACTTCAAGTAATAAGACCAAATAAATATACTGTCCTGTTTGTTTTATACTTGATCAAGATTTTCCATTTTCCTTTTTCCACAGAGATCCGTGAGGCTTTCAAAGTGTTCGACCGAGATGGTAATGGCTTCATCTCAAAGCAGGAGTTGGGGATGGCGATGCGCTCACTGGGCTACATGCCCAACGAGGTGGAGCTGGAGGTGATCATCCAAAGGCTGGATATAGATGGTATGTTCCTGTCTCTCTCTATCACTCTCACTCTTTTCTTCAAGTGTAAAGTAAAAATTAGTTGTGCAATAACTTGCTTGTTTTTTGCTTGTTTCTTTAGGTGATGGTCAGGTCGGCTTTGAGGAGTTTGTCACATTGCTTGGTCCAAAACTCTCTTGCGCTGGGATGCCTGACAAGTTTCATGGAGCAGACTTTGATTCAGTGTTTTGGAAGGTAAATGTTGTTACCTGTTTCTGCTTAAAGTTATTTTCTGTCACCTATATTCATTAACACATTTGATTTCCTTCCTACTGTTGTAAAAAGCAATCTGTCCATTTTTTTTAACAAAGCAGCGCCATATAATGTAAATTTGACTATTTCTAGCATTTTTACCAAACTTTTATGGCAGCCCATTTCTGCTTGTTAAAAAAAGAAAGAAAACTGAGACCAAGCCTTGGAAAAAGATGCCCCAAGTCTCGGGTCATTATTGTGAAATAAAAATCTAAATTGTAAGATAAAAGGTAAATATTTGAGTGAACAAAAAAAAAACAACTCAGGAATATTTTAAGACAGAGTTGAATATTTGAGATGAAAAATCAATAATTATGTGGTGAAAAGTCAAAATAACGAGGAAAATGTCGGTTTTTTATGAGGCAAAATAATGACATGAAAAGTCAAAATTATGAATTAAAACAGGAAAAAATTGGGGATAAAAAAACAATAATAGACAAAATGTCAACTTAAAAAGAAAAACATCATAAATGTGAGATTAAATTCAGTTTCAGGGAATAAGTTGTAAAAACTATTTAAAAAGTTATTTCATTCTTATTTCTGTAACAATAATATTAATAAAAATCTTCTCATCATATTTTCTTTAAGCACCTCATAGTTATGACTTTTTCCTTTTTAAATTGCCTTTCATAATTTTCACTCTTCATCTCACAATCTGGACTTTAAACCTTGTATTGTGTCTTACTGGCTCATTATTTCATCTGTAAATCTCCTTATTATGACTTTCTGTTTTACTATTTTGACTTATCTTATATCCATCACCTACTTTTCACAGTAATTTTTTACCTTTTGTTTTTCTTTTGTGATTTTTATGTCTCACTTACCTCAGTCTTTAATCCTTATAATCTCTTACAGGCAGAAATTGGCTTCCATACATAATGCATTGAACTCCTGAATAAAGTATAGGTCTTGATATGAAAATAGCCCGTGCTTCGCTCTTGTAATTACCGTAGAGTAGTAGTATCCTCAATCCTTGCATTAAGTTGCATCACTGAATAAATTAGTGCACTTTAAACGTACGATCATTTGGAGCAACAGCACACTGGAAATGTATGTTTTATAGCCAGGAGCTGCTGCGTACTTTCACTTTTTATTGCTGACCTTCGGCGTATTTACATCACTGAGAGACATGGAGAAAGCAGTTTTAACTACTAATGAGACCTTTTTTATCCTGTCAGTGTGACATGCAGAAACTGACAGTAGACGAGCTGAAGAGACTGCTTTACGATACTTTCCGAGACCACCTCACCATGAAAGACATCGAGAACATCATCATGACAGAGGAGAGCCACCTGAACAGTCCAGAGTGTCATGTGGACATCGACAGTAAGTTCATAAAGATTTAAAAATGCAAGCTTGTACAACAATTCTTAAATCACTGTTACCCTCTAAGAAGTGTGTGTTTTTTTTTTTTTTTCCACAGCAAGCCCAACACAACAGGAGAAACACACGTGTGTGCGTAAAAGCCTGATTTGTGCCTTCGCCATTGCATTCATCATCAGCGTTATGCTCATTGCAGCAAATCAGATGCTTCGCAGAGGGATGAAGTAAAGTTTTTTTGTCCAGTTATACGTGAAGACAGGCAATGAAAAGCAAACATTTACCAAAAAAAAAGAGGTTTTTGATTGTCTTTAAGTTTTGTGAAATGTTTTCAATGTCCATGCTTACACAGCTTCTCAAACTAATGGGAGAAATGATGTCATGCAACATTGTATGGTCAGTACCCAATGCACACTAGCGTAAAGAAAGACAGTGTATAAGTAAGAGAGAGAGAAATACCAAGGGCTGATTTGTTTCCTAAAACAGCTGTGCCACATTGATTCAAATTTTCTGAAGTTTTTAGAAAACTGTTTGCTAGAAACGCCGAGTTTAGAAGACGTCAATATTTCAGAGCACAGTGTGTGCTGTAGTTAGAGCTGTGCTGTATCCAATATATAAAAATTACCTATGTTGTGTATGAGAGCGCTAAGATTTGCAGTGTGCTCCAGTAACGGTAGCATTGAGGGGTAGCATTTATAATAAAGCAATACAAAAGTGTTGGTGTGTGTAATGTCAGGTTGTTTGAGTTCATTTACCAGAACATCAGTTCCTGGGTGGGTTTCTACAGGAGTCAGTTAGAAACTAATGATCTAAATCTGAACAAAATACTCCTGTGATTTTAAACAAAACATTTTTCCTTCCCCAAAGTGGCAAGCTTTTAAATCAAATAAAAAACAACTGAAGTTTTAGTCAAGCTGGCTTTCATGATAGTGCTGCACTTGAAGTGGCAGTTTGGTTCACTTTAATCCAGTCTTTTTAACAAGTCTATAATCATGAGTCCTGTGGGATTAATCTGAAAGACTGGAGTTAGCCTCCACTACAGGAAAGAGATTTTATTAGATACAGGGTGGATTAGCACAATATTTGGTAGACCTTTATCATGTCCCGATGACACACGGTCAAACACATTTATGATTCTGTGACACTTTCATTTGGTTTAGTGAATACTGTAAAAACTTCTGATTAGCCTAAGCTCCTCTTTATTTAAAGTGATGATAAATCTGAACTTAGGTCGCAAACATGATGAACATTAAACTCACTAAACTTAGTATGTTAGCGTTGTCACTCAGAGCATTTTGCCAAGCTAGCATTAGTATTTAGCCACAGCTCTGCTATCCTTGGGTAAGACCCCACCATGCTGGCATGGTTGTGAACTTTGGTCTTCGTAGGACTCTGGACTAGATAAGGAAAGTCATGTTAATATTTATAAAGTCTGAGAATAACATGTAAAGTGTTCCATGCAACAATATGAATTCATCAGGTGCTCTGCTCTCTTACATTTATTCGGTGCTGCAAAAAACAGCAACTTTAAATGTTAAAATACATCATAATCTTATTCTGCAAAGTTTGGCTCTGTTTCATTTATCGTACGTAAAGACATAATATTCTTTTCAGAAAATAACAGTCACTGAATCATTTAAGTTTTCACCGTGACAACTATGAGAACTCGAAGACTGGAATAAACGTGAGCAAGCACAGAAACATGCTACAGAGCAGCAGAAAAGAAAGACTGAAAAAAAAAAGATATTAGAAAGAACATGGGATCAAAACCTGTGACCCTTAACTAAACGCTGTCTACTCCAGTCATCTGAGCTGCAGAAAAATCCCACAATCCATCTCTCCAAACACGTCTGTTTCACAGGGACTGATTGGTTTTCTTTAAAGTCCATAAAAAGCCGTCTTGGCTGAGCAGTTTGCTATTGATTTGTTAATCAAGGAGCTGTTTTTCCCCTGTTTAAAAATGTGAACAGTTATAGATTAGGGGATGAAAGTGAAAAGACCCCTAAAGTCAAAATAGAAGTCACAATAAAAGCAATATCAGTCAAAGGTGTGTTAGAAGCCACGGCTGGAAGACAAATGATCTCTTGACCAACAGACCATAAAACTAGTGTTTCATACAGTGTGCAAGAAATAGATGCACAATGTGGCATTTATAAAACCTCTGCCTTCATATCAGACACCAAAACAGGTCCTTAAGAGTCTTAATGAAGTATAAAATAGTTGCTACATGAGCCAACCTACCAGCTGTGAAGTATTTCAACCACATTGATTTTAAAAGTTTCATCAAAGCTCGACGTTAAAGATAAGATTTCTGGTAAATGAGATAGAGAGATAATCATTTCACTCATGCTTGCATGTACATAAAAATAGAAATTAATGTGAGTTCTATGTGTGTGAGATCCAATTTTGAATAATTCAATAATTATGCAATTTGTAAAGTGATCATTGCAAAAAGAAAATCTCAGTATCTGACATTTTCCTGTAAATGTCATTTCTTTTGTGGGTGTGCAGACTGTAACAGTACTAAACACTTGGCAGTATACTGTGATGAATGATTTAACATATCATGACGAATGTTGTTTTCTGGCTTTTACATGGACCACCAAAACAACATATGATTTAAAGTATTACATGATTATATTTTCTTACTTGAGCGTGAGGTTGAATCTATATGATTTTATTATGAATGTAGACATAATGATTTGTATAAAACAAAAACTCTACAAAAACATAATCAGGTTTCTGATGTATGATTTTCAGCTTGACTGGACGTTCAGATACAAGTTCTCGTGTGTATCAATGCCATGCACTTTCATCAACTCTCCTGATATGTTAGAGTTTATTTTGTAGGATGTTTCTTTTACGAATATTTGTCAAAAATGACGTTTTATTGAATGCTATATTTTTTTCTTGCTTTTTTTAATCGTAGAGTTTATCAGAGCTATATCAAAGGGGGAAAGTAAGAAACTGGGGGGATCATTCTGGCAATAAAACTATAAATAGTAGATATTTATGTATGAACTACTTCTGTGGCATCACATTACCTCTTCATGTGAACATATCACGTCAGGTGTGGGGTTTGGTGTGAATGTAGGATGTATTCATGGTGTCAAATCTTGTCTTAAGACATATAAGCAATTATTGTGTAATATTATGAATGTTAAAGTGTTTTAATGAGGAAATTTGTGTACATTTTGTTGATTAAATGTCTTTATTGTTGTTTTGAACTTGACCTTAACAGTACATTTCTTTGGTTGCGTGCCTTCTTTTGGAGTGAAAACCGCGCACATATGCCCCGACTTAAAGTAACATCAGAAAGGTGGGAATCTCATTTTCCAAAACCATCACTTTTGAACAAAAATTATCTGATGCTAAATGTATTGTTGGATTGAAATGACTACAAATAAATAATCATGTCTTATATCTCCCATTCTCTTTGTCTCACTTAGAGGTTACATTTTGTTGTACCACCCTGCTGTGCGACATTAGTATTTGTAGTGTTTAGACTGAGAATAACCAGCACTGTTTTATTTCTGTAACTGCTGCTACTCATGTAGAGGTTACTGCATCAATTATACACTAATGTAAGTGTTGTCTAGATGCATGTAGTCCAATAAAAACAAAGTCAAAGTCAGCTAAGTTTGTGTGTGTTTTTTCTTTAGAGATGTGACATTGGCTACAAACAACAGATCTTAGAGAAGGAACATTTACATTATACTTTTTCACAAAAATAAGAGCCTTACAGGGACAGCATGTTCATTCATTCAACATTCAGTGTATGGAGAAGAGAAGAGTCAACATTAAGTATGTAAAGCCTGCATTAGTCTGACAGAGCCCAGCACACAGCCTGCAAAGAAGGGAAGGCTACTGTATATCTGGCATTGCTATGCACAAGGGCTCTTCATGCTGCAGCATGGACACTTCAGTTTGAAATCAAGAACTTGAACATGCATATGCAGTTATTATACTGTAGTTGCAACCAAGGCTGAGAACGGAGCACAACAGCAAGGGACCTGAATCTCCTCATCTTTAATGAGCAGCAATCCTGAGTTGTTGCTGTGTATACTTCATGTTTCACGAGGCGCCATTTCAGATCTGGATGAGCCATGAAAGGTCCTTCGTGAAATCAGCTATCTAAAATCAGTTGAGTTAAACTGATTGACCTTTACATCTGAGAAATATGTTGCATGTGCACTGGGGTGGATCCAGCAGAGCTGCCAGGGGTGGCAGAAACCGCCTCTGAAATCTGTCAGAATCCTGAATTACGATTGGTTATTTGGCTCGTCAGGGGTGGGACTTGCGTTATGAGATTATGTGGTCTGTGTAGCAAAACAATATTAGCAGCTTACCAGGAGGGACATCGTCTTTTATTTGTAATTAAAATTGGGACATTCATTAAACATCCTTATCTATTATTCAGCCCATAAAATTTTTAAAAGTGAGAAGATTGAACTGTTGCCACACGACTGTTACTTTTATAAAGTCAATGGATTTATGCATATAGTATGTGCTAACATGGGACATCTTTGTGATACTTCCAACATCAGTGAACAGTAGAGATGATTAGTGGATGACAGGGTAAATAAACTGCTGTGTTCTTTTCTTTGCACACATATTTCATACCATTCTTGCATAAGTCAGCATGAGCAATCCAAGGAGCTGCACTGTATGCAGTTCTTCCTCCATTATATTTCAAATCATGTATCGTTTACACCCATGTTTGTTTTTTATCAGCTGTTTTCACTTCACTACTGGGTGCCTGTAAGTAAATTGCCGGTTAAGTCCCACTTAAGTTAAACTGTTGAGAATCTCAACCAAGAGGAATTTGTATCAACACAGTTTAATGATCATTCTGCTGCATACACTGCTTTAATAACAAGACAGTTTCAAGTATACATGACATCTTAGCAAAAGCCCCAGTAAAGAGGAATTATTATACATAATAAAGGCTAGGGACAAAAAACATCTGTAATAAATATATCAGTCACATATCCATGGGATCTGCACGTCCTGTTGATAATAAAAAATTTTACATTCAGTGCAGATCTTACACTTTCCAGATTTACAACTGGGAAGGAAAATGGGGTTTTCCCGCGGCTTGGAAAGAAATTAAATTTAGTGAGATTAGTGAGTCCCCCAGTGAAACAGCACAGGATTAAAATAAGACAAAAAATTATTTCCATCTGCTCAGCAATCCTCTATTTCTTTTGGGACATCATGACATTAAACTGCACTCCTTAGAAGAGTATTACTGTCTATAACCCACTGCCAAAATGTCAGTCATGGAGGTTATTTCGCGTTGCCTGTATAGGATTTGCTCAGCTCAGATTAACTCTACCTTGCTGTTCTAAGGGTGGGTGTTTTTATCAATTTATTTCACCCTCTCCTGTGGGATTTTCAGACAGTAAACTGGGAGTTATTGGTAAAATTAGAAGAACACTAGGCTGTTGTAGCTGTTCTAAAAGAAGAACATAACCTGTAGTACCTTATAAACAAAGGATGTATTTTGTTCCTATTTTTAACATAAAACATGATTACAAACTGCTTTTTAGTTTCAAACTGGCAAACCTTGTTACTTGAAATATAAAAAGGGCACCACAGCTTAATAATGTATGTATTCTGTACCATTCCTCCTACTCTGAATGTCAAACATCCACTTAACAGTGATTTGAACCACAAAGTGAATATCCCTCAGCCCCATTCTGTGTTCACTTTGACTTTCCATCCGCCCGGGGGAGGAGGCTGCATTGAGGGCGGGAGGTCAGGAATGGAGAGGAGCTGTGGAGGTGCGTCACTCTCCGCTCGGCCTTCTTCACCGTCTTCTTTATTTTTCAGATCACTGCAGAAATAAATAATTAAGGGGTTGAATTCTGATGCACCAGGAATGAACATTAGCCATGCCAACCATGATATGCATGAAGGGTACCCTTTGACGCTGAGGGCAGTTTGCTTCTTTTCCCTTCTGGAGAGCCAGTCTTCAATATTTCTTCCAGGTAGAAAACTGTCCTGCGCGTCCTCTCTAAGCCGCCGTTCATCTAGAAGAAACCAGATCTCACACCACTGACACTCATCTGGATGAAATGCACTTAAAATTTCATACTTTTAACTCCTGTGTGGGTTGTGTTTTATTGAGGGGTTACAAAGGTAAACTAAGACAATAACGGGATTTGAGGGATTTCTGGACTGCGTTGACCATGTCCACCATCTTTGGTTACTTACCCTCCACTTGTCTTTTCAGGTTATCTAGGTCCTCTTCAGACATGTGCGAAAACCTACAGTTTGGGCCAAAATCACAAATTCCTGAGGAGAAAAAAACACCATGAGGAATTTAAATTTGTTAACTAGTTATAGGATTACTGAGAGGTTTGCTGTTATGTCACCTTTTTGGAGAAACTTCCTGCAGGCTTTCTTTGCTTGTTCGTCATACAGAATGGCTGAGGAGTCTGTAAAACAGGAATGATGGTGGATCCATAGTTGTTTATGTTATCTTTCACCATGAAATAAAGAGGCGGACAGCTGAGACGGCTCAATGAAATACAACACTGTTTATTCCTTCAATAAAAATCTCATAAAACAGGTTTAAGACTTTTGAATTTTAAATAGTTATTGCTCATGCATAAGATCGCCAGCTAGTTCCAAGAAAAACACATTTACATTTGCTGAAACATGTCCATCATAAAAGATAAAGCATGTTGTTAAATTTTAGTCTCAAAGGTCTGAAAGTCTCACCTCTAAAATGGTCATACCAGGCCTTTTTAGACCTGTGATGCTGAACACCATTTAGATGTTTCTTCCTGTTGTGCATGTTATCCTGAAAGGAGCGGTCGCAGTAGTCACAGTAGTATCTCTTCCCCATGGTGGGGGTTATGTGCTTAAACCAGCAGGAAATCACCTTTTAAATCTCTGTGAAGGAAAGAACAAAAGTGTTTTACAGTAGCCCACTGATGGCACACGGTGAGTGAGAGCTGATACAGACTGTTACAACATCAGCATCTGAGAAAGGTGTTTAACCTTCATCAATGGAGATAAATGATGGAGGTCCTTCAGATGTATAAAATGTTGCAACAATGCTCAGAACAATTCAAACATTTTTTGATCATAATTCAACCCCAATTAAAGCTCCTGCAAGGTATTTTCAGATTATATTGATATTCTACTTCCATGGAGTCAATCATTTGCTTGGACAAGGACACCTTGCCTGAGGCAGTGGTTTCAAGCACTTATAAAAATAAATCAGGAATAATCAAAATCAGTCACTGGCTTTCTTGTCTGTCTTTGTAGTGCATCCAAAAGCATCAGTGTGAATTTCTATCTTCTTTTTTGCAATTAACTAAAAGCTTCTATTTTCAAACCACAAAGAGCCAACAAAGACGCAAAGTTTTACAAAGCAGATTGAATTTACTCTGGATCAAACTCCAGCTGATATTGATCTGATCTGAAATTTGACTTTCTAAACAAAGCAAACTTGTTCACAGTTTTATAAACAAGTGATGGAGGTAGGGCTGGGCGATAACACAATAATGATATATATCAAAACTTAATTTCCCTTGATATCGATATGAAACATGGTCAATATACTTTTCAATAGTCAGCATTCTGACATGTTTTGGTAGACTATAGGAATAGCCAATGAAAAGGGGAGTTACTCTGAGTCTGCGCCGCGCTGTACCAACCATTCAGCAACGCCTCAGACAAAACATCGAAGAGACACAAAGATCTCATGGATGCAGTAGCTTATTGTATTGCACAAGACATGCTCCCAATAAGTAATGTTAAATTTCATTTAAGAGTAAAGGTCCTTACACACCGGGACCATTTTTTGCAATTATTTCGGACATCAATATCCTGTCAATACAAGCGTTTACATCCGCGACGTTTTCCCGTCCTGCGATATTGCGGCATTTATTTTTTTGGATCATGGTCGATTTTTCAAAAGTTTTGCATACTGTGTGTCCACTTCAGACCAATCAGATTTCGTGTAATTGTGACGTCAGATTCACCAGTATATCCAGCATGGCAGACCAGCTGATTGTTTATGTGTTGGAGAACAGAGTGCTTTTTGATAAAAGACACAAATATTACAAAAATAGCGACCTGAAGGACAACTTGTGGAGAGTCATAGCGTCAGATTTCTCATATGACGATGGTTTGTGTGCCCTTAACAGTTTGCTAAATGTCTTGGTTTTAACTTCTGTCTGTGCTAAGTAACTTTAGCTCGTAAGCTAACCTGTTCAGATACAACATACCATATGTATTTTCACTGTTTAGGTCTCAGTTGTTACCTTACGTTTATGGATTTTAGTTTAATGTGCTTATCTGGTACTGGCCCTGACTCAGTACATGCTATCATGACAGACAGCCATCTCAACACTAGTGTCTAATCAGAACTGAAGAACAACAGTCTGCTGTTGTGTCAGTCTTCTCGCTTCCACCTGAGACGCATCTTTTTCCTCCGTGGAAAGTCGCAAAATCGCATCGTGCTTGATGTGTATAGTCAGGGGCATCAAAATCGCCTCTGAATATTTTGCAATTTCGCATTCTATATTCGTATTGGCCCCGGTGTGTAATGACCTTAACAAAGAACATTTAGGATTGACAAGTGGTTTGTTTATGCCGTGATATATATCGATATCGACTGATATGAAAAAAATATATTGTGATGAACTTTTTCCCATATCGCCCAGCCCTACATGAAGGGTAATAATCGATGAAGACATTACTAAAAGTGATTACATGACAGGCACAAGGTAGAACCAGCCTATTCTAGTCTAACATCAAGATGACCTGCACTGATACTGAAGAAGACGGGGATATTACTGTAGTAGCTGTGTTTTACTGCCATCTACTGTTAAACTAGTGCCTCATGTTTTCATTATGCCTCGATAATATTAGAATACAATCTTCAAGCGGTCTGAAAGTAGATACAACTACCATATTCGTGTGCAGATAAATATGAAGCTGGGATAAATGCCTTTCCGGTTAATTTATCAATACAAATACATTACGCAGCAATGATACGTTGGTTAGTTAGCGCTCACATGCTATCAAGTTGATTAAAAATACTCTTTCTCTACCTGTGTATGATGAATTAAAGGACCAAGCGCACATACCATTGATGAAACACCGCTGTCCTGGTTTATTGTTCTGAAATGGACCGCAAAGTATGAGAAAAATTGGAACTAAAGGGGGGAAAAAAGTATTTAGCTGACAATTCCTCTCTTCGCTTAAATACGGTAGCCTCACAGGGTCAAAAGTCAGCCCACTCAGCGACTCAGCGCGGAAGCATCACTCGTCATCATCCGCTCATGCGCAGTCGCAGAAGCTGATCAACATGGCGCTAGCGAAGTCCGTCTACAATTTGCTCTTCAGGAGAACGTCAACTTTCGCTGTAACCATCATGGTTGGAGCGATCTTCTTCGAGCGAGTCTTCGACCAGGCCGGAGACGCGCTTTTTGAACAAATGAATCGAGGGGTAAGAGTTGATTCAAAGTGTGTTAAAGTGTTTGTTTTATCCTGACCTTGTAGACAGAGGGCGAAGCGGCGCAAACGCTAGCTAACAATGCTAACAGCTATCCTGCCCTGTAAAATGATCAATTCGACAGCCTGTTTTTTTCTTTATATGTGTAACATCGCCATATGTTGATTGTAGTTTTCTTTTTATTTGTTTGTAGAAACTCTGGAAACATATCCAACACAACTACGAGGAGAAAGATGAGGAATAGGAGGCTGCTCCGGGGTTATCTAAGGCTGAAGTGCATCTGCTGACACACTTCTTCATTCATCCTTCCTCCTTGGACTTCACACACACCTGGATCAAACATCTGCCATCATGGACTATGTGCTCAGAGTCATGCCCAGGGATGGCAGCGGCTACCAGAGGACCTGTGGGGGCTGATTCACTGTCCAGACCACCATCAAAACGGAGCAATGCTTTCTGTCACGTCGTCTCCCTGTTGATATTTGTAATGCCTCTAAGTTGTAAATTAAATTAAAATGTGTTCATGTCTTACTTACACATGTGGTAATTGTTTCGATTTTTCCGCATTTGAAGCATAGATCATATAAAATTCACCAATAAAATGTATTGTATAACTCAGATGTCTACCAGTAATTAGTGTTGCTGTAGTGTTTTGCTCATCAAAGTTAAAACATAGTCAGGGTCAGGGATTTTTGTTCTCAGCTACAGTCAACTGGCAATCTCAGCAATATAGGGGAGAGTGGGGTATATTTCGGATCACTACATCAAGGCAATCATAGTTTCGTCTCTAACTAGTGTATCTGCATATATTTCAAGATGTTGTGCATCGCTGCAAACCAACAGAATGAGTGTAAACATAACAGTCTTGATAATATAGCATGACAAAAAAAAAGTGATCTCCTATGGTCAACTTACCTTGTGTGTGGGGTAAGTTGACCATAGGAATGGGGTGAGTTGAGACATATCCCTACTACCTCCACCCCAGCCCTCCCTCACCTTCTCTCTCCCTAAATAACCATCACTTCTTCACATTCGTGTGTATTTTTGATCTATTATACGCTATTCAACAGGTACAATAATTATAATAACTAACCCTATTTTAACCGTTCAACTTTTAAACTATTCCTCTCCTTCAGGACAAGTGCGGATGTATTTTTCACTTTTCTACCCCTGATACTTTTTGATATTTTTTACTTTTTGTGCAAAATTTTTCCCACTGAAATGAATGGAGAAACCTTCAAATTCTACCTTTTACTCCTCAGCTTTATAACTTCAGCATACTTTCACCTAGAGACCTCATTTTTCCCTTAAAATGTTCATTCACTTGTCGACTATTAATGTTGTGTTGACTTTTTTGTGCTATCTCCTACAGTTTTTCCACAATTTAGCTTTAAGCAACTCGTGGTTTTCAGCAAATTTCAGGCTTTATAATGGGTGTGTATTGGAGAGGCTAGAGTGATGATGTCATCGCTAGAGTGGACAGCTGCTCTTGGATCGACAGAACCTCGCTCGAATATATCGCCCCCACGCCCACAAAAATACATAAAAAATACATCAAAATGGAGGTATATGTGTCTTGCTTCTCACAAAAGAGGTTTCAAATCATTAAATCCTACCCCTTGGCCAGCAGGTGACCAACTGTCCAAATTAGGGACCCCCCTAACTTAAAGACCTTGACAGACAGGACCGCTTGTCTCATACTTGGTGTTATGTGCTCAGGACGTCCAGGGGTGCAGGAGGTTGTGTCCCAACCCCTTAAAAAAAATCAAAAAAAGGCCAAACAAAATAAAAATCATTCAAATATAAATTTCTTCCTAACAATGGTTTTCTCTTTTTATAGTTAGTTATTGTTAAACTGTTTTAAGTGTTCATGTTTCTCTGAAGTGAAGTTTTAACAAGGTATCATATTTATGCTGATGATGGCAGTCACTGAAGCACAGCAATAGATGGTGCTGTTCTGCATTCTCGAGTTACTATGGTTAGATGCTGCAGACTGCAGAAATCTGTTTTACTATTTGTACATTTAATGGGAACATTGTTACACATTATTTTAAGGCATTTGTTTTTCAAATTCAATTATTCTTATTATCAGTTCTGTTTATTCACATAAGTCATATACATTTTTCGCTTAGGCTATTAGACAATTTGTACATAAATCCAACTAATTTACCTTCAGCTATAGTACAATTCTTCCATTCATACAATTTCTTCCTCTTCTACTCCACCTTTTCAACAGTTTTTCCATTCATACCTTCCTCCATTTTTTATTAGCAGTTTAGCATTGCTTTTTCGGCTTTCAGCACTCAGCATTTCCACGCATTTTCTGCAAGGAAATGCAATTTTTCTAGTTCTTTTTATTGTTATTGCATATAACTGCTAAAAAGCTGTTTTATAAAAAAACATTTGAACATGAAAATGCCTTTAAGTGATTCAGAACATTCACAGCTGTATTCTTGAAAACAAAAACAAAAACATTTCAACAATCTGAACTGAAACTCTGATCCTCTCATCAGACTCCTTTACTTTCTCAGTTGAACCACTGGCTCAACTTACCCCTGAACTACTATGATGACATTATTAGTCCTCTAAGCTAAAATGGTGGACTTTTATGTTTTTGACCTCATGTTGTAGCTCATAGATACCACAATTGATGTATAAAACTAAATTAAAATGATCTTTTGTTGGTCTGAACACAATTCTAATAAAACTGATGACAGACTAAACTCACTTTCAAGAGTGAAAAATGTCTAACCCCTTCACCCATGTGCTTCTAACTTTTATAGACTCCATGAATTGATGCCCATCTCCTAAATATTTGGTCACATGATCAATTTATTTTACCATTTCCAAGCAACAGGGGGTGGCTCAACTTACCCCACTCTCCCCTACTATGTAACTGGTTTAAATCCACTATCATTATGGTTTTAGTGTCAAGTTGCAAAGAGAATCCTGAATAAAGACAGGGTCTGAAGATAGACTGCATTTATGTTCCGAGATCTTTTAGAAGAATATGTTGAATTTACTCTGCTGCTTGTGTCAGTGATGTAAACCAAACCATTTTGTGTGGGCTGATGCTAAAAGTTGGTCAATCCCTCATAAAATAGTTACTGGGATTGTGCTTCTGTGATAAACCTGGCAAGCTACACCCTCAATCGATATTTCAGTCAGATTATCAAACAGCAATCTAAAGAGGCTGTTTTCAGTTTCCCTCTCTCTAAATGTAGAGAAATACCCTGCAGAATCAGACAGCAGAGGTTACCATATCAAAATAATCACAAAATTTAGTTAATTCACTTGTGTCTAAAATCAATATAATGAGGAAAAATTCTTTAGCCTGACTGTCACCATGTATAAACGGGTCTGTGTGACGGGGTCAGGTAGGGCCACTACCTTTGAAATATGTTCCTTACATTTGCACCTGATCCTGGGGCCTCCAGAGGGTGCTAAAACACTGCTGTACAGAGAATTCAATTGGTAACTGAACATAGATTTTAAAGCTACTACTGCTTGCTCAAGTGAAACTGCTAAGAAGTGGAACAAAGCCCAAACACGACTTTGTCTTACCAAACCTCCTGGAACCTCTCAGTGCTTTCCAGGAAGGACACAGTAAGGCAAACGTTTAAGGCATTTGTGTGTTTGTTAAACTCTTTATTATGCAAGATTCTGGTACAAACTTTTTAAGCAAGATTTAAATTACAGAACCATTAACCAGGATTTGTACGCTTTTAAGAAGGAAACTTTTAAGAATAAAACATGAAGTATAAACTTGTATAAATAATAATAAATAATAAATAAATATCATCAACAAATTGTAACGTTCTGCTTTTTTGGCATGCACAAGTTTTGTAATGAATGAATTTCTAGGACATTTAATGTGTTTCTGTCAGTAAAGACATTTTACAAATAGCTTTGGCTCATTCTTTTGTCCATGATTTTGAGGCTAAACCATCACATTTTTTAACCATTGTATTTACTGGAGAAGAAATTTAAGTTTAAACACCTCTGGGTACATGAGCTATAATCACTGGCTGATACTTACGAGGATTAATCTACATTTCCATGGATTAAAGTTGAAACGTCAGCTAAAGAGGTATCATACCTCCCTGAGGATCAAATGTCCAGTCCTGAAAATTCAAGCCCTTCATGCAGGTAATTCACTTCCAGGTGACATAAACCAAATTCACATCACTGATGCATCAAAAAAAAAAAATGTTCAAGTAGAAAACACTTGATTCATGTGAGAACAATGGTCATATTACTTGAATTAAATTGTAAATGTCTTAATCCAAGTCATACTGTATGTAACAGAATCTTTAAACCAGCCCCATAGTCTGGTAAGCCACAGGTTAACACCCAGATCTGACAGGTATTGTATTTCAGGTGTGAGCATTTTCTCACAAATTGTCCTAAATTTGGAGTCAATATTTTTCTTGATGTTGTACCCCAGGATGGATGACTCTCCAACTGGCTGCCAAGGAAGGAAATGCCTGTTGTGAATCTTTTGAGCTTCTACTGCACCTCCATTTTCAATACAAATGGCCTTCATCTCTGCATTTCTCCTCCTGAGCTCCTTTACTTCCTGTCTCATTCTTTCCACCCCAAACGCCTCAACTTTGGCCCAGAAGGAAGCATTAAAGTGCTGGTAGAGTCTCCAATCAACTCCATTCCACCTTAAAGCTTTGGCTCTCAGCTCAGGATCCAGTTTGGATACAGATGAGTTCTTGCGGGCGTTGAGTTTAAAATACAAGATGTCTTCCATTGTCCAACACAGTTTATCCTTCAGAAGAATAAGTGACTCTTCAAAATATTCTGCAATAAGGACCAAATCAAACTGTCTTGATAGGTAATGAATATTCTTCGTTACAAGAGGATCATCCGCCTCGAGGTTATTATCAAAGCCAAAGTCAAAAAAGAGAAGATTTTTGAGATAGAACGAGTTGAAAGCATCCGGGTCGTAATAGGTCTTAGGACTGTTCAGAAACTCTCTCAGTTTGTTCTCTCCACTGATCCTCCATGTGAGAGGAACTGCTCTGTGGTAGTAATGGAACGACGACTCAAAGAGATCCACCGGGTCGCGAAGGATTGTGATGTACACGGCGTCAGGAGGCAGGAGCTTGGCTACTTCCTGGACGTTAAAGCGCATGTGGTTACAAACAACATTAAAACAGTCTCCAGGCCTGTAGTCCTTCACCTGGGAGCACAGGAAAGGTGAAGGGTAGAAGAAGTCATTGCGCCCGTCAGGGAAGGCGAATTTAAGTTTGTGCTTTTCTCCAAATCTGAAGATGATGTTGAGCACAGTGCTGCTCGCAGTTTTGTGGGTCTTCATGAACAAAATGTTACTTTTAGGGGAGCACTTGTTGGACTGGGATTGAGTGCTTTGAGACGTCACATTCCTCTCTGATGACTTTCCCATTCTGTGGGGACATGTGTCATCTTGGGAATCCCTACAAATAATACACACAAATAAGCAAATAAATAAACTGATTCAGCTTAATAAAGCCATGTTCTTTTTTCTAACACTAACCTTGTGTTCACTTTTGTTGAGTTTGTCAAGCAGTACAGCACAAGCATGATGTTGGTCAGTAGAAGCCAGAGAACCAGCCGTCGTACCACATGCATGCTCTTCTGTCCTTTGATGCAAGACATTATTTGTACCAGTATGAAGAGCTGAAAAGGAGCCAACAATTGTTAAAAACACTTCATTTTCCTTTTATATAACACTCAAAACAGAATACAACCACTAATGTTCCTAAATTACTAAAATAAGCCTGAATTAGCACAACAGCAGCATTTCATGCATAGTCCCATGACTTGCAGAGGGTAAAAGATACATTTTGATAAACAATCGATAAAGAAAATATATAATACAGAGGAGAAAAAGGGATAAGCATGAAAAGTGCTGCATCATTATTTCTGTCAAATAAAACACAGCGCCCTCATGTTGACACTATCAACATGTTGACGGCGCTCAAATTTCTTTGACACACACTTTCTCTCAAACCCAAAGCAAAAGGAGAAGAGGAAATAGCTACAGGTGTTAAAAATAACATGGATAAGTCTTTTGTTACAACAAAAATAAAAAAAAGTGATTATTCATTTAAAATAATGAAATAAAAAGTTTTTACCCCTGATGCTTTTTGATTTTTTTTCTCATGCTAAGAAAATATCTGTCTTTTTTATTGATTATTTTCATTAAATTGCCTCCTATATTAACAGTCTTGCTTATAAAGTCACTACAGTACATGATTTTAAAAAATCTCATTAAACCACCCACTTTTACCCAAAATAGCTTAACTCAAATACCCCTCATAAAAGCTTTTGTTCATGAAAATAGGCAGACTCTAAATAGTAAACATAAGGATTAAAAAAGTAAGAATGCAGATTTCTGTGTAGAGGAAATAAACATCGGAATAAAAGTGAAATACCTGCAGATGAGAGCATCAGCAGTATGAGGCTGAAGATATTCCTCGAGGCGTGAGAAAACCTCTCTCCTGTTCAGCATGCTGTTCACACTCCATAGAGTCATTGGCTAGGGGGGAAAGAGAGGGCCAATGTAAATCCTCCTCCCACAGGGACGAGATTGTTTGTGTACAATAGGCTTCTGTTTGGGACACACCTCTGCATAACTGTTCACACCGATTAGACTGTGTGTGTGTGTGTGTGTGTGTGTGTAATCAGAACAAGGATTTAAGATGTGTTAAATTCAGGCCTCTAGATTAACAGACTCATTAACAGATTAAGTTATGATGGCTAAAACATGCACTTGTGAGTGTAAACAGCCACCATTTGTGAATAAACTGTATTTAGAGTAGACTAGATTATGGCTCAGTCACTGTAGTGTGTTTTTTTCCCATGGCAACTATATTTCCAAACCTAAACAGAGAGCTCCTGTTTGGTAACAATTGAGCATTTTAAACTAGAGGCTGACTAAAGAACATGTGTAAACTGAGCAGTACCTTGTTGGCACAGACCTAGAAACACCCTTTACAGGCTAAATCTTGCTTGTTACATTGTTCTTTCATTTGAAGAGAGATACACAGGTGGTTGCATGTGTGCAGGTGTTGTAATTTAAAATAGAAACACCCTCCAACACCCTGAAGACATGTGGATACATGCATCTATTAAGTATGCACAGACTGCAGCCTGTTAGACATAACTATCTTAACTTTAGGAGTAAGTGGAAAAAACTCCAAACAATAAAAGGCCATAAATGTAAAGAGTAAATGAGCAGGTAGCTATGCAGAGTGGAGGAAACACCTGGTTCGCTCACCATGACAAATGTATGGTTTCTCTTAGGAGGTTACGACTTGCATATCCCCTTTTTTCAAAGCATGATCCTGCTTTTTACATGTTTTTTATCAGCTTAAGACATCAACAACTTGACACAAAATATTGATTTAAACATTATTTTATCGATTTGTTTCTTATTTTGTACAGCTAAATACGTATAGGAACACTTGGAATGACTAATTTCCTTATTCATTTATCCAGTGAACTTTTGCGACTGATGCTGTTGATGCTAATGAGCACTGATTTTGTGATTATTATGGGTCTTATCACTACCTATTGTGGTTAAAGTTACTTTGTGGCTATCAGCTACTTCAATATGCACCAACCAGCTCTGCTGCTGTTGCCTGGATTGCAGGACAGCATCTTGTCGCTGTATGTGGACAATAATTGTAATACTATATCAGTGAACTTGCAATGTGTGAATCTGTAAAAAGTTTCATAGCATCAACGAAGCTGCCTGGTGATGATGAAAATGAAGTCAAGTCAGCCCCAAAAATCCAGTTTAAGTGGAGCAAATGCATTTACCAACATGTAAAACCATTTGCCTTATGTCTCCAACTCCTCAATTTTGTAAGGTCAATTACCAGTGTTATAGGGATTTGACCATTAGAATCAAGTACACAGTTGGGTGATAACAATGATGATGAGGCATAAAATAGTGGTGACAGTTTAGCTTTGGTAGAGGGGCAGTTGGTATGGGAAATATTTTACAGCCTAAAACAGGATACACGTGAGTAGGCATAGATTGACCAGGAGAGGTCGTACTGAGTCATTTATAGACATGATACCAGGGCAACTCTCTCTCTCTCTCTCGCTCTCTCTTTGTGTATTTTACTCCAGAGCATGTGATTGTTGGTTGTCCTTTCTAGAAACAGACGGATGAACAGGTGGTTGGTGATTGGGCAGAATTTCCTTGATCACTGATGGGATCCATCTCTCAGACAGATTTATAAATAATGATAAATCACATGACTCTCCACCATGCACATGAGAGCTGAATGCATGAGGTCACAGTGACTGTGACCTTGAGTAACAAAACTTGAATTTGTTCACCTTTGAGTCACATTTATGAATTTTTGTTAATAAACTTTTAAATAGTTTTTTAGGTCGTTGTCTTCACTGAATGTGACAGATGAGGAGATCACTGAGAGGAGCTGTAGTAGCAACCAGTCAGTGAAGGACCTTGCCTTCTTCGCCTTAATGACACCTGCTTTACCAACTTAAAAAAACTAGCTCTGTAGTTGCTCAAAACTATAGTAGTCACGCTGCATCAGAATGACTGTTTACAGCTATCAGGGTCTCAGCTTGTTTTGTTGTGTGGGCTGAATGTTTGCTTAGTTCCAGCTCACCTGTTGGCAAAAATCTTCCACGCTGCTGTTGACTTTGGCTGGGAATTCATTCGGTCCTATCGATTTGGCACATGTGACACATTCAGCCAACATAGTAGCTGATGTCACTGACATCAGAGTGCGTCAGGAGTGATAACATGATCTGTGTCACTAAGAGATAAGAGTTCACATCAGTGTGGGCTTCCAAGGCAATCCAAGGTGAAGTGGTTGGCACAAATAATAAATCAGAGCAGCAGTAGGATAACTATGGCAGGGCGATATAGGAAAACGTTTATCATGATATATTTTTTCATATCAGCCAATATTGATATATATTACAATATATCAAAAAAATCACTTGTCAATCTTAAATGTTCCCTGTTACTCTTAAATGACATTTAACATTGCTTTTTGGTAGCATGTCTTTTGCAATACAATAAGTTGCTGCATCTGTGTGGTCTCTGTGTCTCTTCCACGTTTTGTCGTAAGTTGAGTAAGTTTTGTCGTGTTAAAGTGCTATGGTTGCGTGTAGCTGCAGCCTGCTACCAAGCAGTTGTTTGCTACTTGGGTGTAATTCAGCATGATTGGTTCAGTGCTGTGCGGACTCGGAGCAACTCCCCTTTTTATTGGCTTTTCGTATCGTCTACCAAAACATGACAGAATGCTGACTATCAAAGAGCATATTGACCATATTTATATTGATATTGAGGGAAATTAATTTTTGATATATATCATTATCGTTTTATCCCCCAGCCCTAAGGACAACTGAAGTATTCATGTACAGGAATACTAATTATTGGATCTTTAAAATATTATAACTGCAAATTCAAGTATTTTTGAAGCTTTGTGATATTTACCTAAATATTCACCTCCAACATCCATAGCTGCAATAAGAGTCAACTTTGTTTTAATATTTACTGCATTTAATTGTGCTAATCAATAATTACACATATCTTACAACTGTACAAAACACGATACACAGTGATACATCAGAATGACGGCAGACATTTACAGAAAGAAACAAGTTTCTACTTAAATACTCCAAATGTGCCAGTGTTACTGGGTTTAAAAGTATGCCAGAAGTCATTACAGTTACAGAAAATAAAATAAAGGCTTTATTTCCGAGGCACAAATCAGAGAAGAGACTATGCGACTGTGACGAGGTAAAATTAATACAGTTTTATATCACAGTACAGTTTCTCATGACTGAAACAAAGACATTAACATGCTGTAATAGTAAAACTTTTAAAAACAAAAACCAAAATCACTTTTGCCATGTTTAAAAAAATAATAATGTAAATAGCTCTTTTTATTACACTCTGCAAAAAGGATTAAATTTTGTTTCCCAAAGCTAAAAGACCTTTAAACATAAAAATGATGTTAAAACCAGAGGTACAGACACAGACCTTGTCTTTTGAAATCTCATCTACAACAACATAATGAACTCGCAGACACGCTCTCCTCACTGCACATTATGCAACAGAGCAGGTGTTCTCAGGGTGCTAGAGAGCAGTCTTCCTTGAAAATCACAGCAGTGATTACGAGTGTTTATGAAACATTTGGGAACACTGCGCCTAACTGTTTCTGGTTTGGTGCTTCAAACATCTGCTGCTGTCTGTGTTTGTCTTTGTTTGATGAGGAGAAATATCAAGTCAGGACTATTCAGCAGCTGGATATGGAACCTTTGGTATTTTCTTTTATAGTAAATCTTCTCTCTGCCTTTGGGGACGATCAGTCAAGCATCAGGAGAGAAAAAGGAGGCATCTATTTTAAGATGCCGCATGCTCTGTTTGTGCCATTGATGGACTGCTGATTACATTTCTACTGTAGATCCTCACAGTGTTTACTACGCTAAATCATAACCAGCAAGTCTATTTATTCCAGTAGATTCATACAAAGACACATAAAATAAACAATGAGCATGCAAAAATAATTTACAATCCCCTTAAAGGAGTGTGCAGAAGTTGTACAGCAGCTGTCTGCTTCCAGCTAACATCGGATAAACAATCATAAGGCACTTTTGAAGTGACAGCAACCCAAGACCAACTGTACTCTTAAAAAAGAATCACAGGACAGCTTTTATACACAAGTCAGGCACCTCTGGTAAGATATACAGTAATGTCTCTCCTGAATAATTCATCGCTGTTTTATGACGATGCAAACTGACTCTGGTTTAGAAAGACATATTGATCACTTCTTAACGAAGCAGCACATGTATCTCCACAATGTATGATTATGGTGTTTTTCTAAAGACTTCACTGTTAAATATACTGCAAAAATCAACATACATCTCTATCATAACCCATACCATACTTAAAACACCTGTCAGTATAACTCAAAACGAACTGGCAGAGGAAGGACATTAATCTTCCTCAGCTAGGACCAGTCAGCAGGTAGTGGTACAGTGAACACTGTGGAATGCTTACACGGCAGTTTGCATGTGACTCAGTACACAGGTGTGTAGAAAATCTGACCCTCCAGCACCCTGCGTTTCAGCTCTTTCCACAGCAGGCTGCGCTCTCTCTGCGACCCCTTCATGAAGCCACGGTTCTCCTGAGCTCGGCGAGACAGATATGGAATGACCTCGTTGACCGGACCGTATGGGACATACTTGTAGACGGGGAAGCCTGCTTGACCTGTTTGCAACAGACAGCAAGGAGATAGAGTTTCAACATACGTCAACGTATGGTGACGTCTGGTGTGTGCATTTCATGTCTCAGGTTTGTTTTTCTGGCTTTGGACCAACGATGGGACTCAAACACTGACTTAAAAGACCAGTGGCTAGCATGGTTACAAGGCAGCTTTCTAATGAATTTAAGTCACAGAAGCTGACAAGAGCTCACATCCCACTGAGCAATAAACGGCTATTAGATGTCCAGTTGTTTCAACGGTCTGGATTGTCTGTATATTTTTAGATGGAATTTAGACATTGCGCTTAAACCCATTATTCAATAACTATTTATTTAAAAAAACAGCTGTTGCATAACTGATCTCCAAGTACTTAACCAAAATAATTATGATAGCTGTTGAGCAATATACAGTGTAGTATAGATATAGCCCAGATTTAGACTTGGTCTAAACTTGGTCTAAATTTAGACGTCTAAAAAAACGTTCATTTTTAGACCTGTGGTAGCCTGATTTTAGACCAGTCATCTAGACTACATTTAGACATATATTAGATCTCTTTTAGACCAAAGAACGCTCAGTGGGATAGGTGTAACATGGAAACAAACAGAGCTGGAGGGCGCTCTAAAAGATGGGATGTGAGCAGTCAAAACTCAGTGTTTGCACGGTAAACTGAACTATACTGATTATAACAACCTTAGCTTTCTTGTAACGCTGCTACTTATAACCATCACTTTTCATCTGCATAAAACTTGATCATTTGCAAATCTGCTTTCTTAGCTTTAGTGTAATTTTGTATTATTAAGCTTCACAACTTTAAAACTATGAACTCAATTCAGAACAGGCTGAAGGAGGGACTCTGTCATAAGCTCTGCATTTCACTTGGAGTAGAAAGAAAAGAAAGAAAATATGGTTAGGATTTGATTTGTGTTTTATGTTCGGCCATGTCGACGACTAAAAGCTCTTTATCTTTACGCTGCTGTTGCCATCAAGAATCAGGAGAAGATTGCTCCACAGTTATCTACAGATTGGGTGACCAGAACTGTCATCAGTTGTGTGCGTTGAAAGTTGACGTGTTTTGGGAGTATGTTTCCGTGGAAGGTCTCTTATCACATGACACGCTGTGATGTAAGCTCTGCGTGGTTCCATAACTCACTGTTTACTTTTAGTACTTAAGCTGAGCACAACATACCTAGTGGGAAGCTGATCTGGTCACACATGCCGAGCAGCTGTCCAAAGTAAACCTTATTCTCAGTGGGTGAAAGGCCCATCTCATTCATCCTGAAAAAATAGACGAAAAGAATCACGTAAGTTAAAGGGCTGTTACATAATAAAGGCTGGGGTGTGGTGTTACACTGTGTATGTGGTAATAGGAGTCAGAATTTCTCTTCATTTCTTGGAAAGTTGTCTAAAAATGCATCATTTCTAGAACAGTTATTCAAGCATTAGAAATATAACTCATGAAAGACAGATTTGAGGCTTTAGCACAAGGTAAATATTCAGAAACATACATCTTCAGAGTGTATTTCACTGTGTCCTCGTTATGAGTTGCAACCATTATGTTCGCTTTCCTGCTGTGTTCGATCTCCTCCAGCACATACTCCAAACACCTGGACAGACGACAAGGCAGGTGGTCAGGATTTACATAATTTCTAGCTTTAAAAAAATTATAATAATTAAAATAAAATTTCAAAACATACTTGTGATACATCATGTTAGTGGCCTCATAATCTGGGTTGATGGGGTCTTCATAGCCAATCTCTTTCGCCCTGTCTCTCTCTTGGTACATGTAGGCTCCGCGGACAAGTTTGGCGCCAAAGTACCAGCCCTCCCGCCGTGACAGCTCAACATCCACGGTCACGTTATCATAAGCTTCCTAATAATATGAATGAAGGATCAGATCACATTCATAGCACTGTTAAAAGGCACAGAAACAGGATTTGTGGCATTACCTTGAGGTAGCACTGATAAGTGTTGAAAATGATCGGTTTCTCTCTGTTGAACTTCCTCTGCATCTCCAGCGTCAGTCGACTGATAGCGGGCTGGAAGTACGTCTGCTCGGCATCCACCATTAGCCTCACGCCGTTCTCCACGGCATGCTAGAGTGCACAGAGACAGAGACAGAACAGCTCAGAAAACATATTCAGGACTATGACCTAAATGCACATCCTTTTGTTTTTGATTTTCTCACCTTTGCCAGGATATCAACTCTCTGAAGCATCCTCTTCATCTGCCTCTCTTCCTCAGTCGTAAACATATTCAGCAGAGGTTCAAGCTGGCCCGTCTGCACAACCAGCAAAAAATTGAATTATCTGGTATTTGCTTTACAATCAGTCTTTCAAATTAAGATAACCTCTTACATCAGTGCACGACAGAGAAAGCAGGGGTTGCAACAGCAGGAGCGTGCTCAGTCATTTTGTCTGGTGTCTCCTCCTACACTGATAATAGTATCTCATCAACCCTACACTTTTATTGCGGCATAAACAAGTTTACTGCAATAACGTAGACAGACGTTATGTTATTACACTATCAAGAAAAAACGTCCAGTATCACATTACGCCAGCAGCTTACTATCTCCTGAGAAAAAAGATCAATCTCTTGTACAACAAGACCTTTATCGACATGTTCCCACGTATGATAAGTTCATCTCCTGAAGGGAAAGAAACACGTCTAACCTACATTTACTTTGCTCATTCATCGCTTACATTGTTCCTAAGACCAGTCACTGTAAGCTTACACCTATCTGTAACATTAGAAGTCAGAAATCTGTTCTCATTTAAGACTAAAGTGTAAAGAGTGTATTGGAAATATTAACGTTTCTTGCTCAGCTCAATTTGTACCGACAAAGATTAAAACAAAAACCAAAATTGAGTTACATTGGTGACACTTGTCAAACTATCACAAACAGTTCAGCTCTAATTCTTCTCTCACCAACAAGTATGCTACTGTGTGGCAATGACTTACCTCCAGGTTTGGCACCATTAGCAGGTTGGACATTTTTGTCGTATCATTGATCAAACTGTTCCAGTCCAGCAGATCTATTGTCCTGGAAAATGTTATAAAATGTTAATTAAAATATGTATCATCCTAGTAAAAATTTGCTTTAAATTCAGTATCTGTCAAATCACTGTAGTTGCACACAAACTGCTGTTGTGGACTCATAGAGCTGAATCACACGGTCTTGTTCTGCTAATTAACTGGCATGTTGTGTAATATAGTACAGCAAAACTCTGGCCTTAAGGGTGTGAATACCTGTCAAATCTTTAGGGATACAAAGGCTCTAAAGTATTGATGTATCTCGTACAAAAGTTCAACTGTTGGTATTTGTTGAGTGTCTGTCTTACCCTGACAAACCCAACTTCTCTCCAGTAAACCAGTTTTCAATGTCATCCTTAGCTCCCACGCCCATCTCAGCCAGACTTTCCTGCGAAGAAATATTTCAGTGATGAGATCAAAAACCGCAGATTATTACTGAGTCGACACACAGTATGACGTTACAATTACAGTCTTAAGATCTGAACATGACTTATGAAGTCTGGCAAACAGCTTAGACACAACATGAACAGGCTTAGGACAGCTGTTATGAGCAAGCATAACTTGAGACTTGCTGAACTCGGGACGAACCTTAAGTTGCTCCAGCTCCAGTTTCTGCTCCAGAACTGTCATATTTGATATTCCCTGCTTTGCTGCCAGGAAGTTAAAGAACCGTCTCCATTTAACCAGGACTTCTGAGAACTGGAGCTGATCAAACAGAGAGAGAATACTTTTATTTCTTTGAATCACATCCTGATGGGGTAAATCATTATACTAAAAACCACACATCTGTCAGTTTGTGCTTATTTCTGTCTGAGAAGTTCAAGGTACTGTTTGTAGGCAGTATTAACAACCATTATATATGCGACTAATTTCTACACATTGTACCCTTGAGACAGTGTGAAACCATCTGGCACAGGATGTGTGGCTTTCATTGGTCACGCAACAAGTAACTGCTAGAAACTGAAAACGTAGTGTATGTCTCTGAACATACTTATGAATGTGAATTCACTTGCATTGCATTCTGTTCAAGCTACCTTTGTTTAGGAGTAAAATCTAGTGTAACACCCGTATCTAGCTAATATTAAAACAAGAACTTACCAGGAACTGTGGACGTCCAAGAGCGGTCATTTTGATCGCAGAAAATCCATCTGCAGACGCTCCACCTAGATAGGATTAGATATCAGTAAACTTGTTTTACTGCTTGTTGCAACCATAATAAGCAACTTGTACCACGGTTTCAATCAGGTATAACTCCAATTTCTTACCAGAGGCTTTAATGCAGTTTAGAAAAGTCTCCATCTGGTTGTCACATTTGGCCTCATCTGCATAGAAGTAGGTACGAGCGCTGATAACTCCTCCACGCCTGTCCCCAAACTGACGGTGGGCTTTGTACTTTTTCTCACGATGATCAGCATCTGAAGCGAACATAGGGTAACGTGGTTTTATTATAGAGGCTCAGTTGTAGTTCATCAACAAAAATATACACCACTGTATTAAGAAATGGAAGTTAGTGCAGAACACACACAAAGGCAATGTTAATATTATCTTATGATCAAATTATAATTATAGCTACAAGTTTTTAAATGAAGCTAAGGAGAGCACCCCTAGGTGAACCATATACTTGAAAGTAAAACATCAACCCTGCAATGCACATGCTGTCTGTAATATGAACCAAGTCACATCTCGTGTCTCCAGTGGACTGCACCGACCCCACAAAATCCAGATATAACCAGCACCAGCACCACCAGTACGACCACATGACTGAACATACCAGACCTGACACTTCAGCTGGAATCACGCCAAGCTGATGGCTAAATGTCAAAGACAACCGGTTGTACAGACTAGCAGGTCCCTGGCTTGCCTTTGGGGGTTCTGCGGTCAATAAGGCATGCAGCTGATCATTTGAAAAACAAAATAAGTGCATACTTCAAATTCTAGAGATTTTTTAAATGGTAAACAAACCTGGGCTTTCTTTCTCGGCTTCAGAAACACAGGAACTGAAAAAGAAAGAGGGGTTAGCACAAGTCTCGAGAAGAACATAGTATATGCTTTAATTTCCTGAACAACAAAAAGAAAATGATTATGCTGGCTGTGTTCTGTGTTTACTCCGGTCAATTTAACCATTTCAAATCAGTTAATAGACACAACAGAACGGACATAGCGAGGTTTAAGTTATGAGAAGACTATTTTGAAGGAGGAGAACGACAGAAAATTGTGTGTTGATGAAAGTTAAATATTTCCCAGTCATTATAACCGGTTTTGTTGCCTCCAGCACGACATGAGTGCAGAGAATGCCGTTTTGATGATGACCTCCTTTCGCTACACGTTGCAACATGACAACATGAGAAAATAAACAAAGGAAAAACACACGGGAACATACTGAACTTCTGTGTTTACTGTGTGGTCTTCTTCATGCCGTTCCTCGCCGCAACAGATATCACTCTTTTCTTTTCTGAGAGTAGTCCAGCGTGTTTATGGTTGTGCTTAGTGAGACAATCCTTAGTTTAAAAATAAGCTTGTTTCCTGCACAGATTATTGCATAACACTCCCATGTGTGCCAGTAAGAGCTGCCAGGACAATACTCTAAAAGGATGGCAGCATTCTCTGCAGGCACAACCCCCTTACTGGGTAACCAGCTCAGCCAATCAGAGGAGAGGGGTCAGTCCTAGCAGACCAATAGAGTCAAGGCACTGTTTTGTTACAAGAAATGAAACAAAAAACAGGTTCTATTTTGATTGCAGCTTGTTTATGAGGAGGAAAATTACTGCGGATTGCCTGTGAGTCAATGTTGATTTGATAACTAGCGTAACGGAAGCCAGGTCACAAGATGAACTGATAACAAGCAATAAATCATTCATAGTGTTTTCGACACGGTGCTCTTCTTGCAGTAACGTGCAGGACCCTCCATGACAGAGAAAAGAGATCCAAGTTCACATGAAAGTTTTCAAAGTGGTCTGACAGGTTTTAAGTAAACCTGTGTTTTAAACAGTAAGAGCCTTCAGGGCAAAATGGGGCCCTGTTATGCTATATGTACTTGACAGGTATTAAGACCAGGATCTGCCTGAACATGAGGTCTTTAATACTCTGATGTAAATGCATTGGTGTCATCAAGAGTCTAGTATTTCATTATTTCACAATCAAATAACTCTGTAATAGAATAAGAACAGAACTGGATCAAATACAGATTACCGGAATGATTAAGTCGCTATAACAATAGTACAGAGTAACTGGAAATCTTTTGAATTGCAACATCCGTCTTTTATTCCTATTATTGCTCACATGCTATGACTATTACAGCTATGCATACAAAGTTGGAGGTCCCCTTTTAAATGGCCTCCTCAAGTCACATTAAATTTTCCATCTACTGCCTTTCAGGATTGGATCAGGAATTATACTGCGGTGAAGCACGTGATATGGAGTAATACAAACACAATACACTCCAGAGGGATTTTCAAGTTTTGTTCATTATATAACTCATAAATCACTCATCATGTGGTGCACATATGACATATATTAATCTTGATACTCATTAACTTTGCATGAGTTTAAAGAATCAGATCGATGTGTCATAGTTTGTTTTGAACTCTTGGTCAATCAGATATCAATACTTACTCCATTTCCTTCTTCTCTGCTTCTTCCTGTGTCAAGTCTTCTTCAACACTGTAGTCCAAAACTGCACCCACACCAAAGGCCAAGTTCTTCTGGATTAAAGGTTTGATGGAGTTGTGGTCCTCTCCAGCCACAAACTGACCATAGAAAGTCATCTTCATCATCTTCTCAAACAACCACTGGCCCAACACCTTCTGGCTCAGCTCCATCAGCTGAAACACAAAACAAGAGCAAGAGGTAATACAAGACTGGTGATTCATTATTTAGTAGTGAGATAACAGCTTTTCTCATTAAGTGTATTATCTCGTTAATGGAGTTATTACATAGTGATAAAGACATGTTTTATTATTGCATGATGAAAAGCAAACAGGCTGTCTTTAGGGCTGCCTCAACAAACTTACCTCTTTGTTCTTCTCAACGAGGAAATCAAATGTACAAAGTTTGAACACCATCAGACTTCTCAGCAGCTCAATGTTTCCTTTGCTTTTGTAAGCTTCTTGTGTATTGTCGAAGTCGATGTGGATTCTGTTCAGCCGAGTGTTGGTGAAGTTTTTGCTCTCGCTGATGAGCTCCACCGGCTCAGCCTCGACCACGGTGCACCCGTCCATCTGCGGCTCCTTCTCCTCCTGGTTCTTGGTGGATGCGACCGTTGAACGACATCTTCCCGGGTTGATGCGCAGAGTCCTCACACTACCCGAGTTCGCCCGAGCGAAAGCTGAGACAAACTTGGCGTACGACATGCTCAATTTTCCTCTCGTTTCCTTCCTGATACACCAAAGCTGTTGCTTCCTCTCTCTGTGATGTTGTTAGGTGAGCGCGCGCTTGTCAGTTTCTTTAAAGTCGTCTCGAGCAGGAGGCGGTGCTTACCTCGTTACATCACGCTCCCCTCTGGGCCTCACGGGTTTACCCGCGTGTACCCCAGCAAGCAGTCTGACATAAACAAAACAAAAGTGGTCTAACTGACATTAGGTTGTAGTCTATGCACCTAATACAACCGTCAAAGCAATATTTTGAGGGTATGGGGACAATAGTTGGCTTAATCATCCAAAGATAGGGGAGACCGGGGCTTGTTGTCACACTTTTTACACTCACATACTTCTTGGAATCAATACATCATAGATAAATAAAATGTGTACCAGATAAAAGACCAAAGTCTCAGGTATATTTTTCATATTAATTTCATTGTCATATCTTGTGTCAGTTCAGAGTTATAACCATAGACTGTATGTACTGTATATGGATTTGAAGCCAAATAGCTCTTGGTATTTCCGGGATTTTACTTCATTTCCTGAAACCAGTGCTGCACAGTAGCAATGCGCGCATTCGGGCACACAGTCACTGTGATGACGCTCGGCTCAAACAGCATATCCCCCCGGGTGAGCAACACAATCCTTGAACACCCATAGGCTTTATCAGGTGTCAATCATAGAAAATATGAAACCCCTAATAACTTTCAAAAACGGAGCTTCACAGAAAAAAGAGGACTTGAGCACAAACCAGTCTTACGGTAACTAGTACTTGCTTCACCCAGCAAGGAGGCAGACTCTGTCCATTGTTTATACAGTCTATGAATATGACGCAGCAAACAATATTTGGCACGAAAATATAGAGCCTTTTAAACAAATTATTAATTAATTGTTTTTTTTCTTTTTATTTCACAAACATCCTGGAAAAACAAATACATCAATACAACATCATAAAATTCAAGAGATGTGGAAACAAAAGACGCAACTTCAGACGCGGCAGTCTGAGCAGTGACGTCACAGAGATGCGCCATGTAGTGTCCGAAACCTCCAGTGATTGAGCTCACTACATAGTCAGCTATTTAGTGAAACCCCATACGGGGGTTAGGGGTTAGGGATTTAGTGATTCATTTCAGACACAGCCTGTATTTTCTTCCTTTACATGGTCAGGGTTCGTGTCCTGTCTGAGAGGAGAAGAGCACATTGAGAGCTGAGATAAGCACCAATTAATCATTTTGCACAACCCAAAGTAAAAAATATATATATTTTATATATTTCAAAATAAGCTTCTTCCAGATAAAAATCCCAGCAGTAATACATGTGGACTTGTTAGAGGAGAGATTAAGTCATCCTGTCATACCTCAGTCATTGTTCTGTTTTAAGCTAACTTTAAGCTAGCGCTTTAATTAGCAGACATGGTAGTTTGGGCCACCATGTCTCAGTCATTTTGGGGTTAGTTGTCACATGTTTAAAAGGAATTAAAATTAACATAGAGTCATATTGAAATTTTGACTTTATTTTTACAGAGATAAGTGGTCTAAAGGAGAGGAGAAAGTGAGACAACATGGTCAGGATTTACAAAAGAAAAACAAACCGTGGCAGTGCAGTTCCTGACGTGATGCTGAGGACAGTCGGACAGGTGACCCTAGCTAATAAATCAATCTGGAGTACAATAAAGAACTGCGCTGACACAAGATATGAAAATGACATGAGTACAAAGTATATACCCGAGACTTTGGTCTTCCATCTGGTACACATCTTATTTATATGTGATGTATTGATTCCAAGAAATATATAAGAGTGTAAAAAGTGTGACGACAAGCCCCAGTCTCCCCTATTTTGAGTGTATGGTGACAATAGTTGGCCTAATTATCTTTCTCCTCAACACCAAAGATACCATCAGTCTTTTACTTAGAGATACTTTGTTGTTGCAGAAGAAAACTTGAAAAAAGATTTATGATTGTGTAGCCTAAAACAATTTGCGCTAATCTCACACTTGTTATATTTTTATGTATAGCCATCTATTTTCCTATCTACAGAGGGATTAGACTCCTAGAACAGTTGGTGTTCATTGCTACTAAGTCAGGGGTAGATTCAAGGTAACTTGAGGGTGGCTGTGCCGTGGATCAAGAGGCTAGAAGTGGTAAAGAGTTAAAAATCGGCTTTTTAGGCTATGTCTCCACAGGCTACCTTGTATTCTGAAGGTACAGTGTGAATTATCAGAAGAGACCTTAAATGGAATGGTTAATTAGTGTGTGATCACATAAGAATATAAATCATTTTGTTTTTGCCAGCTTAAAATTAGCTTTGTATATTTACATATGAAGGGATCCTCTTCCACATTGCAATGATTTAGAGAACCGTTTTAAGGAACTTGAAATGTGACTATGAGCACTCATATCTGCAATGTAACGTTTATGGCTGAATAATTCAGAGGGGCTACTTTTAATGCTGCTGTCTATTTTTTCATTTTAAGCTCTCCAGCAGTCTGAAGTTTAAGCACTGTACAGGGTGTCTTTCCTACAACTGAATATTAACCTCACTTAATGTGCTGTATTTCTTTTAATCTTTTTTTTTAGAATCTGTGCAAATTTATTCACCTTTTTGTTGATTTGTTCAGAGAAAGTTGCTACACAAGTAGGTTTACTCATCCGATGTTTCTATTTGACAAGAGGTCCCGCACAGGCACCTTTCAGTCAAATGCTCTGGTTGTAACAGGCTGGAAGTTACCAAATAACTGAGTAACCTATTGATCTAGAACACTGACGTCAGCCCTGACAGTGGTTAAACCTCATATTGTTGGAGAGCTTAAGCTGACAGCAAATATCAGGTATAAACACATTATTTTGCTTGTTTGATCTCTTTTCACGTCGTGTCAGTGACTTTAGGATGAAGTTTTACATTAATGGTAATTCTCATGTTAGCTGTGCTCTAATGCAGGGTTAATCTATTTCGCTCTGGATTTTCATTATCCTTTGGTTTAGTAACTGCTTATGGCTTTCTCTGTATGTTTCATTGGCTGTCTCAGTCAATAAGATCTGACTTTGCCCCTGCTTGGATTTTATCTTAAGGCCCCCCTGCATGTCAGCAATTTAACAGATTCTGACTTTAGAGCTCTTTATCTCCAACAGTCTACAAAAGTGTTGCTTTAAATCTCAGTTTAAGACCCTCTTAACATATTTGCTCATTACTGGCTGGATTAGTAGGCTGTTATAATCGTTTTATTTCACATTTACTGACTCAGATTAAGTAGGCAACAAAGGAAGTCAATCAGTAATTTAACCTCTTTCCTAACAACAGTTACACACTGAATTAAATCCTCATGTTTCCTTGAATCCTAGTAGTACAGCTTGAGTTTGTTGCCCCCCAGTGCATGCAAATGTCATACCACTGTGATTTTTTTGTCTATTACTTTATTGGTGCTCGGGCTCTAATTTTATGTTTTTTGTTGTTTTATACCTAGAATTTTTGGGTACGTGTTTTTCAGTAAAGTCAAACTTTCTGAAACAAAACAGTCACTCTAATGACAGCACTGGCTATTTTCTTTAACGTAGATTTTTTAAAATCAATTTAGCTTATCAACATGGTTGTGTAATGACTGCTATGTTAAATTCTGTCATTCCCAATTCGCTGTTTCCCATTGTTTTTCTTTCTCAGACCCCATCCAATTGCTACAGAGTGGTAATGGCTTAGAGAAAGTATTATGTAATTGGTTGTGTAACATCCCAGAGACCTCATCCTTGAAACCCCCCGACTCCAGGATGGGGCCACAGAGGTAAACTAAAGGGATAAAGGGTCTTGAAGAATAAATGTGAGTATGTGCAAGAGGGAATTAGAAAAGCTCAATCTTGTAATTTAAGTGGACAGAAAGCATCCGGTAGTTAAATGGAGTCCTGACATCCAAGTAATACAAATGAGGCACTGCCATTCCAGACCATGGATTGTATTATAACACCCCAGACACCCTTTCATTTTTAGTGTTTTTACTATAGAAATGAATAACCCTGGAGATGTGCGGCCTTATACCTCGAGTGCGCATTATCTGTGGTTGCACTTGTGACTTGAGGGAGAGTATAAGGCGCAGCATGTTGAACAATCTCTAATCCCCTATGGCCTGAATTTTTTATATTTATTTTCTGAACAGCTAGTAACTAGCAGCATAAACATACACGCTGAGGCATTATTGAGAGACAACATAGCATTTTGGGAAAATGTTCCCTTTCTTACCGGCAGGGGGCAACAGCACACTACTTGTGACTACGATGTGCCGGAAAGGAGAGCAGAAGAAGAGAGAAAGCTACTTGCTAATGTAGCTAACAAATACGGAAGCAACACAGTGTGGGAGCAGCTGTCTGCAAAACAAACATACTTGTTGAGAAAGGTAACCAAACACTTCTGGTTATCACTGGGTCGTTGCTTGTCTTTATTCAGTGACTCTAAGCGTTTTGTATTTAATTTAGTGTTATAAACATTGGTGCAGTAAAGCGGAAACTCGCTCGTTAGCCTCACTAGCTGACCTTACATGATCAACAAAGAGACAGTCGTGTGTCTTCAGTTGGAGTTCATTTTTAAGCCATAATTTTACATCGTGGCTGTCTATGTTATTTGATGTACGTCAACTCATAAAGTATTTATGCTAAGTCGCAGAAACCGCATAAAAGGCATGTAAGCATAGTAGTGACTGTCAATGCTTGCTAGTTTACGTTAGCCATGTTGCAGCGGACTACTCAGCCGTAATAAAACCACATTTTTGATATTACTCACATGAAAACTTTACCCTATCAGATAATAAATAGCTAATTATTATTTTACTTTCAAAATATAATCAGTGTATATATACAACCATAATTTTCTGTATATTGTCTCCACCCTTACAGACAAAGGAGTAACAATGAACATCTAAGCAATTTCTTAAAATATGCCGATAATTTAAAGTAGGGCTGGGCGATAAAACGATAACAATATATAACGAAAATTAATTTCCCTCAATATCAATATGAAACATGGTCAGTATGCTTTGTGTAGGTCTGGGTGAGATGGGAAAAAGTTTATCCAATATATTTTTGTTATATTATTTGATATCGATTTATCATGATATAAAAAATGAAATTTAACGGCATGTCTACTGGTAGATATGCTACCTATAAGCACTGTTAAATTTCACTTAAGAGTAAAGGTCCTTACACACTGGGAACGACGCAAAATTACGAAATATTCTGAGGCGAATTTGATGTACCTGACCATACACATCAAGTGTGATGCGATTTTGCAACATTCCAGGGGGGAAAAATATGCGTCCCGAGTGGAAGCGAAAAGACTGACACAACAGCAGACTGACTGTTCTTCAGTTCTGATTAGACACTAGTGTTGAGATGACTGTCTGTCATGATAGCATGTACTGAGTCGGGGCCAGTACCAGATAAGCACATTTAACTATAATCCATAAACGTAAGGTAACAACCGAGACCTAATGGTGCTGTGACAGCAACACGATTGAGTTTGAGACAGTGAAAATACATATGGTATGATGTATCTGAACAGGTTAGCTTACGAGCTACAGTTACTTAGCACAGATGAAAGTTAAAACAAAGACATTTAGCAAACTGTTAAAGCACACAAACCATCGTCATATGAGAGATCCGACGCTATCATCAAATCAAATCAAACTTTATTTATATAGCACCTTTCATGCAAGCTGCAACACAAGGTGCTATGCTAGCTATGACTCTCTACAAGTTGTCCTTCAGGTCGTTATCTTTGTATATTTGTGTTTTTTATCAAAAAGCACTCTGTTCTCCAACACGCAAACAATCAGCCGGTCGGCCATGTTGGATATACCGGTGAGTCTGATGTTGCAACAACAGGAAATCTGATTGGTCAGAAGTGGACACACAGTATGCGAAACTTGAGAAAATTCAACCGTGATCTGAAAAAATAAATGCCGCAATATCGCAGGATGGGAAAACGTCGCTGATGTGAACGCTTGTATTGACAGGATATGGGTTCGAAAAAAATATTGACGTCCAAAACAATTGCAGGGAAAAATGCTCCTGGTATGTAAGGATCATCTAAGATTGACAAGTGATTTTTTTTTTCATGATCGATACCGACTGATATGAAAAAAATATATACTGTGATAAACTTTTTTTCCATATTTCCCAGCCCTAATTTAAAGTTATACAACTCAGCTACAGTTGTGACAGTTGTTTGGCATTTATTACTCTGTGCTCTCAAGCTTTCAGACTTGGACCTAGGTCCTAGGTTTGGGATTGGAACTAGGACTTGGATAAGGACCACCTCCACAGTTTTTCGGATAAGCAGGAAGCCATCTGCGAGTCAGTAGGTTCCCATAAATTCGGTATCATCCGTGCCAGTCACTCTGTCAACCACCATGTCAGACGGCCGAATCTACGTGGGGAATCTTCCCATGGATATCCAGGAGAGGGACATTGAGGATCTCTTCTACAAATATGGAAAAATCCGTGATATTGAGTTGAAGAACAATAGAGGCACTATCCCCTTTGCCTTTGTCCGCTTTGAAGACCCACGGTGAGTTTTACAGATGGCAAGTTGAAACAGATTCCCCATGTCGGAAAACCTAAAGCTGGCAGCAGGGGATGGATGGAGACGACCGTCCCAGGTCTATGTCCGCTTCTGAGAGAGGCGTGCATTGGTAAGGAGTTCTGTGCTCTCTTCTCTTAGGGATGCAGATGACGCTGTCTATGGAAGGAATGGATATGGATATGGAGACTCCAAGCTGCGAGTAGAATACCCTCGATCCTCTGGTGCTAAATTTGGTTCTATGGGAGGTGGTGGTGGTGGTGGTGGAGGAGGAGGAGGACCCAGGGGAAGGTTTGGACCACCAACCCGGAGATCTGAATTCCGGGTCTTAGTGACTGGTAGGTCAACGTCATGATTCGTAGCAAGTTAAAACTGTTCTCTTTCTAAAGCCATCCTGGAGGTCAAGAGGATAAGTAGGATGGTGGATGTAGAAGTCCCAGGCAGATATGTTTTTCTCTCTGATGGCAGATTTGGACTAGTGCTGGACATCATGGTCAGCTGGCAAATTAAATCTCTCTATCATGGCTGATCTAAGGAACGTGGAACTATTAAAAGAACCTGTATGTTTCTCTCCCTATCTCATGGTGGACTGGAAAACGAGGAAAAGTAGAAAACCGTGACAGATTTGTTACTCATACTGGACTTGGAGACAAGAGGACTAGTTGAGGACATAATAGTAGTAGGCAGTTATCAATTTTCTCTCATGGCGGACTGGAGGACAAGTAGGTGGACTAAAAGATTGCCATCTTAGTGGAAGGCAGATATGTTTCACATGGCAAACTGAAGGTCAGAGGGGGTTGTAATGGATGTCATGGGTCACAGAAAGACGAATTTCTCACCCAAACCAGACTGGAGGACAGAGTGCTAGTAAAGAAAGTCAGGAGTTGTAGACAGATCTCTCTCTCGTTACACGGCTGCCACAAGGAGAAGAGGACTAGAGGATGATGGCAAAAGTCGTAGGAAAAATTCTCTTGCTTTCATGGCGGACTATTCAATGGGACTAGTTAAATCATGGCGGACAATTCAATGGGACAAGTTGAGGATGTCAAGGGTCATAGGCAGGTACATTTCACTAACGGCTAACGGGAGGATGTGTGGAGAAATAGAAGACCACATGTTGAACATGTTTACTCTTCTGAAGGTGGACTGGAGGACAAGGGACTAGTGGAGGATGTTTGAATTGTTAACTGCAAGGCGGACTGGACGTCAAGGGGACTAGAAAAGTACACCACGGGTCAATGGCTAATAAAATTCTAAAAGTGGAATGGAGGACTTGTAGAGGAAGTCACATTTCATGTGCAAATAACCCTCCTTCAGTTGAGGCTCATGAGTGGACAAGAGCGCGAGTAGGTGTCAAGAGTCATAGGCAGTTACGTTTCTCTCACGTATGTCAAAGCGGCGGACAAGAGGACCTGCAAAGTACGCCTTGAGTCGTAGGTAGATGTATCCCCCCAGTTCCAGAGTGGCTAGAAGAGGCAGCCATGAATCATAGGCAAATCCAATTCTCTTTCTCAAGGTGGACTGGACTTCAGTGTACTCATGCACATACCAGGAATTCAACTCCGGTTTTTCATTACACTGATTGTGTCTTAATGTGAGGACACCAGAGAGGACATAGGTTTCTCAAGTGTTAAAACACACATGACCTTTGGATCTGCAGATTGGATCTCGAATGCTTTACCAACCTAGCCACAGTGGAGAGAGTAGAAAAGTAGATATTTATTTCTCTGTCAAGCCAAAGTGGAGAAAAGAGAACCTGAAAGACATGAAAACTGTCCTAGGCAGATATAGATATACAGTGTTTCTCTCTCATGGCAGAGTGGATGACAAGAGGACTAGGAGGAGACCGCATAACTCAAAGGCAGATATATATCACAGTGAACTGGAGGACAAGGGGATGTATGCAAATATGTTTTATCTGTCGTGACTGAGTGAAGGACAAGGAGACTAAATGGATGAGGTCAAGTCAGCTCCGTAATCAGGACAATTAACAAAGCAAAACAGTAAACCCAAACAGATCTTGTTGGCTACATAACCCCATACATCAAGTCTTTACAACGGGTAGGTGAAATGTCATTGTCGCCTGTCATTCTTTTTGTGTCCTGTGCTATGTTTTTCTCACACAAGCATGTTTGTACAAGCGTATCTAAGGCCATCTCTTAGCTAAAGTATAAGTTCCATGTAGCTGCCCGACTCGACCTGCTTCTCAAGCATAACAATGACTAACTTTAACTGTCGGAAAAAGGGTCAAAGATTAGAGATGTGAGCAAACTACATGTCTCAAAGGTCAACGCCAGAAGAAACAGACAATTACCTGGCGGGTAATTTTCACAGGGGGTTAAAACAAAGAAAGACAGGAACAGATCAAATTTAATGTGCATGACCAAAATAGTATTGCAAGTCAATATAGTGCATGGTTGTATTGCATTGAATTTCCCTTCAGAGATAAATAAAGTTATTCTTATTTCGGCAAAGCTATGCTCATTTTGTCTTAAAATTCAGAATAACTTTTTCAATTTCAGACCATGCAGAGTTTAAACTTCATAAAATGCCTTAATAATACTATTCATTAAGAGTTGTTGTCCCTTTCAGCAAACGATAACCTGCTCCTGCAGTGGTTGTCGTGAGTAGGTTTTGAATCCATTATTTTTTTGCAGGTTTACCACCGACCGGGAGTTGGCAGGATCTGAAAGATCATATGCGTGAGGCAGGAGACGTGTGTTTTGCAGATGTGCTAAGAGACGGAGAGGGCGTCGTGGAGTTCCTTCGCAGGGAGGACATGGACTACGCATTACGCAGACTGGACCGGACAGAGTTTCACTCGCATCAAGTGAGATCCAGTTAAACCAAGAACTACTCATCACTTTCCGTATTTTTCGCACTTTAAGGGGCACCTGATTATAAGACGCACCTTCAATGAACACATCTGTTCGCATCTATTTTCATACATAAGGCGCACCGAATTATAAAGCGCATTAAGCCAATCAAAACAGTCCGATAAAATCCTTTTGGCAGTGCTCCAACAAGCCAAAAGGATTTTAAGTGCGCCTTATAGTGCGAAAAATACGGTACTTTGAGAATGCCTTGAGGAATACATGCCTAACTTTTTTTCCTTTTGCAGGGTGAGACTGCGTACATCCGCGTTTTCGAGGAGAGGGGCAACCCCAGCTGGGGCCGGTCACGATCCCGCTCCAGATCAAGAGGCCGCTACTCGCCTCCTTACAGAGGCTCTCCCCCTCCCCGCTACCAGTCACCACCACGGCATGCTATGTCACGTCATAGCCCACCACCCAGGAGGCACCCTCCACAGCACCACAGCCCTCCACCCCGTCATTATCGGTAGGAAAGTCAGCCTGCTGAAGAGGAAACAAAAAAAAAACAGTGTAATTCAGCTTTTCATTTTGTTTTTAATCCCAGGCTGCCTCATGCATAGATGATTGTGTTTTCCTCTGCATACATTCCATGGTCAGGATCACCTGAACACTCTGCTCCTCTTCAGAGCCTTAAATGTTTGTTTTTGCTCTTAAAACACCCATAAGTCTCAGTGCGGTTTCATTTTTTGGTATTCTTAGTGAAGTCAATGTGTTGTGTCACTGTGGAACACATCGGAAGTTTGTTTCACATTAAAACGTGGGATTTGATGTTAAACATTGTCAGGAACTGATAATTATGTGGGATCTTCAAAAACCAATGACTTCTTTGCAGTGATCAGGTAGAAGGCTTGCATCTTTAATTTTGAGTCATGTCTCTCTGTGTGCGTCACATTTCTGTCGCTTGAAGTATGAAGATTTTGCCAATCTAAAAGCCTGTGAAGTTTCTCAATTTTACCCTGTGATTCAATGTGTAGAATTACCCAGCCATGTAGAGTAGTGACACTTTGACTGTGAGCCACACCTGCCAGATAATTTTTGTCATTGTGTGACAACGTAAAGGTGGCCTGTCGGTTGATTATAATTTGTGTGCATTTCTAATGTTTTTTTATTTCTCAATAAAATACAAAATTTTATGTGTTTTCCCTTTTTGTACACATCACGATCACAACCAGATTCACTGATGGTAATCATTGGAGTGGGTCCTTCAGAAGTTAAAACACTGAACTGAAGCTGCATGTGCCACACTACACTGCTTGGCACATCTAAATCCATTTTACAAAACTTGAGCTGTCAACTATTATAATGTTTAATCAACATCAGGATCTGTCATCGAACTCTGGCAAATTATTACTCATAAAGTACACGGTGAAAGTACTTCATTATGTTTGTGCATTTAGTCTGTAATGCACTGTATGAATATATGAAATTCATTGACTATTAATTGATTATTTTGTTTTTGATGGACTTCAAAATTTGAGGACCAAAAAAAGGTTTATAAAAAACAATGATCTTGATTTTGACAAAGGATTACTCAAAAGTACAAAAATTACTTCATTATACTTGTGCATGTATTCTTACAAGCACTTAGCTCAACTTTGTTTTTTTGTTGAAAGCTGTTTGATATTTTTATTTCAGTGGAGTTTTTGCCCCTACGTCATATAATTGCACAAGGCCTGCTTGAGCCATTCACTCTTAATGAAAGGATCCTGGGTTCAAGATCAGGCCTGTCCACGTGAGCCTCAAAAGAAAATCCCATCCTCAAATGATTGAGAAATGCTTTTAAAGAAGCACAATCAAATGGTGAAATTAAAACACTAAAAAAGGAATCACTATCAGGCTGTCCTGACCTGTGGTGAGATTGCTAAGATTGCTGTCAGTGAAATGGGTCTGGGTTCGATTCGAGTGCAGGTTGAGAACAATGTTGAGGCAGGGCAAGAAGAAGGATGAGGAAGGGAGAGTCAGGAAATTAACTATGAAGATTGAAGGGAAAAGAGGGAGATGGGGAAAAAAATGAAAAGGTAAAAACGGGAAAAAAGAGCTAATCAGAGACTTGCTCACTGAAATGTAGTTTTTAAGTCCACCGAAAAATCATTAAAGTTTTCATGATGCATTTCCATGTTATCTTTTAATATACTGTCCACTATGACATCGGCTTATTCGATTTGCCTTAACGGTTTACAATCAAACGTTGCAATCCCCATTTGAAGTTGTGTCTGAGCGCAAATTTCAGTAACCAGTGTCAAGTCTGAAAGCACACACGAGGCACATGGGATGCAAAATATAATATTTTTAATACGCAATAAATTAATTTTGACAGGTGACATTTTGAGAAGACACAGAAAAAAATAAAAAATATATTAATTTCCAACAGCATGTATATATATCTTTTAAACTTTGTTCATTATAATCAGACCAAGCCCATATACAGACATTGTATTGCATTTAATAATAATTAATAAATAAATAAATACCAGCTTTGATATACAATAAGTCCATTTCTTTTTGAAACATTGTTTACAGAAAAATCTTCTGACAACAAACACTGTAATACACAAACAGCAATACTCAAGCGTGATTTTGAAGATCACATGGAGACACAGCAGCGGTGATATCAAAACACTGGATTTAAAGCCACAGTAAAGCAAACATGGGTGTGTTCTGGATACAGAGAGTCTGCATAATGATAGAAATGCTGGTCTACAGCCAGACGATAACTTTGTGTTTTTCTGCTGAGTTTAGGACATGTCTTTTAATAACTGCCTGTAGAGCACCTTTTAACTCTGGTTTTGAAAGGTGCTTCATAAATAAAGTTTATTATTTATTATCATTATATGAATCTGATATTTGATTCAAACAGATCAGATGCACAGACTTTTGTGTATAACATTCGACATTTAACACCAAAATAGTTTCAGTTTTAAACATCAAAATAAAGTCTCCCGGCATTGCATCTTTGAGTAAATCATTTTTCAGATGTCTGTTTTTAGAAGAACAAAGTTCAATTGGTCTCCAAACTCAACATAAAACTGAAGAATTCGCATGGCTAAGCTTATTCACAAGCTACCACAGCACCTGATGGAAAATGTTAAACTTGACAGTCTAGTACTAAGTAGACTGAAAAGTTGATGATTGCTTCAAACAGAAAGAGAGGTGTGGATGGTAAGCAAACAGAGGCTCTCTTAAACAGATGTGAACATGCAGATCTTGAGGTAATGATGAAGAGAAACACAGTCACACAAAAGAAAAAGCTAAAAAACATCACAAGGCAACCATGATCCACCTTGGTGACTGACCTCACAGAGTGTGCTGCTTTTACTGTCATCACTTTAAGTTGAGATGAACTATTTACAGAAGCATCGGCCTGCACAGAAATAAAGGCCAGAGCGGGGGTCGAGGGATGGAACTGTGCAGGTTAAATCACGCTTTAAACAATGCATAGTGGAGCTCAGAATTCGAAGGAGCACACAGAATGAGTATCAGAGGAAAATGTGACACTGCATATGCGACTTATGTGCAGTCATTCACACAGGTTGTGCACAGGGGTCACAGGATAAGTCTGGATATCCTGCAAGCTTGTGTACATGGGAAGCAAACACAAGGAGAGGACTACTAGATCTCAAAAAAGCCAGGAAGTCGTCCTCGAAATAGCTATTAAGAAGCAAACCACACATGCTACTTTTGACTGAGCAGGTCCGGGTCACATCTTGAATGCATCTCTGATAATTGCAGGACTAAGTTATTGAACAATGCCAAATTTCATTACTGAAAATATACTTAATTGCATCACAAGATGTTTCATCAATGTAGCTACAATTCCAGCAAAAATAATTATATTGAAAAATATTCAAGTGTTTCACAAGATGTACGATGGGTAAAACTGAGCAAAATTTAACTCGTGTTATACTGAACAATACAGTGAATATTTTGGTTGCCATATCCCTGAAAAATAGCTAAATTTAAGGCAAAATAAAACCACATCCTTAAGCAGTTTCAACAAGGGTACATTCACTGGGTGAACAACAACACTCTCAAAATAAATCACTGGTAATAGTTGCATCTCCTGCATACAGGCAGGGGCAATTGGAAAAGGTTGTTACACACGAGCAGCTTTAAAGAGCATGTTTCTCACCACTTACCGCTGCATTTCTTTAACATCAATTTGTTTCCTCTCTGACCATTACAGTGGATGCATGTGTCAGCAGCTTGGAACGAATTAGCGCAAAGAAACGTGAGGGCAGTGGCAGCAGAAGAGCAGCATCCTTGTCATCACTTGTTTTCTATGAGCGTCTGCACTTTGAGAACCAACTCTCGAGCTTTCAGAAGCACCTGTGGGACGTTGTGGCGCTCTGCCATTTCTGAGGAGAGAGACAAGAAAAATATGATTACAAAAGAAGAATTGCTGCTTTGTCCTTTCCTTCTGATTCGATAAAACTGTCACTTTTATAGACTGTCATAGAAATTTTGTTCCATACTCTGAGGTAGCTTGTCTTAATCATAAATTATAAGATGTACGAATGAGGTTTTTCTGTATTTGCAGCTGTATAGCTATATTCTTTGATGTATTCTCGCAGATACATATCTATTCTTTTATCTTACCATTAAAGAACTTAATAATGTCCGTGAAGTCCATGTTGTTTTCCAGGATGATGTCTCTGTACATCTCCACCAATGCCAGAGCAATGAAGAGCACAAAGTGTTCAGAAGATGTGTACTTGGCAGCCCATATTGTTTCCCAGACTGAGAACACATCATCATACACCATTTCTGAGATAAAAGAGAAAAACACACACACATGAGTACGAGATCAAATTGAGTGGAGTGTTTTGCTACCTGCTATTTTCTCATTTCAAGCTAATATCACAGTGACTGAGCCCCTATCACCTCTTTTGAAGTCCAGTAGAAACCAGCGGTAGCAGAAGTAGAAGTGGGTGTAATCTCCATTCTGTTGCATCAGTTCAAACAGCTCAGAGTCGAGGATCTATTAAGATAATAACAAACTCTCATTATATTAGAGTTTGCATGTGTGTTAAAGCATTCTCTCAAATATATGTACAAACCTGTATGAGAGAGCGCATATTTGCAAAGTGAGAGTCCATGGCACCTCCATGAGGGAAGTTCTGGTTCATCCTCTTCATCAGTTCAGTGAAGCAGCTAAAAGCCATGACCTCTGGAAAATACACACTATCCAGTTCAAACCCTACTCATTTTTTTTTTAAACATTTTTGCATGTAAGGTGAAATAGTTTGCATTTACAGTCTCACTGACCATCGTCCAGAATAACCAGCAAGGGAGCGAGGATATCACACATGCCCTGGACGTATCCTGTGTCCAGATGCTGCCACACATAGCTACAGAGACAACCAGATATTCTGTATTATTTATATTGACTGTTTATGAGCTGACAAAGCCTTTTAGATCTGGGAGGGGACGCTGGTGTTCAAGTGCCTCAAAACTGCATTCTTTCACGTGCTTAACAGAGGAGCGGCAGCCTTGATTTTTGAGTGTAAAGCACATAGAAGAAGTCCTAGTGACACCCCCCATATCTTCAAAATAAACAAGCAGTTAAAGGGATATTCCGGAGTAAAATTGATTTAGGGTCAAACACACCGTAACACCTAGTTAGACACCCACCTGAGAGATGAATGTTGCAGACCACTTCTCTAGTTATACCAACTTTAGTAACGACCGCACAATAGCAATACACAGCGGTCTGAGGAGCCATAAACAAACCTCAATCAAAACATCACTCTATAGTCACAAATAATTCTCAGAACAGCACCTAACTTCATCGACAGTACATATAGGGTCCTAGCCACAGCACTAGCCACCAAACATCTTTTTAACTTTGCCTAATTTCTCTAGCAAAGAGACTAAACACAACTCACCTACTCTCTTCCGGCAGCCGCTTGTTTGTAGTGAGACCTCAGGTCAGCACATTACGGACTACAGCGAGGTGACATAGCTCAAGGGAGAATATTTATGATCATGTGTGGTTCCATAGACTGCCGTGTATTGCTATCGTGCGGTCGTTACTAAAGTTGGTATAACTAGAGAAGCAAGCGGTTGGCAACATTCATCTCTCAAGGGGGTGTCTAACTCGGTGTTACTGTGGGTTTGACCCTTAATTAATTTTACACCGGAATATCCCTTTAAGCTTGATGTTCATTTTTTACCCAATGGTCTGATTAAACATTAAAAAGACAATAAAACAGAATTTCTTTTAGGGTTGACTGTCTGGCAATTGGCGTGTTGCTCCTGCTGCAACCAACAAATCTGGATAGATGTGTGGTCAAGTATGTCTACTCCCCTGTCCATATAAGGTCACTTCCACCTCAGAGAAGCCAAAGTGGCAATGAACAACTTGTTTTATAGTCTGTGAATAGATGGATTTAAACAATATAAGCATGTTGATAAATTTACCTGCACATGATGTTTCGCAGCTTATCCAGGTTTTCGGGAGTGAAGTACCAGTACGCTCTGTCACAGCGTCTGACATCTTTGTCAATGCGGTGTAAATTAATCAGGTACATGTCCAGTGTTTCTTGCTATAAAAATAAAAGTGAGTTAAGCTAGAATTAGTTTTACAGCAAAAAAAAAAAAAAAAGATATAAATGTGTGTCAAGTGAAATACTTGCAGAATAGGTCTGTTCCTCTGACGACTCATCATGTTTGGTGTCTCCTCCTGCCTCTGTAGACTCAGCTTCAGTGAGCACATTCTCCATCTCTGGCTCCTCTTCAGACAGACCGAGGTCAGTGCCCTCAGGACTAGTGTCCAGTTGGTGATCCAGGACGAAATCTCCTGATGCCATTTTCTCCCTTTGTGCCAGGGAGACAGGGGGAGCAGCAAGTCCCGCCAAAAGCCTGGGTTTAATGTCCTCAGAGTTCACACATGTTATCCCTGCAGGAATGTCCTCCATTTCCAAAGCAGAAGGTGAGTCATCGGAGTCTGCCGTGTCCGGAGACTGCCGGGATAATGAAAGGGACGCTGATTGAAGAGCGTTTAGCACTTGTCTGACGGGTGAGTTTGAACCAGGTTTCTCAAAAGGAATTTCTGCCGCTTTTTTGGGTTCGAACACTTCACACACTAATGCCTCAGCACCCTTTCTCTCAGACTCTAGGTTGAAGATTTGGGATTTTTCACAAGTCGTTTCAAGAATTTCTGCCTCTGTTGTATCTGGATGTGTATTTTTTTCTGCTGTAGTCAGATTTAATGTCTCTGCGTTCTCATCTTTTCTCTTTTGTGCTTGTAAAGTCAAGGTCTGGCCAAGTGGAGGTGCTTGGAAATACTCATTATGAATCTCTGTTTCTAGCTTTAAGACATTTGTAGTCTCTGGTGCACATCTCAAATTCACATTCACTGCTTTTGAATCTTCTGGCTGTTCTTTTATTTCATCTGTTGTATCTCTTTCTTCTGATTCAGGTTCTTCCTTGGATCCAGACGCCACTTGTGAGTCCTTAACCCTGTCGCTTTCTGAGACTGTCTCCATTTTCATGTTCTCTTCTACCTGCTCCTTTACATCCTCTCCTGATGGCTCTGAAGCTGTTGCAGTATTCTCCACTGGACCTTCTGCCGCTCCCTCTGGCTGCAGGGTCGCTGAATCAGCAACTGAATCCGTTTCAATGGGTTTGTTTTCTGAATCTGGATGCTGATCTGTCAGATCTGCAGAAGACGGGTTGAAGGAGGGAAGCTGTGGGGCATCATCAGTTCCACTTGTTGCTTCTTTTACTGGACTACTGTGCTGAGCTTCTCCTTCCTCAGACTTGGGTTCAGTCTCAATCTGATCTACCGCCTCAACTGATCCAAAGACCTGGTAGGAAAAAAATGTGGCTAACCCTCAATACATTTTGAACCAATTCCTAAAACTGTTGAATGTCAAAAAAGTTGATGGTTTCAACAGGTAGCCTTGTCTCTTGTTGTTTAATACTTTAAAATTCTTGCTGGTCCATTGCTCAGGTGGAAACATCTCAAAAATCAGAAGGATTCACAGACATAAACTTATATCATTCGGAGGATGACACCCTATGACTGATTATCCTTTCACTCCTCATGTAGCACCATCTGGAGGAAAAAAATTTTACTCCTCCAGAGAAATATCTCGACAACTCAGTGAAACATCACAGACTTTAGTTTGAAAATGTTTTTATCTGAGAATTTGTGACTTTGGTTGGTTTCTGCCCAATTGTCAGACACATATCTTATCAGAAACATATTTTATCAGTGCATTTTGCTTCTTGTCTCAAGACACAAGTTTGAAACTCATATTTTGTTGTTGTTAGATGTGCTTTTTGAATAAATATGGATTGGATCAGATTTTCCTTGTGCACACAAGTCTTGCAGTTGCAGATGTGAACAAATCATGATCTTGTAACTTCTTCTTCATCAAAGGGTTTATCAACTATGGTTCAATGTTTAAGTAGCTTTCATGTCACTGAATATAATTAAGAAAAATAAGAATTTTATTGACCCCAAAGTAGTTTTTCTCATGAGGAAATACCTGCAGAAATTGTACTTTAACAAGAGAAATAAACTGGCATAGTCGCCTACCTGTGCGCTGCTGCTGGATTCACTCTGTGAGTTAGCATTCTGTGGGTCTGAACTGCTGCTTAAAGACGACTGCAGAGAAGAAAACCATCAAGAAACAAAGCAGAAGTGTCAACTAGTTCACTTAACAGATTCAACCTCAAATAACAAACTGCTTCTCTTCATATAGTCTTTGCTGTAATAAAGGTTATATAATACAGCATATTTCATGCTTAAGAGAAAACAAACTTGCATCTGTGCTGATGGTGGAGTCCCGCTGCACAGGTCCCCTCTCCACGCTGGCTCCAGACGAACATCTGGCGAGAGCCTCAGCGTGTTTCTCTCTCTCCCGCTGACGCACGATGGCCTCGCAGCCCTGCCACTCCTTCATCGTCTGCTCGTACATGGTTCGTATCCGCTCATTGATCTGGAACATAAGACCAAATCATGTACATGCATCCCATACCATCTTAAAATCATACAGTAACACGGGACATAAGAAATACCTCCAGTCTAGATTTCTCGGTCATGGTGAACTGGTAGTGTCCCAACAGGAAGGGCCAGACCTCTTTGCGTAGTGTAGGAGCCACACCACCAAAATACACAAGTCTGTAGATCTCTTTCTCCTCATAGGCCTGAACAAGAGCAAGTCAAGTTATTTCAATCACATAATACTTACAGAACGATTCAACACAGTAATGAGAAATCATGTTATGGCTTGGCGTTGATCTTACAGAGCTGTCTTTGAGGAATCTGGACCAGACCTCCACAGAGAGGCCGCTCCGGGCAATGCAGGGTACGTCAGGGTCAACAATAGTGGTGTTAACAAGCGCAGACAGGTGGGTACGAACTGTGGACAGATGACGGCAGTATGCTAGCCCTAAAAGACACAGACAAACGCTTAGATATCCACCAAGAAGATATCTAGAAACATTTTCAGAGTTAGTTCAAATTCTTTGTACTCACATCCATAAAAAGCACGGGAGATAATCTGGTACTTCATCGTGTCGCAGAGAAGCTTTAAGGGAGCCCTGGAGGAGAAGGAAATGTCAAATTCATTTACTTGGATACATCTACATTTATATTCGAGCATGTTCCTCAGAAATTCTCACCTTTCCTGGTTACAGCCGTTGGGTAAAGAGCCGTCAGAGGAACCATTCTGAGAGCAGGAGGAGCATGAGGACTTCCTGGGCGTAGGCTGCCACATGTTCACACCCTGATCCATCAGCTCCAGAGCTACTATGCAGAATAATTACTCCTATCAATAATTTAATAAAACTATAAGAAATAAACTATCTGACTGCTGGTTGTCCACTTCTAAAAAAAGACACTGAGGCACTATCAAGGCTACAAACAGGAGGATCAGTTTGACATAAAGGGGAAATCAATTAGTAGGATGTAGAATAATAACATGCTCATGAAAGATTGATCTAAGCTGAAACTGTAAATCAGTATCAATAGAAAGGCACAATCATAGATGTAATCTCTAATGATGTTTTATTAGGTTAACTCAGGGAGGCATTATAGCAGGATTGAAGACACTTACTGAGCTCCATCTGATTGCCAGGAAAGAGGATCCGAAACACATAATCAGTCGCTTCATCGTCCTCCTTATCTGAGACAGAATCACAGGAGCCGTGTGGACTCCTTTTTCGCAGCTTGGGGAAAACCTTTCCCTGTGAACAGAAAGGGAATTCACTCATCTTTGCTCACACAGTGAAGTGGTGTTACAACATGTTTTATTTCTTTTATTGTTTGACATGATAGGAATAAAATAATAATAATAATCATCCTTGTTTCATGCTGACCTTTCCTCTCTGATTCCACAGTGGAGGGTCCAGCTGTCCATGAGGCAGTAGGCCAGTCTCCAGGCAGGTGAGGAACTGCAGGAGGTGGCCTCCTTTAGGGAAATGTAAAGGGGGTCTCTGGATCCCATCCTGGCTCACTAAAACTACGGTACCACCGCTGTTCACTGGAGAGATGATCACAATAAGTTTCTTTTAAATATAACCCCACATTTTTCTTGCTATTTTCTTTTTTAATCGAATGTTTAGAGGCCAACAAATTACTCCTCTCACTAACGCTGACCTTTTAAAACAGAACAGGAGTGTTTCAACTCCATCCCCAAGGGGTAGGACACATACTAATCATATGTATCAAAAACTTCGGTCTTGAACCTGTTTAATTGTTGGTTTACATTCTGCTCTAAACCTGAAACCCCATGTGTTGAAACTACTTGCTGTACTAGTTTTGTACTACAGAAAACCTTTTATTCCCATGCATTTCTGACAAGCCTCTGCAGCTCTCATTATGGTTACAAGGTATTGCAGTACTAGTCCCTCCAGGGCCATGACCTTCAATTAAATAAATTACAATAAAATACGGGAGTCCTTTCTAAATGATATTGAAAAAGAGAGGGCACAAACTCTGCAAAGAGGGCCCTGGACCTATTTGAACTGAAAGACCTGATGAGGAGCCCACACTTAACCCTCAACCGAGTGACAGACTGTAAGAGTTGAACACCTAGTCATGTATCTATCTCACTGGATACTTCCTCATTCCTCTTATTCATGTCATTTCTTGTTATATAATAATTATGGTTTTTACTCATTGTGGGAGCTTCTACTGTAGTTGTGTGTTGACAACAAGGTCCGTTAATGTGCTAACTGTGAAGTAGTAAGTAAGTAAGTCATGGGTGTCAAACTCTGGCCCGCAGTGTAATTATATTTGGCCCACAAGGTAATACTAAATCACTACGGTATTATACAGCGCATTCACTAATACTACAGATCCCATAATGCTCTGCTGTTGTTTTGGCGCGTCAAACAGGACAGCCCTCTCCTCTAGGACAGTAGTCATAGCAACCTCAAACCTCAAACTACAACTATCACCAAACCTTTGCTTGATACTGAGGATTTCCTTCGCTCAGAGCCTGAGCCCAGATATTGATGAACTAGCATCCAAGAAGAGATGCCAGGTATCTGGCTTGGGAAAATCAGATTAGATCAGTGTGTAGCAAACTGAGCAATAATTAACGTTTTCTTGATGCATTTTTTCTTGCTACTCCAAGGCATGGGCTTGAATGATTGATTCATTTATTATTGTTATTTTATCTTTAAATTTATTAGCCTGTGGAAAAAGTTTGTTTTGATATTCAAATCGGAAGGCTGCAAATAGAAAAGAGGCATAGAATTTTTATTTGAATGTTATTTAATAAATGAATGCCATTGATGTGTTTTTTTAATTTGAAATTGCATTTTGCATGTTTGCACTAAGTTAAGCATTGCTTGTTCAATATTCATTTTAAAGCAAAACTTCATTAAAAGGTTCATTTGTTCAATGTTTGTTCAAGTTTTAAACTTTGGCCCACTGTGTATTTGAGTTTGACACCCCTGAAGTAAGTGATAATATCTCTTAAAATAATAAAAATTAATTACTTGGTTGTATCTAGTCTCTACAAACATGTCTGTACTTAATCATGATGATGCAATTTTAGCGGATAATAACTCCTGCAGACACTTCTGAGAGGATCACTGTACCTTGCTGATGACAGTGGAGATACACAATCTCCTCCAAACGAATTGTCATGGCATAATCCCAATACACACTGAAAGAGAGATCAAGTATTTTAGCAATGAGCCATGGCTGCAGGAACATGTATTCATTCATACTATATTACATTGTGTACCAACCTTTTCTCAGAATCCAGCTCCCCCATGTTGCCGTTCATCAGCTGATTAGGTGTCCACTTCAGTGTCATGAGGTCTGCGGTCTGATGTAGAGAGAGGTAGCCTGGAATGGCCTCCATGTCATCTCTCTGCACACACAGGTAAGAGCTTCCTAATCAAACATTTCTGATTGCAGTACGTTCACTTCAACTGATTAAAAGATGCACTTAGCTAATAAAAAAGAAAGCAGGCAAAGATATATACTCAACCTCTCAAACTAGCAATATGACTGCATTTATCTTTTATGATACACTAGAAAAGAAGAACACATACCGGCTGCACCAGGACGTTGTTTTTTCCAAACAGGAGTGTGGCTCTGGAGTTTTGGTGGAGGGATTCAACATAATCCCTCACCCACATGAGAGGGCGATCATCCATGCTGCCACTTGACTGTCTTTTCTGGATCTGAAATACAGATTAAATATACATCAACAGGATTTGACTTTTGATCTTATATACAGCAAACTTTTTCTCGATATTTCATTAAAAAAGTCTCACTAGTGCAGGCCGTCTGGAGGGTGAATCCTGCCGACAGTGCCCACTGTGGATGCGATGTCGCTGTACAAGCTCATCAGCAGATGGATCGGTCCAGAAATGGTCTGCAGTCTTAACTTTAGTGTACTCCAAAGCACAAGGACCAACTGTAATGACAGGGTTAATCTTTTAAGCAATTCCTGAACCTTCTAGTCTTCAAAAACCAGTTTGAAGGGTTTCACAGTTTTTTCTATTACCTAACAGAGATGCAAGAATCGGCCCATCCACAGGATCCATCAGCATGGCTTCTTTCTCATAGAAGGCACTGAAGAAAGTGACATTTATGATGTTTCAAACGATTACTTTTGTATGCTGTAATAGATCATTTTGACTGAATGTTGTGACACCTAAAAAAGGAAACTGTTCTTTACTTAATGTACAGTGTGCACAATGTGTTGAAATGGGAATATTTAGTGTGTTATCTAGCAGTCAGATACCGGACTGAAATGCTCCCTTGCTCACCCCTCCCACCAGTAGAGACTTTGACCTTAGAAGACAATCCACTCCTATGGCGCATTAAAAGTATGATCCTCCATTTGCCAAGTTTAATGATCAAAAACATCTATCAAGGGGAAATCTTTTGCACACAACCACTTTCTTCTTCCTCTGTGTTATTGTAGAAATGTGGTGATGCAAGATGGTGGTTTTGAATTTAGGTGATTTAAAATCATTTAAAATATACTTACAAACTTTATTCCATTTCTACTCAGTTGTTTATTCTGCTAAATGCCTTTAAAAATTACACACTGCCCCTTTCTATCAAAACAACTGCATTAAATACAAATAGGAGTTGTTATTCTACACTGGAGCTTATATGCATATCTATCATACCTGCTGTTTTCCACCAAGTACAATACGATCTTATCCAAGAGCTTCTCCATCAGAGCTGTACGGATCCACAGATGTTTGAGTGCCTGGGGAGGCAGGTTGGCCAGCTGACGACTAGACTGCCGACTCCGATCATTACTCACTGAAGAATTGTTCTGCTTGCTAAAAACAAAAAGAAAGACAGTCTGTGAATGCTGTTTGAACAAAACAGACATATGGGACACATAACCAGGCATCTTTAAACTCTATAGCACCTGAAATGAAAGAGTGCATATAATGACTTTCTGTTACTGTCCTCCCACAGGGAACAGTCAACATCTCACCTGTTTTCAATAAGCTGCTCAAGCTCCTGGACCTTGTGGCACAGCTCCTCAGCAGGCGAAAAGCTTTTTGCCGCCTTCATAAAAAGCGCTGCGACCTTGTTACTGCACAGCAAGCCTGCGATACGGCGCTTCAGCCCATGAAGCATGCAGGCCTCCACTACAGCTACACACACAAACACACTACGTCATTTTATTCAGTCCAGGTTAACTCATGTCATATTGCATTAAATAATTTGCCTGCCGTGGAAACATACAGCCTGAAGAGCTCTAACAGGTGACCTGAAACGCAGGTGGCTTAAGTAGAAAATAGACTCCAATCTACTGAACACTGTCGATCCGTTGCTAGGATATGAGGGAAGTGAATCACACAATCCTCACCCTGGGTTAGCATCAACACCTTTGAAGGGTGGTAGTCTACTTTAATGCAGATACATCCAAGCACCTTGTTTTCATATAAATAGATATGAGTAATCGCTTTATGAAAATAATCATTCGGAGTGACATAGCTTGAACATACTGTGGAGGATCATTTTGCTCTGAGAGGGTGAACTCGTAGGAGGTGTCAGCTTTACACAAACCGATGTCAACTATAAGCCTGTGCAGTATATGTTAATGTTGATGTGGTCAGCCCTGTGACTAATTTGTTCCAACATTATGTTTCCAGCACTTTAGGCAAAATGACCCTTTTTTTTCTAAGGTCAGAATCAGAATCAGAATCAGAAGGGGTTCACAATACAATAACATAAATAACAAAACAAAACAAAAACATTTACCGCAGAACGATATGATGTGGCTGCTGTCTGCATGCACAAATTTCCTCGTTACAGCCTCCTCCATAATTTGTTTCACCTGAGAGACAAAAGGTACACAGTGAGACAAGATGAAACCCATATGGCGCAGTGACATGATCCTAACCACGAGAGATGAAAATTCAGGGTTACATTGACAGATGACAGTGCTAACCTGCAAAAGAGCACTGCATCACCATAAAACATACACAGCGATAGCAAAATCAAACACAGGGGGATTTTAGATCAATTATTTTTGAATTTAATAATTTCAACTTGGGCATGAATAGATGAATGCAGAAACTTCAAGGTTCCTTTCAACTTTTTCTTATACTTTTTACTTTTTTTCGATGAGGAATTTGGTTCTTGACACCTTTTCTCTTCAAGAAATTTCAAAACTATGAGGCATGTTGTATCACACGTGGATATAATGATTTATTTCTTCTCAAAATACTTAACTTCACCAAAGTGGAATGAACAGATTTTTAAAAATAAGAGCCGCAGTCAAACTATCCTAACTTTCACTGCTTGGTAAATCAAACTTTAAGGCCCATTATGTGCACAAGATATATGAGACTTCAGGAGCCTTTAATGTATAAATCTAAACCATGTTCATAACACTAGATTTTTGTTGTTATTCTCTACAACAAATCTATTTTATACCCTGATATTTTACAGAGAAAAGAACTTCTTGATGCTAAGTTTTTGTTTCTTCAGTAAATGCAACAACAAATCTAAACATTTTGGAAAATTTCATGCTCTACAAATTATTCTGTTGGTTGAAAAACGTTAAAATTAACTGAATTTATTCTGGTGTGTTCCTGTGTGTCTACTGAATGAGAGATTAATGAATTGTATTGGTTTTGTCACACTGGGATGAAAGTCTTTTGCCCTTTTCAGGATTCATTGGAGCCTTTTACTATAAGTAAACACCCAGTCTTTCATTTGCAGATGAGATGCTGAACACAAAATGACTTGTCTCCTCTGTATAGTGAACAAAAAGTCTATTTTAGTGATTGACAAATGTCCATGTCAACCCAGGCTGAAAATGCAAATTGCTTAAAATCCATTTTGCTTTCTTATAAATCTATAAATCACATCTAAGCCCCTCCTTGCTGCAGGATTTGGCAACACAGTCATGGACGTTTGTGAGGCAATGAGTCACAGGTGAGGGGGATCACGATGCTTTAAGCCTGGAAGTACCCGGCTTTCTTTGCAATGAATAAAACATCCAGTCTCCTCTCTCCCTGGGGGGAGTCACTGAGCAGTTTGGAGGGGTCTGTGGTGTAAGGCTTGGTTAGATTTTTACTCTGATTACAACCAAAATGGCTCACGATCCAGTCATCTAGATTTGCTTGTACTTTTGTGCATTCATTAGATTATTTGCACACACAGAAACAGATGCCAAGGTCACAGCTTTAAGTTCAGGATGGTAATATAGTGTAGATTTCTTACAAGACGAGATTAAATCATGTAGAAAGAACAACTCCAAGAGATGAAAGCAACCTGGTTTCTTACATTTGTATTTTTCCCTCCAGTGTAAAACCATCACCATCACCACAATCATCTGTATCACCATCGTCACCATCATCCTCATCATCACTACCATCGTCATCATCATCATATTACGCCAGTGTAACAACAGCATGAAAAACAGCAGCAGCCTCCAGGCTACATTTCCACAGCTGATGTTATTGCATATGCTCCAATTCTGTAAAATATGCTCAACTTCGTGATACAAACAGGCCTGTTGTCGTGTGGCTCAAACCGGAGAAACCACGTCCACACAAACACGCTCATACATACACTGTCTATACCCACAGACACGGTAGATGTAAACACTCATGAGCAAGAAAGATGGGAAAAAAAACACAACGCACCTCTTTCTTCACATTGCGCAGTAATTTTTGACGCGTCTCGGCCTCTGTCACGAGAGAAAACATAGCGAAATAAGCACAACAAGATGCTTTAATGGGAAATAATTGAGGCTGAAGCGCACGACGGGGAAATGATGGTAACGGCGGCAGTACCTCCCATCGCTCCGGGTGTGGGGTGTTGCTGCTGCCACGCACAGCTTCACGGAAAATGTGTTGAAGAGACAGAGAGGACAACACTGGAGAGAAAGGCGAAGAGGATGCTCCGAGATACACACGATGTGTTGTAGCGACGGAATTAAACCTTTCTGTTACCTCTCAGCCAACCAACACCCCGTTAAAGTCACAGTAGCCTTTACGTTGAGCTGTATACACCAGTACCTGCACTCTTACAAGACGGAGTTTGAGATAACAAACCACAAATTAAATAAATAAGGATCTCACTGAATTATTTATCACAATTACATAAAGAGGTAAATTTGATTTTTACAAACTATTTAGCCTTCCAACCATATGGTGTTCATTTTTAAAGCTACCATAAGGAGTTTTCAATAAGCGATGAACCCATAGACTGTATAGACTATGGACAATTTGGTTTTGCCCTCGGAAATTCTGCATTCTCTCTCTATTTCCTAAAACCAACATTGCGCAGTAGCGTTGTACGCACTCCACCACTTGCGCAATAGCATTGTGCGAATTCAGCGGGAGAGTCGGCAAGAGTCGCTGAGATGATGCTCGGCTCAAACAGCGTATCCTCTGGGTGAGCTACACAATCTTTGTACGCCCATAGGCTGTATCAAGTGTCAATCATAGAAAACATGAACCCCTTAATAATTTTAAAAATGGAGCTGCACAGAAAAAGAGGACTTGAGCACAAACCAGTCTGACAGTAACTACATGTCAACATCGCAAGAAGGGGGGGGACAAAAAAAGTATATTCTGTGTAAAATATTTCTTTATTTTGTCCACAACTCCATAAGAAATGCAGGAGAAGGCGGGATTTATGACCTATACACCAGCCCGTCACCAGAGGGTGCTGTTCTCGGAGTGGCTTCACCCAGCGACGAGGCGGACGCTGTCCATTCTATGTACAATCTGTGGATGAAACCAAAGACCATATGGACAATGTGGCTGCGCCTCCCATCATTGTATGAATTTGAAGCCAAATTTCTCCCAGCATTTCTGGGATTTTCTCCATTTCCTGAAACCTGCATTTGTGCAGTAGAGTTCAGCGGGAGAGTTGCTGTGACGACGCTCTACTTTAACAGTATATTGGCCAGATGTCCTATGCAATCTTCATACGTCCATAGGCTGTATCAAGTGTCAATTAGAGAAAACATGAACCCCTTTTAACTCTTAAAAATCGAGCTGCACGTAAAAGAGAGGACTTGAGCACAAACCAGCCCAACAGGTCTGTGTCAACAGTGCAACCAGGGGAGAGAAAAATTTATCTGACTTGTATTTTATTTTGAAAGTTTGTCAAATCAAATCACTTTTCATACATAAGGATGTAACACAAAGTTCTTAACAGTCAGTTTAAAAAGCAAAAATGGATCCCAGATGCCCCAACGCCCCACCCCCCACACACATGCAAATGCCTCAACCCACCCAACAATACAATCTACAGTTAACAGTCACATACAGTCTCATCCAAAGCCACACACACGCACAGACACGCATAAACACACACACACTCGCACATATGCATGCTAAGATAGTAGACATGGGGCTGAGTACAGATAACCCAGTTGAGAAAGCGCCATCAGAGGAGCCGTCAACATCAGGAGCAGAGAGCCGCCCACAGTTACAGGACACCAACACCGGGCCAGAGGAGAGATGTGGCAGACACCAACCTCCACCAGGAACCCTGTGACTGGCCCCCTGCGACCACAGCTGACCACCGCTTCTGGTGCCTTGGGCTCCCCCAGAGGAAACACTGGGGGTCCTAATAATGATAAAAGGATACAAACAAGTAATCTAAAATACGGATAAAACACAGACTATCTTAGTGACAATAAACATAAAATAAGAAACCTAGGCTAACCAGAATAAATAGAGATAAAACAAATAGATATTGATTAAATGCTGAGCTAAAAAGGTGGGTCTTGAGCCTTCTCTTAAAAACACGAACGTTCTCTGCGGCCCTGAGGTCCTCTGGCAGGCTGTTCCAAAGACGAAGGCCGTAATACTGGGAAGATGCCTCACCGTGAATGTTGTCCACTGCTCTATTGATTGTGCTGGAGGGGACAGGGTTTATGAACTATACTGCAACCAGTCACTGGAGTTTGCTGTTCTCAAGAAGGCAGATGATGTCCATTCTAAATACAGTTTATGGATGAAACACAATGTCGCATTTTTATGTCTGGCAAGATTGATTGTTTCTATATCGTAATTTTTCATACCTGTTACTTCTGATGTGTTGTATGTAGGCACTGAAGGAACAGCCCTTCTTTTTAATCTTTCCACAGCAAGTATTTACAATCAGTATGTTCACATTAGCTAAGGTCTTAGCTGGATTAGGCGATTGAACTGGATTTCAGTCTTTACTTACACAGGGCAAAAATCAAATAATTGACAAAAGCATGCCCACCTTCATTGCACTCGGTGGTTACATGCTCCCTTTTAGCTTGTTATCAGTATCAAGATAAGATGTTGTGCTTTGGGGGAAGGGGCTACCATATTGCACCACCATGTAATACAGTAATACAGAGATGTTGTCATGTGAAAAAAATAATGACATGACTAACTTGACTTGATGGTAAATTTGAAAAATAGAGGATTATGTTTATCATGCATCAAAGCAGCTTTTTGATCTTTAAGGTCTCTAATAGCTTTGGGTTGAAAGTAGGCTTGGACTTGACATTACTGCCCATTGATGTGCAATATTGACAACAGCTGGCTAATTTAAGTTACAAGAGAGCACCTGCAAACAAATCTAGATTACAGACTATAGTTTTCATGTGGATCTTTAGTGTGGGTCACACTGGGTCACCAGTGCCAAAGGTCATAGAACAACTGGATAAGATAAGATGCAACAAGTATTTATGACATTGAATGGATATGTGCCCATTCAGGACATGTACTACATGTGTATGCTGCAAAATTACAGCACATTTCCTCATTCCACTCACATAAACACCAACATCAATGGGGCCACTGGTGACATTATCTGAATTCCACATCAGCAGGGAAATGATAAGCTCTCTGTGAATGAAAGGTTTTCAGTCTGGTGTTGAGCTGGGTACACCCTGGCTCAGTTCCAATAACACAGCGAAGAAAGAACAATCTCTGATTCATCTTTCTTTATAGCTGCGGGATATGGACAGCCTGGATTGGGAGACACCATGCCGGTATGAGATGCAGTGATTTGGGTTTAGCAGGGAGTTGCAATTCAATGCATTTTAAATTATCTTGGAGGAGCTGTGTTTTGTACAAGCAGGGGGAGCCATAAACGAGAGGATGAGGCATGCCTATATGCTTATGAAGCATTTCTAATTTGTACAAAGTAATTGGGTAATATATTTTACCTTGTCAATTGAGCATATAGTCCAACATTATTGAGGAATTTTACCTTGGATTGGAGATTGTCTTACATCAAAACTCAGATTTGTTTTAAGTTTAAGTAAAAGAGTGTTTAACATGGATTAAAGGGATATTCCGGCGTAAAATCAATTTAAGGTCAAACACACTGTAACACCAAGTTAGACATCCCCTCGAGATATTTATGATCATTTCTTCACGGAAATGCAATCAGACCGAGATGCCAAGGCAGAAGAACTACCGCGTCTGCAGTGCAAAATGATCAATATGGTGATTATTAGAAGGAAATATTAAAGTAAATGATCATTAATGTTCTTCCTTGAGCTGCCAGTGCATCAACCTGCTGTAGCCCATAATGGACTGGCCCGAGGTCTCGCTACAAACAAGCGGCTGCTGGAAGAGAGCAGGTGAGTTGTGTTTAGTCCCTTTGCTAAAGGGAAAGGCAAAGTTAAAAATATGTTTGGTGGCTAGTGCTGTGGCTGGGACCCTATATGTACTGTCGATGAAGTTAGGTGCTGTTCTGAGCTTTACTGGTGGCTATAGAGTGGCGTTTTGGTTAAGGTTTGTTTATGGCTCCTCAGACCGCTGTGTATTGCTATCGTGTGGTCATTACTAAAGTTGGTTTAACTAGAGAAGCAAGCAGTCGGCAACATTCATCTCTAGTGGGGGTGTCTAACTCAGTGTTACGTGTGTTTGACCCTAAATTAATTTTACGTCGGAATATCCCCTTGAGTTGCATAATGTGAAAATACATATGTCAGGGCCGATCTACGTGCAGGTCTGAATGTGCACAGGCCCTTCCAGACTGAGAGATGACCCAGACAGTCAGATTTTAGATATTGTGTGAATTAGTTTTCCTCACAACACAAATTTCCCCCCTTATTAACCTTACTTTATACATCACCATAGGTTTTGCCAAGGGCCACGTGTTAAACAACACAAAATAATTCCCATACCTCCTTAACAGCTGTGGGTTGGAGGATATTGAGTAACTTCGGGTAGACGTTAAAGGGAACTAGGGAGGAAGCAGACGAGGAGACACAGAGGAGGGACAGAGGAGTCTGAACAAGTATTGGAACAGGACCCGCTTTGTTCAACAGTAGGGGAGGGCAAACGAGCACAGTTGCTCTGGCTGCTCGAATCGTGAAATACAATCATCAAGAGCGGAACCTCCCGTGTTATCTTTGTCTGTCTTTGTTGTACAGTAGGTTTTGAGTATTTTTCTTTGGAGGACTCCGTCGAGGGATGTCAAAGCGGGTCCGAAGCAGAGAGGTCTGCGCTGATTGCAGCGCTCCGGGTATGATGTCAAATAGGCTAGCTTTAGCTGCCCAGCTAACAGCTAACCCTTACTACAATTAACGTCCAGTTAGCTAGCAAACCTAGTAAACGGTAACAAACTAGCTGTTATTTTGGTGTCTGGTGGTCGTGGTCCCACATAATTATCTTGAGGAAAACGTTGCTTTATCGTATCCGGGGTTTTGTTGTATGTTATTGGAATTAATATGTCTAAATTGTGAAAGTCTGTGCTTTGACTGTCGTGTCAAACACTAACAATTGGTAAGTTACAGAAAAACAAAAATGCTAACTCGTCGGGACTGCCTCTGCTAACGTTGCTGATAACATACATGAAATGTCACAAAGCAGACCCACGCCTTATTGCGTTTAGGGGTTATGATTTTAGATGCAAAGAAGACATTACTAATGCAGAAGGCACAACTAACCCTGTGGTATTTCAGCTTGTTATCTTAGTCGAGCCGTAAATGCTTGAATCTTAGTTTGTGTTTAAGTTATTATCACCGTCAACTCATTAAAAGACTGCTATGTTGCCTTTTTCGTCCCTCCCCAGAACCAAGGTGGGCCTCTGTCAACAGGGGTGTTTTGATCTGTGATGAGTGCTGCAGCATCCATCGAGGTCTGGGGCGACACAGCTCTCAAGTCAGACATCTAACTCACTCTGCATGGCCATCCTCTCAGCTTCAGGTAAGGGGAAGGGGACACAACAAACATAACATAAACCATAAACATCTAGGTCCAGTCTACACCTACCTGTCATGACATTATGCACACCTGGGTGAGGTAATGTTGTCCAATACAACACCTCTTCCACATACTCAACAGTTAAGAAGCCTCTGCTTGTGTAGGTTTTGATGAAATGGTCAAACTCTTCCATGAATAAGTTGTAGCATGTTATATTGAAAGGTTTGTCTCGTGTTTTTTCCGATTCATTAGCAAACAGTAGAGGAATCAGAAGATTAGGATCACCCAGTGCACCACCGACACCCATTACGGGGTCGTCATTTAATTTAAGGAACAATTATCACCAGACATCAGAAAATTGTAATGTAAATGCTTCAGAAAAGAACATTTTATGGTGGAATTGATGTATTGAATTGCATTAGATTCCCTATGACTCTCTGGACTGTTTCAAACAACTCTTAAAGACTCACTTCTACTCTCTTGTCTTCTCATAACCTCATTTCTCATCTGAATTAAGTTCTAACCCATTCTGCTATCCTGTCCTTTGTGTGAAGTATATATGTACATTTTTACGTTATCGAGTGTGTTTTTTAAATGTTCTGATTTTTATCAAAGTCTGTTCCGTATTTTCTTGCTGTAAAGCACTTCGGCTCAAATTTTGTTTTTTTAAGTGCTCTATAAATAAAGTTGTCTTGACTTGACTTGACATAGACTCCACCAGACCCTTGATGATGTGTGGTGTTAGGGTTAGTGCAGTACATCCATAGACTGTACATAGAATGGACAGCGTCCACCTCCTTGCTAGGTGAAGCCACTCTGAGAACAGCACCTTCTGTTGATGGGCTGCAGTATAGGTCATAAATCCCGCCTGCGCCAGCAAAGCTCATGGAGCTGTGGACAAATTTTCTCACCCCTGCTTGCGGTTTTGACATGTAGTTACTGTTAGACTGGCTTGTGCTCAAGTTGTCTTTTTTTCTGTGAAGCTCAGTTTTTAAAAGTTATTAGGGGGTTCATGTTTTCTATGATTGACACCTGATACAGACAATTGACGTTCAGGGATTGCGTTTGAGCCGAGCATCATCACAGCAACTCTCCCGTTGAGTGCGTACAATGCTACTGCACAATGCTGGTTTCAGGAAATGAAGAAAAATCGCGGAAATACCGAGAGCTTTTTGGCTTCAAATCCTTATACAGGGGGTAGGTGGAACCAAGTTGGTCATAGTATATACAGTCTATGAGTACATCCTTTATGTCCTGAGAGGTGTGAGATGGCACATCTTTAAATCAGACTTAGTTGTTCAGCGCATCCCACAGGTGCTGGATTGAGATCTGGAGAATTTGGAGACCAGTTGCAGACTGTTGTGCCCCTCTAGACCACCTTCTCTCCCTTTTCCATGGCCCAGTTCTGATGCTTACATACCCATTGTCAGAGCTTTTGCTGTTGGTAATAATGCTATGGACATGATAAAGCGTGGTTTTATGTTTCAGATGGTCCAGACGCTGTATGGCAATGGAGCTAATTCTATATGGGAGCACAGCCTTCTGGATCCTTCCTCCTCAGCTACTGGGAAGCGCAAAGCCAACCCTCAGGACAGAGTTCAGTAAGTGCTCTTAAGGATTTTCATGTGTCACTGCTAATCTCAGTATGCTTGTTTGCACTTTGTTATGAAGCTCTATTGGCCAAATTGATTTTCATAGTTAAGGTCAGTGAACATGCATGATTAAGCCTCTGAACCATGGACATGACTCACAGCATGGTGGTCTCAAGAAACCTTTAGAAAGTATGTGGTTTGATCTTGTAGATTTGGGGATTAAATATCCAACAAATTAATTAAATTCTGCATTACACCAACTAAGTGAGCCAAACTGCATCCCTTTAAAAAGTTCATCAGCTGAATGACTGTGAAAGAGCGTCAAGTTTGAATGGTTTCTTCTATTTTCATCTAATTGTACAAGCTTATTTTACAAGCAGTGTGTATTTTAACTTGAACAAAAGCATTATAATAATAATAATAAGACCTGTGATGGAGTCATCCGCATCCAGTGCCAGGTATAAACACCGTGTCGGCCTTATGTCTGGTGGAGTAATGACAGCAGGCCACATATAAACCCAGCTATGCTTACACTTAGAGTAAATATATTAACCACCAGACAAACAATAGAAACAGAACCAAAAAGGGATCAGCTGTCAGCAATCCAAGAGTCTCCTTATTAGGTGTTTTCACCTGTGTGTTCCTGGAAGAACCAGGGCTAAATTTAGTTCCTGCCATATGGTTCCAGGTATGATACTAAAGGTCCTTCTTTGGGTGGAGGGGGTACTTGCGGGAGAGGGTTTTCATGCTGTACTACTTTTAACTTGCAGCTGCGTCAACTTCCTCCACTCACAAAACAAGGAAACGTGCATGTATTGACATAAAGCCGTGGGGACAAAGTTAGTCTTTGTTGTAGAGTCCCCTCTAAAATAGACACGTTTATGCTCTGTCTGTAAGAAGATCATCAGGTATAAAGTTCTAATTGGAATGACATGTCTGATATTCACAGATAATATATCTGTTTTCAATATTCCTAAACCAGGGTATCACTAGCTGGGCTGTATTGAATGATGCAGGTCTTAAACCAACATGAATGGTTATGTTGTGTTCACGTGGGGGTCTAGATTGTCGGTTTTGCTTGGCTTATTTGCTAACATGGTTTGTTGTTTCCAGCCCAAACAAGACAGAGTTCATCAAGGCCAAATACCAAATGTTGGCGTATGTCCATCGGATGCCTTGTCGGGAAGATGACAGTGTGACCGCGAAAGACCTCAGCAAGGTGAGAAATTTACTGGTTTGAGCTTCTTAGAGGTAAATCAAAGACAGATTCTTGCCTTCTAATCCCATTTAGTTGCTCTGATTTTCATTGCCAAAGCACAGCCAAGTGTTTTTTTCTTATTTAACTAACATATCTGCACTTCCTATACACTTCAGAAGTGGCTTGACCTATTAATATACTGAAAATTTGTATTCAGCACTGCTGCAACATACTGCCAGTCATGTTTCCTGTGCTGTTCATGCTGTGGTTTTGAATATGAAATAGCATTAGGTGTCCCAGCTGGCCTCAGCGCTGTCTGTCGCTGCATGTGTTTATGCTCTTTTTTTAGTTTTGCTTGAACTCTGTATTATTTCCTATCAGAAAATTACATGTTTGATTTTATGCACAATAGCAGAGGGCGTTTCAATTATCGTGCATGTCTGACAAACAGCAAAATCTGCATGATTGAGACTGAGAAATGTACATGAAGAGCAATGTACAAAAGGCATACAAATAATTATTTTTCCTCTGCTTGCAGTAATCAAATATTCCAACTGGCTAATGCACCATGTCACCGAGATCTGGGCAGATATTCAGTGAAGCCCACACAGAGTGTACGCTCTTCACAATCAAATAAAATGAATTACACGTTGATTTCCTTTCAGCAACTTCACTCCAGCGTTCGGACTGGAAACCTGGAGACCTGCCTCAGACTTTTATCTTTGGGAGCACAGGCCAACTTCTTCCACCCAGTAAGTACAGTGAGATAGGAAAGAAAATATATTACGCTGGTGTTTGAGTTTGTGTTATGCTAATGCTTAATTATTGTGAGTGTTTTTTTTTGTTTGCAACAATAGGAGAAAGGAAACACCCCACTACACATAGCAGCAAAAGCAGGACAAATGTTACAAGCAGAACTGTTGGCGGTTTATGGAGCTGATCCTGGGGCTTTAGACTCCAGCGGGAAGACCCCCATTGATTATGCAAGGTAATACAAGAACACATCGTCTAAAATAAACACTGATTTTCTTTGGTTCTTATCACACCTCATCTCATTAAAGTGACACCTTCTACCACCTCTGTCAACCATGATTTCTGATCAGCATAATGATATGATTTCAAACTCTTGGCTGTATAAAAACCAAACTCGACATACAGCATTTTTTCCTGTCGTCATAGTTCAGTTAACTAACCCACAGCACAGCTGCAAGCACCAAACACCCTTGCCTCCTCTCGACAGTGCTACAGGAAATTATTCACATCCTTTTGGTGATTTAGCTTGTTCTCAGGAACTAACTCTGATGTGCATTAGCTGTGTTATTTATATCAGGAAACAGTTGTTGTTTTAACCAGAAAATGTGAATCTAGACGAAAAATGACAGGCAGTCAACAGATCTGAACTGGTTTGAAAGCTCAGCTATTAACTTGGCAACGGTCTAGGCTGTGGGTGAAATATTTAACATGCCTTAACGACAATGAACATTAGAAACAGACCCTGTGGCATGATGTTAGCCTGACTAATTCAATAAGAGCGTGACCGGCTCGGGCAAGGGAAAGCTTTGACAGAAGACATGAAAATTAAAACAAAAATTAAGGGTATTGGTTTGTTGACATGTCCTACAAAAGACATTTCCGCTGCACAGTAATAAGGAGGTAAAAGAAAGATAAGACCACCCATACAAACAAACAACATTTTTGCCATATGGATAGTGTTAAATCAAACAGCTTCCTAAGATACTCTCTTTATTCAAAGTAACTTGGTGTATTTCTGCAGAGTGACCTTTTCCTCTGTATCTGTGCAGACAAGCTGGGCACCAGGAGCTGGCAGAGAGGCTGGTGGAGATCCAATACGAACTCACCGACCGACTAACGTTTTACCTCTGTGGGAGGAGACCAGGTAAGCAGTGGGTTCATCAAGCATTGCGTTGTCATGCATGATATTTCAGGGCCTGTGACTTTTTTCCCTTCTTTTATTAAAACCGTCTTTCATGTCGTTGTGCTTTTTTAGATCACAGAAACGGTCAACACTTCATCATCCCACAGATGGCAGACAGGTAGTAGCCACATTTCAAATCCTTTTGGAAGATTAGTCAGAGGTTTTTGCAATGCTCCCAAACAATACCAGTTGGTTATAAGATACATTTATTACTGTTTTTTCTGTGGTATTTTCCCCATGCTGCATTCTTTTGTTGGATTAGAAATAAGTAAGTATATTAATTTTGTGCTGTTGTGTGTCTCCTGGGTTGTGTGGTATTTTGTTTGAAGACAATTTACAAATTTTACTTTTTTTTTTTTGTCCAAAGCAGCCTGGATTTATCGGAGTTTGCAAAAGCCGCAAAGAAGAAGCTCCAATCAGTGAGACATTTGTCAACATGATTTGTGCTTCAAAATAAGTCCTCTTTTTTTATGCCTCTGAGTTGTTTTAGAAGATAACTGGAAACTCTGTTTTTTTCAGCTAAGTAACCACCAGTTTGAAGAACTCGCCATGGATGTTTATGATGAAGTTGACAGAAGAGAAACAGATGCAGGTGATATTTCAAGAAGTGTAAAGAGAAACAAAATGTGACTTTATTTTTAAGATCTAACTCCTGTTTTACATGTACCTGTTATTGTGATTTTTTTACAGTGTGGTTGGCCACTCAGAATCACAGCACGCTTGTCACAGACACCACAGTTGTGCCTTTCCTGCCTGTCAATCCAGAGTACTCGTCCACTAGGAACCAGGTAAGAGACTGCTTTGGTTTTTTTCGGCTCAAACTTCCATTTGATGAGTAAGTACTGGATCTTGATGTGCTGCCATGTTTTTCCTTTTTTCCTTTTTGTCCTCTCAGGGTCGACAGAAATTGGCCCGGTTTAGTGCTCATGAATTTGCCACACTGGTTATTGATATTCTCACTGATGCTAAACGGCGGCAGTGGGGTAATTCCTGTGAAAGTCCAAAAGGTACAAAATGTGTTTTAGTTTTTCTATCAAAACTTCTTGAATATCTCTGTTAATAACCCTTTATTTAGGGGTTAATTTAGGTTTATATCTCAGTAAATAAATTCTTTAGTTTATACACTATAGACAGAGAGTAAACAGTTAAGTCTGCTGAGATTTTTACATGAATATTTTCCATATGGATGCAGTTATGTAAGCAGAAACATTGCCAAACACAGACTGTGATTGACGCTTTAATCATAAAATCCCTTTCTTCTTTAAATCACAGAAAACTACAGAGAAGTCTGTTTACCCTTTAAAGCAAGCCAAAGAAAGCTTGTTGTCACTAATGAAGAAGAGCAAGTTCTGACTTTTGGATTCAGCGCATGTCCATCTGTAGTTGTCTGATTCATACAGCTGCCTGTATCCAGCATGGTTAATTTGATCTCTGCAGCTTTGATCTTGTGGTCTCTCTATAGAAAATGTGGAGCTGATCCTCCAGGGAATAAACAGCCGCCATAACAGCGAGAGCCAGGACAATGATCAGCCGGATTACGACAGCGTGGCGTCAGATGAGGATCCAGTGCAAGAGGCCACATGTGGGGACAGCTGCAATGATAGAAGGACCAAGGTGGTCCCATCAATACTTATAAACACATCTGACTTTTACTCTTTAACGTGATCAAACTAATCTTAACTTGTAATATTTTCTGTCACAGAGCTCAGAGTCATCTGACCTCTCTGATGGACCTATCACAATGCAGGAATTTATGGAAGTAAAGAGCGCACTCACTGCGTCAGAAGCTAAAATACAACAGCTTCTTAAAGTCAACTGTCATCTCAGTGAAGAGCTGCGGATGATGCAGAGCAAGGTCAGTGAATTTACGTGGTATACAAGCTAAGGGAGATGTAAACTTTACACTGTTTACACCCTCTTTACACGAGGACTCTTGACTCTGAAACAAAGCCAGGTGTTCAAATTTAATTGTGTGTCCAAGACTTGGTCATCCTTAATGTTACAAGACACATAAAGTAGTTTGATTCCACTGCTGCTCCATTCCATCATTCATGGATCCCATCATTGATTAACTTAATCATTTCCATTCATTTCACTCTTAACCATGGACAGAGTGTGTGCTGTGCTTCCTCACGAGATAAAGTTCCTGTGGTCATAATTAACAATCAGCAGACTTCTCTGGGTATGCGATTCAGGAGAAAACAGATCCAGTGTTGGCTTTCTGACACATCATTTGAAATGGTCAAAAAAGAGTTTTAGTGTGAATTTTTTTTACATTTTTTACCAAAAAAGTGAAAGTTTCAAGTTAACACTAGGCTCTTGTACTCCAATAAAAGGATAAGATCTCAATAAAGAAAGCCCTGGAAATAGGTGGGCAGCAGGAACCACTAACTATTATCACTGAGGGCACCTCCCTTTACCAGTGTTTGGTTAAATTAGTCCCATAACACCCCAGAGAGGCTAAACAGTTAATGCCAACATCCAATAATGTACCCCCTTTATGCCAACTCTCACCCTCCACCATATCCACTCAAGGACACAGAGAACAAAAGAGAAGTAGAGTGGAGACAGAGCCAGGATGAGAAGCCCATGTGAGCCAGATCTCACCCCCACTCCTAGGATAAGCTGTAAATTAGATCACTAACACCTCCAGCAGATGTGAAGCCACATTTCAACAGAAAACAGTTATGCTATATATGAATTCTGGGTAATTCCCATTACTCGCTTCCTTCTTTCTGAGAAGTGCAGAAATGGATTATCTCACTTATTGCAGTGATACTTGCTCATGCATTTCTTTTTTTAGTTTTCCTGACTGCGAGAAAATCATCCTCCATATACGGAATCTCTTATCTTCTTCTTCAATTTTGCCCTTACAATCAACAACATCCTGGTTTGAGTTAATTTGGCTCAAAATTCACAAACTATTTAGAGAAATTCACAAACTATCAAGAGACGGACCTATACAGACAGTTCAACAAATATGATTTAGAATTGAGTCATTCCCCTGAATATTTCTGAAACACATTTAGACCAAGCTTTATGATCATATACAGCAACCGTCCTATCTAACTGTTCTAGCCCCTCATGGGTAAAAACAAAAATAACAATCTCTGTATGGTCTATCATATTTTATGTCTGTTTCTAAAACAAATATACTGTTAACAATTAAAAGTAAAAGGCAAATTCTACTACAGGAGAAACTGTGATCTATTCAATGAAAAAAAACTGTATCAGTATTGGCCAAAATGCAACAGATATCAGCAAAAATACAGTATTGTGCATGTCTGTTCTCAAGTAGGTGACCCACTGTCTTCTGGTTTCCTACTAAATCCACTGTCCTCTACAAATGAAGGCGTAAAAACCATAAAAAATTACCTAAAGAAAGAAAGTACATTGTATTGTGTGAACAAGATGGTTTGTCAGACATAACAATTTTATAGCACTTTGGTAAGACATCAGCATTTTGAAGGATAAAAGCAGTGAGGTTTGTTTTCCCTCATGCTTCTCTCAGGCTGACTTTCTCTTTCTTTGGCAAAGAGACAGAGTCAACACAATGTTCTGCTTCCACCTGCTGGTTTATTTGTTGTCTTTATGACTGGAGTGACCGTTCCAGTTTATTGATTTTCTCACACTGCTGCTGGCCTTAAAAAACGAAAATACTTTCAAACATATCTCCTAACATTTCAGTGAATCTGGCTCAAAGGTACTTTCTTGAATGACTTGATTTAACTCGACACCATTTAAAGAAATTTGAAATACTTAGTTTTTGTTTTGACTTTGTCGTGCAGGCCTCAGTATCTTTGCTGTTGTGACTCTTGGGGGTTTTGTAGTTACACATCGATATCAAGATCATCTTTTGACTTAAAGATATAGATGGTGACTTTATCTGGTTTTTAGAAAAAATGACAGGAAAAGAATCCCTGTGTTTTATGTTTTTTTCAGTTTCCCTCTGTTATTCATGTAAATATGGGCGACCACTTCGGCAGCAGTTTCTCAAGGGGTCATTCCCAGGCGTTACTGTCAACACTCGGAGTCAGCGTTTCATTTTCAAAGAGACAAACCTTTTTGTTTTGAGACAAACTTTGAGGATAAACTGAAACTCAAGAGAGGAAAACTTAGAGGTTTAGCTTTTCTCCTGCAGGCTGAGCGTATTCCACTCTATTATTGATGTCTGGCACAGTCTTTGTAAGAAGATCATTTCCTGGCTTCAAGTTGAACTGAAAGATGTTTTTGTCCTCTCCAGCTGAGCTCCCTGCAGACTGAAAACACAACACTGCGATGGCAGACCCCCAGCAGCCAGCAACAACCCCAGGGGCCCCATGGGCGACACCCACCCCGCGGAGGTCGTGCCATGTCTATGTATGAGACTGGCTCTACCCCGAGGCAGTACCCCCTTCGAATGGAAACGGCCAGGCCTGAGGATGGAGTCATTTTACAACCTTTCCCCACTAATGTAAGCACAGAAGCACCAATGTTCCTGCTGGTTTGTCGTCAAAAGACAAAAAAAACGATGCCTGGCTTGGGGCTGGTGTTGGTTTCTCATTCATTCATTCATTCATTCATTCATTCATTCAATCGTCATTCATTGCATCTCAGTAGAGTATGCTCAACTTGGTTTGACCCTTTCTAGATTGGGAGGGGTCCTTTGGGGACGGCTGCTTCCTCCCTCCCTACCTTCCCCTCTTCCCTGTCCTGGTCGTGGGATGAGAGATCTCGAAGGGTTAAGTACTGGTGTACTGAAGACGGTGAAAAACCGTCCTGCTGCTTGACCCCACAGTCTTCTCTATCCTGACCTGTGTCTTTTTAAACCGCTTTTCATCAGTTATCGCCTGCCTGCCTGCATGCACCACAGTGCCTCTGCTTCAATTTAGTCATCCGAACAATTGCAGCTTTTTATCCACAGAGAAACTCAGCCCAGAGCTTCACATGCTCAGGTCAGCATCAGGGCGTGAGGAAGACATGTAGTGCCACGGAAAGCTGATTGAATGGTTGGACAGCAAGGCTCAAAATGGCTGATAACGACATGTTGTTGAGAGTCACAGTCGTTGATCCAGTCTCTTTCAGGATTTCTCTGCATTTACTAATCGCATCCACTGCAGTGCACTGTGTTAAACCACAACGACACAGTTGTATACTTTCCTGTCTTTTTCTCCGTATCTGCTTCAAAAATGTCTGATACTGTGATCTCAGTTTTTAATTCAGAAACGCATGATTCTGATGTATCCGTGCCAACTGTTGCTCCAATCACTCGTCATTCAACTTGTATGTTCTGTTGCTGATTGATGGTAATTGACTGATGTCTCTATAGGGCTGTAGTCTGGAGGGGCAGAATATCATGCTGGAGAACGATTATGACACCACACCGAACCACTCTGAACTAGAGGAAGCTGGGTAAGAATATTTCTGTAAACTTTGTGCAAAAAAATAGGATTGAAAATAAAGAATGACACCAGTGCAATATTAGATTGGATTAGTTTTGATTCAAAAACTTTGGACAGCCTTGCTCGACATAACTGGACAGAAGTTTACATATAAAGACATGCACTGAACAACGTCTACCAGTTACAGAAAAACTAACTAAATGAACAAGAGCCAGCCTGACATGTCATCTAGCCCCAGATTTGTTTTCTGTTCATGTAAATATGGTGCCAATAATCGAAGCAGCTGTTGGCTGTTTGGTAAAAAGCTAGAAATGAATGGATACACCAGTAGATCCATTTAGTGGAACTTTTTTTAATTAAATGGAGATTGGTTTAGACGGAAGCTACCAGGCGCTGGATCTTGATGCCCAGCGTTAAACTCTGCAGCATGGCTGTTATTTGACATGAGATAAGATGTACTCTTTGGACTCTGTCCTGCTGGTACACAGACATCATAGAAGCTTCATTTGGAAGGTGTTGTTTAATGGCCAGGCTTCATTTTCTTTGCTTAGCTCAGTGAGTTTTCTCGAAACTAAAAAAAAAAATGTATTTGAAATGACAAATGACAGCACTCACTGATGATTAACACCCTAATTAAAAGTTAATGTAGAGTAAATTGATCTTTTACTTTATAAATTTGCTTATAGTGCCATACAACGGTAAGAATATGTTTTTTTTTTATCTGTATCTAGTAGTCCTCTGCCAGCGTCTGACACAGGGGAGCAGGTGGAGGAGTGTGAGGAAGACGCCACCCTGCCATGCACAGAGGATGTCATCTGTAAAACAGAGCAGATCACCAAGAACATCCAAGAGCTTTTGAGAGCTGCTCAGGAGACCAAACATGAAAGGTAGTCAATGTTTGACATGAATAAAATAAAAATGATATAGTTCCTATAAGAAAATCTGTACTTTGCTTTCAAGAGTTTTTCTTTGTCCCAAAAAATGAAGCTGGAAACTGTGGTTTCAATTGTGCATATAAACCGATGACTGTATTTCTGACAACCTGCCTGTCTTTTTAAATGGAGTAGATACTGTTTCATCCTTAGTTACAGCTGGTTCTAGAGCTATGATTTTCAGTAGCTGTCCTCAGGGACCAGGATCCTGCTGGATTTCATTTCTCCTAGGCAGCTAACAACGACTGGTTAACACTGGAGTTTCAGTGGTATAGAAAATGCACCCTGCCCCAAAGACTGGTATTGAAAAGGGTTGACTTGAGCCTTAAAGAGTGGCCTCTGTCCATGTGTCTTAGACACTGTTTGTCTGCTGGGGGGAGGCCTCGTCTTTAAGTGCAGCTGACAGGAAACAAACACCACATGACCACATATTCCCCTGTGACCTTTAAATCCACTGAGTTTAGTCAGTGAGGTTCAATGCACTGCTTTCCTGTTTTTATTTTTTCCACATGCACTTAATTTGCTTGTATGCATTACATCAACCCTGAATAATCCTGTTTACACATTTGGAAGAACACTTTTTTTGGTGACTAATCCAAACTGACTGGTGCACAAATAGTGTAGCACTGATATTAAACAAAACACTTATTCTGCACTTTCATATCCATAATAGTGGTTAATGTGAGGATATTGCTTATTATAGCCAACTAAATGATTTCCAGTAGAAATGAAAGTGAAATGACGTTGAAGTTTGGTGTCACTGGAATTAAAACTGTTTTTTAGCCTTACGAAATACATCCATTAACTAGGTCTTGTTTGTGTTCTTTTACTTTGAAGACACATGCTTTTCATGAAATCTCCATGAGTGCCATTCTGTTGTGAGACAAATATTCAGGAACACAAATCATGCATCTAAAATTTCAGCATCGAACTTAGCATTTAGCATTTCCTATTTGAATGGCATGTCCTGCAATTACATATGGTATTAAATAGATACTATAGCAGTGGTTTTTTTTAGGCTTCACGATTCGGTGTGTTGGTGGAAGCAGCTTTGTATCGGTGCCTGTATTTGTGACCCAGGAGTGGTTGACCACTTATTGTCTGCTTGCCTTCCTCTCCTGCAGCTTCCTGCCTTGTTCAGAAAAGATCTGTGTGGCTGTGACTGAGATGGCCGCCCTGTTTCCCAAGGTAAGATGACTCCAGCCAACATCCTGACCTCCCTCCCCTGAGCAATTATGGGATTTGTTGTTTGTTTGAAAACAGCCAAAGGGAATCTAACCAGACCTGTTTGGGTTGGAGAGGCGCTGTCCATTGCTTTGCTTTGCTTCATCTTCACTATATTGGATTACTCTGTTTTATGTTGACTCAAACACACACAAAGAGCCTTCTACCCACAGTGAGGGTTTATTTATGGAGGTTGTCAGTTCAGCTCCTTATCAAGTCTCTGTCATCCCTCTTGTCTCTCACAGAGGCCGTCCTCAGAGACAGTGCGAGGGTCCCTGTGTCTGCTCACGTCGAGCGCCAGCCGGCTCCACGGAGAGTGCCAGAAGGCCGCGGATCACAGCCCCTGCCCGGCAGACATTCAGCTGGTCACTCAGCAGGTCATCCAGTGCGCCTATGACATTGCCAAAGCTGCCAAGCAACTTGTCACTGTGACAACCAAAGAAAACAACAACTAAAACCCAAAGACATTCTTGAAACACCCTAAATACATTTTATTGATGATGTTGCTAATTTCCACCTAATCAGTGTTAACACCATTTTCCCTCTTTATCGACCACTTTAAAGTATTCACAAACATTCCTAGAGTTGAAAAAGATACCGAAAAGTTAGATGCATCAGGCAAAGTAAGGGATCAATCAACACGTGTATTTATTTGTTGCTTTTTGTATCAAGGTAATAGGAAGTAAAACATCTTTAAACAAGTAGTATTTAATCTTTAACTATTCTTTACCTCACAAAGAGAAAACACTTCAATCCACAAAATTTCCACAAGTGCAATGTTGTGTGTGTATGTTAAGAAAACAATAGAATAAGCAGTTGAGCCTTTTACATTGTACACTTCCCAAAAGAACCCAGATCAGTATACAGTAGATAAACCTTATTCTACACCGGTGACATTGGGTGTTTCCCTTTAGCCATTTTAACTGTTTTTAAAATGCAATGACAGTGTTTTAATCTTGAATCATTGTGATACCACTCGCTTGGCGTTCAAATCTTTGTTTATTAAGCAAACTGTGATTACAAAAAATTGTTACAGAGCATTGAGCACCGTTTTAAGGCCAGCAGAACCGAGAGTGTGCAAACTTTTATTCCATCCAGCAGGTGATTTCACGGCTATTCCCTCCGCTTTGATTTGAGATGTGTTTATAGGTAAGGTATCAGTGGTTTTGGAGTTACGTTGTTACAGCCATACATCTGATGTTGTGTGTGCGTGCAGGTGTGCGTGTGTGAGCTATACTGTCACAGATATGGGCTCACGTACTTCTGTGACACCCATTTTGAATCAATTCTAATAGCATTATGCAAATATATAAGATGTACTGTATGTATCCATGTAATTCTTTATCAGAATAACCCAAATGCTATTCTATTTATAAACTTGTATGTCATACCTCTAGAAATATTAATGTTTATTTTCATAAGCTTTTGTTTAACATGTTGCTCCTCACAGACTAACTTTGTGTTCTGAGGTTTGGGACGTCTCAGCTGGCAGTAAGTCAACGGCAACTTGTGATCTCTTTTTATCTGGTGTGGTACTGTAACTCCAGTGTTTTAGATGCTATATGTGGTCACATACGTACAGCTATGGTTTACAATCACTGCTAGAGTAAATAACCCCTAGGAGTTAGTGTACCCGTCGTAAAACCTGGGTCCTGTGTGTCACTGGTTGTGAGCCAGATAAGTTTAAACCAGGGGTGGAAAGAGAACATGAAAACTCTGTTGCTAAATAAAATCCAATATGAGTACTCATGATAGTGAACCAAGTATGTGTTTTGAATACGGTAATGAAATATCTTCAGATCATTTTCAGTGCTAGTTAAAGCACCATTTATGTTTTGTGTTATTAAAAGGCTTAAAAGGGCGTAATAATTATATTCTGTGGTATAGGAATTCAACTTTTTTTAACCTGTTTTTTTTTTCCCTTAAAAATCAGTAAATGGAAAAGTTTCTAGCTTACAATTCATGTTTTATCTTTTTTGGGATGTAAGCTTAGATAAACCTTCATTTTGCTTTCATAGTGCAGTTCACTGAAGTTTGCTAATATGATCACTACACAAGGTTAATCAATGTCCATAAGGGATCCTTTGGGGATCAATAAAGTTCATCTTATCTTATGATAAGATAAGATGAGTCATAAACTAAGTAATAATTATGTTTCTTCCCCATGTCCATGTGCTATTTCTTCTTCCAGAAGTTCCTTAGTCAGGCTTTATATTACTTTGCTTGAAGCCACATATGCCTCTCAAACAAAATATGAGCCATATACCAGTGAAAATTGCTTTTTTAGTTGTAAGAAACAGCCTAACTCAAAGAGTATTGGCTCCATATTAGAGGATACAGTCCCTCTCCACCTCTGGTTTAACCCTGACATTTAATCCTATGTAACTAAAAGCCTACCGCTGCCTCTGTTGTTGAAACAATCCCTACCTTAGGTATAATAAAGTACTATCCATACCTCAACTCGCTTTTTTGTCGTGCTTTGTCTGGGTACACAGCGGTTTTGAACACGCCCGTGTATATTTTCCCACCTGTTGGAGGAAGACGAAAGTGATAGGGGGCTGGTGGCGCTTCCCCACCCATCTGACAAGAAAAGAGTTCCGGGTTTTCCAACAGCCGAGAGCCGCTTGACACGACTGCCTGAACCGACGGCGGCGGGAACATGTCTCTTTTACTGGATAACCAATTTAAAGAACTACCTCCAGACAAGTCGATAGACACGAAGTTGTTCCTGGATACTGTTTCTCACCTGCCATCATTTTTCGGTGAGTGTACTTCCATTTAAACTCGATAAAACAGCGATACAGTGTTTGAGACGCTTGTGCTGTTTCTGGTTACGGTTCGTCTAAGGCTGACTTCTTCCTCATGACATGCCGAGCTGAATGGCTTGTCACCTGGTTGTGGCTATTTTACACATACACAGCAAAAGAGGGGCACCATTGGTTTGTTTAGGACCAGTTGCAGCCTGCATAGAGACACTCTTTGTTTACTCGTTGAACAGAGAATACATTGACCTCATTGTGCCTTTAACTTACTATGCATTCATTGCATTTCTCCCCTTTCTGTTTACTCCTAAATGCTGGTCTGTAGTCATCATCCCCTTTCAGTCAGGGACATGTGTGATGAAGTCATTCATTTTTTATTGCCCTGCTCTCAGATGTCTCCCTCTCTTTCAGACTGCCTGGGATCAAAAATATTTTCACCCATCAAATCCGACATAAGTGGCAATATAACGGTGAGAAAGAGATCTGCCTGACTTTTTTTGTGTGCCTCCTCTTTGTGCTTTGATGTGTTTTCATGCCATTTGTCAGGTTTTGGAGTTGGAGCTTCATGCAATCCTCCATTCTTTATTTTTATTTGCAGAAAATTAGAGGAGTATATGTCAAGGATCCAGAAAAGTATGCGACCTTGAAGAGCATTCTGGAGGCAGAGAGAGAGGAACATGCAGAGTGGCCCAAAGCTGGAGCAACTTTGGCACTTATGTGGCTTAAAAGGTGAGCGCTCTCTGGCCTTAATGTTATGTCACACTGTAAGTTGAACTTTCAGCTGCTTAGCTGAAGCAGACAGATCATTCTTTTAAACATAGATGCTGGATATCTCCTGCAGGGGTCTCCGTTTCATACAGATCCTGCTGCAGAGTTTGGCAGATGGGGAGAAGGATGAAAACAATCCCAACCTTATTAAGGTGAACGTCACCAAAGCCTATGAGCAGGCGCTGAAGAAATACCACAGGTGGATGGTTCAGGGGATTTTCAGTGTAAGGACACAGTCAGATTTCTCGTTGATATTTCATTTTGTAGTCAAATGACATGCATTAGATGATGTATTTTTTTTTTTTTATGAGGTGAAACCAGGGCTGAAATTATGATAATTATGCTATTTGAACACGTGACAAAACATGAGTCTAAGCTACTTAATCACAGCAATGCAGATCACTTGCGATCACTTGTTGGTGATATTTCTCTCTTGTCATTTAACACCAATACTTGTAGGCCTATTCATTTAAAGGGATATTTCGGCATCATTTCTTCATAGAAATGCAATCAGACCGAGACGCACAGGCAGAAGAACTACCAAGTCTGCAGTGCAAAATGATTAAAATGGTGATTATTGCTTTAAGGAAATGATAAAGAAATGACCATAAATGTTCTTCCTTGAACTGCGTCACCCCGCAGCAGTCCATAATGGACTGGCCTGAGGTCTCGCTACAAAGAAGCGGCTGCTGTAAGAGAGTAGATGAGTTGTGTTTAGTCTCTTTGCTAAAGAAATTAGGCAAAGTGAAAAAGATGTGTGATGGCTAGTGCTGTGGCTAGGACCCTTTGTATTGTTGATGAAGTTAGATGCTGAGCATTATTTGTGGCTATAGAGTGACATCGGTAAAACTAGAGAAGCAAGCGGTCTGCAACGTTCATCTCTCGAGAGGGTGTCTCACTTGGTGTTATGGTGTGTTTGACCCTAAATTAATTTTACGCCGGAATATCCCTTTAACATGCGAGGCTAGTGCTGTTAAAGCCAGCTTTAAATGTGCTGAATGTGTTCGTTCAATCATGTTTTTAACTCCAACTCTTAATTCTAACTACATTATGAGAATACGTCAGGGAGACAGCAACAACAACATTACACAAGTTAAAGCCCCTGTGAGGAGCTTTCTGTTTGTGTTGACTTTGGCGCCCCCTGTGGACAAAGTATTAATGCTTTTATCATTGCAGACTTTGTCTCATCCTTGTAAAAACTCTCCCCCTGTCGTCTTTCACAGTGAAATTTATCCCTCACCATGAATATTTTCGATACAAAAAGTACTCATTCGCTCATTCGCTTTAATATATCACAGAGATGCATCACTGTTCATTTTAGCCTGTTTCTTACTCTGTCAAAAACTCCTCACAGGGGCTCTGAGTCAGTTGCTGAATTGTCATTTTTTTTAATAAGTTAAGAACCTCCCTAATGGCCAAATGTTTTGTCTCATGTTCGATTGCCTGTTTGACACAGCTTTGGCAAAACAAAACAAAAAAAAATCGTCTACCAAAAACACAATCTGGATGAAACGTGAAACTAATCCCCCCTGTTTCCTTCACAGGCTGCATTAGTGGCAGCTCCCTACCGATCAAACTTCCTGAAGGCTCTGTCCAAAGGAGAGGAAGTGAAAGAGGAGGACTGTCTGGCAAATGTGCGTCACTTTCTGGTCAATTACACCCCCACTGTGGACGCCATCTATGAGATGTACACAGATATGAATGCAGAGCTGGACTACACTGTTTGATGTCCTTTGGACTAACATGATAATTTTAAAAGGATTTTTTTTCTTCAGAGTGTGGCATTTACAGCTTTAACTATGCCTCATTAGACATGTCATAGTATCTGGTTTTAAATTATGCCTTAATTAAAAAAAAAGCACTGTGAGCTTCACATTTGCTCTTGTACAAAACTTGAAACATTTAGAATTGTATAAAAGAGCAGCAGAGCTTTAAACCTCACAGAATTATGTTTTCATGCAAGTTTCTCTTGTTTATATGGCACAGACAGGCAGTGTACACCTGCTTCATGAAGGAAAGACATTTACAAACAACACTGTGGCGTTAACTTCAGCTGCTTTATAGCCTGCAGCAGCCTCGGTCATGTTTCTGAATCTTCACAACACAAAGATCGCGTCACCTTAGTTGAAAACCACAAAGTGCCTTAATGTCACTTTCAAATAAACACAGCATTCATTCATTTCCAGTTCTGTTTAACCTGGAAAGCTTAAACTTAACCTGGAAAGTTCACAACCAGCAAAGATTTTTTCCCCCCCCTCAGGGCTTCAGGTGTGTGGAGTTTTTGGTGTGTCTGTTGAGGAAGAGGGTGGGGTCTAGTTTATCTAGTGTTGTATGTTTTGTTTTGCGCTCTGTGTTGTTGGTATTTATAACTCAACTGACCTAACAGCTTTTGCACACAATGCTTCGTTGAACAATGTTTTTATTTCAGGAGAAGGCAGATCTATTCGAAAAGTGTATCAATAACTTATTCAGCAGACATTTTATCTATGAATATATTCAGATTTCTTGTTTTTCTCAATAACCAACTGTTTTAAAAATGCTGATCATATGATATTTATTTTGAATGACTAGAAATAAAAAAATGTGTTGCAAATAAGTTGTGCATTAAAACTTGTAGGTTATGTTTCCCCCTCCAGGTGGCAGTATTTGCTTTGTATTTTTTCTATTTGTTTTGCTCACATTTAGGGTGCTGCAACTAGGAATAATAGTTCGACTCATGCCCTGAGAGCTCTGAAATGTCGCATTTAAAATGGTCTTGATTGAAGTTATTTGTATTTTTGTATGAACATGGCTTCTGCCGTGACAAACATGTTTTATGCTGCTCACTGGAGAAAATGTTAGAATTAGTGATTTTGTTAATTTTTTGTAGACATCAGCAGTAAATTAGAGGAAAATCCTTCCTCCTCTCTTTTCATTCTAATCCCTCAGATCAACCAGCCTCTTCTCGTCTGCCCAGTCTCACTTATCTGAAGTGTGTCCCAGAGGTTCGAGTGGCTCTGGTTCCTCTCCCGGAGGAGACCAGCCTGAGCTAATCGCGTCTGAGCGAGAGCAAGGGGAGCATGTCTGTAATCCTGTAGGTTTATCAGCACATTGGCCTGGCCTGGCCTTGCAGATAGATAGGATGGAAAAGCTCCAAGTGACGCCAGAACACAATAGGCTAAAGACAGAAAATCATTGACAACAATGCCTCAATGACAAAGCCACTGACCTTTAACTCTCAAATATTTGTTATCTGAAATGAGGTAATCAATTGAAAATTGCAGTTCTATTCCCAACAGTGCGTATAATACCATTATTCACGCCATCTAGGTTATTTGTTCTGTAATAGACTTCTCCAAATGGGTGTGCATTTTATGTCTATGGTGACCTAAACCACATTACTGCTATAGCATCCAATTTGGGAGGATAAATGAAGCAAAATAAGAGGTGCAGGCAGGCATGCATGCTGCAAGGCGTCTAAGATTAGCAATTCAATAGCTGGCTAATGGCAAGCTCATTTCTACATGTGTGAACAGTAACGTTAAAGTAATGTTTTTCATGCACAGATGTAATATAAGTAAAGCCCTGTTTACTTCTGCTGACATTTAAGTATTTTAAAGTATCCAACTGCCTCTGCCCTAAACACAAACCATCCATTTGACTAATATAATTTGCTATGATAACAAAATTAGCACTATCAACTTGAATTGTTTTAAGAGGAACCTATCCAATATATATCAGCTCAGGATTGATTTGCATCGTATTATAAAGCTCTGCAATCCTCCAGCGCACAGATAGATCTTAATAAAATGAGCGGGAAAAAAATTGCCTTGTGGTTAAGCCTCAAATCCCTTTGCAATAAACCAGAAAAAACCTTTCATATTTCCTTAAATAGTTTATCATTCATAAATATAATAAAAGTGTCTCCCCAGCTGCATGTCTGACGGGTAATAAAAAATGATCACAAAATATTTTCAGGGTTTAGAAAATCTCATTTACTTGACAATCCTTATTAAGAAGAGGCAAAAAAAGGGTGAGGGATTTGGGTCATACATTGCAAAATGTAGTTATCTCAACAACATACATCATGGAGAGCGCTCACATATTCATATATAATAATTGCACTTTATAATTATAGAGACAGTTTGCCATTTAACTGAACAGGCCAACATAAATAAATAGTATCACAGAACCAGTGCAGACACACACAGAACTTAACAGTCATACATATTCAACCATCAGAGAGAGTAGCCATACATAAAACCATACTTCATAAGATTAAATTGGCCTGCTTACCAGTGTGGCACTCCATTATACCCATATGTTAAAATGTCACAACCTTCAAGAGAAAAACATGATTTCATTCAAGAAAAATGTCCACAGCCTCTGAAAAATGCAAAGAGAAATACAGCCAAGGGGGCATGTCTTTCTTGGCCCAAAATGCCACAGTGTTGATTTGGATACGCAGCAGTCCTTATACATTGTGCCGAGCATGACTAAATGAAATCCATATGGTGTTCGATATCACAACTTTGACATAATGTATTTATATTCATATTGCAGCCAACTGAAAAAAAAAAAACATTCCCATACACTGATCAGAAAACTGGCAGAAACTAAGCAAGTGATTATGTTACTAAAAAGTAGACAAACTAAACCCAGCAGAACCTTGATCCAGTTAATAATGTAAGGATGTCCCCTCAAATGAAAAGGTGTAACATAAAAAATATACATCATATTCACAAAATCTGTCACCACCAAGTCCTTCCAAGATTCAAGTTTTGACTTTTTCAGTTTAGTTACTTTCCATTTCTGTGAAGATAAACAAAGGGATCATCTGCAAACGGTGCAACTCATGATCGAGCGAAATGGGAAATTCTGATTAGGCGCTCAGCATCTGTATCAAACATGAAAGAGCAGGCATATTTGATGGCCATTTAAGATATAAAAATCAAACACAAAAGTCCAGAGGATCAACCTGTATCTTAAGTCATGATTATCATTTACCATTTTAGGCTTCTAACACAAAGCCTTCAATGAACGTAGTACATGCACAAACTACAAAACGGCATGTCTCATTCTCAAAGACGTCTAAACGGACACATTTCCACCATCTATAAAAGGTTTTTCTCCTCTGCGTTCGCGTCTTATCTGTAGATAGGCAGCTGGATGTGAGTTTGCTGGTGGTGCTCCAGTAGCTGAGGCATCCCCACGGCTTCGTACCCGCGGCCCAGCATGCGCTCTTTGATGCAGGGCGGGTGGATCTCACTGATGAGGCACTCCAGAGACTGCAGGCTGCTGCTGAGCACCGCAGCGTGGCATAGGCTAGCACTCGGCAGCCCACAACAGAGGTTTTGGTCTGTGCTGTAGGCCTGGGAATGAGGATGAGGAAGAGGAGGAGGGTGGAGCTGTGGTTGATGGTGGTGGTGGTGTTGATGGTGGTTTGGGTGGAGATGGGGATGGGAGAGCCCCTGGTTTCTAGGCCTGGCTGCACATGTACCCGTTGCCATCACCTGAGAAGTGTAACAGTCGCTATGAGGAGTAGCTAGAGCACCATCCCAGAGAGGAGCAAAGAACTGTCCAACAGAGGGCTCCACCTGCATGGTGGAGCAGTTTAAAGAGGAGCGCTCCTGCCGGGCACCGACAACACTAGGATGCAGTCTATATGATGACAAAGGGAGGCAGGTTTCAGGAGGCTGGCTAGCATCTGCTGCTCTGAGCCCCTGAGTGCTATTCCTCACACTGTACACCCTCCCTGCTCCCTGCTGATACTGCTGCTGAATTTGATGCTTCTGTTGCCATATTGTGTACTCTCCCTTCTCTGCGTACCTAGCTTGGCCTCCCTCTGCACCCTGTGTAGGTATCACTGCCCCAGTAAATGCCAGACTGCTCTGGGGCGGCACTCCCAGAACAAAGTCGGAGTCTGAATTCGCCACTGCAGCCACAGCCTGCAGAGAGGGGCTGGATCGTGCCTCCCCCCCCAGCTGCAGGGCCTGGCTGTGGGGAACTCTGCTCATCTGCCTCATCATCAGGCTTTGAACCTCTGCCAGCTCAGACTGGGGGGCCAGGCTCTGATCTCCGGAGGCCATCCCTGTGCTAGAACAAACCATCTCAACGGGAACATCAGGGGGCTTACATGAGCTTATATGATAGGCCTTGTGCCCGTGTCTGACTGTGTAGCTGTTATTCAGAGGATTATTATACGGTGCCGCAGGAGTCTGGCTGTTTGCATGTTTAGTCCTCCTGCCCTCTGAGTTTTTCAGCACACCTCTGACCACCACAGAAGCTTTGACGATGGCCAACAAACCCTGGTATCCTCCTGAGTACGGGTGTGAGTAAGGGCTGTAGCGCTGTCCCGTGGTGTCCAATCCGTTGACTGTTTTGTTTAGCTGTTTGTGCTGTGGCACCCGGACGTCAGATGGAAAGATTTTGATGGACAGGGGACTGTTGGCAGTCTTCTGGGCAAAAGCATCCAACTCTGCAGGAGAAGGGTACCGAGAGACCATGGAGGCTGGCTCGCCTGTGAAGGGAGCAGACAGAAAGTATGATTAGCTTACAATTGGGGAAAACTTTGTCTCATAAAATCCTTTTTTTTTCCCCCTCACAAATTTAACCTTCTTTTCGGTGATATTTACAGACATGTGCATGTTTAAACTAATCTAATGGAGGTAAACACCTTGGGCACAGTTTGATTAGTCTTCATTAAAATTTATTCAGACAGAGAGGGGACCTGATTCCACCAAAAAGGGTTAAAGATGATTCACTGGATGACATTTAGCAGTAAAATAACAGCAGGAAGAAACTAGCAAAGGCTGGTTACTGTGAATAGAAGTAATTCTCTGAAACATTTTTACATGGAAGCCCTCTGCAGATGGTATCTATGTTCTTTCTTCCATCATTTTTCCTTTTCCTTGTGACGGAAGGTTTATTTATGGTTTTGTTTTTGAGATAGTCGAATTTATCTCCTAATTCTGTTATTTTAAAATGCTGGTTTTCCTGCAATAATAAATTCATTTTAATAGTTTTAACAAGATTTCAATGCATCTGCTCTTCCAGCTGACCAGCGTCTCTGTCATTCCTGAAAAAATAACTTTTTAGATTTATGTTTCATCGCTCAAACTACAGGAAGATTTCCAGTCTGATAATCTCAGTTCTTTTAAAACCAGATTAAAGACTCACTTGTGAACAGCTGCTTTTTACTAAATCACTTTAAAATTCATTTCAATGTCCATTTTTATTTCCAGTATAAGAAATTACACTGTACCATGAAAGCTTCTGTTTTTTATGTTGTATTTTCACTTGCTTTGATTCAAGAGGTCAGAGCTAGCTTCAGCTGTCACTTGACACAGACTAAGACCCATCTGTGAGTTTTAATCCTTGGGAAGCAGCTCCAGGGTGAATCAAATACAGAATTCATTTCAACTGTTAAATGTTTTCTTTCAATATGTTTTTCACTGAACACTCCTGCTTATGTCGGTGCCCCACTTGGATCACTGTTGGATACATGTTACTCAAGGCGTCCATAGTTTTAGACTCGTGTTCTTGTTCAGCCTAAAAAATAATCAACAAGAACTGAAATAAAACACCCTTTCACGGAGTAAAGATGGTGGGTGATTAGCCTTGCAGTCTAAAGGCTTCAATACCTCCAATCCAAACCTCATTTTTTTGTAGTTTCTAAAAAACTGTGAGCTCATTCAAGCATTTCCACTGTCTGCCTCGAATATTGTGCCCCAGTTATGCTTCATAAACCTGAACCGATTCTACTGTAAAAGCTTGGAACCCGTAACTGTGAAGGAAAAGTTGAGCCAGATGGAAAAAAAAAAAGCAATCACCAAAAGCACTGCGGATTGAATTGTGTGTGGGAAAGCTGACGGGACAAACCAAGATTGGATTTAAACACTATTATTCAAGCAATTTCACGGCTGCTTAACTCCCCGCGACAAAGGGAAAGGTGGGAAAAGGCGGCCCATTTAAAAAACAATAAATCACCTTGTAGAAATTACAGCCACCTTTTAGAGTGACACTTTTATAGAATTCCTGACATTCAGAGAAAAAAGGCTCTGAAATTAAACCAGATCAGGCTTTAAGTCGGTGGGAATCATAGAAGGCAAAAGAACAAGGCTGTAATCTGCAATAAAAGGGGCGCAAAATAAAAAAGAAAACACTTCATTTCATTTTCAATAACAAAACCAATTCCAGCTATGCAGGGAGGGAGAGGCTCACTTGTTGTTCCCGTTTGAAATTGATTTGGGAGTTCATTTCATTTCAGGGCCTACAGTGAGCCTCCCGACTGTGAAAATGATTCAATCTACAAGATCCATCTCATGAAAGAAATAAATTGGGTGTTTAAAATGGAGGGGGAAAAAAAGAGTGAAGGTGGTGTGTTCAATCCATCCAGCAATCTCCCAGTGGAGCAGAAGGAACAGTGCAGTGGTGCTGGGAGCATGTATGAATTCTACAGAGAAATACAACAAAGCAAAACACTGCTTATTATGTATCAGAGTGAAGTGCAGCTATAGGAAACCATAACATCTGTGACATAAGAGAGGTGTTTAACTGTGTCCAACATCCAGATGGAGGCTCTCTGTTCTCTAGTTTCCTCCTCTTGAAGAAACATCAGCTGCTGCATTGATTTTTAGTGGCTAAAATTGACTATGTACGATCATTATGATAAGTACAACTGCTTTATATCCGTGTAAGAAGAGCTTTTGAAGGGGGAAAAAAAGGATAGCGTGCATTATAAACCCTTGCATCTTAGGAAAACTTTTATTTCCCCGCCTTGGATAGAATTCATTTATCATGAAAAATGGATAACAAAACAAAAAAGAGGCAATTTTCATCTATTTCTCATCCAGTAAAATGTCAGTGTCATGCTCTTCATGCTGTGATTGGCTCTTTGCTCCGCGAACACTTCAAACACTTTGGATGCTAACACGTCTTCACAGGGTGTCTGATATTGTTAGTCCAGAGATTACAGCCCTGTCAGAGCCATGGAGACACAACACAGCTGCACTTCCCACTGCGGCTGCCTTAATGTGGCACTATGGAAACCTCATTAGCAAATAGGCCATCTCTACTCTGCATTCACTTATTTATTTTTCAAGGGCCACTACCGTACGACATGTGCATTAAAAAGGGGGCTAATTAAGCTGATTCTGACAGAAAGACCAACTACTGGATGATTCGAAGCTAAAACCTGAAATCAAAAACACCACAGCCAGCTTTAAAGGGAGCTTCAAGTTACAACCACAGGCATGCGTATCAATCTTTGGGACTTTAATACCAATCAGTGGTGTTAAATGGCAGTAAATCCAGCCCAGCATGTCATGTTTGTGGCTCTTCCAAGCATGTGGTTGTAGAAATCATAAAGCATACCCTGAAGTCTTCCTCAAACCTCCTTGTTAAACAGCCGAGAGAAATAATGTCAAAAATGTGTGGTTCTTGAACTTAAACCTGACACTGCAAGAGCTTAGGATCCTCTCCTCTTGTAGGCATAAGCCTGAACAAGTAGGCCCGTGTTACACAAGTAAAACATGCATGGCTTCTGAAGTTATTAAAAACCCTCAAAATTGGGATCAATCTGAGTTAGAGAGTGAAACAATGTATTTGGCAATCTTAACCCTCACATACCGTTCGGGGTCAAATTTGACCCGTTTTGACTTTTAACAGCAGTAAAAATACCCTAAACATCATTTTTTAAGCCTGAAACTTGACGACTTTTCCTGAAATAACCCAAAATACATGAAATTAATGAAAAAATATTAATGTGTATTTTTGTTTATGTGCTACAAATGTTTCCCCTCTAAGGCTGTTACGGGTCAAATTTGACCCGTATCTATATTTAGATGGATTTTAGATCTAGCAGTGTGGGACAAGTGACAAACAGTAACAACAGTGTTCAATTTAAGGTTTGTTGTTCAAAAAGATATATTCAAATCATTATGAAACTATCATTACCTTGACAGAAACACACACACACACACACGCACACAGTCACACAGACACACCTAGACAGAGGTCAAAATGACCTAACTAGTCAAGAGAACTTTCTGTGACAGAAACCTGCTCTTTGAACTCTTTGAAGGGGCAATTTTGATTGACAGGATTTGAACAGAATGTGAGGGTTAAACAACAAGCATGCATTAACCCAAGGGTAAACAATGAAGCTAATGCAAAATTGCTGAAAACTGCAGTTGAAGCTGTCTCTACACGCCTAGAAGACTTCATTAACACCTGAGTCTGAATGTTCATTGATACAGCAGAAACAAACATGTTGACAGCAGTGGTCGCCTGTTTATAGTTTACTGATAGTGACAGAGCAGACTGGCTGATTTACAGGCCTGCTTGCCCTTGTTGGGTCGACTCAAATTAGGTTGGGCTGTTATGACCAATATGGCGACCGCAATTGAAGGGCTTTGAACTCTAACCCCTACAAATGTGCTTTAGTTGAATGCAGCAAACAAAGAAATAAAATCTATATCTAACCCTCTTAGATATAAACAGGCTTTGAACATCACAACTAGTCTACAATTTTCTTTAAAATCTAAGGTGCTTTGACTGCAGCACAAAAATATGGTGAATTTGTAAAACCAGTCAGATAAAAATGTCTGCATACTATCCCCACAGACGTAGGACTCATAAGCCCATGATGCCTTTAGGAGATGAGATTTTTTATGTTGTTTTTCAAGTAGGTTTGCATTAATGAAGGCGTAATGTTTAGTACATAATAAGCACACAGGCGAAAAATGATCTCCATCCACCAGAGACCAACAAATCACATTACTCCCCCTCTCCCCAAGGTTACAAGATAATTAACAAAAAAAGGGAAAAGAAGATACACACATATCTATGGTTATTTTATATATTATTTCCTCTTTGTTCTCTTGTTGCCTCTTCAGGATTAATGAGTAAAACAGAAAGAAGGGAGGGAAGGAATATTGCGGCTCCATGCCTGTCTCTATCAAATGGCAAAGTAGTCACATAACAAACATCCAGCAATGGCAAATAAAGATGAGGAATGAAAACAAATACATGGCTGTTCACATGACAACGTGTGGAAAATGGCTGCTGTGTGCTGTCAGGTGAGGAATGGCAGGGAGATAATTAGCAGCCTGACCTTAAGCACTTAATCACCCTGAACCTACAGACTGCACGCTGCCTCACTCTGCAGCCTTGACAGAAAGCACAGGAGTGGAGACAGACAAAGAAAGCACAAAAAAACAACACCAAAAAGCAGCCTTCACCGAGCGCAACATGCAGTGACCCTTCTCATATTTTCTTCAATTGCTTCAAAGGGGCTGATCGAGGTAGCTTATGTAAGATTGAAAAGCTTTTTTGTAGTTTTTCCCTTTTTCTCAAAACTAGCATAATGACACTGATTTGGGACGCGTCTACAGAGCTGGATTGATAGATTTAATGGTCCCACTTGTCAGGTTTCCTATGTTTTCTCGGTTGGAATGGGCTCCACACATTAAACATGCTGCTCAACTGTTTTGGCCCCACGCTGAGAAAAACTGGCACACTTTCACAGGAAACACCTAATCCTGATTTCCTCTTTCCTGCATGGAGAGAAACAGCAGGAGGTGGAAGGCCAATTATAGACTCTCAATCACCACAAGGCCTAAATTGTTGTGTTTGTGCATGTTTTGTGTGACTGTAAGGAAGGGATTTTATAAATAATAGCACAAAAATGCTCTAAAGGAATAAAACAGCTGATATTTACCAGTCAGTGGTGTACATATATAGTTTTCACAACCCCGTTTCCACTCCCATACAATCCCAATCCCACGCTTTGCGCCACTTAAAAGTAGCTAATCTTTTCCCCATGGTCACACTTGCAGCCATTAACCCCCAGATTAGAGCGGAGACCTCATTGTTTTAGCGCAGTTTGAGTTAATCACTAATTTATGGGGAAAACAAGCCCCAGAGGCAGGGCTGAAAACAGCATTATTGTGTCTCCAGAACCAAGACCTCCTGCTTCATACTTCATACCCAGAGGGCCAACATGAGGAAACTATTAAGATGGCCACGACGGAGCATTCCCATAAGGTATAGGCCTAAGTTAAAAAAAATGAAAAATCATACATAATTCCTTGTTTATTTGCATACATGTTGGCTGAACTGACAGCCAAATATCCTGCAAGCCTCTAATGTAAAGCTGGGACACGTTTGTGAGATAACATGTTTACTAGCGTTAAATCCCCGGCAGGAACTCGACACGGCGAACCCCCAAGTTAATGCCAGAACGCAGCTCCACAGCAGGCGTAAATACTTGTTTACTGCACCAATAATCCTGATATTTAAAATACTCTGGACTACGATAATGAGCGAGAGCCAAACTCGGCACACTCGCAGTGCATAAAAAAAAAAAAAAAAAAAACTATGTCTCCGTTACCATGACAACCACTTCAATGCACCCAGTTGGCCCAATAAGCTCAGTCATTAGGACCATGTAATTAATTGGCCCTGACCTCATTCATCTCCATGAGACAAGCTGCTGCAATCGAATATCTGCTGGTTAGAAAATGCTGCAACACCATCAGCTGCACAGCACACATTTAAACAGAGGCTCAATGTTACCTTACACTTTTACATTTATATCATTAAACAATTATCGTGTAGGGTTATGATGGATAACTTCAGTTTCGACAACATAGATGAAGCAGGAGTAATCAACATTTGGAGACAGGAAGATACTGAAAAAAGGAGATGGGGTAAGACTATGAAGGGAAAAGTGAACTTAGACTGTAAACATGCATTTGGGTAAGAGATATCCACTCACAGGTTAGAAATATTCTTCTGCATGGGACAGTCACAGTGAGTGAAAGCTAATTTTTCATGTTGTCAACGGTCTTTCCAGAAAGCATGTTAATACTCAGGGTAAATCTTTGATAAATGTAACACCTATCATCTGAATTAGTTGCGCTGACAAAGCAACCCTAATTTACCACAACTCTGATTAGCATGTCTGCGTCTCCGCCTCTATGGCAACGACTGTCAAGGCAAAAGTGTTAAGTGTTGAGCTATCGGGAAAAAACTTGTTGTTGGAAAGAGTGGGTTTGTAGGTGTTGTTGAAAAGGAGAAAGAGTTAGCAGGTTAAATAAACTCTTTTGTAAAAGTGTCCAAAACCAAAAAAACAAATATGCCATCAATGCTAAAAAAGTACTGAGATAAAAGCTGTCTTTGCGTTTGTGGCTAACTGACTCCTTTCACACTGAAGCTAGTGACTCATTTCAAGTCAGAGTTGATGATTGACTTACACAGATAATTACAGAGTCAGCAGAATGTTTCGTGTCAGATTCATGGAAGGAAGTAATCATATACTTAACTTAAGTGAAAAGGTCAATGTCTTCACTTAAATTGACAACATAAGGAAGGTAGAAACACAAAGAAAGCCGCGCAGGTTTATAAATGTACTCATCATTACTTTGCTTTGTACAGCCTTCTTTTAAAACACACACAGGGTAGTTAAAAAGACACTCCGTTTTCACACGCCTTTCTATCTCAGTGTCAGTGATCCCTAAATGAAGGGTGCTAATAGAACAGAGTTACCTCAGGGCTGAACACTTTGTTATGTGTGCTCGGGGAGGCTCTGGCGAACACTCCTTTGCACCAGTGTCACTCCTCATTTGTTTCTGTGCCGCTTGGCCCAGCTTGGGCAAAGTTTCCCCACTCAAAGCTGACCCGAGCGCAGGCCAGCAGCGTGGGAAAAACCATTTCCAGCCTCGGCTTTGAAGCTGAGATAGCAGAGGAGAGAACATCTCTCATTCACTCTCATCACATAAATCCTTAGGCTGGTTTCTCAGAAATCTTTCACATGGGTTTGCACCGCTGAGGGCTTTCATGTCCCGCGCCTTCCATTTATTGATAGCTCAAAAAGGGAAAGGCTTTCAAAAGCGCAGCAGTGACTAAAGACTGTCCCTATTTATCTCAGTCCAACAACGAGTCATTTAATGAAGAAGCCAGGGCCACACAGACTGAGCTCCCCCATCAGCCGTCTATTCCCCGTGGTAGTGCTTGAAATGTCAGACTAGAGCTGGAGGGTGCTGCACTATACGCACAGACGCAGTGCATAAAACTCAAGAGGGGGGAAAAAAGGCCTGCAGGTAAACAGGATGAGAAATGCAGGGCTGGTTCTGCCTCGGGCAAAGTAAGCCCGTCTGTTCCAGCGTTTAGCAGACAAGTGCTTCATTGATTTCCAATTAATATTTAATACCAAAAAAGACAAAAGAGGAATTTAACCTGGGGAGATAGATGGAGGATGGGAAGGGAGAGAAATGATAGGAATTTATTAGGATATAAAGTGTTTGCCTGCGAGTATAAATGGGAAAAATGATGACGCAAAACAAGCTTTGTGTTAACACACAGTGATAGGGATGGAGATCATTAGTTTTTATGTCAGCAGCATTATTGAGCCGCCTGAACGACTAGAGTCTCTATTGATACCACTCTTGATTCTTTTCTACTAATTGGTGGAAAGATGACAGTATTTTTCTTCCCTAACTGGTTGTGTTTTAGTGATGTTTTCTTTACTTTTGCAGCCTTCAGATTGGAAAGCTCTAGTTAGGTTGAATTTTTGAATCAGATCTTTATCAGAACTGGTTTTGATCTCCATCCTATTTTCCTACAGAGGGCGGGACTGAGATCACCTTTTTATATTGCTCTACAAATATTGTGTACTGACTTCTACACACTTTAAAGATATCCCATAATTCACTGTAGAGTCCATCCAATTACAATAAGACTGTATTGCACACTATCATGCATTGAGCTAAAAAAGCAAACAGGGTCCCACTTTACTTGACACCTATCTCTATAACCCATTATAATTATATGTACAATGCATCATAATCACGTTTTCGCACTGTATAACTATAGTAATAAACACATAAATGATCATAACGCTTTATAGCAATAATCATAACACATTATAAAGCATTTTATCATGACTTACAATGTCTGGTGTTATAATGTGTTATGCTTATTGTTATAAAGCCTTATGATAATTACTGGGTGTTTTTTCTTAATGATAGAAATACAAGTTTATAAGCAAATTATAACATATCCTAAATAAATGCATAATGCATTATCTATGTGGGCATTGTCAGTGAGTTGTTAACAGTTATAACACATTATAATACCTGACCTTGTAATATATTCATAATGCATTACAGAGATAGTCGTCGAGTAATGTGTTTCTGAAAACTGTAATGAAGTTACTTTCTTTTGCATGTTTGATCAAAAAACTTTACTGCTTTTTTAGTCACACCAACCATTAAAAACGACAAGAACAGCTCCCGACTGAAACACAAAAGCAGGTCTAATTAGGGAGAGGAAAGCGAAAACACTTGTGTATACGCACAGGTGTTCCTGAAACCTGATCACTCCCAGCTCACTAAATCTGAAAACAATCTATACTTCCAAGACTACCAACATCCCCTATGTAATATAAAACAGATGAGGGATAAGAAGATATTTCACTGTGTTATTTTTCATGATGGATGAACGAAGATATGCTTTATGAAAGAACACAGGCTCATAAAAATAAACATGAAACATGATCAGACGGATAAGATAATTCAAACTACTGCCTCTAGCTGCAGACAATGCTGCGTGTGTCATAGGCTTATCTAACCTTGATAGTCAAATGTGATTCAGTCCAAGTATAATAATAATATACACAAGTACAGTTCTGTATCGGAGTGTTCAGTTTTCCATGAGGCCAGAGTCCATACACTTTCATTTGATTTACAACAATCCTTATTGGCTTCCTTTCCATGTCTCCAAATAAAACACTTTAATAGAAATAGTCACAGACACAAATAAATAACAATAAAAGAAACTGCAACACCTCTGCCAAATAGAACAAAAAATCTTTAAAGGACTAAATAATGTCATACTTCATGGTTAAGTCCATTCATAAAACTACAAAACACATCTAGCTGAATCATTAAACTGTAAGTAGTTATAGATCTGCAACACAGCTTCAAACCAGACCCAGCGCAGAAAAAAGAGGCATCAGCAATTTTTAAAGCAATCGAGAAAAGGAAACCGCAGCAGAATAACTTCATTTGTGCCACTGTGATCTCATTATGTGAGTGTTGACTGTCCAGGAATGAAAAAGACTATGCAATTTGGGAACAGTGCACAAATAATACCCACGCAGAGGCTACTTTATAAGAAAAAAGCTGTATCAGAGTCAGATCTTACCCCGCAAACACGTCTCATTCAATCAATTAATTTCACCAAATCTAATCACAAGTGTCGGTGCAGGTTAGTCCCAAAGACTCCCCACTCAACCTTTCAATGACTGCAGTATAATCAGTCAAGATGAAGGTCAAACAACACTGACAAGGAGCACTTTCTCCACAGAATGTGAACATCATTAGAAACCCTGTACAAGAGACCTGATTAACTGTGTAATTTCAGAGTCCACTTTGACCTGCACACATTTGCACTGCAGGAGCACACTGATTAGTTGCCCAATTAAAAGGCATCATCATCATCAGGCTGCCTATTATTTTAATTTTAGAGGCTTCAGAGCTGCTCAGCACACTGCTAAAACCATACAGGATTTTTTATGTGCACCTAGAGGCTGCAAGGTCAAGCTAAACGTGATGGATTAAAAGTATCTGAGGACATGACCAAGGTCTTCCAAGTTACCTGCATTTTCTATTTCAAGATATTGATGTAGAAGTTGCTAAATGTCAACCCCTACGTGATTGATACTCACCTTTGCGTGTGCACTGCTGTAGCGGTGGCACTGACAGCAGTAATGGCGTTGCGGGGACATCCAGACTTTTAGGTTTGCAGCCAAGATGCTGTGATGAGAGATTCTGCCGTCTCTGGATACAGGCCAGCATGATAGTTCACATGGGCTGAAAGCAGCCTGGATTAACCTGCTAGAATGAAAAAAAAAAAAAAAGGTTGTTACTTAAGTGCAAAGTAGCAGCAGCGTTTGCACCGTCTCATTCTCTGAACATCACAAATCTCAATACAATATGAGGTATCAATCATACTTAGTTTTTAAACTTGATAATTTGCAAAAGTGGTGCACAAACCAACAGCCGAAGTTTGGAAAAACAGCAAATTATCAGCAATACATTGAAAATATTGCATCAACACTCGTCTACTATTGGAAGAAAAACAGCAAGCTGGCTGAGAAAACGCTGAAAACATCAGGAAATTCCTCCTTCAAAAACATCTTTTTAACCTTACTTCAGCAGCATTTACATCGAACACCCTAAAACTCTCCAACCGCTATGTTCACTCACCGAATAAAAATTCAGCAGGCACTCTTCAATCTACTGAGACTGAGCATTCAAGCTAAAGTGATATCACTTCAGGACAACTCCATTTCCATCCCTCTTACAAGTTGTTCTGATGGCTCTTTGCTATCATCAACCTTGTTCTGTCAGTTACAATCACACAGATCATTAACAAGGCCTCCTGTAGCCTCAAGCTGTGTGTTTTAATTTGTAACCATCCCTGCGACCTGAGTTTTATTGTTCAATAAATTTATGGTTGTATTGATCTGCAGAGAAGGCCAAAAGCAGCTCTCTCCCTTAAATAGGCTGTGCTGTTAGCAGACTTAAGTATTGTCAGAGGAAATGAAAGGCTGCGTCTGAATGAGAAGGCGCCTCTTCACAGCTGCTGATTGAAGCAATCATTCTGCAGACAAAGCCGGGCGCCGAGGGGATATATCAGCAATTATTGCTTTTGACATTTGCTTTGATTATCTGAAGAGTCAAAGATCTGAATGCTAGTAGCGCAAAACTAAAAAACCAGGAGATAAGTAAGTGCTTATGGTGATATAATTCTTACTTTATCTGTGTCAGGTACATCTGCACCTACGGACCCTATTCATAAACTCAAACGCTAATGTGAGCTAAAATCTTTGTGTCAAGTTTTGGGTTAAGTCTGACAAATCATGTCATTTCAGCGTTTCCCAAATCACTGTTAGCAAGGAAAGGTCTCGATGCTAAAGCTTTTGAGAGTGAGACAAGAAAGAATATGACTGAACTTTCAAAAATGTCATTTACTATCGAATAACAGCCAATATTAGCATTAAACCACAGCTACTCATGGAGTATCCTGCAAAACAATCTTGAGGCATGTAAATGTTCAACCACTTCTTAGCTTAGACAGTAGCTGGTGGCTAACATTAGGTGTTGTTTGATGGTTTAACGGCCTCTATGAATGTTATTCTACCTTGAAATATGAGCCAATATCTCTCTGAATGTTATTGTCATTTTTCAAAGTTGTTCAATCTAAAGATATAGCTTTGAGAACAGCAACTGAATTTGTCACCCTGTGTTGCTGTCAAGGAAAAGGTATGAGAATATGGTAAAAGTGAAACAAAAATCTGACTTGTACTTCAACAAAAGTTACTATAAAACTAAAAAAACCCTGTACTTTTACCTCAGCAGAGCAGTCCCCAACAAGGGTAATATAAGCCTGCAGCACACAGCTGTCAGATTGCCTCTTTTCTTGCTAAGTTTTAAGGTTCTTTAGAATTTTGCTTTCATTTCTCCCTCAGGGTTCAGAGGGCAGCCTAAGCGGTTCAACCACAGAACAGAGTGTTCAGTGATGAGTTGCAGAAGCCTGATTACCCTCTCCTCAAAAATGGAAGAAAGACAGAGTGGCTTTCGTTTTGCTCAGGTGCCAGGAGAAAAAAAAAATTCCCTCACTCTTCCTTTTCCTCATGCGCCCGCTCCCCTCCTCCTCCTCCTCCGCTCAACATCTGTCCCCTGGTGACAAGCCCACTTCAAACTGCTCAGCGCAACCTGTCTCATCTTAGCACACACACATGTGAGGAGCTAAAAGCCTTGGTATGTTCAGATTCCATTTTGAAAATAATGGCAATTTCACAATAACCCTTCCATTACAACACATTTTTGTGCTGAGAGGAAGGTGACGAAAACGCAGGGTAGAGTACGAGGAAGGAAAGGCATCTCCAGGGAAATCCCTTCCCCAGCAGAAAATGAGACATAAATTGGAATACCTTCCATTACTCCCATAATTTGCAGCTGGAATAAAATACATCAGGGAGGATGTTATAATTCAAAGAGAGGCCAGCAGTGGTTTAAAGAAAAGAAAGTTTCTCTGAAAGCAGCAAAGGGAACTAGAAATAAGGCAGAAAGTGTGCGTAATGATGGTTTCTTTCATCCTGGTATCTGAATTTTAAATTTAAAGAGATTTTATAAAAACTTAAGCTTAAAATTGCCTTCTCGCTCATGAGTGAAGTAACTGGGAAAAAAGAGAGACATGAGATAAAACAGATCCCAGAATGCATGATTTTATCTGGGCTCATTCTCAAGCAATATCACCATCTCCACTCCTCCACATGAGACAAAATAATATTTCATGCCCTCACTTTCTTTCAGTGCTAACAAATGACTGTCTAAGAAGGTCACAATACATCCCTTTATAACAGTGACAGGCTGAAATATGAGGGAAATTAGGGACAGACAGCTGCAAATAACAGCCCGCCATCTTTAAAGAGGGACTCAGCAGTGTGACTCTACTCAACCTTTACAATAAGAGACACACAATAGTTGATGTCACTCTCCTTCAAGCCATTTTCTTACGTGTCTTAAACGTTCTCCTAACATGTTCTCCAAAGTCTGTTCTTTGGTCTTTTCCACCTCTTACAAGTTCATGCATTCACAGACTTCTTCAACATGTGTAATAAGGAAAAGAGCACAAAGTTTACGCTGCAAGGACATCTAATCCTTGCCACTCTCAGGTGATATCCATGCAGCTGATAAGCTGCGTGATGCGGTCCACTGAGGGGGCTGCCAGGGCGATAAAGACCTTGTGCTCTGCTGTCCGTCTAACTGTTCCCAGTGGTTTCCTGATAAGGATGTCTTGGCAAATAAATCTATTTTTCAGGCCTGTTTCCTTGTCATTGACTGGTCGGAAAATGTCACATATCCTTATGTGTCGTCTGTCCTCAGATCAGGAATAAGAGAAGGAGACAGGATCCATTTAAAAGGCTTAAGACCAATGATGGAGGGACTTTTGCTTGGTTTTAAACTCATTTACTGCTAAGTGGCTCACTTCTCTTGAGACAATAATGCCCGACAACCCAGAGACAGATTTAGCTTTCTTATAATAATCTAAAAGTCTCATTTCTTACTGTTTGTCTGTGAAAAAGCAGCAGCAAAGGAACATCCATCAAAGCAGGAAAAGGCACTGAATTATACAGGGACTCAGACACGAGCATCTGTCTGACCTTCTGGAGTCTTTCATGACTTCGTGCAGCATCAAGGGTCAGAGCAAAGATAAGAGCAAACTGCAAAAAAAAGAGCCTCCCCCTCAACAAACATGAAAGGCACAGAAAAAAGAAACACACTGCTTCACACACACACGAATCACTCTGCCACATTCACACTCACCCCTCCCGAACAGAGCTATCTCAGCTCCTGTTAGCAGCTCTCTGAATCCTCAGTTAATAATTAGATGATAATGAAAAAGGTTTAAGACGAGCACCCTTTTCACTCTCGGGGTGGATTAGCATGTGAGTGCTATGCTAATGTTTTTTTTTTCCCCCCTCTCAGAACCCTCAGACGAGGACTAGGAAAACGACACAAAAGCAAAAAGGTTAATTTGGAAAGAAATAAATGATTAACTGGGAGCAATTGGTCGTTAAAGAGGAGAAAAGGCAGCGTCTCTCTTTAAATGACATGCTCCCTGAATGACAATCCACTCATTGTGTAATTAATTGTATATTATGTATGGCTTTTATATTATCTTTAAGGCGGGCACAGCAAGATCCTGTCTCAGTAATGGAGACCAGACAAGTAGGCTGACGGAGGACTGAATTAGACAGCAGAGCTTCTGCAGCTGCTATATTCATCTCTATATAACCATCCACGCACACACACTGATCCCCCACCCCCCTCATACATTTTTAACAGAATCTATTACTTCTGGATTAGCCGATAAGAGCTGGCCTGGTTAAATTCTATAATAGTTTGCATAATTGGTATCAGAGCAGCATATAAGAGAGACCCAGATTTCCTTCTTCTCCTCCTCTGTAGAGAAAGAAAAAGAGGGCACAAAGGTTCACATACAGGATAACCAAACAACCTGGAGCCACTCCGCTCCACGCTGCAAGAACACTCCAGGCCCGCGGCTGATAACAATGAGCCTCATTTCCATCCAGATTAGCTCCTGTAAAAGGTATTACAACAGCATTAAGAAGCGTTTCCTATACAATTCATGCGCAAGCACAGATTTTATGTAAATACCATCTCCGGGTAATATTCAGACAGATGTCCACAGAATGTAACTGGATGGAAATCATACAGTGTCAACGGCTGAGTGTCTGAGAGAAAATGAATGTTACCATTTCTGCCATGTAGTCATCACAAGACGGTTGCGATACAATATAAAGCTCCAGGCACAGATGTCTGAAAATGCTGCAAATTAGAATAAAACACACAATCCGCTAAATTACAAGAGACAACTTTAAACGCTATCTCAACTATATCATGCATATGTCCTCATTACTGCATGGACATGCGTCAGAGGAAAGGCTTATGCAGGAATAAACCAATCTTATTAAAATATGTAATGCTCAATGTGGCCTATCACTTTAAAATACCTGTGTTCAAATCACCTACCCCCTTGCATATCCATAAGCTGCCCCTGTTTGTTTGTAACAGTGAACCAGCTCTGCATAATCTATTGCCCTCCACAGTATACCGAAAACAGTTGAAAAACAAGAATAAACTGAAGTTATCACCCAGTTCTGTTTAAGACTTTAAAACTGGCGCACAAGGTTACAGGTCTTATAGTTGTTTTCCTTCCATCACGGAAGAATCTGCATTAGTCCACAGGGCTATCAATAAATTTGGACTATCAAATCAAGACTTGACTTTTCAGTAAAACTAGTAAAGCTACTTTAAATTGCATATGTGTTTAGGAATATTTCATGTACATGTATTCTGATTTTTAAGTTTTACCCATGTCCCATCTGTTGAAATGGAGGAGGCTGCTTTTATGACCAACAGTGGAGAGAGCTAAATCCTTGGCTTCACAATTTGCACATTATTTTTCACAACAACGTCACACTCGAAGAATCTTAGAAATGATGGGACAAACCCATGAAACAATAATTCAGACTCTCGGAGACACTGAGAATGAATTTTGCCATGAATCCAAAGCCGCACAATTGCACCTTATCTTTGTGCACAGCCTTTGATAGGGAATAAAACGCCACGGACTGACCCAGATCTGCCCTTGCCCACAGATGGTGCCAAGGTAAAAGAAACACACCGCATGGGGTAAAACCTTGCCAATGCCAAGGTAGAATTAGAAGGTAAACAGAGCCTTATCTTATCCTTATCCCGGTATATGCACACTGACACACTGTCAGAGAGCTGTGGGTGTGCTGTCCAGCCTTTAGAAAACCTTGACTTCAAAGATAACAGATGGTGAAAGAGGGAGCTGAAGGTTTTATGGTAAGATAGGTTATTTTTCAAGAATCAGACTCAAGGTAACACACTCAGGCATGTCTCCCATTTTCACAAAGGGCTCTGAGATCTATAGAAGCAAAAACAGCAGTAAACAAAGACTTTATATCAAAACATTCAGCCCACCCAACCCCTTTCCACAGCCCTGTCCTCTGGATATTTACTCCGCTGTAACACTGTTAAGGGTCACTGATTCCTGCTAGTCATTAAAATCCTCAAGCAAACATAAAAGTCATTAGAAACCATGGAGAACATACTGCCTGTAATGTAGGAGATAACTTAATGATGCGCTCTCTACCATGAAACATCAAAATGTTCCAGGGAAAAAAAGGCTCTTTGATCTCTGGACCAACTCAAAAATTTCATCATCTCACTGCGTTTTCCATTTGGGGCAAATGATGATGCATCAATTGTAATTTGGTAGCTGTAATCATTAATTTGAAGTAATGACTGACTGAGAGCCATCATGTCGACAAAATAAAGCTTACTGGAGCTTGCGGCAGTCCCCTCTTCAATGACCTCGGAGGCGCAGTCCCTAACCTTCCACCCTTAACCCCCTGTCTTTATGCCCCTTCATCCTGTTAGAATGAAAAGACCAATTAGACAGATTTCAAAAGATAGCAGGCTTCCTCTAATTACACATGACGTCCCTTAGCAGATAAAAGGTTGATCACAGAGGGTGCAGTAGAAGAATCGCTAAGCAACCAGACCTGTGAGCTTTTATATTTATGTTTTTGGAATAATTTTGGATCATTTAGCTGAAAACCCACTCTACACTGAAAGGTTTCAGACTCAGAACCAATCAGAAGTCATTTGATGGTGATGTGCTAGTGGGAGGGGTGGCCAGACCAAAAGGTGCAAGTTTTGCAGGGACCCCCAGTACAGAGGCTACCGTCTTCATCGCACTGGTAACAGATTTGACTTTCCGTCCTGCCACAACCTTTCTTCACATTATTTGCCTCTATGTCCTATCAAGTATCAAGCCCAAAATGCTGGTCATGTCCGAGCTGTTGCCAAGTCACTCACCACCAGTGTGGGCCATGGCTCAAACGTGCCACTGCCGTCATGTTTCAACGTCCTACTATCTGGATGTAAACAAACCCAGATCTAAATTGAGTTGTCTGTTGTATGTCTGGTTACAATGGTGTAAAACCAAGCAGAGCAGTCCATAACCAATACAGACAATCGGAAATAAACCTGGAAGGAGGACCCATAGCTGATGGTGCCAGGTCTACTAACATAAGCTAACGAATCTGGCAATGTTGACCCACTGATGCTTGGTAGTTCGAAACAAATCATGCTAAATTTTGACTGTTTCCAAGTATTTTCTTACATGAAGATGAGTCAGTTAGGTGGAATTTTTATCTAAGAATAAGTTTCTTCAGAATAACCATAGTTTCGAAATTCTGGTCTATCCTGCTTCCACATTTACAGTGACAGTGTTGTGCCAGTTACTACCCTTGTTGCTGGCTAAATAGCACATGATCTGCTTCACCATTAAACCTCTGTGCCTGCAATATAAAATGCTGAGTCTAAGAGAGATCTCGATCATCCAATGTAAAAAGGTGATATCTACTGGTAACTTAAGATGAACGGGTCTGTCTATAAGCCATAGCTAGCTACACTTGCATACAGATGTTGTTTAAAAGACATCAATTTGGACTACATGACCACTAAACTACAAAAGGGTTCCAGGATTGCTATAGTAAATTAGGTCCCCCCTTTTCTCACTCCACAGACTGTTTTCCATCCAGTACACAGTCAAGGCACAAAAAAACACAAGATGATACTACTTAAAGCAGAAATTTAAAGGTATGGATTTCTTTAACAAAATCCACTAAAAAGGATCCAATAGAGCCTTAAATGTAAAGCCAGGGATGACATGGCAGAAAAAGACATGACCTTAATCAGCCCTCGTTCTGGCCTCGGTAACAAGCATCCAAGAAAAAGGTCACTCTTGTGGTTGAGCCATTTCCTGCTTTCAGTAACTCGGTAGGCATGGAGATTGAGCAAGCCGGGGGAAACTTCACAATAAATCAAGAGCTCAGCTTCGCTCCTGAGAAGGCAAAGGGAAATGGGCAGCCAAACTGACAAATCCCTTCTCTTCACAGAGCTGGAATTACTGCTGGGGGTGTGATATGAGATCAGAGGGAAACCCCCATGGGATACCTGCACATTGACTAGCTCATAGTGGGACACAATTAAAAGGCTGTGTAGGCAAGTTCAGGCCACAGACATTTGAGACAAACAACCACATCTGAAAGCACCAGTGACAATTCACAATCTGTACAAAAACGTAGTCAGTAATCCAAATATGTGGATCATATGAGGAACTCAACATTTACTCATTAAGTAAAAGCATGGACTGTGAAACTGAAGTATAGATTTTAGAGTGAATCAAGTCAGCCAACATATTTCAGGATGAAAAGAGCATGAGGCACTAAAAATTTATGATGAGGTGAATCAAAAGCCTTGATTTTAATGGGTTTGTTAGAGGTCCAAAAAAGAAAGGCATGTTCATAAAAACATTGGAATACATGATCTGAATCTTTTTTGGGACATTTAATCCATGCAAAATATGTCAAACATTTCCTGATGAAGCTGGTTTTCATGGAAGCACTTGCTGCTTTTAATTGTGCGAATGGTTTGAGGCTTGAAACACATGGTGGACCAAACAAGCAATTTGAAGACAGGATGTGGGGAGTCCTGATACATTTTTTTTTTTTTACAACTTAGAGAGGGCAATCGTTAACAAATAAATGTTTATGACAGAGTAGTCACAAACCATATTATTACTTCTAATTGAGGGTGTTGATGTTTTCTTCTGGTGAAAAAAAAACAGCCCAAGAGCACGGACAATAACCCTCCCCAAATTGTTGGCTTTTCTCTTCTGCCTCTGGTGGGAAGCTGTGACATCCCATCTCTCTGAGTAATAAAAGATCTGGCACAGGCAGGGAAAAAAGCACGCAGGGTAGAATTTCACACCTGGCCAATAATCTATAGGCCCCTCTGCTGCGACTATAACCTTCAACCTCTGCTGCCACCGGTGCAGTGAGGTGCGATGATCCCACCTCCGGCTTCCAGACAATGGAAATGGAAACCTTCAGAGGCAGAGCTGAATGACCGATAATATACTTCAAAGCACTTCCTGTGTATCAACTGGCATATAAAGCCATTTACCACCCCCAAGATGTCACTTTGGAATGAAAAGATTAGACTAGAGTTAGAAAAAAAGCAGATATTTGATATGCAAATTCATTCTCCTCATTTCAATTACCAAATTAGCTCTGCTATTAACTGTAATTAACTGTTGCATACATCTTATCTGTTTTCTTCTCTTGTATCCTAGATCTATTTTCTACGGTGAGATGAAATTACATGCCTCATAGTTCGGCCCATAAAAATACACACACTGGCTAATAACAACAGGACAATCACAAGCTGTCAAGTCAGATATGGGCGATACGCTCCTGTCCATCAGTGCGCACTTGGCATCTTTCACCACCTCAGCGCTGTCATCCCAAAATAAATAAGAAAAATCCTGGGAAATTATCTGTTTACCCTTGAATTTAAGTATTTCTACTGTTTTTTTCTTTCATGAATAAAGATCACCTTAGAAACCAACAGACATTTCCTGCGCTAAAACATTTCCAAGAGCCCACACACTGTCCCATAACAATCAAAAAAAGGAAATTAGAAATGTAATGAATGTCTTACAGAGTTTTTTCTTATCATAAGGCTTGTTTATCTTTGGTTCGCCACGGCTGATTGGTTGTTCTCCTGCTCGGAAGGCGTATTTCCTCTGCAAAAGCAATCTCGCCTCTGATTTCGGATTGCGCACTGGAAACCTCCGCTGTTATATCCATTGATGAAGCTGGCTCCATTAACAGTACTTCCTAGACATCCTCAGCACTCGTAAAGTCGATAATTTCACCGATTGTGATTTCTTTGCAGCCGCTTGTTTGCCATCTCGGAAAGAGAACGGGCTGTGTGTGCCACTGAGAGTGATGTCGGGATGGAAATGAGTCCTCTGTGCTGTTGAAACCGGCTCTGGGCCAATCAATCACGGCTGGATTTGAATATTCCCACGGCTCGGCCAATGGTGTGACAGGGGAGGCGGCACGCTACCAGGATGCCAAACCCGTCAAAGTAAGCACGTTGCTGTTTCGCGGAAATTTTTAAAGGAGAAGAGCGTCTTTAGTTTTTGATCTATTCTGCTCCTGTTTTTGAAAGCCAATGCAGTTTAACATCAAACCAAAAAGACGCTGAAATGAACTCTTAACTGGAGCAGACATGCAGTGAAGTAGCTGGATTTCAAAGCTGCTTTACTTTGGAGCTGGACAATGTCAACTAAATTGGTTGTAATGATGGAAAAAGACATCTGCTGAAGTAACACAAGGTAATGAAACAGGTCATCTTAAGTGGAATCACTTTTTACTTACCAAAAAGTAGTTTAGAGTGGATCACAGGGTCATCTTAGTAAATAAGAACATTGTGATTATTTTGTCTCCATGGGGTTCAGGTCAGGCCACTTCACTGGCTGATTAAAGGGATATTCCGGCATAAAATTAATTTAGGGTCAAACACACCGTAACACCATAATGGACTAGTTCAAGGTCTCGCTACAAAGGTGAGTTGCGTTTAGTCTCTTTGTTAAAGAAATCAGGTAAAGTTAAAAAGATGTTTGGTGGCTAGTGCTGTGGCTGGGACCCTATATGTACTGTTGATGAAGTTAGGTGCTGTTCTGAGCATTATTTGTGGCTATAGAGTGGCGTTTTGGTTGAGATTTGTTTATGGCTCCTCAGACCGCTGTGTATTGCTATTGTGCGGTTTTTACTAAAGTTGGTATAACTAGAGAAGCAAGCGGTCGGCAACATTCATCTCTTGAGGGGGTGTCGAACTCAGTGTTACGGTGTGTTTGACCCTAAATTAATTTTATGCCGGAATATCCCTTTAATCAGCCAGTGAAGTGGCCTGACCTGAACCCCATGGAGACAAAAAAAAAATCACAATGTTCTTATTTACTAAGATGACCCTGTGATCCACTCTAAATTACTTTTTGGTAAGTAAAAAGTGATTCCACTTAAGATGACCTGTTTCATTACCTTGTCTTACTTCAGCAGATGTCTTTTTCCATCATTACAACCAATTCAGTTGACATTGTCCAGCTCCAAAGTAATGCAGCTTTGAAATCCAGCTACCTCACTGCAGGTCTTGACCTTAAATTAATTTTATGCTGGAATATCCCTTTAAGCACAGTAACATCATATTATCATCGACAAGGAGTAGCTCTGGCACTGTGGGCAGGTGCTAAGCCTTGTTGGCAAAAAAATGAATCAGCATTTCCATAAAGCTTGTCAGCAGATAGCCATGTAAAGTGCTTTAAATCTCCTGACAGACAACTGCGTTGATTTGAAATAAAACACAGCAGACCGACACCAGCAGATGAAATGGCACCCCTGATCATCACAGACTGCAGAAACATCACACTCGACTTCAAAGACCTTTGATTCTGTGTCTCTCCACTTTTCCTCCTGACTCGAGCACCATGATTTTCAAATGAGATGCAAAATTTACTTTCATCTGAAAAGAGGACTTTAGATCACAGAGCAACAGTCCAGTTCTTTTTCTCCCTGACTGAGATGTTGTCTCTGATTCACAAGTTTTTTAGTACTATGACAGCTGAAGACGTCTATGTATGGTTGCTGGTAATTCACTGACATCTGCCTGGGTCCAGCTCTTGTGAATCTCTCCCATGTTCTTGAACTGACTTTTCCTGACAGTCTTCTCAAGGCTGTTGTCATCTTCGTTTCTCATGCACCTTTTCCCACCTCATTTTTTCTCTGCAATCAAATTTCCACTTTATGCTTAGAAACAGCACTCGACAAACAGCCAGCCTTTCCAACTATGACCTCTCATGGTTTGGTATTGTAATTATATAAACTTTTTATATGAAATGCTGTTCTAATCTATAGAGATTTCACAGTCACTACGCATTTCCAAAATATAGTTCTTTGAATAACTTTCCACAAGCCAAAAACCTTTTGCTTTTATTTTGCTCTGAATTAACTAATGGCACGCTGGGGGAGCCGACCATGCTGTTTCTTCCCATTTCTAGTCTATATACTAACATCTAGTATACATCTAGTCTTTATACTTTTACATACTGCTAGCTATAGGTATGCACAGACACAGAGTTATCACAGTTTTGTCTTAACTTGGAAAAAGCTAACACTAATCTTTTTCTGTGTTATAAATAAAAAGCTGATAGCCACAGACATATTTAGCACCTGGGGTCTACCATTCTTTGTATCAAGATAAAAGCCTAACACAGTCAGATGGCTGTTTGCTGTGAGTCTGGTTCTGTTTAAGGTTTCATCCTGGTAAAAGGGAGCTGTTCTTGTCACTGGAAGTCGCTCAATGAAATGCTCTGTTTGTGGTAAATGGATGACAATCTGGACCTGCTCTTTTTGTTAAGTATTTTGAAAAACACATTTGTTGTGAAGCATTGCTGATTACCAAACTAAAGATTGATTGATTGTGTGATTGATTGATCGATTAATTAAACATTTTGAGATGTGCTTATCGCTTTCTTAGGAACACGTTTTGAGTCTAGTAAGCAGTTGACAGCATACATGCTCTGACCCTCTTTCTGTCTGATAGAATATTGAAATGTGTCTTTACAGCTTCCTCAACATCATTTTTCATAATGGATGGGGAAAGCAGTTTGCAAATGAGGTTGCCATGCCAACTAATGTCCCTATATTGAAGATTGTGGATGTAAATGAGATATTGTTCTCATGTTAATAGCATAGTTCTGTAAGTGTAAGTAAAGCAGTCCATTTGTGCTTAATAGCCATTGTGCAACCATCTTTAGTGGGCAAACATATGGTTAGATATTTGGAATCTGCTTATATATTAGGGTTTATATGCTATTGAATCTATTTGCTGAACACAGCTAAAAAGTAATATTCCATGCCAGTTATTTCTAAAAACTCTAAAAAGGTCCTTTTTTGTCAGAAAAGATGTACACTTGTACCAAAATGTCCTTACATCTAAGGAAAATGAGAACAAACCTGTTAATGGGACACAGCACTAGCCCGTATGATATGTTTGCTTGACACTCGCACACACACAAAGTTATGAGTTATTTTACATCATTTATCTTTCATTGTCACAGTTATGCTTTACTTGGCTAACCTATTAAAAGGAATGTCATTGAAAGTCAGGAATAGATAATCCATGTACACAACCTAGATAAACCCATGTAGAGGAAACTAAACTAAACAATTGTCTGGTGCAGATAAAACAGGAACATATGCAAACAAATGTCGACATGCACACTGACCTCACTGTCAAAATTCAAACATACAGCTACTAGTATTCAAAAACATTTGTATAAGAAATTTTCCAAGAGATGCAAATGAATCCCTGGACCCGGAATCGTTTCTACAATATGCCAACAGGCATACAAATCAAATAATGGCTGTTATGCTGCAAAGACTAACAAATTGGTGACAGAACAATGGGCTACAGTATATTCTGAATAAATGAGGTCTTTATATGGCTCATACTTGAACTACTCTCTTCCATCTGCTTATCATTCTGTTTTGTCCATGTCATCATGTCCTTATATGATGTCAAGTGCCTCCTCTTCAGACGGCCCTCATCAGAGCAGAATGAAGGTGGTAGTGACAGTAATGAAGAGCTCCATCTGCGCCTGGCAGGCAGAGGCAAATGAACCAATTAAGGTCTGGTGAAGTCCCCTCTTTCACCTATTGGCAATAGCTGCCGTCATCTCCATCACCATGAAAGGGGAGAGTGCAAGGGTAATTAAATACTAGCAGAGGCTGGGGGACAAATCTAATAACTCTCAGCAACAAGCCAGTAAGAGACCTTAATACATAGCAGTTGCTGCAAGACAAAGCATCTCTGTTGTGAGGAAGACTACTTACTGCACACAAATATTCAGGCTGATAATAGACTGCATGGTCCTGAGAGAAAATATACCTGGAGCAGAAATATCTATAATAACTTCAGGACAAAAAGCCTCTTATGCCCCGTTTATCTTTCACAGTGATCTCTTCAGGTCTAATCAGGCTTGGCTTTCATGTGGTCTCAGTCCCACTTTGCTATGATGGGTAGAGACTTGATAGGAATTTTTGTTGTAGTATTGCCATCTGCTGGAGAAAGGTGAAACGTTCGTGAGCATCATGAGACAATATATAGAACAGGAGCTGTAACTTCGAGGTTTCGTCAAAGGCCAAATAAACTGGCAATTACCTTACTTCAGTGTATTTTCTCACTTCTTTTTGGTATATTTACAGTCCTGTCGTGAAACTCTGTACATGCAAACAAGTGGCTAAAACACAAGGGTATGTTCAGAATATCACTCTTTGGCATCTTCGATATGTGAACACATTTGCTCTGATTTTTATAGCTTGAATTTAAATAGTTTTGTCATATTATTTCACCAGATATATATATCATATGCCCAGCCTGCATGGTTTTACATGACTCCTCAAATTCACTAAGTCCAAGGTCAGAGCATATAGGCCGACCAGGTCAAAGTCATTAAAGAGAGGAAGAAAAATCAATCAATTTGGAATCTTAAACATATACATAGTCTAATTAAAGGGACTGTCTCACTATCTCATCTTCTTTTCGAGGCTTTTCAGACAGAAAGTTGCAGGTTTACACACATCAAAATTAAACAGCCAATCCAGTTTTTAATCACCTGGCCACCAACCTCTTTATGGATCAGTTTCATGAAAGAGTCACTCTCTTAGGTCCTTAGGTCACCATATTTTGTACAGAGCAATAAAAATCGGGACTCAGTTTCCACTTTCTCCAAATAACATAGTTCATGTAGTCTGTTTTCTCCATGAATATTCTTAAATCAACCAATGTCAAAGGTAAGCTTAAAAATACCTGTCTTAACTGTGAAAATAATGAGTTGAAGAGTTGTACAACAATGTTTCAGTTTAAGAAAAAGTTTAAAGGAGGGAAAATCAAAAATTATGAACTGGATGAATTGGATGACTGATGATGTGTCAGTTTATTTTTTGTTCTTGTTTTTTTTTCTTTTGTTTGTGGTATTTTTTGGACCTTAATTGTATAATATTTTGATCAGTTGCTGGTTGGTTGCCATATATAAAGGTGTTGTAGTGAAGGGGCAGTCATATATAAGACTTGTCTTCTGTCTGCTCCTTTTCATTTCACATGATTACACATGAAAAAAAGGAGGAGTGCAATGTATTATGTATCATGAATGAAATGAAATAAATAAACATGAAACATGAAACCAAGGCTCTGTTACTCTTAAATGAGCACAATGTTAGGTACATATAATTCAGTATTGAAATTTTGTTTTGTTTGCATCTATATCCTCAGTTTTGGTCTGTAAAGAACATTTTCAAACTATTGCCCCTCAAAATTCAAGGTGCTGTGCAGTTGGCTTTCATTGAGTAGCACAGCACCAAACAACATAAGGCTATCCCCCACCTCAGAAAGGAAATAGCTTTTTTTTGACTCATGGAGAGTTATGTAGTTGTGTAGGTATGAACAGCAAGGTACTTTATTTCGGAAAAGAATTTAAAAGATCCCAAAAACAAAATGACAAAGGCTGGGTTTAGAGAGGCTTGAGTATGGTGAGGGCTGTTCTCACACAAAGCTTAAATTTACAGAGTTTAACACAATGGAATCTAATGAACACAAAATATTGATAAATTATTAACACATTATACATACATTCACCGACAAAGTATTGTAAGTCTTAATTGGAAGAGACTCTTTTTTTCATCGGGGTGTCGTCTCCACCGTCGAGTGCTGACAGCGTTCCTACGGCAACGCTTTGAAGCTTCCTCCAAGAGGATCATGGGAAAAAATTCTGGCTACTGTTGCGGAGGGACTTTCGAAATATTTCACGTTTAGCTCCCAAGAAACACACTTTATTGTATATTTAACACGATTACCGCTGCATTGTCATACAAACGTAATATGTCTACAGTCACTGTAGTGATGCTGCTGAGGTTTGGCTAAATTTTGGACGATTGCTTTACGAAGAAAGAAGAAAAAGCTAATCAGCTAATGCTAGTTAACGGTATGTTTATCATTGTTGATGTTATTTGTTGTTGCTACATTGGTCTAAACCCCCGCTTCGGTAGTGTCTGTATACCCCTCTGTTTGATGCTAGTCTTTAGGGGGTTAATTTCATGTTTTACAGTGATATTTGTAATCGACAATATAGCTAGCAATAATATTTACATTACTTCAAGCACATTTGTGGCTTTCCTGTTAACATATGGATTTATTACATATTTTCGTCTAGGGTGATTTTACAATCTCACTGAAAGACAAAGCACTAATGTTGTCTCTTGACCATGGAGCTAAAGTTGGAAGTCGTGTTATCATCCAGTATCAAACGGAAGAAACCATGGCCGCGCTTCTGCTGGCTTGGCAAGGTGAGGACAGTTCTGATTTCAGCCACGAACTCCTAAACATTACTACCTTTCTTAGAGGAATATGACTGTGAACCTGAGTCCTTCTACTCTTCAGGAAAAGGAGTCTGTATTCCTGTTAGATGACAAACGGATCAGTGAGATCAACATGGTGTCTGGACGAACCAAGAAGAAGACTCCTAAACTTCACCCTTTGTTACACAGTGTTTTGACAATGGCTTCATCCCACAATGGTAAGTTTGGTTTCGACACACAAAGCACAGTTTTTCCATCTGCAGGGTTCGGAAACACATGCCATAGGGGAGAGCGGGGTAAGCTGAGCCAAAGGGTAAGTTGAGCCACCCCCTGTTGCTTGGAAATGGTAAAAGAAATTGATCATGTGACCAAATATAAACCGAAAATCAACTTATCAACTTACCCCACTCCTATGGTCAACTAACCCCATACACATGTTTTTTTTTGTCATGCTATATGTTTACACAGTTATGTTTACACTCATTCTGTTGGTTTGCAGGGATGCACAACATCTTTAAATATATGCAGATACACTAGTTAGAGACAAAACTATGATTTGCTTGACGTAGTGATCCGGAATATGAAAAATGGCTCATCTTACCCCACTCTCTCCTTTGTCTTATTTTTCCAGGTATGTGGCTGTGTGGGCTTCTGGTGTCAGGAGAGCTGTTCCTGTGGAACAAGGATAAAGACTTGTTGAAGACTGCTGCAGCAGTGCCTGAAGTAGTTCAAATGATCACTCACACTCAAGGTACATACACAAAGTATAGTATAGGCTTGCCCTTGTTAGTTTTAGGTTCATTAAAGCATTCTCCTTTATGGCTGCAAGATCTTTAGAAAATCAAAGAAATATTTAACCTGCCATAAAAGAGATCAGGCCTGCTAATTAACATTTGATTAGTAGAAGTGCTTTTTTATCATTATGGCAAAGTCAATGCATATATCCACACTTAAATTACTCCATGACTTTATTTTATTATCCATATAAATCAATAGGTAGTTATGAATAGATGTTTTTTTTATTCTTTTTTTATACTTAATTAGCACTTTTAAGTGTCCTTATTCTCATCTTTTACCTAAAAGCATACATGGGTTAATTTATGTATTTTTTCATAGGTACTGCCACACGACTGTCACTCCAGGTTTCAGGCAATGGGATGCGAGTACTCCTCGTCGCCATAACAGGGCAGGTGTTCCTGTGGGAGTGCATGGATTTTAAAGATTTGACAGGAGTACGAGATGGCACAGTCAGAGGGCAATGGGCGCACATCCAGCCTTGTGAAGACTCCATCCTGCCCTCTGTACAAGACAAAGAAGCATCGCTACACACTATCTTTATCAAGACTGAGGTCTGCATACAACTAGATTAGACATCACATACATTTATAGATTTGCATTTCATTCTAAACTTTTATTTGATGCAAATCTTTCCATGCTATCTCTTAGGTAATGGGTGATGCCTGCTTATCATCATTTGTTTTCACATCTGGGAAGAAGCTGATCATCACCTGCATGAAAATTCAGTGGGAGGAGAGCCAGAAGAGGGTGGAGTGAGTGAGAAGAACTGTTACCAACATGAGTTTTATCAGTTTCTACAGCAGTTCAACAAATATATTTTTTTGTGTAGTTCTGTAGGATACAGTGTACAGTGGGCAACCAAGACATACCCCTTGTCTCGTCTCACTCCAACCTGCCAACCAGTAAAGTCAAGAGGGGCCTTGGTGCCTGCTTTTTCTCCAGATGGTCGCCTGTTAGCTGTTGTCCTGAATCAGAGACAGCCAAAGGTGAGCATTTAGCCTTCCCAAACTATTTTTAACTCTTTATCTTTGCAAGTCTGTTTTTTTTTTGGGGAGAAATGTTCACTGAGATTTGTTTTCATGTTTTTATGCAGGCTACACAGGTTCTCTTTGTTAGCACACAGAATTTTGTCACAGTATCTAGTAGCCTTGGAGGATGTGGGAGCAAGAATTTGCAAATTCCATCGAAATACATAAGGTACTTTCTTTTTTCTTGAACAATGTGAATGTGTGCTTTGATTTGATCTGGGGTCAATATCGGTTTATTCAGACCCCTTTTTTGCTTAGGTTAGACTTCCTGAATATAAATGATACCTAAGAAGAGTGATATATTTTTAGTTTCTTCAGCATGTGTGAAAAAATGTCTATACAAGTTTGTAAAGGCTATCTTTGATGATATTTTATTAAGACAAAAGCTGTACATCTTGTCTTTTAGGTCCTACTGGGTGGGAAGTTTGAGTTGGTCCCCTGGTGGTCTTTTCCTGGCCTGTGTTTTGAAGAGGGGCTCCCTTCTTATGCTTTCTCGCCTCGGAGGCCTTCTGACTCTGTCCAGCTCTGGTTGTAGTGTTGATTTTGGGCCTGCACACTTTTTACCCCTGCATCCACTCGTCACTTACCGGTAAGATTTATTTCTTTTTTCTAAGGATTACTACCCAGGCTTTCATTGCCTTTAGTCAAAGACGCTGACACTGGATTAAATAGGAAACAGGGAAGAGAGAGTGAGAGATGACATACAACAAATGGCTGATGTTTGGATTTGAATCTGCGCCACCTGCGACTAGGAGAGGGTGCTTGAATGAACCACTGAGCTAAACCAGCGGCCTGTTTATCAACTCTTACACCTAATGCAAGTTTTCCATTTGTTTATGTTGTTGTCCCTTGTTGTTATTAAGCTTTATTTATCTGTAGCCAGATTCTGATGATTTACTTGTGATTATATTATTGATCAGTCTTGATGATTGCTTTACTGTGTCTACTTATTGTCTTGTTTTTTTTAGATAAAATACATGAAAAATGGCATGTTTTATTTTACATATAAACTGCTGAGTTAATGATTTTCCTTGTACAAAATCTGAAATCTGTCATATCATTACTTTTGTGCCAAAGATGCAGTTTTAATGCAATGTTTTATCAGAACGACAGTCTTGAAACAGAGTTAAAAATAAAGTATTAGCTGAAAAGATATAGTGTAAAAGAAAAAGTACAGAAAAACTCTTATACTCTTCGTAAAAACTCACTTTGATTATTAATATAGTTCATGGTTGGCTCTGTTGATTTTCTTGCCTCTTTGATAATTATTTTCACTTTTTCTCTCAAGGCCACCACAGTCAGCTTGCAACAAGGAGGCCTCCCTGTCCAGCTCCACCTTGTCTGTGCGGGATGTCTTAAGGCAGCGCTTTTCTGTCACCTGGCACCCACGGCTGCTATATCTCATCGTGTCTGATGGCTACATGGCGACTGTGATGAGGGTTTTAGATAAGCCCTCACCCGCTCTGTTGCTAAAAACACTTGTAAAGGACACAAGGAGGGAACTCGAAAAGGCTAGTCGGGTCTTGGATAAATCACAGGTGGTAAAACAGACACTTTTTATGAAACTTCTGTCTAAACTCTCTGCAGGGATATTCTTAACTTGATGGATTTTTTACATCCTTATTTTCAGATTCATGTGAGAGCATGGCTGGAGTCTGTATCCAGTTTGGATCTTGACTCCAACTCAGAGGTGTTTCACCCTACTCTTCCCCATGGACCCAACACAACAGGCTCTGTCTTTTCATCTGCCACAGATGGATCTGCTTTACCACTTTTTCTGCAGGACCAGGGGACTTTGGGTGGGACTAAGGAGCTCCTTGAGAAAATGCAGGTTGGTTAAATTGCATCTACTAGAAAAAAAAATGATAATCCTTAGCAGTAATGTGCCTTGGCAGCTGTTTAAATTGCTACATTTATTTGTAATAGATGTATTTTTGTGTGATTTTTTAGACTTTCTTTGAGGATGATTCTGACTTTGATGGACCTCCCGCTGGTTCTAATTTGGAGGATGGTGGCCATCTGGAGTTTGCCTCAATGTTTGACACAATTCACGCTCTGGACACACAGACCAACACTGGATTAATCACTAGCCCTGACTCTGACAAGGACTCTGTTGATACAGGAAGAAGGACTCCTCCTCTGCACCGTGAGCTTGGCAAAATCCAGAGTAAGCTCTTAACAGCGTGGGCTTTTGGCATGTCTTTGGAAAGCGCTGTTGAACACAGAGCTCTTCTGCTAAAGCATACCCTCTACTGTGTGGTGCGATATGCTGCTTTACTCCGATTGGTCTGTGAGGGAAAAAAGAACTCCACCGATTCCTCCTGCCTTCTGAACCTTCTTAAAAACCTCCTCTCCTTCCTTTCCTGGGATAGCGCTCACTCAGATGGACCATGCTGCCTGGGACTTATGGTGGAGCTCAGTAAACGCTTGATACACCTTCAGCTGACCCCTCACCCTGACTCCTATCAGACTGATCTCTATCAGTTATCGTCCTGTAGTCTGTCCTTAGTCCTTCTCATCTTGCAGCTGGTGTCAGACTCTCTCGACCAAACATACACCCTGCAGCAGAAAACTCTCTGGTCCTCTGAAAAGTCTGAATCTCAAGAACCACAACCCTGGTCCTCAGATGTTCACCGTGTGCCAGTGTTACAGAATGAAAAGGTGCAGGAATCCAGCTCCATGTTTCAGGTCCAAACTGTTCCCCAGAGACCATCCAGCAGGTACAGGTTATCACTGCAGCTTTTAGTTTATTAACAAAGAGTCAATAAAATGTACCAAGTCTGAGTATACCAGATACTTTAGAATATACCAGATTTCTGAGTGTCTTTTTATGATTAGATTGTTGGGAGTGTGGCAGTGGGTCTATGGGATCACCCAGCAGTATGTGGAGGAACTGAAAAGCTTTCAAGGCTGTCATGGCTGGGATGAGGAGCGACAAGAGTCATCCGTCATCATGTCACAGATCCAAAAAGCTCTGCAAGCTACAGGAGAAAGGCTTGAGGAGGGTCCTGCACTGCTGAGTTACCCAGGTAGAACCATTTATAAACTGTGGGAAAAGAACCACTTCAAATTTGTGTTTGAACAAGCCTAAAATGTTATTGTTTACTGTCAGTAAATCACACTCTTATCCTCAGGTGAACATCTTTTCCTGTACGGCTCATACATAGAAAGTTCAAATACATGGCGATCACAAATTTGTGAAGAAAGAAAGAAAAGTAAGAACCATTTTTTCTACTCTTCCATTAAATTGAACCCCACAATTACATTTAGCTCAAAATGGTAATAACTGTCCCTCTGTTAGACTGTGATCGTAGTGTCTTCCAGGAGACACGCCTCTGTCTCGCGCTCCTTTACAGTCTGTTATCTGAGTATCAGCTGAGAGAAGCCCAGGAGCTGGGGGACCACATGGCCGGCCTCATCCTGCACCGGGCTGGATATCAGAAGGACAGCATGGCTAGTGTAACAGGTCAGCCATTGACAATAATTCTTGTTGCCTGTTAAAGGGTTTGCATATGTTCGCAAGTTTATGGCATTAAGTTGAAGACAGCAGATAGAAGATTTTTTCTTTTTTTCTTTTCTTTTTAAATTCTCTATTACATATTATATAAATTCTTTCCCCCTCCCTCACAAAAGTATTTTTGTAAATGTTTTATTTTTTATCTTTTTGTTGTTGACGTTGTTTCTGTTGTTGTCGTCACTCTGTTTTGTTGTCAAATAAAAAAAAAAAATAGTTGAAGACAGCACCTACTTACAAATGCTTCCAACTTTCAACATTAACTGATTAATTTAAAGCTGTCATTCCCAATTTTTACATCTAGTTAAAATTAAACTTCTCTCTAAAATAATTACTCTGACTTTAATCAACATGATGAAAATTGACAATCAAGTATAGACACCAAGTTTGAGAAAACTTTCTCTGTCCAGGGTTCCTGCATAAGTATGAAAAGTATGGAAGTAGTTTGATCATTTTCCACATCTTAAAAAGTATGAAAAATGAAAAATAAAGTATGGAAAAACATTTATTTATCCAGACTATTAGCACAGTTCAAAAATAATGTTTTCTATAATAGAAAAGTAGGTATTTCCAAAAATAATTCTAAAAAGTATGGTATGGAAAAATATGGAAATTCCAACTGTGTTGGACCCCTGTCTGTCGTGCATTTTGATTAGAGTAAATTTTGGTGTTATATGGTTTTCTTTCTCGCCCTGCAGCAGACTCTTTTCCCTGCCCATGGCTGCCAGTGGACCTGCACAGTGAAGCAGCGTGTGCTGTGGTACAGTCTCTGGGGAGATTCATGGTCTCGTATTTTGCTAATCAACCCCTATATATCCTACCCCCTCATAATGTTTCGGTTTTACCTCCACTTCATCTACCTCATGGTTTGTTTCAGTTATTTTTCTCAATAATGAAGATGATTCGTTAATTGATTATGCCATTTTGATAACAGAGCCTTTCTTAGCTCCTAGTGTTGGGCGCTTGGTGCCGCTGTGCCAGGAAGAGGTGGCTAAAGCAGTGCGACAACAGCAGCTGTCTGAAGTGTGGACGGTAGACTACGCTCAGGACCTGCTACTGCTTGGGGGTCTCCTCCCTGAGACAGTGTGGCTAGCTTACCATCTAGGGGACTGGAAGACAGCAGCATCTCTCAGCCTGGCTTATTCAAGTTACTGCACTGAGCACTTTGACTTCACTCGGTCAGTTTAAAAGCATAATCAAGAAAGGAATCAGTGTGTGGTTTGAAATTGTCGCCTTTTTCGAACCCATAAATGTTCAAACCTGCATAATTGGCATTTCACTGGGGTTATTTACAGGTTCAGGAGGAGAGAGCTCCACCTCCCAACAGATTTAGAACCACAGAGCATTTTCCAGGCTGAACTGGAAAGTCTTCTTGGCAACACGTCTGACTCTCAGGATGACAAGAGTCTCACAGGTTGGTGAGGCCTTTCAACTTAACCAAAAAAATATTAAAAAAAGAGATCTTTGGTTTTTACATTTGTGCTGTCTTAACTCTTTTTACTAGACCTACTGGAAGGTGAAGACTGGGATGTGTTGCAGATTTCCGTTCAGGAGATTCTTAAGGCTTCTGTCATGGCTGGAGTGAATGTTTTGTCTTCACCCTTGTCTTCTTTGCTGGAGACAGCTAAAGAGATGTGTGCTTGCCTGCCTGCTTTGGCGCCAAATGAACTATATCTGCCTTCCCCGCCTCTCTATTGCCCTCAGCCTTCACCCAACACACAGGTATTACATCTAACAACATAAAAAAATCTACTTTTGCACCCCTAGATTAGTGCTATTGTAATAAAATGTTGTTATTGTTTCATGTTTAGGACCCAGTACGGACAATGGGGTATTTTGCAGAAGTTGTGACGCGTCACCAAGTGTCTGGAGTGCTTCAGAGATTGCTGATGCTTCTGAGATCTGCACGCTGTTGCCGTCCTGCTGCTCAGTGGTACATCACTAATCTGAGACGTGGCAGACATATACTGCACAAGGTGATTTACTGCAGACTTTTTATTGAAATATATATATATTTTATTAAGTGATGCGAAACCGAACATGACAGGTAAGGGACAACAAACTAAGAAACAAATGGGGGAGACAAGACAAGACAAGACAAGACAAGACAGACACAAGCTAGGATAACAGTGTGTGTGTGTGTGTGTGTGTGTGTGTGTGTGTGTGTATGTATGCCTATATATGAGTGCTTGTTTTGGGGAGTTATATTAAACAGATAACATTTAAAAATAATAATACTAACTAATAAAAGTAAAAAGAATAATGCGACAGAACAAAGGGACAAAGCAAAAACTAAATAAATGAAATTAAGAAACAAAAAAATAAATAAATATATATAAATATATGCATACATATAAATATAAATATAACTCTTTTTAAAAAAATATTCCCTCCTTTTTTTTTTCCTTTTTTTTTTTTACTGCAGACTTGAAATAAGAAGAATGAGACACTGGCTTCATTGTTCAAATTTTCTGCTTTACTTATGAAAGAAACTTCTATGAAAGGTAGCTGACAATAACTGTTACATTTCATAAAAAACAATGCAGAGTCTTTTAATGTTATAAAACATTAAAAATTAAACAAGAATACACTCAAACTAAGAATTATTTGTGGATTTGTTTTATTCGTCAGTGTTCTAAAGCTATTTCCTCACCTGCTTACTAAATAAATATTCCTAAATAAAAAGCAGGAATTATCTCTTTGCTCTCTCTTTTTCTACACTGCTGTCTGTCTTCTTTTCATAACTGTCTTCATAATCACAGGGGGGTACAGGGAGGCAGAGCACAGCCTCACCTGTCAGGGGCTGAGCTCCAGCCCAAACAGGCTTGTCTGGGACATAAAGGGGCTGAGCTATATAACTTTTGGGAACAGTGCATACTGGGCCGGATTTCCTCACTTATCCTTTTCATTAGTACTTTGTGTTGATTTGAATTCGTGTTTTTGCAGATCAAAAAGAAGTACTCCTGTCCATCGGCTGCTGAAGAAGAAAAAACTGTCCCAGAAGACCTCATGAAGTTTGTCTCCCGTAGTGGATTCTTCAGAACCAACAGGGGACCCAAGAAAGACAGTCACCTGGACCCTGACACTGTTCAGACTATTAGTAAGCTGCCAGTCATGCTGAATCACATCATTGCATTAAAATTATGTCATAATCAGTGATCTTCTTTCAAGTTGTCCTCATCTACAGTATTTTTTCTTCTAGCCTGTTTCAGGGAGCTGTGTGCTCTGTGCTGGATGCTTCATGTCCGGGACCAGCTCTCCATTTCCTGCAGGAAGTATCAAGCCACCAGACAGCGTGTCAGAGAAGAGCAGGTATTTTAACGATGCTCTGTGTATTTATGAATGAATATTTCTTGGTGTTTGTAGCCACAGATGATGTTTAAATCTTTTTCTCAGACCCCTAATGACCCAGAAGTGAGATCGACCTGTGTTGAAGCACTCCTGTGGGCCTGTCGTTTGCTGCCATTCTCCTGCTTCCTAAATGCTGAAGAGATCTTGCAGGACATATTGCTCAGTCTTTTATCTGAACTTCCTCCTCTCTCTCTGGTAATATGGCTTTTTTTTTAGCAGCTTGTTTCAAACACACAGCGTTCATGTTCAAGTGAGACTGAGTTTGGGCTTACTACTTCACCTTGACCTTTTCTTCTTTTTTATTAAAGGTGGCAGATACTCTGGTAAAGGCTTTCCCAGAGGAAGAGGAATCTGTCAGAGTCCCTTTGAGAGAAAAATATAATTCACTGCTGCAGAGGCTGAGACAATGCAACGTACTGGGTATGAAATCTCTGTCTTTTTCTTGCAAAATGACACCAGTTTGTTTTTGCTGTATGCTGATTTGGTTGAAAATCTAAATGCTTTTCAGTGAAAACACAAACCCCCAATTCCTTAAGAGTTAGTTATGATAAAGAATAAGAGTTGAATTATTTAAAGCCAGTATTTAATCTGAAATATGCAAAGACAACATTATCAAAAGCTTTGTTTCATGGAAAACAATGATTTTGATTCTAGCAACACATTTTAATGCAGTTGGAACAGGGACAGCAAGTGATTTACCTCTCCACAAGAGACTAGGTAAGGAAATAGTTTGCTGATTCCTAAACATAGGATTGCATTAGTGTAAAGATATAATCGACTTACTGTATGTACAGTACATCATAACATTAAAAGACTGAGAGAGTCTGAAGAAATCTCTGCACAAGAGGGACAAGGCCCAAAACCAAAACAGGATGGCTTTGATTTCAGGCCCTCAGGTGTCACAGCATTGAAACAGGGTTCCTACCATAGACTGTATATAAGATGGACAACCTGGTTCCGCCTTCCGCCTGTATACGGATTTGAAGTCAAAAAGCTCTCGGTAATTCTGGGTTTCTCTCCACTTTCTTGAAACCAGAGCTGCACAGTAGCGATGCGCGCATTCGGCCGCGCAGTCGCCGAGAGTCCCTGTGATGACGCTCGGCTCAAACAGCGTATCCCCCCGGTGAGCGACGCAATCCCTGAACGCCCATAGGCTGTACCAGGTGTCAATCATAGAAAACATGAACCCCCTAATAACTTTTAAAAACGGAGCTGTACAGAAAAAACCATCCATCCACCCACCATCAGAGGGTGCTGTTCTCGGAGTGGCTTCACCCAGCGAGGAGGCAGACTCTGTCCATTCTATATACAGTCTATAGTTCCTATGCAAATATGGAAAAGTATGGAAGTAATTGGATCAATTTCCAGGTCTTAAAAAGTATGTTAAATGAAAAATAAAGCATGGAAAAATATCTATGTTAACAGACTATATTACCAGTTATAAAATACTGTTTTCTAAAATAGAAAAGTTGGTATTTCCAAAAATAATTTTAAAAAGTAGGGTATGGAAAAGTATGGAAATTTCAACTGTGTATAGGAGCCCTGTTGAAAGCAGACATGACTCTGTTGTGGAAATCACTGCATGTGCATAAATTCACAGTTTGCCTCTGCATCTGCAAGTCAAAACTGTTCCATGACCATTTCACACAACGTCCTTACTCAACTAGAACTGATGTTTTATTTCAGTTCAGTATCCATCAATTTCTCTTCACACTCTATGTTTTTCCAGAGATGGAAGAAGAAGAAGAAGACGAAGGGAATGAGTTGATGATGATAGTGATCCAGGACAAACGCAGACAGCGAAGGAAACTTCTTGGGCGTTTGAAGAGACACCTGGCCCCACCTGAGCTCCATCTGTGGGAGAAAGAGGAAGAAGAGGAGGACAAGGGGAGCAAACACGGCATGGCCATGCTGAGGCAGCTCTCCCTGGGTACGACACTGAGCACCAGCACCTTAACCGACTGTGGCTTTCCACCAGTGTGCAGTGATGGAGACACCGCGGATAATATGTCTGAGGCTATCTCTCCGGACATAAGTGCCACAGCTAAAACCAGGTGAGTGAAACAGCAGCACAGCCAAGACAAGAGTACCATTACACATAACTCATTTTTGTGTTGTTCTATTTTTTTGTATAGGAGCAAAAAAGCTAAGAAGAAGGAAAGAAAACATGCAAAGAAAGCTGCTGTCAAGATCGACAGCGTCATTCAGGAGGAGAGTCATCCAGGTGATGCCAAGGAGAGCGAGCAACCTCAACCACCACTTGTTGGTACCTGGGAATTTGAGCTGGAAGATGAAGAGTATCTCAGCTTCCTGGAGGTCTTTTATAGCTATGTGTTGGGGAAGGATACAGCTGAAGGAGGGGAATCAGGAGGAGAGCTGCCTCTGCTGAAGGGCTTCTCTCCTCAGCTGCGGGAGAAAGAACTGCATTCTCTGACCTTTGATGTGCTCACAACTGTTCAGCGTCGTCAAAGAGATCCGCACCATTCAGCGAGAAAACACCTGCCGTTGTTCAGAGCTGGCAGCTGCTATAAGCCGCTAAAACAAAGTTCAACACCAGAGCTGCAAACTTCATCAGTGGGGAGTGAAGCCCAGGTATCGAGAACTCCTGTCAGCTCTCTTCCTGGGCTGAAAGCTGGCAGACAAAAAGGTTTGTTTGGCCTCCGACTGCAGAGCAGTGTGCCTTCAGACAGAGAAATGAAGGGGAGTCTCTTAAGTCATGAAAATAGCCCTAATCGAAGTGCCTTTTCCAAGAAGCAGCCACCAGAGAGCTTCAAATTTGGCTCCTCAACATCTATGGAAGCTGTGACTGACCTTCAGCAAGGCCTAGATCCGAAACTAGAAGCTGACTTTCCAGAACTGGGCAGGCTGCTGGAGTGGATGGTACGCTGGGCTGATAGGAGGGTGCTGCTCAGACACCATGGCAAAAGGAAGAGAGACAGAGGGGGAGGAGGGGTTGGAGGGACAGCAGAAGAAGGAGTGGTGATGCGTGTCAAAGCCTCAGCTCCTGCCGTCCTCACGTCTCTCAGCTTGCTGCAAAGCAGATTCACCGCTCTACTGAGGAACGACCACTACACTGCACACATCCAAGTTCCACAAACGCAGTGGACGGTTGCCCCAGTGCTGCATCCTGTGGTTGACGAACAGCTGAACAAAGAGAGCAGTGTGGACACAGGATACCCTGGATCTGCAAATACACCCATCATGGGCCTCGACCCCACTTCACATCCAGAGGAACTGTCAGTGTGAGTGCACACTTTTTTTTAAAAAATTGTTTGTTTTAAGACTGAGAGGAAAATAGCACAGAAACATCACATCTGTTTGTTTTGTTTGTTTATCCTTGATTTCCCTGCAGTGGCTCTCAGACACATGAACCGGGGGAAGTTGCATTTCAGAGGACACCTCAGTCTCATGACCAGGAGGAGCTGACCTTTGATGCTCAGCAGAGACTGTGCAGTCCCCAGCAGCTGTGTTTGGATGATTTAGATGTTTCACCTGAAAAAGAGGGTATGAAACAGATTCATATTGTATCCTAAAAACTTGTTTAAACCCCAGACGCATATAACAGACAATATTAATTGATTTGTTGATATTTACAGGCAAAAGTAGTGACAGTGAGGGCTTGGGGGTGTCATCCTCTGTTTCCAATTTGGGAAATCTGCTTGAATCGGTAAATAGTAACACTCAGGATTATTTCTATGAGTTTTAGAAGTCTAGTCAAACACACAGTTAACTTTTGTTTTTCTGTGCAGAGTTTAAAGCTTGTGGACTTAGACCTGTCAGACGAGGCCAGAAACACATCCACTTCTACATCTCTGTGAGTATTTAGTTGATTTTACTATGCATTTTTTATTTGATGGGTATTTTTATGTATTATTAATTTTTTGTAGTTTTTTTCACAAAATTTCTTCAACACTTTGGTGTGAAATTCGTCGCCTGGCCTTTGCTGTGTAATTTCTACATCAAATCTAAGAATTGATTAGATCTGTTGACAAGTAAGATCACACATACGAGGGATTTGTTTTTATGTCTTGGTCCCAAAACTATGATGGCAAAATAACAGTAGAAATAAAAACAGCAGCTGTAAAGGAACTTTGAACTTTAAACTTTGGGAATTTCCCCCTGTGGGAAAAAAAAAAAAGTAAAAAAAAAAAAAAAAAAAAAAAAAAAAAACAATTCGTAAAACAGTCAAATCTACGTAACAAGAACCTGTATGCAGAATTTGCCAGAGCTGTTCATTTAGGTGGGAAGGTGCACAGTGGTATGAGTGTAAAATCAGTACATACATAAGCAAGCGAGACATTATGCAATCTAACAAAGTGACAATGTGTTTGTTGGGTGTTATGTAATATTTTGTACTGTTGTTGAAGTCCCAGTCAGGTTAGGAGCCTTCAAGCATCACCACAACCAGAACCCCAAGCCCCTCCTACTGTCCAGTCTGGTGCAGAAGTCCACGCAGAGCTTTCTGATTCACCTGCACTTTCCACCTCAGTGGCAAATCCCCCAAGTCTTCAGCCACAAAACTCCCCACCTGGATTACCAGCCGAGGCCTCTGCTGCACCCAGTCAGATATTACCCACTGAGGATCCACAAATGAGACAGCGTCTAGGGGAAGACTTGTACAGGCTTGTTCAAGTAAGAAGAGACTAACTCAAAAAATCATTCTGATTCAAGGTGGTTTTTTATCGTCCTTGTTTTATTTTATTTTATTTTATTTATTTTACAGAATATTAACTACTTGAGCCTGATGGAGGTTTTAGGAGCTTCATTCTCCAACCTGCAACTTGCCCAGCAGAGCTCCTCTTTGACCCGGCCCAACATGAACTCCTCACACCCTAATGTGCCCTCATCTTTTGCAACCAACTTTGTCCAGGAACCAAATGCCTTCCCAGTTCAAACCACTATTCCTCTGACACCTCAGACACAAGCTTACGTGCCGACTTCAGCATCCACTAACCTTCAGTTTAGTCAGACCCCTGCATGTGTGTCTGCAGACCGGCCTGCTATACATCCTTTAGGCAGCCACCATCCCATCACCAGGAATCCAGCCTCTGCTTTTAATGGTGGAGGTGTAAATGATCAGGTATTGCTCATGTCCTTACGTTGAAATAAAACTTGAATCACAGCACAAACTAAATTAATTGTATTCACTCTTTTCTGCAGGAAATGCAGCCGCTCTCTGTGCAGGCCCTGTCACCAGAAACCCAGTTTAGAGAAAGCAGGAGGTTAATCCCACCTTCTCAGGGGCTTTTGGCCACAAGCTGTGATGTTCATAGTGCCCATGTGTTACCACCACGAAATGATCTTCTAACCCAGTTTTCAGGCTTGAAATTGCTTCACCTTCAGCGTTCGCCATTACCCCAGCAGAGTGCCCCACATCAACCCCAAGTGTTGCACACTTCAAACTCAACAAAGAAGACAATCAAAGAGAAAAGAAATGTTTCCTCTAGTCCAAAAAAGCAACTCATTTTTAATCATTCACACAATCCAACTCCTGTGATCCCTGAACACAACATCCAGACATCAGAAAGAAGCAGGGGGCATGAGTTCTCGCTACTTCCTCCAGCTTTTCCAGCTCATACACCTGCACCAACGCAAGGCCTTCGTCTGCTGCACTTCAAGTCTGATCAACACAATAGAGTCACGTTTCCAAAAATATCCATGCACCCTTCTTCTAGGCAGTCTACTTTAATTGCAGCTCCAAAAGAGGAAGTACCTATCAAGCTTCTACATTTAGATTCTGGACTGAAAATGGTGAGCCCAACTTCCATCATTTAACTTTTTTTTGTGTGTGTGTGTGTGTGTGACTTCCTTTAATCTTGATATATATCTCTGTCTGTAAAAGATGTTGCCCCAGGCAGCTCCCTCAGTGCAAACAACTCATCTCATGTCCATGGAAGAGCTGACACAATCAGTACTGGCCAGGCAGAACGCCGAAGAGGCTCGACTGCAGCTGCTCAGAGTCAACCTACCTCCTGAAAGCACAAGAAGAGATGCCCCTGTTCTCAGCTCTAATAACTCCATCAAGAGGTCATCACTTATTACTTTTCATGGAATTTCTTTTCTCATTTTCTCAAAGCTGCGTTTTCCAGTTTTATGCTCATTCGGTGATGTTTGCAGGCAGAAGAGGAGAGAAAGAGCAAGAAAAACAGAAGTCACTTTCAGACCCAATGATTCAATCATTGTTACACCTGAGGTAAATTGATATGAATCTTATTGAGAAATATTTCAAGCTTAGTGTAATTTTACCATCATTTATCCATTTTACTCTCCAGCCGGCAGATGAACCTGAAAATGAAAAGCCTGCAGCTTCAGAAGAGATCGCTGCAGGACAGATGTACCTGATAGATCTGGTAAGTGTCAAAGACAAACTTAGCTTCACTTGGCTGATAGAGTTTATTCCGTGCCAGAGAAAATCTTTACCAGGTAGTCCTAATGAAAAAGACAAACATAGCAAAGACTAGATTTATATTTTTTTTGTCATGTGTCAAAGTGCATAAGAAAGTCAAGCCAATACGTCTCAAAGAAGGAAGAGAAATTTGCATTCAAGTGATTCAGAATGAGCATTGACTTTAAAGTGAAAATGCATAGCAGCCTCATAAAACTTACTTTGTTTATATTCTTATGAACGGGGATAAAAACAAGGTCCTTGTTTTCTTTTGAAACAGCTTCTAAATAAAGACACTTTGTTATCACAGCCATTTTTCCACCGGCCCTTTGGATATAAAATTAAAAAGTTGATCCTGACTCATTTTAAAAATAATGTCATGTTTTTTCAACCCTAATGACCCCTCACTCTTAGGGCCCTTTGACTTTTCATTGACTGGTCAGAGATTATTGGACAGAGCCACGTCTACTGCAGCTGAGCTCCATGCCTTTGCTTCCACATGTAAGAGGCCTCCAGAGTGTCATGATGCCTTCACAAACACAGAGCCAGGTAAGTAATGTTGTTACAGAGTTGTTGCTCGTATTAACATTTATAGCAATACCAAAAAATGTTTATGAATATGTTTTTTATTTACACAAAAATATGAATTTGGTCTTTTTCAAAAACCTTTATTATTCTTTTAGCTTGTCCTCCTGCACTTGTGGATAAAGCTGTGTCTGTCTCTGTGTCTGCTCGTAGCCCCAAATGTAAGTTGTTTTCAGACGACAGATTCAGTAATATTACACTGCGTTCTATTTGTTAAGTTACAAATGTGTTTTTATATTAATCTTTTCTTCCTTCTAGCTCAAAGCTCAGGGAATTTGCAGTTCTTTAACCATCATCTGAACACAGAAGAGATCTCACATGGACTGGATGGGATTCTGGTAACAGACCTCTCAACGATTGTTTCTTTGGACTTAAAAACTGTGTTTAAATTATCCTTTTTTTCACTAACTTGAACTCTACATTGACTGCAAGGAGAATAACATCTCTTATTTTTTGCAACGAGAGTTTGTGTGGAATGCTAAACTACATGAGTCAATAAAAGAAGAAAATAAGGAAAAAAAAACATACTCAGTAGTCCAAAAAAATGCCTCAACAACGCACAGTGACATTCTTGATCAAATTGAACCCACATTTTAGCAAACCAAGATTCTCTGTTTTTGTCCTAAAGGATCAGGGTGGCCATCAGTTCATAAGTGTCTTGGATCTTGAAGACAAATCCCTGCACCAGGATTTGCCTCCCTGTCTCAGCCCAGAAGCACACACTGTACCCTCAAATCGACCTTCTTCACCTACCTCAGCTCAGCTTCACATTATGGCCACTTCTGTTTTAAGGAGTGCTGCTGCGGCTGATCCACAGCCCTCTGTCACAGTTCCTGAGGATCTCCTCAATGCCACCCCTCACTCAGGTTTCTATGCGTCTTCATATTGATGCTTCAAAGCTCTTTATTCTCAACATAATCACACTATAACCTGTCCTGAATATCTGTTGTCGTATGTTCTGTAGATATCCAGGAGGAGTCACCTTCATGCAGCCACATTGAGCCCATGAGAGAACCAGAGAGAGTCATTCTAGAGGACGTAGAGGATCCATCTGACTCAGAAATCTTTCAAGCCATTAAGGACCAGAGCATCAGATCTCAAAAGACCTCATCAGTGCCTCCTGAAGTCTGGTTCTCTTCACACTTGTCTGAGCTGGATGCCCAGTTAGCTGCTCTGCAGAACATCGCTGACTATCTGGAGATGGACTTTTCAAACTCCAGGATGGTACAGAAGCACATGCTTTTTTCATGCTCATGTATTTTATTGATGAAAAACAAGTTTATAAACTGGCTTTGTAGTCTAATACGCTGTATGACCCCTTTGTTTCTCTGCAGCTGGTGAACACGATTGAAAAGCTCACTCCAGCTTTGGCTCCTGATAAAGGAAACAGAAAGAATGTGAAAAAAACTGTCAGACTCTCCGTCCCACAAGAAGGTACGACCAAACTCTGTCAACTGTCACCCAAAATGTGATGAATTCAACAAAAACTGTGAGCCCGTGCAAACCAAATTCAATCTTCAAGCAAGTTTAATACAACAATATCAATATCTGACACTATAAGCAGGCGCCAGATCTCAACGAGGATTAACAGTTAATTCTCTTTCTCTGTCTCTCACAGCATGGGCGCCACGATTAAAGCCTTCGAATGAATCAAGTGCCTTCGCAGAAGAGGAAGACGATCAGGAGGAAAGAGCTGTGATTCATGATGACTCCGTCGCTCTCACAAAGAAGCCATTGTTTCGTTATTCAGCTTCTTCCTGTGATCAAAAAGCTGGTCCCTCGCACCCTTACACTCCACCAAGTAAATAACAATATCCTTCAATATTACTTTTATTTATTTATGTAGCAAATGTAACAAATACATTAACAGCCAATGGACACAATAATGGAAAATTTATATTTATAAGTTAAAACTTAATTAATTCTGAAAAAAAGACAATAGATTATCATTAAATAAAAAATACAGTGTATGATCAAATATGAAGCTGATTGGGGTTAAAATGTAAGGTAACGATGCTTTAAAAAAGGACTAAAATTTGTTTATACATGAAGTGACAAAGCAAGCTAAGTCAGATTATATCGTCAAGTCCAGATACAGTGGAGGTAACACATTAAGTGATATTAAACATGATAGTTAATGATAATGAGAAAATGAGAATGATACTTAACATAAAGTTATTAGCAAATTGGATGGATCCATATTGCATACGGTATTAAAAGGAATATTAAACATAGTGATGAGCACAGTATTGTTGATGATAATACCTTGTATTATGATAGAAAAGAGTAATGCACAACATAGCTAAAATAAAGAAGTAATATTGCAAATGATATGAAATGAAAAAAGTATGTATGTATATTAAAAAATTGTAATGATTGGCCATGATGAGTGACTTGATATAACCTGATATTAAACATTCTGATGGTTACTTTTTTCGCACAGGAATGAAAGATCGAATGACTGAAGCATCTGTAACATCCTCGCTGTAAGTTCCAGTAAATCTGTCCAGTTTTAGTGTTTCAGATTTTTCTTTGTTGAATTCTAAAAGACTCTGCTCTCCTTCTGTCCATCTCCAGATTTGCAGATGAAGATCTGGGTCAGACTGGGTTATCTGATACAGCAGAAATCTTAGATGAGTTGGTGAAGGAAGGCTACCTATCCCTGACTGACCTGGATTGGTCTCTTCCGCAGACTGCACATCCCCCCAGGTAATGTATCTGCTTTAGTTCAGGGCTGTCCATATGATCATTGAAACAACTGAGACTGTTACTAACCTGAAAAGTAATGTGACCTCTTTGCAGCAAGGAGCAGCAGCAGCAGCAGCAGCAAGGTGGGTGGATATCGCAGAAACTGGGCCGTCCAGAGGAGGAGAGGAGGGAGCTGAGGATCTGGATGAGAAGAAAACAGAGAGAACAGCTGGCTGTTTATCAGAAACATAGAGCAAGCTTGAGGGAAAGAGAACATAAACCTTTCTCTTCCTCAGGAACAGCAGTAAGTATTGTTTACCTCTTTACTAGAGCTGATACTCTTATAATTTACAGTTTTGTTCTTTTCATCCACATTATTTGTTTCTTTTTTTTTTAACCGGCAGAAATCAGCAGACAAAGAAACAAGTGAACGGAAAAGCAAAGGAGAAAATGAGAAGTATGTATCTCTTGACACGAATTAAAGAAGATAAATATTCATGCCTTTAACTGTCCCATTTGATTTGATAGATTTCATCTCCTGGAGCAATACAACCAGAGGACACAGGAGGCTTTTTCATTAGCAAGTGATTTTAATGCTGCTCCACCAACTCTATTCTCTCTGTCACGGACTGGAGTTTTATCAGTGCCGCTAGCTGCACGATCCAACTCTGCTCCACCACTTGGCAGCACTTACAGGTATCCCCTCATCTTAATAATCTGACCAGGATCCCCTTTTATTAAAAGATTTACTGAACCAGTTGTTCCACCACTCCCAAATCTGTTTGGAGTGATTATCTAATCTTGGATATGAAAGTAATGTCTCTTTGGGGTTTTCAGTGTACCTGCCAGTGATAAAAGAAGTTTAAAATCAGGACAAGCTCAACCCAACCTTCGACCATCTACTTCAGAGATACATCGACGGCTATCAGAGGATCACCGCAGGAGACTAGGACTACATAGACCAGGTTTTGTTAAAAGAAAATTCATCTGCTTTTGTCAAACAGTAATATCAAATTAGACACTCTCGTTGACTCTGTATTTTTATATGTTAGCAACCTCTCTGCCAAGGGATCGGCTGTCACAGGTGACCAGACGGGGAATGATCAGCAACACAAAGAGCCAATCGAAACAGCAAACATCAGGCCAGAATAAGGATCAGCATGTTGGGCGCCAGACAGGTCTGAACAGAGGTCCTCCTGGGGGGACAGATGCAAGGAGGGGAATCCTGAGGGGAGGAACAGATGTGAATACTGGGGAGCTCACTTCAGACATGAACAGGGTGCTAGACACCAATCTGTCTGACAGAGTAAGAGTCACATTATAGTAAAATCTGAGAAACACAATCTAACACTGTGTCACTTTAGATGTAGTTCTGGTTTTATGAATATGTTTTACACTTTTTAGGTTGAGACTGAGCTGCTGGATGAGCAGGATGATGAAGCCGGAGCCAGTGGGTTGGACTTGGACTGGCTGGACAACCTTTCTGAGACTGGCAGCAGCCTCAGCAAAATAGACTGGGCTGCTATTGAGAAAATGGTTGCTGCAGAGGAGGGTTAGACTTATGGGTCATTAAGAAATAAAAAAAAATAATGACAAAAAGGAAGGTATATAATACCAAAAAGACACCCCAGTGGGTTGTTTATTATTCGGGGTGTTCTGAGATTTTCTGTGCCTTGAAAATGTAGATTGAATCTGCAATAATGATAACAGCAATTGTAAATTAGATGCCATCTACTTTGACAGAGTTTATTTTAGAGTAAATTAGTTGCACCACAATTTATATGTGACATTTTAATTTGTTTCACTTGTATTTATTTTTTGCACTTAAATCTTAGTGCCATTTTTATGTCAAGTTTTTTTATTTTATTCCTGCATAGACTTTACTGTCCCTACAACTTGTCTGGTTTCTCCTCACTCTCATTGTTATACTGGTCCATGTAGCCTGATGGTGCTTCCAACTGGATCACTTATGCATGGTTAATATTTGACACTACTTCCTTTTTTCATTTAACCCCTAAGACTGAATAATCCACATTTTTTAAAGCTAATTTATCCCTTCTTCAGTCAATTCGCTGCCTTGGATTTTCCATCAAATCTGCATTGTACAAGACTTTTGCACTAAAACTGGCACCATTTTGTTTGATATTCTGTTGAGTACTGTAAAATTGTATTGTTCTTTCCCTTTACATTTAAATAGTAAAAGTTTTCCTTCAAGCATTTTTTCTCCTATACGGTTTTGTCTACAACAGCTTTGTTATCCTTATAAAATTCATGGACTGCAGAAAGGTCGCTTCATAATCAAATATAAAACAATCAACCAGTCAATCAAATTTTATTTATATCGCACCAATTCACAACAGTCATCATCCCAAGACGCTTTCCAAAGAAAAAGAGCAGGTCTAGACCACAGTCATTGTTTGATGAATTATCAAGACCCAACCTAAGATGGGATTGGGCCCATAGAGATCATAACATAAAGATCTGAACAGCACTCATACTGAACTTTGCTCAGGAAGCAACAAACACTGTGAAAATGTCACTACTCTTGTAACTGGGTGTTTTGTGAGCGTGTACGGAGAGAATGAACGGTTTCATCTATCACCACTTGGGGCGCTCTGCATCAGCCGTGCTGCAACAACCGCCACAGAAGAAGTAGTGAGCGCTTCCTGTGGTCAGAGGTTATCCTCGAATTTGAAAACATGGACCCTCATAAAGGAGGAGAAGGTACCAACTTTCTGCTTTTATCTTCTCATTAGTCATGTTCATTCATCCTACATGACTTACACCAATGTGCACTAGTGTTAGTCTGTTTTTACAGTGTCTGTGACGTTCATTAGCTTCATAATTGAGTCACTATGCGAAAATAAACAGTCGTTGCTATCTTTAGTAGCCTGTATGTTAGCTTATTTTGTCTCTGTGTTTTAAACCTTATATCACAATTTTAAATATCCAGTCACCTGACACTTTATGAAAAGCTTAGATAAAGGAAAGGGTTCAACATTGTTTGTTATGAGCGGACGGTAAATTCCTGGTGTTTCGGTGTAAACAGTGACCGTGTCAAGTGGCGACTGTCAGCCGCGTGCGTCAGTGGTTGTCGTGGTTACAACAGCTGTTGAAACTCTTTCCCTAATGTCCTAAGTTCTTAATTAAATACGAACATTCTAATTATATTTTGACAGCAGAATGAAGACATAATGTAGTATGCATTTGCCAGATTACAACAGCTGCTGTGACAACGATGGTCTCTCTCTACTGCATTTCTGCGCAAACTCGACATATGTGATAATAGATTGAGTTGGACTAATGCTAGTGATATTTCCCACTCTTTTCATGTCATTTATTGTTGTCTCATTCTGATTACCAGTCTCTTCTCCTGTTTTTTCCCACAGCATCTGGCAGGATGAGTGGTGATGGGGACATGGCATCAGTCATGGGGTTTTCTGGTTTTGGTATGTACAGCCCTGGAGAATTTTCTGCATTATAAAGTTACAACTTTAAATGTATTTGTTAAACGTAGCTGTCATTGTTTTCTTTTTTAAATTTTTTTTCTTTTTAATTGATTTCACATATCAATATTCCATCAACATTTTACATATATTGAACAAATTTCCAACTGTTTATAATATTTCTCCACCGCGGAGCAGAGACATAATTAGACATAAACTCCTTAAGTAAAGTTACAGTAGAATAACTGTGTAGTAAAATGAAACACTTTCCACTCCTTTTTTTCACACCTCTCTTGCATTGTCTCACAAACATATGAACAAGCTTGTAGCCTGAACCAAGGGTATCAATAGTCTACAATACACTATGCCTTTACTGCGCAAAGTCTGCTCTCAATTGAGACACAAAATCAACCCAGGTTTTCCAGTAGTTTTTAAAAATATCTGTTTTTAGTCTAGATGAGAAAGTCAGCTTCTCCATTCTATATATATGGATCATTACCTCTACCCAATCCTCTATTTGTGGTGCTTCTGTTTTTAGCCGATTTCTGGTGATGGCCTTTTAAGCCGACACCAACATTATTCGAAATATGAGCTGTCATTTTTTTTCCACAGGTAAGAAGGCACGCACATTTGACCTAGATGCCATTTTTGAGCAGACTAGGCGGACAGCCATTGAGAGGAGTCAGCGTGTGTTAGGTATTCTTACAGACACTCCCTGGTGTTTACTATTTATTCCATCTCGATGTTTATGACTGAGCTGTACTTATTGTTTCTTTAGAGGAGCGTCACATGGAGGAGGAAGGGGAGAGCTCCAAATCAGCAATGCCATCAGCCCCCACTCAGAGAGACAAATCCACAGCTGCTTCCTCAAGGTACCATAAGACCCTCAGTTTGATAGTTTTGGTTGATACAGTTTTACAGTTTGATCAGGCTTCTCTTTGTTTGAGAACAACAAGCATGTGTGAATTTGCTTTTATTTGACATGTAATGTTTTCTCCTTTTAGAAAGCAGGAGAGCAGCAGTGACAGCAGCTCAGACTCAGATGAGGACTCAGACTCAGAGCTCATTGGGCCGCCACTGCCTCCTCAATATACAGCTGAAGGCGACAATGAAGTTGTGAGAAAGCCAAGCGAAGTTGGCAGCACAGCTCACAGTGATGAGGAAGATGATGAAGGGGATGACGAAGACGATGATGTAAGTTAAAAGGTCCCAGAAGATAATTTTTTTTCTAAAATACTCCTTTTCCATGGCAGAAACTGTGACTTTTGAGAAGCAGCTGTGATTGTTGACCTAAACATCGAGGCTTTGTGTCTCAATGCAAAGATACACAAAACGATTTTTTCTACACTCTGAGGTGCAGATTTAAGCTTTTACCACTAGATGGCAGCAGAAGAAAATACAAGTAGTGGTTGTTATGCTAAAAAAGATCAGAGGACAGTAATTTTGTTTGTTTATTAATAACTGAAGTGTTTTTTTCTGCTTTTTGAGCTACATCCTCATAGAAATCCAAACTTCTCTAAAGTATGATGATGCTTTGTTATTACAGATCATTATTTTTAGTTATTCATGTGGGGAGATAATTGCCTTAGGTTATGAGTCATATTACCTAAATCCTAACCATCTACCTCCAGCAGTTTCCAGTCATTTATTTGCAGCTGACTGTGGTTTGAGGCTTTTATTCATGCTGTTCTTTTTTTTTTTTTTTTGAAGTTTCAAATGTCTAACTCAAATGTCACATATAATTGAACTTTGGAATGAAATCCAACGCACCTGATTGAGTCGTTTACTCTTTCCTCAAGTTCTGCTCAACTTTCTATCCTAGAACCCGGTGAAGAAGATTCCAGACACTCATGAAATCACTCTTCAGCATGGCACCAAGACAGTAAGGACTTTTTCTTACATGACTCATCCAACTCCGTGGAAATGCAGTCAATTAATTTTATTTATTTTGTTAGAGAAAGGAAGTTCTCAAGTCTTCAAACGTGGCTTTTAATCAACACCATATTCTGTTTACATTATAAGCATGGAATAGATTTTCATTCACTTTAGCCTAATGCTAAATTCCAGCAATAAGATAGGTGCCTGATGTAACTGCTGACCTAAACATGAGCCCAAACTTTGAAATACTTTGTCCAGATCTTTTATTTTGTTTTTATAGAACCTTTTTTGTCTCCTCAGGTTTCAGCTCTCGGCTTAGATCCCTCTGGAGCTCGTCTGGTGACCGGTGGGTATGATTACGACGTTCGTTTCTGGGATTTCGCTGGAATGGACCAGGCTCTGCAGGCATTCCGGTCTCTTCAGCCTTGCGAGTGGTGAGTCCACTTCTGAGAACACAACGTGGAACTACAACGTAGTTGCTTAACATGTGGCTAATTGACTTCATGCGGGAAAGCGGTGGACTTTTCCTAGAGCCGAAGTGTACACAGATGCACAAACACACACACATTTGCTGAGCATCATTGAGCGTGGAGTTAACTCTGTGACATCCTCCTGTTTCATTCACAATGAGGCCTTCAGGAGCAGATGGTGGAGATACGTGGGTGTTTGTGCGTCTGTGCATGTTTACTGTATGTTTGACTGAGACCGTCATCAAAGATCAAATTCTTTTCTGGTTGTGGAAACTTAGTGGGCTTTGCTGGAGCAGGCTCTCCCTTATTAAGAGAATTTTACGCTACATTTAGTTTGATTAAAATGCGATCTAGTTGGCTTACGAACAAGCTGGACTCTGTAAGGAGAGTCATGCTATTTGAGTCCACTGTTCCACTGTTACTCTCCCCCGACCCAAAATAGAAACTTATGAGCTCAGTCAAACTAAAACAATGAGGAAAATGAACATTTGGTGGTATGTAATGAGTCTCTGAAGATGCCAAAGCCCTCCCCCCTCCTCAGTTAAAGCACACTACTCTCCTGCAAGCCTCGCTTTCATTTTAGCAATATAGATTATATCCTTTTTACCCTTTATAGAGAAAATGTGGTGCCTGAATCCAACCTTTGCTATTTGATGTTAACTAAATTCACAATGTAGCTTGTGTTTACTTGTTTGGATAGTGATCCTTTCAGATAAATCAAAAATATGCCCCTGAAGTTTGGACACCCTGTTATTTTTGTCTGGCAAATGTCAGCGATTCTTCAATGTGTTCATGATGTGTTATGATTCGTGTCACTCTTTCCATTTCTTAGCTTCATAACCCTGTTATGCTCCACACGTGTCTGTTGCATGTCATGGATCAAAGGAATCAACCATCATATGTACATCAGATGTTGTTTTGTTTTGTTCCTATAGCTACACGTATCTCTTGTTTGTTGTTTTGTCCCTGAACCCTTTCGAGGATTAAACGCTTCTTGTGTAACTATGGTTTGGTGCAGATGTCTTGTACAATCACAGCTCACAGATGGCCTGTAAACAGGCACTAAGACACTTATCAGAACTTGTCAGCTACACAGAAGTGTAACCTTAAAAATAAGTTTTTTTTTGTCTTCCATATCCTCCTCATGTGTGTCTGTGTGTGTGTCTGTGTTCTTTCAGCCACCAGATCAAGACCCTGCAGTATAGCATCACTGGTGATGTCATTCTGGTAGTTTCTGGGAATGCTCAGGCAAAGGTGTTGGACCGGGATGGCTTCAATGTCATGGAGTGTGTGAAAGGAGACCAGTACATCGTGGATATGGCCAACACGAAGGTAAAACACGTCTTCTAAATACCCGTTTCATTTGGGAGTGATAATAATGCACCCACCAAGATGAAATGGTAAAGAGTTCATCTTATGAATACATGCTGTGCAGACTGAACACTGGAGGAAAGACAACAGAGTTATGGGGTCATTTTTGGCAATATGTGGAACTGAAATGACTGTAGACGATGTAATGACCATGAATGTCCTAGGCTTTATTAATATTATTACTATTATTATTGTTATAATTTCCTTTCTCTTTTGTTTATCTCTTTATGTCTGTGAACAGATGTCACTTTTTAATGTCTAGTTCATCAGTGTACCAAAATGCTGCCCTGTTTAAAGTTGTTCAAAACTGTGAAAAATTGATAAAATTTAAATTACGAAAAAAAAAAAAAAAATGCGCCCACTAAGTAATAACTGAGATCTGGCTGCTGTTGAAAAAAAAGTCTGACTGAGAAGTAAACGCAAACAGTCAGCTTTTCAGACAATTTCTAAATAAATAAACAATTTTGCAAACTTTTCACCATTTAATTTATATTTTTGGGTATTTTTAACTCACTTTTTTAAACCCACATTTTAAGTCTCTACCAACTCCCAGGAGAAATATCTCACTAAAAAGCTGCTAAATGCTCAGCAGTGTTCACCAACTAGCTTAAAAATGTGTTTCATTGCACTTAAGGCTTAAATAGGCAGTATGTTTAATGCTGCGTTCGAGTTACCTCGGAGGTCAGATATTGGAGCTGAAAATGACGTCACACCTGAGTTCCTAGCGTTTCAGTTACCAAGTCAGAAAAAAAACAAAATCGGAGGCCTGAAACAAGATGGCTACATCTATGAACGTTATTTTAGCATTTGTCTTATACTAGGACAGGCAAGCGCTAAAATAACTTTTGTAGATATAGCCATCTTGTTTCAGCCTCCGGTTTTGTTTTTCCTGTTTTGATAACTGAAAGGCTTGTAACTCAGGTGCGACGTCATTTACAGCTCGGACTTCTGGCTTCCGAGGTTACTCGAACGCAGCATTAGAGCAGCTAAACAAGGAGATGTAACTCATTTGAAATCCCTGCAAAGCTCAGGAGAGCCACAGGTTCAAGAGAAAATTTCACTAATTCAAACTGCCTTTAGATATTATTATTTAAAGATATTGATTACATCCATTTCAAAGATGTTCATGTACCACTTCAGCGTTGGCAGCGTGCCTATGAAAGCCTGTTTAGTGTAAATACTGGCTGGCTGCTCTTTAGCTTTGTTGGTAGATCCTGCCAACATTTAATGGTAGCAAGGTGCCTCCCTGAGCTTGACTGTTGTTGTATGTGAGGGTGATGTTGAGCGCTGTGAGACCACCCTCAGGCACTCTTGGGAGAGAAACCTCACATGCTTTCAGGATAGCCGTGGTTCATCTATTTCTTGTTCCTGCGTTTACAAAGAAGAATCCTAATTAAGCGGCCATGTTTGGGTTTTGCCGTGATTAACAAAGCTGTATTGGTGGTCACTAACCATGTGTGCCAGCTGCATTGTGTTTAGGCATGGTTTATACCACCAGTATGAGCTACTTGAACAAGTGAAGGCCCGCTGATTGTGCGTAGCATGTCCTGCATCGTTGTCCAGCTACTCGGTCCCATCTGGAGCTGATGGGGGACTTTGGTTCAATGAAACTGCACTTTGGCCCGCTGACAACGTCCCAGTCGATTAGCTGCGTCTCATGTGATAATGAAGTCCTTGCTTCCTCCTCCGATGACAGACAGTAGTTTGCCTCCTACTGTGCGCGCAGAGATTCTCCACAGAGCGGTCTAAATCTGCATCCAATTGGATGCCATGATATCTGATGTTGTGGAATAATACTTGTTCTGTTTCATCTAGGATATAAAAAACACAGCTCTGTTTTCAATTTCCCAAATTTTAAGACTTGGTTGCTTTGTCCATTCATAGCCCACAGAAAGAGAGGGGACAAAAAAACAGAGAACAGGACCAAATTGTTGCTTTTGAGCAGTTCCAACTAGATTTTTGATTCAAAAATTGCTTTTTCGAGCAAATTCGAGCTCCTAGATTAGTTTACCCTTAAACCCCAAAAAGCTAAATCTAATTCTTGAGATGCCGCTGGTTTCTGTTATTGGTGTTGTGTGTCTTGAAAATTGCCCCATTAAAGTGTCCTGTTCGTTTGTTTATCAGTCTGTTTCTATTTAGTTCCAGTTTGTTGTTTTAGATCGTGGAGGAAGAGGAGTCAGGTTTGTTTAGGAAGGTAGCGTTTCCTGCACTCTCATCATGAAGCTCTTGGAATGGATGCTTCTGTTTATTTGGATGTTAGCGCGATGAGCAGGGAAGCAGTCATTCACAGCCCATTTGAGCCGGAGCCTTGCCATACTGTAAAGTAGTAGGTGTGTATTTTACCATAAAGATTAACAACACAGCAATTTAAAAGTGCACCTTTTGAGCCGTTAAACAGCATAAGTGAGAAGTTCCCTTTTATTGATTCATAAAGTGGTACGTTTAAAGTTTTTGACAGTGAGCAGACTGGCCTCTTTCTCTGATACACACATACCAATGTTCTTTGGTCAACTTATGCAAGGCTCTGCTTCTTGGAGCATCCTGTCAAATAGTGGTATGTCATGTCTGAAACCTCTTTGCCGAAGTGTTCCTCACTGACCTGGCAGCAGAGGAGGCCTCTCTCTGGGATATTCCACTTTGAAGTCATTTGTTATGAGTAATTCTCCACAGGACTACCCCAGCAGAGGAAATGTCTCAAAGTTACTCTCACTGCGAGGAGTTGTCCGTTTGAAGCTGTGTCACAGCCTGCTGCACTACCTCATAGTTCACTGGCTCAGTTAAAGCGTATGTCGTGGAGGGCTGAAAGTCAAGGTTACAATAAGAGCAAATCAAAGACCGAAATGGTCTTTTCCTCAAGGAAGCCTCTCTTTAAAGAATAATTGCTGCCTCCTGGGAACTTTTGTTTGCTCTGTAGATGTTAAAGTCCTTGTTGATACAGGTTTTATAGCTGTCATGCACTTCAAACAGCACAACTCAAAAGCTGCCCAAAAAGTAGTAGAACTATTAAAATGATTAACCTGTGATCTTTGTGCGTCACTTTGGTTAAAGATCTAACTGTAAAGGACAACAGTTGTCTTTGTACATGATTATTCTCCGCGTGCAAGATCGATCCGCATAAATTCACTTTCATTGCTTAGGAATTTTCTGGTTTGTTTTGAACAACTTAGCTGATCTAGTATCTTAAAATTTCTAATAAGATATAAGATATTTATTTATAATCAGATAATACCTGAGTAACCAGTGTCTTGTAAAAAAAAAAAAGTCCTGCTTGCTAAATATGATAAATCTGATCTTTCCAGGGCCACACAGCCATGCTGAACAGCGGCTGCTGGCATCCCAAGATTAAAGAGGAATTCATGACCTGCTCCAACGATGGGTGAGTTTGATGCAGCTTTTGTGAGGCTTGAGTTGTGTGCAAAATCTGTCACTAGCTGTCTATGTCTTTGCAGCTGCAGTGATGTTTACAGATTAAAGCTACTACAAAGGACCATCAGTTGTTGTTTATTTTTGTGACTGATGTGGACAAAGCGGTATCTCTCATCTCTTTGCTGAACTTTTCTGTTAAACTAGATGGCGTTTTCGTTCAGTAGCTGCATTGACTGACATCTATTGGTGGCACCAACAACAGGCGGCACTAAGAATGACTGTGTAATAATCCAGCTATTGATGTTTTGTTTATTTGTTGATTTGTTTGTTTGGAACCCCGTTAGCTTCCACAAAGTGGTTGCTAATCTACAATTACATTTTAACAATTCATTAATAGTAAGTACAATTACAGATTCAATTTATGATTCTTCACAACATTAAAATCACTCCGAAATCGATGCTTTTTTAAGTTCATTTATACATACAGTTTTGTTTTAAAATAACATCTACTGCCTATTTGCTGTGTCCTCCGAGGCAATTGATTCCACATTTCTTAAGATCCAAATAACACTGTTCTCCTCATACAATTGGACTTTGAGAATGGAACAATTAAATGACCAGAGCTAACCTGCTGAGGTTTCATTGTTGCAGGAGACATCAGTATTAGTTTCTCTCTGTTTCATAACCAGTTAGAAAACCCTCACAGGAGCTTTAAATCCAAAAATTATAGTATTATTCATTAAACTTGTGAGAGATGAAACCTCTACCAAAGCTTTCACAACATGCAAAGGAATATCAATTATTTGATCGGCCAGAATTAGAACTGGCAGGATAAACCTGTTAGAGTTCATCCTGTAATAATTATTTATAACTATAACCTGCTGTGTTTGTTTACGGTTTCCAACTGTGAATTTGCTCCTTTTGTTTTATGATCGCATGGGATTTTCCAGGGTGTAAACGTGTTGATAAACACACAAGCACCCACATCTAGAAACTACAAAGAAAACCCTCACTGCGAGCCTCTGAAATAGTGTAATTTAAAGAGATAACTTGTGTTTGTCACGTTTGAGACTTTTTAGCTTTCATGACCGCTGCCACCAGCAGGGAGTCCTCTAGCCCAGATTTTGCCTCTGGATAGAGTAGCTTGTCCTCACAGCTGTGCATTGACACATGGCACATTTCGTACTGGATGCAATCCAAAGGCAGCCCCTTTATTTGCATGCAGTGATTTGGAGCAGAGCAACACTGCTGGAGACAAAAACACAACACACAATAACACACAAAATATTTCTGTTCTGGAAAGAAAAGCTCAGACACTCCTCAGCATCCTCCAAAGCTGAACTTTCCTGTATTAGTGCAGAAGATGTGACACTTTGCCCTTTTGAGAGGTGTGAGTGAACACTTGTAAGTGAAAATGTGCGACTGAGCGAGACCACAGTGATGAGTCTAAGTGAGTGTGACAGGCAGCAGCGCAGAAACCCCGAGCTATCATCATTAAGTGGAAACAAGGGCCTCGCTCTGTGGGCAGGCCGCAGCCCAGTGTTTACCAGTGTTCCTGCTCCCCCAGATGTGGGGGCCGGTTTATTTAGCTCTTACTGAGGCTCTGGAAATCCTCCCCTGGCACGTTAGCACTGGGTGTTGCCCCTGGCCTGCTCACAGGAGAACAGCGGAGGAGAGGAGTGCAGAGGGAACCATTCACAAGCTGACGAGCTGCATGTGAGGGTCCCCGAGGGAAGTACAGCAACCTGAGTGGATGAAAGAGGCTGTGACAAAGAGTGGAAAAACAGGGAGGGACCACCTGTGAGGATTTGCTGGTGAAAGACTCTGCACCCAGCGCTGTGTTTGATTTCTAATGGTGCACTTTACATTGCATTCGTTGTTTGTAGTGCTAAACATTTTCTAGAGTCTCAGCCCCACAGTGCAAGCAGCCTCTCGGGTGCAAACTGCTGCAAAAGATATCTTCAGTTCTTTGGTCCCTTTTTATAATAAGAAATATAGTTAAGTGTTTTAGCAGGCTCTTTTCACCGTGGTAAATGTGAACCTATAAATTTAATTTCTAAACTAAAGGTAACCAGACTGATTTACTCTGATATGTGTGGGCTCTCTGGATTCTCTTCTACAGATCCAAAGCCTCCCATTTGGAACTGACTCTGGAACAATTTATGAGCCTTTTGCAATCTCTTCAAAAAACAACACAAAAGGCTGAAACTTTAATCTTCTTCAGTGACCACAGCCGCTTTAATTGTCTAAATTGCTCATTGTATTTCATGCAATATGAGTCTTTGTGGGAGTTTTTTGATGTGTGGTCGATGCCTCCATCTCACTGCTACAGTTATTCATGCTGCTTCTTTCACTTCGGTGCCGTCTTTTGAGCAACTTCGGCTGCCTCTAGGGGACTGATTGTAGTCAGTGGGCCTCCTGCATCAGCAGTTGTCCCATAGTACCAGTGGGTGTACTTCTTTCTTTAACCAAAACACCCTTTTTTTCCTCCTTTTTCACCCTCACAGCCTAGTTAGAGACTCTTTGTCATGTTTGTTTGAATAGCTTATTAAGTATGATCACTGGACCGCCCAGCTCCTTCATTCAAGGTCCCGCTCTAGCCATGTGGAATCTCATTCATAAGACCAGCCGTCCAGCTTCTTGAATGATTTCATTTACCCAGACCTTTTCCCCCAGGTGGAAGTGTAGTAGAAGGAAGTACCGCTGACTGAGGCACAATAACACAGCAGCAGGGCAGTTGGTAGGGGTTGTCCTCACACACTGATGGTTGAATGGAGCTTGAGCAGAAATGTGTGACTCAAGTCTGTCTGTGAAAAGCATTTTAGCCTGGACTGGTGTGATAGTGTCGACGTTTCTCACTCCTCTGTCATTCTGTTTGAGTGTCGTCTGTTTGTAAAACTGTTTAGCAACTTTGTTCAGGGCCAAATCTGTATTTAAGCACAGAGCCACTTAAATTAAATCCCCGCTGAAGGACTGAACACCTGTTTGGAAAAATGCAGATGTATTCCTTGGAAAGAAAAGGCAAGTTGTGAAGGGTCTACTCCCAGCGGAAGATTTTCTCTGGCAGGATTAACTTGAATTAATCTAAAAATATGGCTGGGAGTTTGTTGAGCTGCACCCTGTCCTACTGGACAAAATATTAAACATTAGTTTCTGAAAATTCTCGACTAAGTTCTGCTCAAAGCGAACAAACTGCAGTGTCGAAATGTTGAGCCGTAACCGTGTGTAAAGCTTTGCGTTAAAGCAGCTTCAGGGACATGACATCACGGATTCTCAGCTTTTACTTTGTCATTTTATATTCCCTCTGGAGAACGATAAAAAAATCATGTTATGCTCTTTTTGTGACTGAAATTTCAGCCAGCAGAGCAGAGGATAGGACGAACGGCGACTTTTTAATCAGGAACACATGTTACTTGTGTCGAATCTCGGGGCACACAAGCACATGTGTACATCCACAAACACACACACATACACACACACACACAAATTGAGGAATGCTTCCAGGAGGTTTGAATGCCAGGGATTCCCTTTGTGCTGGCCTGATGTCAGTGCTGCAGCTGGATTTGGATGCGTGGCTGTAAGGAAGGAGACCCTTAGGACAACATGGCAGGTCTTTTTACTGCACAGGAAAAACATTGTGTCTTTGTCAAATTAGGGTTTTCTTTTTTTTATCATGAAGCGGGTCCACAAAAATAGAAGGTCACACAAAGTAGATTCATGACTCACTGCTTTGACAAACCCTGGGATTCAGTCATTTTGTACTTTCATAGGAACAGGCAGCTACTTCAGTCCTTCAGTCCGAGTTTTCTTTGCACAAGTAAATGTTGATATCGACTTTCGTGCCCTAAAAAGTAGGTCATTATTTTTTCACAAAGGAAATTGTCCGCTTGACTTGGTTTGTGACAGAACTGCCTCTGTCAGAACAGACCTATTTAATGTGGACATGTTGGGGCGATTCACACAGGTTCACCCACAGTCCAGCTTGTCTCTAACTCTTTTTAAGCCTTATACTGCAAGTGTTCCATATCCCGCTCAACAAGGCACATACCACGTCTCTACAGAGCCTATTCATCTTTCTGCTCGATTCACAGACGTGGCTGAATGTTTGACTGTCAGGACCTTCTGTTTCTTTACTGTGTAACTTCAGTGTTTATTTTTTTTCTTATTGAAGTAAATATGTGACCACCTGTTTTTGTGAAGCCACCTTATCAACCAGATTTCCTGATTAGGACTTGTCCTGATTACCTTTACCTTGAGCCAAGCTTTTTGGTCTCTATTCTGCTCTGTTTAAGACCTGTAGGCTGTACATCACAGACATTTTCGTTATAGGATTTGCGCTTATGGCTGTATGTATAATGTTTTGCTGGGTAGAGCATGGAGCAAAGGTTATTGTCTTCCATAGTAGGACTGTATCTGTGCGATTGCCATTATAACATCTTAAAGGATGTTTTTACTACACAAAGTAGGAATCAGGGGTGGGAGAAAAAATCGATTTACATAAGTATCGCAATTTTTTGTTTTACAATTTTTAAACCGATTTTTTTGTTGAAATTATTATTATTTTTTTTTCAAATTTAAGAATAAATCTTGAAATCTGACTTGCATGTGATGTGTACTTTTTGGGGAAATATGGTTCCTGGAATAGTCAGTAGACAATCATAATCATTCAACTGTTTCGCCGATGTTAAAAATGCAGACTAAAAATCGAGAAGATTCACAATATCGTAGAATCGCAATTTAACTCGAATCGGCATCCAAAAATTCGTAGAAGAATCGAATCAGGAGCATATTGTCCCAGCCCTCGTAGGAATAGTAATGTTGATAATCGAGACAAACAATAAATAGAAAATGCAGAGAAACTCAGCTCAACAGGGAAGCCACCTTATTTATTTATTATTCATTATTATTTATTATTTATTCATTATTTATCAGAGCAAAAACTTTGGCTGTTAGCATTCACAGTTGCAGCCCACCAGGACAAAGTCAGGAAATTTTCAAGAGTAGTGTCGTGTTTGAAAGGGGCCTATCTCATGTCCCTTTTTACACATGAGCATCTGACAGTATCTGGACAGTCATGGAAGGGCATTCAGGTCCCGAGTTCTCTGCTGGTTGGAGCATGCTCAAAAAAAAGAGTTATTGTTGTAATATAATAACTGCAATATTGGCTGTGTGAGGGCCTGATGCTGATATGATGCAGCTAACATCTAGCTGTAATAGTTACTGTGTCTTGGTTAACATTATTTCGACATTACAAATGTAACTAGAAATGTAATTAAGTGGAACAGTTTGGAGTTTCAAACAGCAGAGCGAATGAAGTCATCAACCCACCCACTCACAGTGAATGTTCCACACTACCTTACTCAACTGCCACATTCACACATGGACTCAACTTCTTCTTTCCACTTTTGAGGGGGCTGGAAGGAAAATTCTACTTAGAGTTGACATAACTCACTCATCTATTCATTTATACATGTGTCCTGGACAAAGTCGGAACATGTCAGGAGTGCTGTAAAAGGGGCTTCACTGTATCTATATGATATCTTTACTTAAATTGAGAGTCTTCCCCTCTGAATCTGTTGCTCTCACAACAGGGACCCCAGTTATTTAATCGACCTAAATTGCTCTTGGGCGTAAAAACCTGCCCTCATTACTGAAATTTGACCAATAAGCCATCTTACTTGGTATCTCCTCCTTTCTCCCCTCTTATCTCATTATCTTGGAAAGCAGCCTGAGCAGCCATCACCCCCACCAGGCACAAACCGATGCATGATAAAATCTGGGGTCTGGACAGTTATCACTCTGCAGGTGAAGTGTGAACAGCTTTCCTCCCTCGTAAAGTGCAACACGCATGACTAAAGATGTATGGGTCTCATTTTTGTGCATTCTCCTCGCTGTCTTTGAAGCACTTGTGCAGGAGAAGGAGGCTGCTGATTGAAGTGAAAACAAGGATGCAGAGAAGAGCGGGCAGTCATGTTTTTAGTACCTTCTTTTTCATGCATGATAATATTTTGACATCTTCGATTCTCTGATCGCTATAACTTTCCTAAAACAACCCCCTCTTAGAAGAATATAAAGTCTGAGACTGCTCCAGATGTGTCCAGCTGGAGTGGAGAATCGATGTCTTGTATTACTTCTTTTGATCTTCCTTGGCTCAGGAGGTTTAACATTTTAATTAAAAGTTCCTGAAGAGTTCTCCTTTTCCTCTTTTGCCCTGCGTCTCGCCCCTGACAGATGAAGGTGTGCAGTCGTTTTCATGCGCTCATGTTTGGCTCAACACCGGTGGGCTCCAGCCTCTCTGCCATGTTTTGGAAAGAGCCCTCAGGATAAATAGAGTTCCTGGTCTTGTGTGCTATGTGAAAGGTTATGTTATCTTTATTGGCTTGACAAACGCCATCGGTCTTCTGTAAACACAATATAGATGTCTGCGCGAGGCAGCGTTTGAACAAATTTGACATCAGGTCCACAGCTATCCCTCTCTCTTTCACTCTCACACAAACACATGTATATCTCCTCATATAAACACGCACTACACAACGCAGTAGCTCTTCAGGTTGCACTGGGCTGACCTCCATATGCATCTCTTTTTCCAGCAAGAGATATTTGATTTATGAACCGCTTTGGTTCAAGCAGATTTAAACGCAACAATGCATCAAGCAGAGTTTTATTTGACCCTTGCAAGTCCTCACTCAAACCATATGTCTTCAGCTGGCATTTGTAGCACATTGTTAGCCTTATCCAAACACAGCTAAGAGTGTCTGTCTGTGACTTTGTAGCCGGCCACAGAGGAATCCTTCCCTGACTCTGAGTAGCAGCTCTGACTACATGTTTATACTCCTCTGCTGACCTCGTGACCCAGAGGTCGAGATGCTCACTAAAGCAAGCAGCAGGTCATGGACACATTTGGACACACTCTGTCTGGCATTAGCGTGTCTGTGTGGGTGTGTAAGAGGTACGCTCAACATGTTTGTGTGAAGAAAGGAAGTTCAGTAGATAAATGTGAGGTGAAGTTAAAGAGGGAACCATCAGTTCATCCTCTTTGTCGTCACTTTCTTTATAAGAGTCCAAGACTGTGCATTTTTTAATCAGCTGTTTGAATAAAAGTTGAAATTAGACTTGGAAATGTTCTGAACAGGGAGTCATACCAATGGGGTCAAAGGTGAAACGTTCCACCTTGTTTCAAGTTAAACTAATCAGTGTTCTCAGACCATCATCAATGTTGCCCTACTTTGAAATTCAAAAGAAGCTTTTAACTCCGTAATTAAATGTTTTTCCTCATGGCTTTATTTAAGCAACTGTCTTCTTTCACTTTGTTTCAACAGACGACTGAGTCACAAGTTTGAAAATTCTGTTCATGTTAGGGATGCAATGATGTATCGTCTGAACATCGCTACAGACATTAGCTCATCAGGTTATGATGCCCCACGCACCAACGTCAGTAGCTGATGTTTATCTGTTGTGTCCCATCAATTTGATGTTGGCAATTTAACCCAACTGCTGATTCAGCAAAGGTTTTATTTTAACCAGGCAGAAGAAAAGTGGTGGACAAACTGATTTGTTTTTATGATCAAATGTGGATGAAAATGTTTCAGTGTGGGACAAGCAGCAACCTCTTAGGGAAGTCAATGTAGGATTGTAGCTCTTAAAGGGTCAACTTGAGGTTAGCTACAAAAGCTAAGGAGTCCTCAGTATGTTTCACGTTAAAATGTGCATTTATACAGCAAAATTAACACTGTATAAGGAAATGGAGACACTTTTAAAGGATTTTAAATAAAAAGTTTATAGTATCTCAATGTATGTGGTATAAAAACCACATACATTGAGATGGCAGAAAAATGTGGGTTGGTTAAATACAAATGTACATAATCAGGGACACCACAGAGTCGACTCAGCACCACTTTTTCCCTCCGTCTGGGTTAATCAAAAGCTAGAGTGAATCAGCATTTTCAATATGGTGTTCATTCAGCCTCAAAATGTAACTCCAGAAATCAATGAGTGCACAGAGACTGCATTTTTTACAGTCTATAATATAGAAGTATGACACCATCTATGAGGAAGAGCAGCAACATTCATTTTGTCAGAAATGTTTTAGAGACATTTTAAGAGAAGAGGCTCTAAAACTCAGGTTCTAGAATTGTCTGTTGGCTAAATTGTTGTTATAAACATTGATTTTGATAAGTGCTCTGAGTTTCATAATTTGTGCAAATCTAGTGAAAGGGTCTTTCTTACTTAATCTTGTAAATAGCTTTTAATTCCTTGATTAATGGAAGACTATCACTTCATTTTACAGTGTTTATGTGTGTTACTTGGTGGCTGGATCGATACATTGACATCCATATTTATCTTTTTGATTTTATCCATGGCTGTCTGCATTTCTCTTACATATTGGAAATAAACCTCTATTTGCATATAAACTGTATAAAAAAATTCTCCCCTCTCAGAGTTCCTGGTTGCATTAGAAAATTTAATAAAACTTGAGACATGTCTCTCATGTCTGCCATGTTTGTTCACGCCAAAGGTTAGGGCTCTTTCTATCTTAATATGGTTCTAATTTACTACTGTGATAGCTTGTGTTGGTGACTAAATATGTTTTTAGGAAAAGATGTTTTGTGACTGAGTCATGGCCTTAATATGATGTGTAATTCTGTCTGTCCACAGCACTGTGCGCACATGGGATCTGCAGTCTGAGAAGAAACACAAGTCTGTGTTCAAACCGCGCTCCTTCCAGGGGAAGAAGGTCATCCCCACGTGCTGCACATACAGTCGTGATGGGAAGCTCATAGCAGCCGGCTGCCAGGATGGCACCATCCAGATCTGGGACAGAAACCTCAGCGTGAGTCTTAAATCGCACACATACCAACCATAACACTGCGCAGCGGGTTGTAAACATGGGATGTCTGTTTTGTTATGGCCACGTCTGCGGAGTCATGAGCCCCGGGGTCATACGGTCACAGGGCAGAGAGGTCAGAGTTCAAAAATTCAGAAACACTGACCAGAATTTGACGCTCCTCTCTTTCAAATACATTTGTCCAAACTGAGGTGATGACTCTATGATCACTCGGTACATGCCAGTTAGCTTGAGCCAAAGTTTCATTGGAGTTCTGCAGAAAGAGACTGAAGCCATTTATAGGCTCTGGAAGGCTTCACTCAGGGATAGCAGTGCTCTGGACTAACTGCTAACATCAGGGTCCACCATACTATGATACAATAGCAATGCTAACGTCATCAAATGGTTCAAGCTTGCATTTCACATGAAGTGTTGCCATAATAATGCATTGTATTGTCCCTGTAGGGAGATTTGTCTTAGGTTCTTGTGTTGCGTGTGTTTAGATGCCTATTTTGTAATATTAATAAATAAAAAATAACAAAAAACTGTTTACATGAAGCTCATGGAGCACAAAGTGACAAGCAAAACCAACCCCAAAAAAGATAAGAACACCATGGACCTACTTCACAGTCCCTACAGCCTCAAGAAACCTGATTTAAAACACATGCGGTTACATCTCTATTTTGGTTTACAGGCTGCTGTGGAAGCAAATCATCAATCACAGTTAGCCATGCCCTTGAGCGTACCCATCTCTATTGTCTGTGTTTCTCTAAATGGGACCACACTTTTCAAAAGAAACATAAATCTGCTTTGAAGAAAACATCAGATTAGCGATTGAGAATGTGAACTGTCAGAGGAATTACTGAGCGAGGTAAATCAAGTAAGAGTCCGAATAGTTTTCTTTAGTCATTCCATATTTTCCCACTCAGTCTTACACCAAGTTGAGTGGACCCCTGCTGGTTGTTAGAGGTGTCCACAGCGGGACATGTTGGTTCAGCTAATGCTGACAGGACCGCCATGAGCTTTCCAAGTATTTGCATGTAAATTCTAATTTTACAGTGGCGCTACATGGCACGGCATCAAAGTGATCAGAAAGTTGTTGGAATACCACACCGAGGACAAGGTGGTGATCTGTCCTTTAGAAGGACAATGCAGACCGAGAGCCCCCCCTCCTCCCTCCAAGCGCTGCTCAAAATAGCTCATTATGTAACATTACGAATTAAACGATGTGTGATGACGGAGGAGAGTTACCTGAAAGTTATCGAGAGGCCAAAGTCCGATCACCCTCTTTACATTTTCCACTATTAGTTAATTAGGTAATCAGGTGATGAAAGTGTTTACTCCATTTTTTAAGATTCACATTGCTGAGGTAATTGTTGATTTTGGCAGCTCAGAGGCATCGCTCTACTTGCTCTTGCGCACTCTTACTCGGCTGTCTTCGTTTGAGGTATTTGACAAATTGTCGCTGTGGATAGAAACTGCTTCCATTCAGTGTCTGGAGAATTCATCTCCTCCATCTTGCATCCAGCGCCTGTCTCTCCTCTTGCTGTCATAATAATAAGGCATTACTCGCTGTGCGTTTTCTTTTAGTCAGCAACACTGCGAGTCTGGCAGCTTTCTCTGCACTTGCTCGCTCACACACATCGCAAAACAGATGGGAAGAGGGAAAAAAGGAAGGTGAGAGGTGCAGCTTTTGAGAGCAGCAGCGCTCATAATTCAGTTCTTGGAGAGAGGACCTATGTCAGGCATTATTCCAGTTTGGTTTCATCTTACTTTGAGTTGAACTCTTGCAAACATACCTTCAAAAGTTTCTTTTTTAAACCGTTACAATATGCTCAGATCACACATTTGGCAGTCCCAAAACATTAGACACTTGCATTTTAAAATCTGTAATAAAACTGATGAAGGGCTGCACACTTATGTTGTTCAAGTGTAGGGGTGGGAGAAAGAACCGATACAACATGGTATTGCGATATTTTGTCTGGTGATATATCTTATCGTCTCATTTACCAAGTATCGATTTTTTTCAAATTAATTGTTAATATGAAGTCGAATCTATGATCATGGAAAAATAAAATCAACTGTTTGGTCAGTGAAGTTGGCAGAGGTGACATGATGGAGCAGGAGAAAGAGTGTGCAATAAATATATCAGCACCTGGGGAGGGACGTTAGGAAAGCAAGCAGGACACAAAGAGATGGACGTGACACATAAGATTTGCAAGATGTGCTACATGAAAATACAATACAGTGTAAATAAGACAACAGTTGAAAAACAGTTGAAAATTTGTATAAATTGCAATATATTGTATCGCAATACTCACTGTTTTGCAAAATGTAAAAAATCGCAATAATATCGTATCGTGGCTCAAGTACCGTGATAGTATCGTATCGTGGCGTCACTGGTAAGTACTACCCCTATTCAAGTGTTCCCACTCCATGACTTGCAAGTTGTTTTTCTGCCCTCAATGTTTTGCAGTATTTCTACTCTATTTACTTCGTCCCACTTTTCATCTGTCCAACTCCATGTGTGGACAAGGTTGAACGCTTCTGTTATTTCATACGGTGGCTGTAACGGTGGCAATCAAGCTGTAGTTAGTGAGTTGGAACAGCTTGATTGGTCTAAGGGGCTTATCCAGATTACTCAAATAGGAATTAGGCTATAGGATAATCACTACACGACCAACTTTGTAAACACAGACAAAAAAATGTACTGTAAATAGATGGAGGTTTTGTTTTCTTTGTTTAGACGTTTTGCATTGTCAGAGCCTTTCGAACAGAGTCCATCTCTTCCACTCGGCCGTCATCGTCCCTTGCACCTCACAGAGCAGCAGGCTTGAAGTGATTAGGTTAAAGCTCTTGAAATTTATTACCCCCTCTTTCACCAAACTAAATATTTACCCTGCATCACATAGCAGCTTACAATAGTCATGTCTGTTGCCTGACCACTGGAGCCTGTCCTGTCTGACTGGCTCAAGAATTTTGTCAGTGCCCTCTGCCCTAATCATCAACCTGTGCTGCTGACTCGAGTCCAGCCATGAGCCTAAAAAGGAGTCGACCCACCGATGCTTTTATTGCTTCTCCCTCCCCTGTTTAAAGGAGGCCTTTATCTCCCGTTGTATTGCCTCTATTACTCATGGCCAGAATATGCAAGCTGATCAATCATGATCAATCACGTATATGACCTTGATCTGGAGCTCAGCCTGAAGAGAAGCTATTGAGGTTGACACATAGCGCTCTTGAACCCTGACACGAGCTGATTGATCCTACGCTGGGAGTCAAGGGGGTCTCCTCCAATGGACTGTCGTAGAGAGTGATTGCACGCTCCTTCTCTGACCAGAGAGGTTGGTGCCAGAGTTACAAGGCTCCTTTTAAATAGCTGCCAGGTAGTTTGCACTCTGTGAGAGTTTGTGCACTAGGGAGTTCAGGTCTTTGCTCAAAAACATGACCACAGAGACCCGGGGAATGTTATGATGTCATTGGTGGACGTAGATGTTTCCAGACATCAAAGTGAGACCCTAAAACAGGTGATTGTTTTCATAAAGCCCACTGTTTGGGATTGTTATCATGAGATGATGAAACTGGCAAACTTCCTCTTGGTTTCTGCATCTGCTGGTGGTGCTACTCAAAAGCTTTTATTCATCTGTAATTCTTTATGATTCTTGTATTCAGACAATCTCGCTCTTTGAAAATGGCTGAAGATTCATACAAGCCCAGAAGGACCCTTAACACAATGGTAGTCTGCACAGTATCACCATAAAGTAGTCCCTTGGTGGGCCGTAAAAGATGAAGCTGTGGAAGTTAAGAACAGACAATCAAAGACGAACTTCTTAAACTCCAATAAAACTGTTGACTGAACCTTCAATGATTTTACTACCTGTTAGAGTTTCTACTCAGCCCTCTTAATGGACAGGTCATCATACAAGTGTTTGACATGCTACCAAATAAACCACAGTCGGGCTACCTGACCACTGTCGTCTTAATATAACTTTCAATATAGTGCTTTTTTTTATTATTGAGGCTGCCTCCGAAAAAGTTTGCAGTTTAAATTAAAAGTGAAAAAGATCCCAAACTTACATATGATTTTTCAAATTCTCTCTGGCCACATTAAAGTGCAACAGCTCAGAAGGATTTTCATTTCAGAAACAAATACCAAAAAGACCCCTCAGTGTCCTCCTAACACATGAACAATAGACTTCCTGAATAAAATTGTCAACAACACAGTCTTAAATCAGAATCAGAATTACTTTATTGATCCCAAACTTGGAAATTAAAAGGAAATAACAGAAATTATTAAAAATCAGCATAATTATTTTAAAGGTAATTTGCAGGCTCGGGAAGAGGGGGCTGTGAGTCGAGCTGCAGCTATAGACGCTTAGCCTGTGTTTTAGTCAAAGTAATCCTAACAAATGGACAACAAATAAGAATAGAGTAAGTAATTATGTAAATACACTTGATACACCACTTAAAACACTGTTTTCAATGTACACATTTAGACTTTGAATGGTGGCAGCTCAGCTCACAGTCCCCAGTTGTTTATCCCGTTTTATAATTTTTTTTTGAAATAGTGACAAAGAGCTGTTTGGTTGAGACATGCATCTCTTGAGGTACTTATGCAATAGTTTGGTGAAGGCCTACTTTTTATCACATTAATGCACAGACTTAGAGAAAACACACAGACTCCTACTTTTTCCACTTTGCAGCCTTACAAAAGCGAAATGTGGCTGCTTTGATGAGACGCTCTGTCAGATTATGTGGACTGGCTTCGGTGTACTCCTCTCACACACACGCACACGGCTTCACCATCACCACTTGTTGATTTCCATGAAAGATCAGAGCAGCTGTTAAGCACTGTGGTTTGGCTACTCGATCCTCAGAAAGTAACCGCGGTCAGAGTGAGATGTTACACCAGACTTCATAGAGGCATCAGTACGTCTTTCAGGTGTGTGGTTGTAAAAGTATGGCGGCAGGGGGGGAAGGCAGAGCCTGGCAGTATTTCTACAGTGATAGTCAGATCGCGTGGTTAGGAACAGTTGGCGCTGCGGTAGATTGTTATCATAGTCTACTGAGGATGAAACCCTATCCTGTGTTCCTTCAGCTATTTATCAACTCCTGCTGCTAATGGATGTATAAGTGTGCATATGGAAGTGTACAAATGCAGGCACTTTTCCAAAATCCTATAGAGATGGCATACTTATTTCTATTTACACCCTTAAAAGATTGCTGAATAAGACAGTTGCAGTTTAGCCGGACGCTCGCTCAGGCCGGAGAGAAGGGCACAGGTTACAGAGGATGTCACAAGGCAAGAGTGAAGTTACAAACAACATATGAGAATCCAGTTTCACAAACCGGCTGTGTAGATTATCACAGGAAGCAAACACCATGGCATCTACCAATGCCAGCCAACATCAGGATAGTAAATAAACACTCAAGCTCTCTCAACCGCAGTAAATGATCTAGAAATAGCTGGCATAGATGTATGTTTGCAATACGCGGCTAAAATAACCACCGGCTACCTATAAAAGGAACTACTTTTCTGACTGTTAAAGATAATTACTCATGTTTGAATGAGATTGATTGTTTCCTGCTTTGTAATTATAAGGCTTGAGTCTTTTTTACCTGACCCATTTATCGTCCTCATCTCTGTTTACCTTTCTATAATTTCTCCCAGAGTTGGACAAGAGTTGTCTTTCCTCTTTGCACCTGTTAGGGATAAGCAAACCTCTTTTGGGTATGAAAATGAACACGCAGAAACATTTCTTTTCCGTGCTTATTAAAGACAGTAAAACACAAACAATGCAACAGTAAAGGGGGTAAAACACAGCATGTGCCAGCAGCAGATGGTGTTAATTTTAGAAAGAAAGACGTCACATGTGGAACGATTCATCACAAGCCGAACAAGATCTCATAACTGCTTTCCCAAGCTGACCTGAGAAAACCTGTGGCCAAGTGAGAGACAATAATTAGATGGTTGTGATTTAGAAAAACATAAAAATCCAATCTCCACAATCTTATTTGGAGTTACAGAGCGGATTTCACCACACTCCTCTCATGTACATTTACAGTATTTTCACATTTTTAAGGGTGATGTGTCTTCCTCTGCAGCTCTGTGTGTCTCACGCAGCGCCGTTATTCCCCCCGCAAAGTTCAGAAACTGACAAGAACTATCCCTGGGATAAACCTCCCTGGGATTTTTACAACGTGCTGCAACTAACAGTTTACAAAACAAGACAACTGTGAAAAACTAGCTTATGAACAGACCCCTTTCTTGACCAAACACAACAGATCTATGTTTGTTACACAGTTACACATGAGTACATTCAATGCACACATAACGGCTAATGCGCAGCTGTGTTGACAGCTCTATTGAAATGGGGCCTCTGAATTCCTTTCTTTTAGTTGTTTTGTTTAAATAAAATAGTCAATTCTCAAAGCTTAGTCATCCTTAAGTTGGAGTTTTATGTGTTTGACTGCGTTTAAGCATCACATATGAAACTTTGGGTGCCGTCCAGTGGTTCACAGATAACCTGTGGCCAAGCTGTAATATATGAAAATGTAGTTAAATTAAATGGACTTCATGGCTTTCTTATTTCTCATGTCAATTTTTAGGCAGCACCTCAAAAGAACAGACAGATAAAATAAAGATAAAAAACGAGGTGAATGGATTAAAGTCAAAGGTAGTAAAAGAGGAAAATGACGATGGAAAGCAGAAATTTACCCCCGCAGAGACTAAAGCGGCTAATCGGCCAAGAGCTGAGGAAGTGGAATCCATGTTATCTACAGTTCAAGGTAACAGTGTTATCTGTCTCGTCCAAGTTAATAACTTCCCTCCATTCACTTTTGAGGTCAATGGTGGCCTCATTTCCTTTTAGAACTATAAGGACACATCAGTCATTCACCTCGTGCTCTGCTTTATCCAGACCTGTGCTTCTTTTTTCTCGCCAGTGTTTCTCTATCTTATCTGTCCTCCACACTCTGTGCTCACTTCAAATTCCTTATCCGGCTCTCCGAGTCAAAAGGTGCGATTGCAGCAATTCTCTTTTCACTGATTTATTTGCATTCCGTTGAGAATTAATGAAAACGTAGCTGTATAAACCGAGGTTATGTTTGTTTGAGTGTTAGCATGCCAACTGCTCAGACGGTTGCTTCACCGTTTTCTTTTAATGATCGATCGCGGTAACCTGGCTGAGCTCAGGCACTGAGAGATTTATGCGGGGGAAGCAGAGACTCAATGTGGACTACAAAGCATCGCATTAAGTCCAGAAAGACTTTGATTATAGATCTCAAATCAATTAACAACAATATCAATAACTAGGGGTGGGAAAAAAATCAATACAGCATAGAATCCCGATATTTTGTCTGGTGATAAATTGTATCGTCTCATTTACCAAGTATCTATTTTTCAAATTAATTGTTTATATGAAGTCAAATCTATGATAATGGAAAAATAAAATCAACTGTTTGTCCAGTGAGGTTGGCAGAGGTGACATGATAGAGCAGGAGAAAGTTAGTGCAACAAATATATATATAAAAGGTTTGCAAGATGTGCTACATGAAAATAAAATACTGTGTAAATAAGACAAACATAAAGGAAAGACAAATGATAAATTAGCTCAATAGTTAAAAAACTGCATAGATCGCAATATATGGTATCGCAATACTTACTGTATTGCAAAATGTTAAAAATCGCAATAATATCGGATCGTGGTCTAAGTACCGTGATAATATCGTATCCAGGGGCTACTGGTGATTTTCACCCCTATAAATAACTGATGCTAATTTTGATGTGAAGTTTAAATACTTGATTTAATGTGTCTGGACTTTGGATGCCACCAAAACCCAGTCTTAGATAACTACAGGACCTCAGTTAAGGGGCCTACAAGTTTGGTTCTGTTGGCGTCTTCAGGTTGGGACCTCAAGAAGACAGTGGGTTAGTTTGGAACTCCATGCAAAGCAGTTCATCCTCCAGATGAGGAGTTTTTTTTACCACATGAGAAGGAATGCAAGTATCTCTGCTGCAGTGTCAGCAGTAGTGTCAGGCAGTGATACAGGCACAGTCGTGGTAAGAGGGGAGCTGAGGGAGGCAAGGCTTCAGATTATATTCTAACCTTCACCTTTTGGGTAGTGAGTGAAAGAATGAGGTAGAGGCTACAAGCTGCAAAAATTAGTGCTCTGCAAAAGATGGCAGGGTTTAGCCTTAGAGATAAGGCCAAGAGCATCTGACTGGATCTGGAGAAGCAGAAGGAAATAGCTGGATGTAGAAGAGTTATAAGGTCCAGATAAAGGGCAAGCAATACAGAAAATACAAATGCAGAATTAGACTAAATAATTTAAAATACATCATCACAATATATGAGGTGGATGCTACAGGGAGGCAACTTTTTCACTGTCTCCAGAGCTGAGATTGAGCAACAAGCTGGAATTAAAACTTATAAAAAAAGTTACTTTAAGTTGCATTTTTAAATGTTAAGTTTGTATCAGGAGCTTATTGTTGAATTTGAAAGTCATTGTATTGGTTTAAAGGTTCTCCACCTTTTTGTCCATATTTATAGCGTGCTTTCAGAAAGCTTTTCTTTTCACTGTTCCTTTGTGTGTACGTGTGAGAAAGATAGAGAAGGGGGAGTTGTAGAGTTGGGTTATTTCCAGCCCAGAGCTGCAGACCTTGGCGCACACACACACTCTGTACAACAGTAGTACACCACTTGCTTTGAGTTAGCAAAGAGAAAGTACATTGAGTGGCAGGCCATCTTGGAAACAGCTGTTTAAAAGAGAATCTTAAATGCTTCTGTTTGCAGCACAGGGATCTATCTGCAGTGGCTGGGATTAATTAGGAGTTCTCTGGGTGAATTTTATGGTAATTTCTCATGGTTTTCAAAATATCCCCTTATAGCCATCAATGTTTCTCCTCCTCCAACAGTTCAAACCAACTTCTTACACCACAGACTACAAAGATGAGATTCCATTCGCTTTCCTCTCACCTCAATGCGGTGACCTTTGACAGAAATGCCACTCAGCCTTCTTGGTTTTCAGAGGAACATGTTAATCATCACAGCCAAACTGAGTAAGGTCACATTCTCATATACAGCAACATGCCAGAGAAATAGTTACGAGGGCAGAATTATACACATGATTGGACTGGAGAGGAGTTTGTTCTCAACTTTATTTAAACCCCACAACACTGCTTGCTGTTTTCTTTTACGATCCAAAACCCAAAGTAGAAACCTTATCACTCAGAAGAGAAGACAATGACAAACAACAAAGCTGGAGAAAACAGAGGGAGGGAGGGTTTGATGTTTTTTGTAATCGATCTGCTTCCAGAAAAAATCATGACGCAAAAAGAAGTCCATCTGGATGAATTATTGTTTCGTTGTAAGTCTCCAAATGCAGCAGTGGATTTGTAAATATATCAAATAAAACTTACTGTGTTGATCTTGAAACAAAAAAGTGCAATCAAACTGATCGACTACCACTGGTCGAGGCCTGTCCTTGATGGCAGTCATACTGGAGTCACTGGTGTGTCATTTGTGAAAGTTTAAGCTTGTAGCCCTGTATTACTCCCATCTCACTGATCTAATTTTTCCTGCATCTGCTGCCAATCAAAGCCAGCATTCGTTTTCTGCTCCTGGTATTAATTTGTAAAGCCCAACATGATCTAGCACCTTTGCAAAAGGAGATCCCTCAAGTCTGACCGGGGTCTACTTGTTGTACGTTATGCTGAAGTAAAAAAAAAAAAAAGGCGATCATGGCTGTGACACTGTACACTTAGGCTCTCTAGGAGAACTGTGGAGTGTTGGCAGCAACAAACACTTCAGGTGCTCAGGTGGAGAGAAGAACAGACTTCCCAACTGTGCAACTCCAACAGAAATGCTGAGATTCTGAATGTAGATAATATCACCAGTAATAACCATGAGCTTAAGAAGCACTTGCCATTAAACATAATTTTTGCAGTCAACTAAAAGCAACACATCATGGCCTGATCTGAAGAAATTCAAGAACAGATGAGAAACTAAGTAGTTGATATCTATCAATATGGACAGGGCTACAAAATGGTTTCTAAGGCTTTGGAACTCCAGCAAACCACTTTGAGATTCATTATCCACACATGGCGAAAACATGGAACAGTGGTGAACCTTCCCATTTATTGATAAGACAGCTGGAGAGGGACAGGAAGTGTGGGGAAGACATGCAGCAAAAGGGTCCCAACCAGGGGTCAAAGCAGTGACCACTGCAAAGATTACTACAACCTCCACACATGGGGCGGGCGCTCAAACTGCTGAGTCTACGACTGACCCTACACTAACACTACTGCCAAGACTCACATCACCAAATAGGCTTCCAGTTTATCTTTTGTTTTATTTCTATGTCTTTGCTGTTAATAAAAAAACAAAACAAAACTAAAAAAAACTTAATTTAAACACCTCACCATGACACCTTAGAGCCACTGCTGTCTCCTAACCTTTTGCACATGTGCTGTAAGAAGCCAAATTTTCCTGATATTGTTTTAGTGTGGTTCAAAGTTTGATAAAAAATGGTTGTTGCAACTGGCTGACACTTCTGTCATAATACTTGTTTAAGTAAGATAATGTTAAGGAGTCAAAAGGGCCATAATAGCCCGGGGCTCAGAGAAAAGACCGTCTGATGTAGGTTAGTGTCTGGTAGTCTGTTCCCTGTAGGAATGTCATAATACTACTTAAGGTAAGGGCAAGGGAAAAATCAGAATACTATCTGCCACACAGGCAGCTCGGCCTGCCAAGGTAAATCTCTGTGGTCTGGAGTCGCGCTGAGGAGTGAAGTGGGTACAGTGCGTAAAGCTGGTGACATTTCATAAGTTGTGGTGGGCTTCAAAGTGGAATATATTTTATGGTGTTCACGGAGGAAATCGAAACCGTGTGTTGTTTTGAAAGCACTGAATGAAAAGGTCCTTTTGTAGCTGCTGTGCGCACCTGAAACCTTCAACGCTGAAGAAAACGGTTGTTAGGAGAAAACCATGATGAATATGATTTAAAAATATAGATTATTGTGCAATATTGGGGCAGAAAATAGATCGTCAGAGCACTGCTTGTTTAGAGCTTTTTGTAATCATTGATCAGCTACAACTTTACTCTTTAAACAGGTGAATATCAGGTTGTTGTCTCTAAGAGGTTCTGAGCATTGTTACACATCACTACTAAAGAGTGAGACACTGTCTGTTCAAGTCTTTTGCTTTATACATTGTTTTTACTTTTACTTCTTAGGTTCACACAAAGTTTCACTGCAAGCAAGCACATGCTGTGGGATCAGACACCTCCTGCCTTGCCTTTTCCTATGACAGCATGACCCTCGCTTCCCGTGGAGGTAAGAAAAACAGCTCAGCTGCTTCATCCATCCATCCTCCTGCTGTGAGAATATCAAACTCTCTAGGGAAAGTAAATGGCTGTTACACTGAGATTACTTTTTGTATTTAACCGTAGGAGATTTATCCGTTGTGTCCTTTGTTTTTTCTAGGTGACGACACCCTGAAGACGTGGGATATTCGTAATTTCAGGAAGCCTGTAAATGTAGCCACTGGCCTTACCAACTATTTTACAATGTAAGAGAAGTACTGTTATTTAAATTGTACTCTGGCTTAGTTCTGTAAATCAACTGTGAATCCTAATGATACTGTATGTCTGTAATTTTCTCTGTTAGGACTGATTGCTGCTTCAGTCCAGATGACAAGCTCCTTGTAACGGGGACGTCAGTAAGGAAAGAAGAGGGGAAAGGAAAGTTGGTTTTCTTCGACCGAGCTTCCTTTCAGAGGGTTTACGAAATAGAAGTCACCGACGCTGTAAGTCCTGCCTCGCTCTCCACAACCACAACAGCTTTTTCTGCAAGATGTTTTTCAGCTGGATGATATGCTATGAAAGCTACAAACCAAAACGATGCACAGTGGAAAAGGGGAAAAAAAAGGGAGTCCACCATGAAACAATAAAAACGTAATAAAAACAATATGCATTTCCTTCACGCTCTAAGTTGATTGGCCACAAACTAAACTGCAGCCTTTTAATGTTTGTATTTGGTTAAGACAGCAGCAGTTTAAAGCCTCATTATGACAGCTGAACAGAGACTCATTTAGAGTTCCACTTAACCCAACAGAGGATTATTTCCATGGATGAGAACTTAAGTCCATTTATTTGAGCGTGTATTTATTAAAGCTGATGGACTTTGAACTTTGAACAGTAAGCTAGATTTAAAAAAAGATCCAGCTGTAAATATGTCAAAGAGGGTGTTTGGGAGAGAGGAATACATCTCTGCCAGCAGCTATCTTGCTAGTTTTGGCGAGTGGTGAGGTTACAGTTGTGTGATTTACGCACAAATTATGCTCAGGTTGTTAGGGACATAGGCAGTTAAACTATTTGATTGTATTAAAATGAACAGACGGGATATTTTCCTATCCTGGCAGTGCATTTCATCAACTGATGGTTATCTGTATTTTCATGTTTTTTTCAACAAATATAACAAAAAAATCCCAAGTGTCAGCAGTATTAATGATTAATTCCACGCTCGGTTTTGGTAGATTCACAGCTGCATGTAACGCTCCAGCCAACCGTAAATCTTCCTCCTCCTGCTAGTTCACAGTCACCTTTGAAGCTGAAGTTACGTGTTTCCTCTCATTCTATTAAAATCATCAGAGGAGCGTTTTCCTGTTGCCTTTGTCGAGCAAACTTCACAGCCTTAGAGAAACAAGGTTTTCTCTAGGCCACTGTATTAATTAGTAAATGTGACGTGTGTAGCATTTGGGTGAAAATGAAAATTAAGGTGCTCCACTGCACGGTGTAAATGTTTGTTGGCATGTTAAAGACAAGGGACAACTGTCATGTTTCCTTTTGCACCATGCAAAACTAACACAAAAAAAAAAAAGCAATGCATATCCTGAAATATGACTTTTGCATGACCATCATTGGGGGTAAGCAACAGGGTTATCTTTAGGCACACTCGCTTTGCAAACTTGAGCAATGGAAGTGTGCCTGAAGACAACCCCCCTGGCTTCCTCACAAAAGAGTTTTGTCTATGTATTCAAATATCCCAGTCGTCTTGCATTGACTTGATCTTTTTCCCTTCAAAACTGTCAATCTGGAGCTAATTGTTGTATATCAGCAGAATCCAACACTGTACAATGGTTCCCCATCATTACCCATCTGAAAAATTAACGGTAGCCCTGTTTTTGATGGAAGACTGAAGCTGAGAGAAAGTGGAGTAATTTGACCTTTCCTTTCTCTTGAGTGCTTCCCACAAAGCTTTGGCAGGGCATCTTTTGACGCTTTTATATGTTCTGCCTTTTACTTACTTCTAAATTAAATTAGCAGCATGTTCCATTCTCATGCAGGAACCGCGCTGTCAACCACGTTCAAATGCAGTACATTATAGTAATCCTGCCTTCTCGGTAATCCCTCTGGTGAGGGCAAGCAGCCATAAGGTGCTGAAATAAAGGGCAGAGGTGCTGTCTGCAGTTGAAAAACTCTTTTTGTGTTTCTTCCTGCTCCTCCTCTGTCTTCTCCTTTTCAACAGATTTATCACTGTGTATCTACAGTCATAACAGTGAGGGCTGACAGAGGCTAATGGCTTCTAACTTTGTCTCTCTGACTGAGGCATGACACTCTCACATGGGCCACTGAGTGGACACGTACGAGAGGGGGAGAAAGAGACAAAAGCTGTGTTTGTGTGTCCGTGCATCCCCCCGTCCTGCCAGCCAGCTGCTGTTAGTGTCGATGGTGTGCCAAGGTTTGCAAGCTAAGTGCACACCCGCTTGCACAGTTGCACTAACTGAGGGGAGGGGAGGGTGGTTTGTGTTTTAGGCTGACCTATTTTAACAGAAAGTCCAACTTATAGTAAACAAAAAAGTGTACTCATTTTTTAAAAGTTATTCTCAAAATGTATATTTTTAGAGATATAGAAGCTGTAACTGAATATAAGAGAAGTGCAGCTTCTGAGTCCACTCACTGTATTTACAGTGAGAACTAAATATGCCTTGTTCATGCAGTCATCTGAAGTCAGAATACAGAATGACACAGTTAAAATAGAATTGACTGACTCCTGTGTTGGATACTTAGATGACTAAAAGCTCCAAGAATATCATTTCTAACATCGGTGCCTTTGTATACTGCCTTCTTTCATTCAGGAGGGACAACAGACAAACTCTGTCACTGTTTGTGCAAGTGTTTCTTAAAATGAAAACCACTGTCTCTGCACAGCCACAGCTCATGTCTGATGGCTGTTGAAAAATGACTTAAAAAACTCTCTACAATTGAATATTCTGGATTATTTTGCAACAACAAGGTCCACATAAAAAATGCATGTAATTCACAAATAGCGGTCATTATCATGTGTCCAATTGAAGAGCTTCCTGCATAGTCTTTGTAAACAGAATCAGCTGTAACGTTTCCACCGACTTCAGACTGGTGACGATATCGCCACAAGCAGCATAAAAGAAAAAACCTTAGACCTGAGGTCAAAGAATCTATAAACAACTTCAAAACCCTCCTCCATCTCTGCATCACCCCGTTCTTTTCTCTCACTTTACTGAGGAGGGTAAACATTTGGAAGTGATTTTTCCATTGGCCTTTCACTCATTCCATCATCCACCATTGGGAGGAACTCTGAAAGCTTCAGCTCACTTTTAGTGGAAGAAAATGGAAGACCTCTGTTCACCCTTAGCGCTTTACACAAATCCATCAGATTTCCTGCTCAATCAAATTCAGTGCCACAGAAAACAATGCAGTCTAGAGAGTGGCACAGACTGCCAGTCGCCTTGGCTCTGATTGGACATTTTTGGGACGATAAAGCCCTCAAATTTTATACGTCAGTGCTGGAATCCCTTAATCATCGCCCATTGTAATGTGTTATTTAGCTATTAAATAGAGGAGTTTTAGCTATCTTTATACTTACTATACATTAAAGTATCATTTTCTGATGTGTTGAGATATAATTGAAAAAATACATGTAATGTGCTTTAAACGCTGTAATTTTCCCTTAATGTTAGTTGCCACAAATGCTAGTTGATTGTGTATAGCAGAAATGGACCAGTGTGTCTTCATAAACAACTTGGCTATGACAGCTGGCGATTGTGAGCCAAAATGGTTTTAGAAAGCAAGCTGGAAGGCTGAATGAACTGTTTCCTGCTGTATATGAGGGGTGAAGGTTGGCAAGTTAAAAGTCTTTGATCTTTTATGAGTGACTGATTATTATAATTATTGTTTTTTTTTTTTTACAAAATCTGTGGATGAAGCTGCTCTTTCTTTTCCCTGAAGTTATCAAAGTGTCATTTCATTGCTCCCCTTGCTTTAGATTAATTCTGCCAAAGTGAAATCAGGAGATGCAGCAGGTCACTTGTTTCTAGCTGGCATGCACTCGCTGAACCTGATGAATGTTCTATTTACTGTGTTTACATCAGCCGTCTGCTCCTCAGATGGCCCCAGAATTTAAGTGCAGTCTTCACAAAGTGGCGTGGCAGACAGACATTGGAAGGGAGCTCCACCAATCATCTCTGACTCAAGTGTCTACACAACCTCAGAGCTGACTTCTGGGATGTGCTCTGGAGTGAAAGCTGTTTCAACACACTTTGAAGCTTAGAGTAGAGCATCAAAAGGAACGTAAGTTACGTATGTAACTACAGTTCTATGAATCCTGGATGACCACCAGAGGCAGTGCTTCAAACACTGAATGTATCCATCTCACGCATGGGTAGGTCGAGTGTTTATACCAACAAAGTCACGTTACAGAACATACGTAACTTTCGTTCTATTTCATCCTTACTGATCGCCAGAGGCGGCGCTTCAAGCACTGGATGACCCATATCAACAAAGTCACAAATATTTCCAACACCAACCTCATTGAGAGGAAACTGCAGAGTCAGGCCACAGAACCACGCCCAATGGATGGGGAGTGGCAACATTCACCCGATAGAACCTGGCAAAGGTACTTGGCAATGCCCATAGAATAGAGTGGAATAGTCCTTTATTGTCATTGTAACAAGTACAATGAAATTAAATTTATTTTTTTATTCATGCACTGACCGTCTGGCACTTTTGAATTTCTTTGTTCTTGTTACATTGACAGTAAAGTACTATTCTATTCTATTCTATTCTATTCTGTGATGCTGCGTCACAGATGTCTTCGAAGGGGCACACCATGCAGGGTGGCCCATGATGTTGAGACAGCCCTAGCAGAGTTGCACCTCATCCCTGATAGAATGGGGTGACCACTTCTTTTTATATGCACGGGTGATGATATCCACAACCCAATGAGACAATTGCTGTTTGGAGAGAGCACAGCCTTTCCTAGGACCACAATAGCAGAGGAAGAGCTGGTCCAACCATCTTATAACTGCAGTTGCGGCCACATAGACTCTCAGAGCCTGCACAGGACACAGCAGTTTTAACCTGTCGTCCCTTTCCGTTGAGGAACAAATTGTGCCAGGTGAATAGGTCGGTTGAGGTTCGATGATGACAGAACCTTGGGAAGAAAGGTTGTGTTCGGCCACAGGGTAACCCCCAAGCCATCTGGGTTCCACTTCAGACACGAGTCACTCATGTCTGAAGTCACATCACAAGGCTACTAGCAAAGAAGGAAAATAATAGTCTGGCTTTAGCTAGCGAGGTGACATGCAGTTTACCCGCCAAGTGAGAAAATGAAAAGGAACAGATCGTCTGATGTCACAGGAAGATATAGACTGACGGGGGTCATCAGGGGTCACATGTGACTTTGTTGGTATAAACACTCAACCTGCCTGAAGCACTGCCTCTGGCGGTCAGTAAGGATGAAATAGAAGAGAAACCAGGTGACACCACGGTGATCGTCAACACAACAAGCATTTGCCTCAAATTCAGTTTGAACCTGCAGTTCTTATGCAGTTTCTTTGAATAGCGCATGCAGACAAACTTCAGAAAAAAAGGAAAACTGCACCAGTTTGACACTCTAGAGTTTAAATCCTGAATTTCAGCTGCCAAAGAATCTTAGATTAGCCCCAGAACACACTTCCCTCATCTCCCCTGCATGCACTGGAAATTTTGTCGACTCCAAGCTATGTTTGGCTCAACCTTCACAGGTTTCTATTTGCCTCTGCTACACCTTCCACCTCGTGCTTCACTGCTCTGAAACAGTGAGCGGCTCCCTGTTTCACCGCTTCACAGGGAGGTCTTTTATACAAATCCGAGCCTTTCATTCCCTGCAAGAACAGCCAAGCTTGAAAAGAAGACAGGAGGCCTTTACTTTGTTCTTTGTTATGCACCATACTTGATACATTTACAGGAGATGGAAGCCAGAAGTTGCAGAAAAGCAGTTCATACTAATTACAGAAGTCTCAGACGGCTGCCCGCTCTGGATCCTGAGTAGCTGAGGTGCTAAGTCAAGAGCTCCTCTTTCTGAATCTGCTTTAATTTTGTCGATGTGGCCAAGTCTGTTTGAGAGAGAGCACACATTTGGATCCACTCACCGGCAGCTAAACAAAGACCACAGCTGTAACACTGTGTCCCATTAGCGCTGCATTACAACTTCGCATTGAAAGCATGCATTCTGGCCATCAGGCTGTTGTCTTACTTCCACTAATCAGCCGCTGGTATTTTAATCTGGCGGGACATAGGAAACTGCTACTGAGGGACTACCTGATTAAAGTTTCCCTCTTCTTGATGTGATGTAATTTTGTGGACATGAAGCCTAAACATAGGTTTCAAGAGTGTAAACAAGCTGCTCTGAAGATCTGGATAGCAGCCTGACTCTTGGACTGGACCGAGCTGTGCTTGGCCAGGGGTTCTCAGTGGATCCAGCTGGTGTGGGGGCCCCTCTAACTGCTCTGTTTTGGGCTGCTTTCTGCTCTTTCTGTTTGACTTGTTTCGCTGCTGACAGAATGATTTGTTTGGGTCCGAAGAGAGTGTTTTATGAACTTGGCTCGGCTGCAGTCACCTGGCTGTGTTGTCGCTCTCATTCTGTGTTTTACTGCCTGTTTCAAAGTTGTGCAGTGTTTCGGGTGAATTCCTCAAGCTTTGAATGAACCTGTGGAGTGTAACTGAATTCCTGACTGTCACCTCTGCCTTTGCTAACATGCGAAGACTGTCTGGGTTGCTTTGACAACTCTGACACTCCAATTTATAACGCATTAAAGGTTCACAGTGAAGCAGATCCACACTCTGTGGACTCTGGTTTTTCAACATTTGCACATGCTGTTACTTGTTACAAGAACTGTGGTTTAATGAAAAAAGCATTTTTCATAGAAGAGTTTTTACAGCAAAGACAAGATTTCTGGGGCGCTGTTGGCTTGGCAGTTTAGGTGCATGCCCTCTGTGCACGGTTACTGTTTCTCCTCCTGTTTTCACGCTCTCTGCTCCCCATGTTTCCTGCTCCAGCGGTCCTGTAGAGCAAAGGCAAAAATATAATGAAAAATGTTATAAAAAGAATGCAAATTTTTACATTTGCTTGTACTATTTCTGTGCTCTAATGTATGAATGGAATTCGGGGCTCATGTTAAGCACATCCTGTTAAAAGCATTTTCCAGATCCTTCTATCAGTTACAGCTGGCTCATGATCTGGTTGAGCAGATTAACCCTCATCTGTCCAATGAGCTCCACCACTGAGCTGCTGGCCTGAAAGTGGAGATGTAGATGAGGTTTGTGCAGACTTTTAGCACACGAGAGAAACATTTTTTTTAGACACAATCAATCCAAGTATTCATGTTTTATTCAAAATTTTATTGTGTAATTAAAATATGCTTGATCACTTCAGGTTTGACTTTGTAGATTTTGCACCAAAACATGAATTTAGGATGATAAGCTAGCCCCGTGTGTTGCGTTTTTTTTACAAGCATGTGTGCAAGGTTTCTTCTCTTCATATGTGACCGCTCTCTGGTGTGCGTGCGTGTGTGTGACTGATGTGTGCGATTGAGACTCCTTCCTCTGGTATCCTGGTGGGAAGGCGAACAGCTGGGCGCTAAGCAGCTTTCACTGTCACAGAATCTGGACGTCCCAGTCTCTGTCCTACCCACCCCCCATCCTATGCCCCCGCCTTGCACCCCCCTACCTCTACACAGCGCCCACTCTGCTCCACAAAAAGAAGTGCCAACTGATTGCTGTTTACAAAAAAAAAAAAACCTGCACCATAGACTATGCACTGCAAAAAATCTACAATAACAATGAAATGAAAGATATCCTAGAAGGCTGTGATGCTCTAATAATGTGAAAAGGGAGTCTGGCTCCTCACTGCAGTTCACATATCACAGAATAAACACAGGGCCTTCATCACTGTCCAACAACTGTGTGTATTTCCAACAACTGTGTGTATTTCCCTCTCTGCTCCTCTTTTGCTCTGCCTCTATCTCTTACACACACACATACACACACACACACACACCTCTGGATAAATGTGGTCCCATTCGCCTGTTGGCACAGAGCCATCTGTCACACACAGACTGAGGGATCCAGCCCTCATCCCAACAACCAAATATAGTCAACTAGAGCAGCAGAGCACACTGGGACTGATCCCCACAGTACTACAACCAACCCATGATGCATACTCACAATACTTTCAATAACACAATATGACAAGCAGAGGCATCTTTGTAAGAGGTTCACTTCGCTGTGGGCTGATGTTTTTTAAAGTATGACTTCATCCCCTCATCTGCATCACCTTCGGTTACTGTACTCTAAACACTGAACTGTATTTGGTCTCTGTGTTTTTTTCAGAGTGTTGTCCGCTGCTTGTGGCATCCAAAACTAAACCAGATAATGGCGGGGACTGGGAATGGACTGGCCAAAGTGTACTATGACCCTGTTAAAAGCCACAGGTATCCTTTATCAATATCTATATCACCTTTTCTACGCAGGTATGCTTTGTTATCTTTTAGGAAGATGTTGACGACAGGTAGGTCAGTTTAGCACCTTTACTACAGAGCCATGCTAAGCCATGAATGTGGTTTGGCGTTGTCCTGTTGAAATGTGGGAATGCCTCCCAGAAAAAGGCATTTTTAGCATATGTTGCACCCCCATACAATCACAAATACGGGCTTTTGAACTCTGATAACAGACCAGGTGGTCTTCAAGTCCACCTCTAAGAATAATAGAAAATCACATTTTGATCTGACCACAGGACAGTTTTCCACTGTTGCTTTATTACTTGATCTAGATTTATGGATGTAAAAACTGACCCATGTGGTGATTTCCACCACAGAGCCATGTCTGTTTTTATACCATTGTAGATAATATATTATTCACAGGAGGACATGTATATTTCAAAGTAACATTTATATTTTACAGAAATCCCCAAACACTGAATTGCACATGTAGGAACATGATAATTACACAAAGAGGTTTATAACTTAAAGGTGCAGACGATTGTAAAAGGATCTTTATTTTCATAGTTTAATTTAAAAAGTCAACTTTCATTTATTATATTTTTATTGTAAGTGAAGTGAAATACTTTAATACATTTTTGTCTTAATTTTGAAGTTTTTTTGCTTGTGGATCATGACAGTCAGAAACCCAGTTTTTTCAATTTGATATAAATTCATGTCCAGCTTTTGAAAAGTGTGTGCATTTTTACCCTCAATACTTTGTTTAAAGACTTAATGATCATCATCTGGATAAATGTCAAGTCAGCAGTCTTGATTGTGTTGACTGAGTTGGTCTAAGAGGTGCACAGTATTTATCCCATTTCAGAAGTAACTAAAGTGGTATTAGGTGTGTTTGTTTGACTTGAAAATTAGGAAGACCTCACCCTGGATCTTTTTTTTCCTATTTCTTTGTAACTGTTTTCTTTTGCAGCATTTGTAACTTCCTGACTTTTGTTTCAGAGGGGCTAAGCTGTGTGTGGTGAAGAGCCAGAGGAAAGAGAAACAAGCAGAGACGCTGACACAAGATTACATCATCACACGTAAGTTGATCTGCACCTGAGCGCGCGACACAAACACACGGATAAAATACTAAATCTGTGACTGACAGAATTCGCCTCAGAATATAATTTTCTGTCTACTTCCTGCTCTTTTGCCTCGTCTTGCTCGGTGGACATTATTTAACCATTAAAGAGTTTTTAGAGCTTTTCCAGGGAAGTGCTTTTTCGAACCCAGCCAGCTCTCTAATCCACCTTGAGTCACTGTTTACATGCTACCTCTTGCTTAATTCTTACACAAAGAAACATGCAAACACACTCTATTTCATACCCGGGACTTTGCCAGCAGTTAGTTCTTCAGTGCTTTCACAGGTCCATTAGCTGATGGAGTAGGGTGTGGATGAGTGGATCAGCAGCCTCAGGGCGCTTAGCCACGCGGCGGCCATGTGGTTCACAGTCACGCCGGATCACGCCAGGGACAGCCAACTCTCCCACTTCTGCTTGCGTGATCTCCTCCTGCTGGTTCACGCCATCACATCTCTTAACACACGAGGCTGTCATCTCTTCTCTGCGTGCTCCTCGTTCCCTTCACCCCCAAGGCTGAAGTCATGAACCTAGATGAACGGAGCAGCTGCCGATACCTCACCTCTGATTGGCTGCAAGGACCCAATTCGAACTTGATTCATTGTTTGGGCCACTGATGCGTCATGTGATTTCACTGCCATGCCAACAAGGTGTGAAGCAGGCAGGAGTTCAGGCCACGAGCGGCAAGTGACGCATTTGATGCTCCGGCGCTGGAAAATTAGAGGGTACTGGACGCGAGTGACGGCCCATTGAGAAAAGCGAGGGAATCTGTTAACAGTAACCTTTTTGCTTAATGTAGCGTGGAGGGAGAAGAATTAACAGTGTGCAGTGACAGGACCCCTGAATGGAAAATCACTCTATCTAACCCTTTACTAAAGTGTCTCTTTGCAACCCCTGAGGATAAGAGCAGAGCACACACACTCTCTCCTTTTCACACACCTTCGAGGGCACTCATTCATGCACACGATCACTCACGCACTCATAGATTTAAGTGCTGCAGGCCTTTATTGTGATAGAGTTCACAAAAGTGTGAAGAGTAGCCGAGAAATAGTCTGTAAGTCAACATGGGATATAATGAATATGTTAATGTGCAGCATGCCAGGGAAAGTAAGCAAGAGACGGGATGCTACCTGAGGTCAGCAGGTGCGTGTGTTTTAGCACGCTGTTGTAGTACTGCAGGTGTTGACATTCAGTTTGGAAACCCTGCTGAATGTCAGCTGTCTTCATGCAGCAGAGCAGTACTGTACCAATGCTAAACACAAACATATTGCCAGGTGCCCAGCCTGCTTATTTGTGTGTCTGTGTTTTGTGATCATGCAGTTTGAGTTACCTAAGCAACTCGATTATCCTTGTTTGCCCTTCGTGTCTCCAGCTCATGCCTTGCCCATGTTCAGAGAGGCCCGGCAGCGGAGTACACGCAAACAGCTAGAGAAGGACCGGCTGGACCCAAAGAAATCCCACAAACCAGAGCCTCCAGTTTCCGGACCAGGTAAAATACATTTTACACAACCCTTCTTTTTGCTTCTACAGGCCCCAAAAATGAACCTCTAAAAATGGAATTGCTGAAAAAAGCAGCAGCCTCTGGGGGGTAAGATTGAGTTACAATGACCTAATAAACAACAACAACAAACATACACTATAATCTGATATTTGGACATGGTTACATCTTCACAGCGTGTCATACTTAAAACTGGATGAATGCCTGACCCTATTTGAGGCAAACATCCACAGTTGTTGATGTGTTGGGGATTGTGCAATCCAGCTGGAGTCATGTGCTAAACCAGCACCGCTCCAACTTGGCCTTTCACAGACTTTTTTTTTTTCTACTGTTGAGACATCATGACATATTTAACTTCTGTCTTGAACCACTTTCTAAAACGCACCAAACGAGTGCGTGATAACGAGTCAGGTACACTTGAAACAATTCAAAAAGCTCGTTTCTGCTTGAATTATTTGTTTATTTATTCATTTGTCGCTAATTTTGAAATTTGTTCCCTTTTTTTCTAGGAACTTAAATACTTTATACTTAAATACTATTTTTTTTAAAATAATTTTTAAGAACTTTTTTATAGACATTGCTGGAAACTGTTATGAATGCTTATTTACACCCGTAAGATGTTTTCAAAGCCTCATAGATAGATTTGGAAAGCTTTATGACTACGTTTTTGGTGCATTATAAGAGGTGGGTTAATATATTGTATGTTTACAACACTCAACTCAACTCAACTTTATTTGTAAAGCACTTTAAAACAACCACAGCCGAACAAAGTGCTGCACATAAATAGACAAAACAATGCAGACATCAAAAAACAATCAAAAAACAATTTAAACAATAGATCAAATAAAAGCAAATATTAGAAAGTAAAATACAGTTTAAATGTTTTTTAAAACTAATTTAAAAACAATAGAAACAAATAACTAAAAACAAACCATAACACAAAATCAGGAGTAGAGTCTCTTGCAGGGTTGAAAGCCAATGAATAAAAATGTGTTTTTAGACGAGTTTTAAAAACACTCGATAAGTGTTTGTGAAGCAAGGACACTGATTGTTAAAGCTTTGGAGGGAAATTCTTTCACATTCTTGCTTGATGTACGGCTTCAGCTGCTCAACAGTCCGGGGTCTCTGTTGTGATTCTTTTGCGCTTCATAATGCACCACACATTTTCAATGAGAGACAGGGAGACAGGTCTGGACTGCAGGCAGGACAGTCGTGTACCAGAACTCTTTTACCATGAATTCACTCTACTGTAACACATGCAGAATGTGTCTTGGCGTTGTCCTGCTGAAATAACATGAACATGTTCAGGGCATCAAATTCAAAATGAGTGAATATTTGCCAAAAAAAAATAATACTAATAATTAACATCAGTTATCTTATCTTTAGTGTGTATTCAGTTGAATGTAGATGGATAAGGATTTGCAAGTCATTGTATTCTGTTTTTATTCGCATTTTACGCAATGTCCTGACCTCATTGGAATTGGGGTTTGTCAAAACAATCACTGCCCAGCCATATGACATCATTTAGGATACGTAAAAAAGGAGCATGTATGGTTTTGTATATAAGCATAAAAACATGTAGAGACTCAGAGTGATGGAAAAAGACAGAAAAATGTCTGAAAATGAACTTGAAGCTCTATTTCTTTAAAATAAGTTTGACTACTTGACAGCAGCTCAGCGGTTCTCAGATGACAGGCTGTCTTTATATTGTTTATCCTCTGAGCAGAATGTCTTTGCATAAGTGCAAGGTAATGTTTGGTGGTTGGCTCCATGCTTACAAGCAATGGAAAAAAGGTGCCTCACAATCGCCTAAACAACTTCCAAACTCACAACTGCAGCAGGAAATCCCTCTGCGTTTGGAAATGTATATTTAGGTGTGTGCCGATGTATTCAGATATCTTAAGACAGGCGTAACAATGGCCTCTCTGGAAGGCAGAGGGTGATTTTCTCCAAAAGCTCCATGAAGTGTAGTCAGGTTCAGCCAACAAAAGAAGGTCCTGAACCACGGCACAGAGCAGTGTTATTGACGAAGCTATGTGAAGCTACAAAACATAATATAGGAATGCAACATATCTCTACTGAAAATCTTAAATTTACAAAGTTCTTTGATGCAAAATCCTGAAAAGTAAAGTGAGTTCACTGATGAAAACAGACAAATTAAGACACACATCTCTTTGTTGCTTTTGGGACCAGAAACCCAAAATCAACAAAATACTGTACATGCGGTATGTTCAGATTGTTCCCTTGGAGCAGGTGTAATAATGTCCTTTACAGTACTGTACTCATAAGACTTTCTAATCTTGTAATAACGTGTCCCGACAGGCCGTGGAGGACGAGTAGCAGCTCACGGCGGCACCCTGTCGTCGTTCATCGTGAAGAACATCGCCTTGGATAAAACCGACGACAGTAACCCACGAGAGGCCATCCTACGCCACGCCAAGGACGCTTCAGAGAACCCTTACTGGGTCGCCCCGGCTTACACGCAGTAAGAAAACCACATACCGTCATTTGTTAAATGATGCATCATTTACACCCTCACTGTTCATGTCACATTTATCCCCCACATGCTCATCTCTCGCATCTCATTAGCGCACAGTGTAAGACGAGCACCAGTGGCGTTAATCAGGGTATTGTGTCGGTACTTGGGTTTCTTCCTCTCGGTGTGACACATGAATGTTTGAAGAGTTGAACAGTTTTACACGCTTCAGACTGCAGGAAGTAGAGTGAGTAATGGACAGCTTTAGATCCCTATCAGACTCAGACAGCTCTGTCAGCGCCGGGTGCCAAATCAAACAGTCTGCTTCTCGTTACGCAAGAAGAAAAACTATTTTTAAATCGAAGACTCTATTGATATACGTCATTATAAATCGAATTGTTTCAGCCTGGTCGCTTGACTATCAAGGTTCCTTATGATTGGATGGGAGTCAGATTAAACATCACAGTATTTCTGCTAAGAAGCCTAATAAAACAGATCTACATTTGGTTTAAGTTTCAGTTTTTCTGCTCAAATTCTTTCCCCCCTGAGTACTAATATTACAACACTAACCATCTAAGAGCACACATGTCTTCACAGCTGTCTTCTGGGTTCATCTTTAATTTGCAGTTAGTGTCTTCATTCTGAATTTCTTGGAAAAACGCTCCACTCCTAACCTCTTTTCTGTGACTCCTCTCAGCACACAGCCAGAGCCAGTGTTTGCGGAGGAATCCGAGGAAGACGAGGAGGCTGACAAGGAACCAGAGTGGAAGAAACGCAAGATCTGAGCTGCTTCAACAGCAGTTTTTTTTTTTGTTACTATACATATGGGATCGCTGACAGGGTGGGCTTGCGGTTAAATTAAGAGCCTCATAACCACAAGTTCTCAGACTCGATCTCAGAACACTGAGTGACTGTAAGAAACCGTGCAGACGGGCATCAATTAAATTACTTAACTGCACAACCTGTCCTTCACCTCCACTTTTTGAGCGCACATGTATTCACGTGCAGGATTTTGTGTTTTGTGGGTAGCATAGGCATTTTTATGAAACAGGCATAACATGTTTTTACACAGGTTTCTGCTCTTTCATTACGATCCATCAACCGCGGGAAGACCTTGGCTTTTTATGTCTGTTTAGATTATGCATACTTTATTTTCATCATTTCTATTGTCCTCTCCTCCCACGGCCCTGGAGTTTGCTAATTCCTCATAAATCAGCTCCAGATTTTGTGGTCTGGTTCTGTTCATCAGCTATGGAGAACAGTTCACTCCATCGTACCGAGTAGATTATGAAGACTTATAAAAAAGGGGTTTTATCAGTTTCCAAAACTGCACTTTGTTGGATGTGATAAACAAAACTTCACTCAGCCAGCAGCTAATTTAGCTTTTTTTTTTTTTTTTTTAGCATTTTGTCTCCCACCTCAACAATCTAAATAAAAGAATTTGTATTGTCTTGTAAAGTGGTGATATTTTATCCAATGTTGCAGCTTTTACCAGCTGATCAAAGGAATTCCTCTGTCAAATTCCTTCTTCTCTGGGAGGCTTTGGCTCAGCCCTGCAGATACATCCAGTCCCTGCCAAAGGTGGTGTTCAAACCCACTTACTGCTGAATATAAAGTTTTGTTAACCTCTGTTTCTTAAATGAATCACCTTCACAAATAAGGCACAGACATTTCAACCAATACTGTCTGCTTCAAAGTACAACTTTTCCACACCCTGCCTGCTCATTTGCATGAATACACCTGAATATTTTCTACTCTGTTCACTCATCACCTGACTTCTTGTGGAAATTTTTCTAGGGGGGCTAGCTGGAAAATGTCCAGGCAAAGTTGGGTGAAATTTTGGCTGTTTGTGTTCATATATACATCTAACCCCAAACTTTCCTTAGGTGTTCAGAAACGCACGTGCAAATACAGCTCAGACATATTTAAGTCGACATAGAAAACCACAACACACAGATCTTATGAAACCCATGTAGCTTTTCTATGTACACTTCTAGACGCAACCTAGGCCAATGTCACCACATCATTGTTTTGCTTTTCAAGTGCAACTAGTTCATAATATCAGAAATATGACCAATATGCTTTATCTTGATAGCACTGTTGCTATTTTTCTCCTCAAAGTGCTCAGCCCTGTTTCACTGTTGCAACATAGACAGTCATAATATCCATCTTCTAGCTGGTGTTTCTTTGAAATGAGTGACTGCTGAAAAATCTTAAATTCCAAGCCAACCACACTTACAAGCAGACAATCGAATGTCTCTGTGTACTGGCAAAAATCCTGTGGCCATAAATATGAGACAAAAAAATACCAGGACAAGAAAAACAGAGGGATTAAATCAGTGAGTGATGTTTTTAAGAGGACACTGGCTTCATGTCGGAGTGGCTGACGTCAAGCTCTGCTGGAGAAGAAGAGCTCTCGACCAGCAGCTGGAGGTGAGGAGTGACTGCTGTTTGGTTCAACTGACACTCCAGCACATTTTAATCAACCAGTCAGCATGTGGACAGCAGAAGCTGTTTGAAAAATTATCTCTTAGTTCCTGCAGAGGCATCTGTCTTTACCTACAGTGTGAGAAGGTCACACTAGTTTCTGTGCTGTCCAAATGTTAAAAGTTTCAACAATGTCATGCTAGTTTGTCTTTAAGACAAAGTGTCCTAGCTTTTACAGACTTGATGAGTTTGGATTGAAAAAATCTTTCAATCTGAGAAACCCTGATGAAAATGCTGTATCATGTGGGAATATGGAGATTTAGCTTGACCAGATTAAACAATAGGATCCAAATTTGTTTTTTTTTTTACTCATTTCAATTAATCATTTTGAAAAGTATTGACGTCTTTGTTCTCAGTTCACAATAACAAAAATATTGATTGTTAAAACACGCAAATTGTAGCCTTTTAAGTTGTTGTGATGAACTTTAAGGGCCTGTGTCCACTACTGATGTTTTTGTGATGGTATTGCTTATTTTCTATTCAAAAGTGCTGTTCAGTGTTTTAGCACTTAGAGTCGGCTGTACTTTCAGCTGAGGAGGCGGAGCTTATCATCAACTTAATGGTTTCTCCCCTTGCTTTTTTTATTAGGAAACTTTTTTTTTTTTTAATTTTTTACATTTACTCTTTAATTATAATTTTTTTAATGAAGCAAATACAGCATACAGAACAACTAGTAGCAGAACCAAGGAGGCAGGAATGCTTTAAGACGACTTTCATAAACTAGCAAGAGTAAGCGCTGGTGAGAACCGCTATGAAATTTAGGTTGTGGATCCTGCTAGCGCAACAAAAAGCTGTCAATGGACACAGGCCCTTAGACAAGCATTTCCTTCTCTACATATTCAGCAGTTATGGGGAAAGAAATACTCTACTTTGAAATGTTGACACCTTGTGACTACCTGTATCATTATTTGCTCCCTTCTATCTCTGCTTTTGGTTTCCATGAACTTCTCTTTAGCATCTAATTTTTCCGTTATGTTCAACTCTAACTGCTTGTTTAAATTTTTTTCTGAAAACAGGTAGAGTGCAAAATATTGTGGAGCAACCATCCAGAGGACATTAAAGTGACCCATAGAGGTGACAGAGGCAGTGTGGTGAGAAATCTTTTGATCCATTGTGCCCACATTTAAAAATAAGTATTTTAAAAAGTTTCAACCTAACTTAGAGTCTTGAGACATTATACAACAAAACTTAAACCACAGCTTGGACTCAACCCAAACGCTTGAAAGCAGCTCCTGTAGTATATCAGCTATACACTGTAAACACACCTTAAGCTCCCACACAATTACACACTGTCTGCTGCCATGTTCTCGGCAGCATTTACACATCTTCTTAGTGCAGTGGAAACATTCTGGAGCTCTTTGATTTATAGCTCAGTGGCTCTTTACCGTTAGCTTTTGTTTACTGTACGACCCCGAGCTAGTGTGCAGGAATGCAGAACAGAAAAGGACGCCACATTATAGACCATCCCCACAATCGTCCATTTAACCCAATTCTTCATCCTTAATTCTGCATGATGCTTGTATAAACATAACCCAGGCAAATTAGCACCATCTGGCACTGGTTTATTGTTATACATGGCAGAACACCAGAAGACAGACTTGTTTGATAGAAATAAGTTTAATTCTGTAAAAAGATATAAAATGAATATTGTACAAAAATAAAGTTTGCTGAGAGCTTTGGTTCTGTAACACGAAACAAGTGAGACGACATGACAGGTTCTTTCACAGAGGTGTGAACACAATGAAGAGTGAAAACAAATCCTTTCTACTATTAGTAACACTGAGGATTTCTTTGCGTCTGTTGATTAGCTCTGCATGAAAAAACCAGAGGACTAATCGCCAGGGAACAAACAGGAACAAGAGCAAACAGTGGCGAAGATGAGAGGGCTGGTGGTCACAGTTTACACACATCAATGTATGGTATCAAAGAGTGGCGGGGCGCCCCAAGGCTTCTGGGAAGTCTCCTAACGGCACATTCTCATCTGGAAAGGCTTACGCACAAATCAGTTGTTAAAGAGGAAGATGATCCAATTGATGAGGTATGCTGTGATAAAAACTGGAGTTTTTTTTTCCCCTCTCTGTGTTGTGTTTGGCCTAAATTCAGCTTGATGCAGTGGATTTGTTCTGTGTGCAGGGGGGATTACACAGTAAAGCTGGCTTGCTTGCTTGCTGCTGGGTGGGCACAGATACCTTGGTCCCTAATCCGTGCTAACATCAAGACCTACCCAAGGGCTCTCTTTGTTCCACTTAAAAAGATCACCTTGCAGGGTCTAGCTAGGCTCAGCAACATGTTTTCAAAGAGCCCCCCCCCCCCCCCCCCCCTGTTTTGTTGCTTGTAAGTTATCGTAAAAAATTAGGAATTTTCTCTCGACTGGACAAGTTATTACATGAGGAAAAGCACGTAAAGCCGAGCCATTACCTTGTTGTTCTGAAGCATTTCCTTTTGTCATAGCGTCTTTGTCTCGAGACGTCTACATCAATGACAGCCGCTACTGTACGTAGCTTTTCCTTAAACTGCTTTCATTGAAATGCAAGTTGCCAAAGGGGATATTTGGTTAAGACTCATGTTAGAGGATCACTTTCAAATCCCCTTTGAGGGAGTAAGACCTGTCTGTCAGAGTCGAGACAGAAAACACAGGCAGCCCCGTGAACTTTAAAGCCTATTGGGACAGTTACCGCTGCAAAGCCTTTGCTCAGACTTGGTGCAAAGCCAGAATGAGGTTTCGGGTAACGTAATGCTGATCAGCGGGCATTCTAGCAGCTTCTGTACTCTGTGACTCGAGGGATGGATCCTCAAAGGCACCTTGAGGTCCTCGGGGGGGGGAGACCACCACCGCACTCATGTTGATTGTTAAGTGTAATAAGTAGACCTGATGGCTCTTGTTTGGGTTGACAATACAATTGCCTTGAAAATGAACAGCAGCAGAATCTTCTTGTAAACATACAGTATGAAAATGTTTGACTCGGAGTCTAAATCCAGGTGCCTCGTCTTATCGTGGTCAGTTGTGATAAAATCAGTTAAAATATCCTCAATAAAAAACTTCCCGCCGTCCCTCAAAATGCTCAAAAACAACAGATCCCATCAATCAAAGATCTTCTATTGGTCCCCCTCCTCTGTGCCCCCTTCTACCGCTCCCTTTACCTTATATCTAATGATAACTGAACATGTATATTAAAAGATCCTGGATTCTAGTGAAGCGTTTTAGTGTTTCTAGGATGTGTGGTTGGATTTTTTCGCAGTACTGGATCACCCTTTTTGACCGTGCTTTAGAAAATGCTCCACTTTGGCACCATCCAGGACAGACGAAGCTTTGAATAAATAAGAAAAACAACTATTTCTTTCATAAAATGGATCAAAATAAATAACAATAAGTTAATTCCATCTTAATAAATATACCTCTTACACACATAAGTATGTATATATATATATATATTTGTGTACATATATGATTGGGTTTTATTCAGATGCGTTGCACCTAAAAGTCTTTGCTGATTTCTGTGAGGCTTTTTTGACATCCCTTGTTTTTGGATGTTTGTGTCCACATCCAGACTATGAAGTGGGAGTGATTTAGATGGCAGCTGAAAATACTCCTCGAATCCTCCCGTTCGTTTTGGAGTCCTAAGAGCAAACTTTGGAAAAACTGATGCGCCTTAGAAAAAGATCTCTAGAAAAACAAGCCAACTTTTGTTGTTGTTTGTTTTCCTCACTCAATCCGTTTTGGACGGCACTGTTAGCAGATCTAAAAGTGTAACAGTATCGCTTTGTCTGCAGAATTGTAGAAACCTCGTACGTGTCTGCATGTGTCTGATTGCAATGTCAAGTCCTGAGCCTGGCCTGTTGAAAGTAGATGTAAAGGTTCCGTTTGTGGCAGCTTTTCCCTCCTCTTTCAGGTCACAGAGGATGCCTCATGTGTCAAAAAAGTAGAGACTATCCACTCCCTGTGCGACCTTAAATGCCCACTCCAGACAGTGATTCCAGCCTGCGCAGTATCAGATGTAAAGGTGATCCTTGGTTCACTGATACCAGTCTAGACTGTCATTTTATCTCCATGTGACCCTCAGACACAGCCGCACTTCCTGGCAGAATGTTTTTTCAACGTGTGATACACAACATTGTCGTCCAAGAAAGAAAGGTCATCATCAAAAGCGATTGGTCGACAGCAGGTGCGAGAAGGCGTGTCCTTGTTCAGCTTCTTGTTGTGCGTGAGGTTGTTGAGGATCTTGTCATAGTTCGTCTCTGCCTCAGCGCATGGGCCGCTGCAGTAACGAAAGATCAGCTCCTCTTTAGTCTGGTAGCCCAGCCCCAAATCCGTCACGTTGAGGTGGACCTCCTTCAGTAAGCAGCCTCGACTCTGCACTGATATCCTCTTTCTCCCCCTCTCGCCTCCTTTGCTGCCTCGGCTTCCCCCACGTCCTCGACCCCTCCTCCTATCTTCGTGTCCTCGCCCCTCACCCCTTGTGCCACCTGTGTTTGCTGCTCCCCTCTGTCTCTGCTCCCTCCGTCCCCTGGAGCCCCCTCTGGGATCTGACGACCTCCGCAGTCTGCCGATGGTAGCCTCAATAAAATCCATCACGTCATCAAACTGCTCCGGATAAGGACCTGCTGTGTCATCTGAAAGATACAGACGAGACGAATCAATGAAGACTCAGCAGAGGAAATAAAACACAAATATCACAGTTTAAAAAACAAAACAAAAACCTGAAAAAGCTTCAAAACTTAACATAAAACATGCAGCACAAACTACTCAACCAATTCAATAAAGCACCAAGACTGGAGGCACAATTTGTTCAGTAAAAAACGGTGTATTATTGTTGACACATTTGAAGTCAGCCAGCATATGCTCTCGTGCTGACACAAACGCAGACAATGTCCATAAATACTGGGAAATGTGCAGATGAGAAACGGTGCATGCTGATTTATAGATTTGTCTCGGGTGAAGGAATGCAGAAAACAGGCCAGAGTTGCTCATATGGACATGCAGGTGCCCTGCTCTAACTCCTTCCAAGATGGCTGCTGGGAGATGAATAGGAGGCCGAAGGTCAGAGGGTGTTGTCAATCCCATTTTGTGGATTGTTTAAGTCAGAAAAGAAGAAGAAGAATTTGATCATTTGTAATGACGGGATGTGGGCAGACTTGATTGTGCGCTCAAAGCGTACGGCCTCCATAAGGTTCCAATCTCCTGGGAACCTGAGCTGTTAAAGGTTGTCCAGCTGTATGACTTCATTAACCTGCTTTTCTTTCACACACTGATCGCCTGTATTGATACAGTAGGCAGAGAGCAATTACACCACCAATGGGGAGCTTGTTTTTCAGTCATTTAAACCTTTCATGGATGTAATTTCAGAAGACCGGGACTTCAAAGGCCAAATAGAGGGAAACTGTATGCTGTGACTCATTCAGACGAAGCAGATTGAAGGCTGCCCAAAACTGAAAACATGCACCGGCACAGCCCTGCACCATCTGCTGTGAGGAGGAACCAGGACTGACGGAAAGTCTTTGGACCCTCCTGAGTTACATGTTGATTCTATTACAGAGTAACGTTCTTCCTACTTCAAATGCCTGCGGCTCTGTCGACTCTGAACTGAATCACGGATGCATATTGTTCTGAATTGAATCAATTAGCCCGGCTCTTATTGCATTACCTGTGTGCTTCTGTGCACGTGAGCGTATGGATGCGTGCCCTCATGTTGTGAATGTGTGTGAAAAGTCAGCGCAGCTGGGTGCGATGTCTGGCAGGTGGCCTTCTGGTTAACGCAGCCTCTCTGTTGGAGTGTCACCTATCTCTATACTCGCTTACCTGTTTCTCTGGCAGCGCTCTGGCTATCTGATCTGCCTCCGCTGCACAGCTGATTGGGCTGTCGCTTTGTGTATCAGGTGAGCCTAGGCCAATCTGTTTAGACACACCCGTCCTTTGATTTGGACACCTGTTATTGTGTGTGTGCTGACAGGTAGGGTGGCTACAGTGTACACCTGCTGACAGACTAACCTAGTGGCAGAAAATGAAGGGATTCATCTGCACAGTGTGTGCCATTATTGCACTATTCAAGAGACGTGTTTTTGTTTAAACCGCTACACAACCAAGAAAAAATACTGAGTGGAACAGGAGACACATTTTTAAAGTTTGTGTTTGTCTCTTTGTGCCGCTGTTGCCTGCAAATTTTAGTTCAACACATTTTGCTTTTCTCCAGTGTTGCAAAATAAAGCAAATGCAGAAGTCCAAAAAACTGCAATTCCTCAAATGTCCACTTGAGGCTGGCTTTAAAAGTGAAGGAATCCCCATTACGCCCCATTTGAAAAGACCATTTATGTATAGCAGCAGATAACAACTTTAAAGCCTGGTATGTAAAACAGTTTTGCTTATTTTTTTATTCATTCTGACTGTAAAAATGTGAATTTCCTCATAAATTTTCTCTTTTTATAACACTGTCCTAACAGCATGCAAGTGTTTGGAGATATTGCTTGCCATTCTGTAGCAAAAGATGCTCACTGACCACACTGCGTCCATTAAATATACACCCCCACTATATCATGTAAACCGACCACAATGCTGCGAGCTGTGTGCAGGCATAGACTTGGTGATGTCGCCCAGTTTCTTAAGGCAGAGTTTTGAAGTTTATCGCTAGCAGTCTTTTTTTTTTTGATAATGGTGACTCAATCTTACATTCGGTCAGTCTACCAGAGCCCGACCTCTCACCTCAGTGTGTCTGCCTGTCAGTCGAGTCAGCCGTACCTCTTATTTGCCAACCTTGTAACTTCGCTCCCTGTACCATGGGTGCTGTGGAGGCCAAAGTTTCTCAGACCAGAATCATTTTTAAACCAGTAAACGTGTATATTTTTCCTCTAATGATGGACTGTTTTGACTTAATGTGTATGTCGTGTCCCTCAAGCGGACACTTGAGGAACTGCAAGCTTTCGTGCTTCCACATCAACTTCATTTCTTTTGACTTGAGGTTGCCGCAAGACGGAAAAGTACTTTCTATCTTCCTTTGTTTGCACTTAAATAACAAAAACAGAACAGCCCCCCAGGTTTCACCCACGTCAAGTAACAAAATTTCAATCACAGATATGACAGCACTGTAACTCCTGTTTCATTAACATCAAGAAGGATTCCCTGACTAAACACACCGAGCACATAACCAATCTTCCTCCAGCCAGATACCACTTATTTGAAGTTTTTATTGGGAAATTAAGACATATCATACATTTCTCTTTTTATGCGTCTCCCTGAGCGACAGGATTGAAAATGGGGACTGAAAAGTCTTGGTCAGAAACATTGCATTGCACCCCTTGGCACTGGGCTGCTCACGACCGGTCGGAACAATCCAATAGAAAACAACCCTGATTTCATCGCTGATGTTCGCTCGCTCGTATTGATTGCTGTTAGGACATGGTGTTTAGGCTGAGCTATTGACATATTTTCATATTTGACTGACAGAGGACAGGTTGGCATATTGTAGCAGCTAGTTAGGAGGCTCCGCTGTGCCTCCAGCTCCACCTCTCTCCCCGTTTATAAGTCAAACTAAAGTTAGGTTGAGTTGGTATTTCAATTAACGTGATGATGATTGTTGGGCCTCACAATACCTCAGGCAGAGATTAATTTATCCACCAATCAAGAGGTTGTTTTTCAGACCAAGACTTCAAAACAAAGACTCTTAAGAAAATGAAACGTGAAATTATTCCCCAAAAGTGAGACCAAACATTTAAGATGAAGGAAGAAAACGTAGCAAACACTAACACAAGGACTTCTTGATCCACTTTGAACCAATACCAACTAAACCAATCTGAGGGATTGTTGATGTTTTATCAATCAATATAGTAGCGCCTGGCATTGTGGTATTTTTCCTCCATTTATTACAATGGAAGGAGATGGCGCTATGTCGGTAATATCTATGAACACTCAAGTTTTAGAGTTTCTCCAAAACTTTCTCCAAAGATTTTGTTTTCAAACATAAAAGAAGAGCACAAACCCAAAGACCCATCCTTTCATGGCACATCAGTGATGTTTACATGAGTTCATTGTTAATGCTCATCAATTACAAAGCAGATCAGTGATGTCACCCCCCATCCAAACAGAATATGAGGTGGCAGCACAAACATCCATCCAAATGTTCCATTCCTTATCCAGTTCTTGGCTGCATCTCCTTCAGCGTGAAGATGATACAGTGTCACGCTGATCCAAACAAAATAAATTCCTGCCCACTGTCGCTGCTAAAACGAACATAAACACAGAACTCTCGCTCCGTGCTTCAAACTTTCCGGACGCTCACCAGCCTCCGTCTGCCCCTGGAAGTATTTGCGACCTTGTTCACTTTTTTTTCCCCCCTCTAAGACAGGCCGTGATTTCTGACTTTTTGGCAGACGGGTAGAGGTCATGGGTCATTGTGTCACAGAGAGGCAGAGGTGAACATAAACAAGAGAAGCTGTCGGTGCTCTTTTTCCTGCTGTTGGCTTGTTTTGACAGGAGTGTGATGTAACCCACAGCAGCCATAAAACACAAATTAAGATCTTCCACCTGATAACCTGCTTGTTTGAGAGGCTTATCAATGCAGGCCTCTTCACTGTTGGCTCAACCCACCCACTATCACCTTGCATGCAGTTTCTCAAGCGCAAGTAAGTCAAGAAAGGCTGAACTTTAACAAACCCTGATATAGATATTGGCAAACACCATTCTTTAAAAAAAATAACAGCAGTGCATGAAAAGGACACAAAAAGATGTGAGATCTCACTTTTTATGATAGAATGAAATGGTTAGTTGCATTTTGTCTTCTATAATGAAGCAGCACACCCTCAATGTGACCCCCATAACAAAGAAAAACTGTGTTGATGCATGCTTTTTGCCTTACATTGATCCTCCATGGATATCTCCTGCAGGTTGTGGTCTTCACGCTGGAACATGGGCTCTTCGTCCTCTGAAGACAGGAGCAACGGATCACTGTAGCTGCTGGGAAAATAAGTCCTCTTGGCTGGGTAAGTGTTTCGGTAAAGAGGCCGTGTAGCAACAGAGCTCAGGAGCAACAAACACGTGGCCAAAACATCCCATAACTTCATCTTAGACTCAGTTCCGATAAGGAAAGCTGTGGAAATTGAAGAATAAATGAATCAATAAATACAGAAAGAAAAGGGAAAAAATGTGTAAAATATAGAGAAAATGTGGTTGAATTGGATTAGAAATAGTAAATAGTAGGATCATTTGAATATTTCCCCACACATCTGAAACATAATGTAGGCCAGCTCTTGTTTATAGTGCAGTCAGCAAAGTGTTAGAAAGAGTTTGCACACCTCTGACTCATTCTGTATTAATAACTCTGTGTCATCATCTCAAGAGGCGTATTTGATCCTCACTCTGTCTTTGTCTTAGACTGCTGTTCATATAAACATCATAGTAAACCCACTCGAATCCCTGATGTGTTCACCAGAGTGGATATAACTATGAAGTCTGTAACGTGAAATAGTCACAAATCATGCGCTGAACTGAGTGGATACGCGTAAAACTCGTGCGTAAAAGTGTTTTAAAATACAAACATTATCAGTTAATCTAATACTTATGACCTCTGTGGTGTCATTTAGAGCGCTAAGAATTATAAAATGATTAATTCATGGTGTTGTGATATTCGCGAGTTGTTCTTAATGAGGTGCGGAGGGTGCGCCTCTTCCAGAAGGAGGAAAAAAAAAAATACGCCGCTCCAAACATGCACCAAAGCGTGTTGGCAACCTCAGCCTAAATAATGGTGTGAGTTGGCCAGATGGCGATCCCCAAAGCTTACGTGACTCTGTCTAATGGCATGTTGAGTCTGCACTTAACCTAAACAGATATGCGTGGATAAAAACTGAGATTAGACATGCTGTGCAAAAGTCCCGAGAAGAATGCTGAAACATGCACAAGTTGCATTTAACGGTTTGATATTAAAATGGTTGGAGCTTGTGTGCCCAAAAGGCGAATAATCTAAGGAAAACTAATTTTACTTCTGCTATTATGTGATCATTTCATTGTATTTTACTCACCTTAAATATGGCCCATGCAGACCTGAAACTCGCCTGGCAGTTGGTGTTAAAATCCAAACAGAAAACGCGACTCATTTAGTGTCCAAAGCTGCATGAATCGCCACACTCCAGAATTTTTTTTAAAAAAGAGCAGAATTTTGGATTATGTCCAGACAGAAAAACGCTAAAAATCAACCAGATGTGTGTCTTATACACCGACCCAGCGCACCTACCAAACCATGCGTCTCTCCACACTTTGGAGTCCAAAGGTAGGTGTTGAAGAGAAGCGGACCGAGTGCCACTGCGCCTCACGGGGTACAGTTGCAGTCGCTGATTAATTGGATGCTACGTTTCCACGTTGGAAATCCGAGAAAGTTCCACCATCTCTGACTGAAAGGAGTCCAATGAAGACATCAGCGTCTCCGAGGCGCAAGGGGTGCACAATATCGTATCCAGAGTGCGTGAAAACTGCTCTCCCCTTCTTGTTCCAACACTCAAAACGTTGCAAAATCCAGAAATGCGTCAAATGCTCATAATCGCCAACATCTGACAGTATCTCGACATGGTGAAGAACACATATGAAGGTGTTTATGCTCCATGATCTCCAGGTCAGATTGCAGCTATGAAGCTTGGAGAGTTTCCTCACGCGCTGTCCTCATACTGGGACTGAATCTGGACTGATGTCTGCGCATAACACCGCAGCGGGCGCAGAGGGCAGTTTGGAGAGATTTATAGTTCAGTGTGCTCTGACGTTTTGGCCAGTTGGTGTCCGCCCCTCTTTTATATACCCCTGCAGCAGCAAACAGTGAGTAACAGAGGGTCCGCATATCTCTCCGAACCAACCCCTGGAGCCCCTCGTTTGGAGGAGCGCAGTTTTCAGATGTCTTGGGGGTTATGTCACACATCCTGATGTCCTCGGATTAGATTTCAGTATGCGGAATGCGATTTGGAGATGTTCTGTTGCGATGCATGTTTCTAACCTGATCTGCGCTCTCATGCGCAACGGTGTCGAGTTCCGTCTGTTGGCTACACACATCTCAAATTTAACAGTCCCACTTCACTTGCTATTTACTAGAACATATTTGTAAATATCTAAGGGGAGCATTGAGAGGATCTGCAGGCGTGTGTGATATATTCCTCTCCAAATTGACAACATAAATTTGTAACTCATACACACCCTGGAGCATCTGGGCATTCAATAAGTATTTTCTTGACAAGGTGAGCCCGGGGCAACACCACACTCTCAGACCACAAAAGAAGGAACTAATAGCTGAACTGTGGCACCTGAGAAAGCCTTCCCCATCAGCCTTCATGATTTACACCCGCCTTTCATCTTCTAGAAAAAAAAATTCCAAGAGTAAAGCAGTCCTTTCACAATTAAAGTCATTTTGTGTTCGTGCGCCAGAAGAGACCGGCTCCTTCCAACATCCAAACACTTGCCTTTCCAAGCGGCACTCTGGTTTCAATCTCACACGTTTTAAATGCTGCTAAAGATGGCTGTACAATAAAAGAAGTGAAATCCCAGCACTGACACGTTAAATCCACTCTGACTTATCTGTTATTCAGCCGCATTAAGGCTCATGTTTGTTTGCTCATGGGCTGAAACTTCCTGTCAATACATGTTTTTCTTCCAAGTATTTATGTGTGCCCTACCCAGACTTTTAAGTGTGATGGTGCTGAGCCAAGTCCTCATTGTATGGATTCCTTTCAGTCATGTTCTCACATGGTTTCTTTGCATTGAGCTGACAGCCATCCATGCTGTATTTGACATGAGAAGTCCCTGAATGTCATGGTAGTCAACAAAATCAAAAAAAATCTCATGAACTATAAACTGTTTCACTTCTGTTATTGACATACAATCTTGTTACAGAGCTGTATGAGCTGTTCTGTCATAACTGCGGGTCAGCTTAGATTTAGGTGTTACAGCGATCCTTCACATCAGCACTCATAACTCTCTCCGCTGTCTAGGTCACCAAAGTATCCCACAAGTGCAGGGAACGATAAAAAAGGTGAATCAAATCCAACTCAGATACAATAATCACTTGATGTGCTCAAACACTCCAGTAAAAAAACAATTTGTTACGTTCGTGTGGTTTTACAGGACTGTTTAACTGTTTCAGCAAAAGCCTCCAGGCTCCCATTTACCCAGAACAGGAACAAGTAGGTAAAGAGAATGAATGAAAGGAAACCACACTTATGTAAACAAGCTCAGATACATGAATGTAATGTGAACTGTCATACATTCCTCCTGAATAAAAAAGACTGAGTCATGTGAAGGCAGAGTCAGTGTTGTCAAAGCTCTGTGCGCTTCTTTGAGGTTATTTAAAGTTCAGTATTTCAGAGAAGTCGGGGCAGAGAAATCTAAACCTGTAGCACTCGACTTCATCTGGTGTCAAATACCTTAACATTTACAAACACAGGGTGAAGAAATAAACGGCAGATACAGAATAACATTCATTTATAAATAGGCTTTTAACAAATGCAACTGGAGTAGCTGTTGCCCCACAGACCAGAACAAAACATGAAAACTTGAGTGTGAAAAGAGTCAGTTATTTCAGTGATGTTAGGATAAGCATAATGAGCAATACTGTGAGAATTTGAGCTGCTGAGTTAGGGTATCACTCCTCAAACAAAATAATAATCCTTAAATTGAAAGAGTCTTACCCCGCATCAAAATCCAGAAGTTGCCAAATTGTCGCAGATAAATCAGAGAGGAGCTGATGGTTAACTGAGGGTTAATCTGAGCCAAGTCCTTTAAACGTTTAGCCCATTTCTCCCGGGCTCCATCAAACCTTGGCAAGCCAATATAAGTTCATGGTGTGAGTAAATAAAAATATTTTTCTTATTAAGCTTTTGTGCTGTGATTATTTTGCATGTTCTTGTTGCAACAAGCAGCTCAAATCTATAAAACATCAGATATATTTCAGTTTGGGATAATGAATTTTACAATATTCAGGATCCAAATCATAACACTTCAAGCCATAATTTGATCAAAATAATGCATTTCAATTCCTGCTTATCATGGCTAATACAAAACTGAAATGTTCCTAATAACAAAAGTCTGTCTGAACTGGGCCTGTTTGCTCTCATCTTCTTCTTCTTCCGCGTTTTTTAGACTCATTCATTCTCAGTCAAACAACCAATCAGTGTCACTTGCACCTAGCTAGCAAATCACAGCGAATCAGTACAAATTAGCATCATCTGTTGATTGCTTACTCAAAGACTTTCTATTGGGTTGAATGTCAAACTCTGTATCCACTCGAAGGCCCTCAAACAAACTGATTCACATGTACCTGCCTCTCCTTCACTGCCATCCAGCCTACATTCAATTCCTGACTAATCTCTGCTCAGCCGCTCTGTTGTGGTCATCTGTGTTATTAGTTTATATATTTTTAAAGCACTATAGTTGTGATACATCGGTCTTGTATGAACTGGTGGCGACGTTTTTACAAAGATTTACTGCCATCTTTTTTGGAAATACAAGCCAAGATACGCAAAGAAATAAAACAAACTGCTTTGTCCACAGGGGGGTGCCAAAGTCTACACAACCTGAGCGAGCCTTAAAGGGATATTCCGGCGTAAATGTTCTTCCTTGAGCTGCGTCACCCCGCAGGAGTCTGTAATGGATTGGCGGCTGCTGGAAGAGAGTAGGTGAGTTGTGTTTAGTCTCTTTGCTAAAGAAATCAGGCAAAGTTAAAAAGATGTTTGGTGGCTGGTGCTGTGGCTAGGACTCTATATGTACTGTTGATGAAGTTAGGTGCTGTTCTGTGAATTATTTGTGGCTATAGAGTGGCGTTTTAGTTGAGGTTTGTTTATGGCTCCTGAGACTCCTATGTATTGCTATCCTGTGGTTGTTACTAAAGTTGCCATAACTAGAGAAGCAAGCGGTTGGCAACATTAATTTTACGCCAGAATATCCCTTTAAGTGGAATAACTTCATTGGAAACACATGACAGCATCCATGTTTCTTTCCTCATTCGTCACTATCTGTACTTTTTATCGGGCGGCATTTAATCCGTCTTCTAATGAATGGATTAATAACTGCTGTGGGTGACATAAAGGCGATATTTTTACACCTCAGCACATATGACATCTCAGACTTGTACACAGCCCACTCAAAGCTATGACACACAGAGGCCGTATTGTTTATTGATATATGCAGCAGTGTCACCGCAAGATTCCTCTGTGACCCTCCTCTGTCTCATCCAGGCAGAGAGGAGAAGATAATGGTCACCCAAAATAGACCCATCTCACAGACTTCCTTTATGTGTGAGTACTGCACTGTCCCACAGAGAGAGGGAAGGTCATAAGTCCCCTGAGCCGAATGCCTGAGTGACTTTAATAAATATTAATTTGTTTGGGGGAGAAACATGAGTAAGCTGAACGAATCAGCACCACATGAGGTGTGAGAAAGAGACACGTCACTCACACAGAAGAACCCTTTTTCATTATTTGTGCCAATGATGGGACGAGCACCTTAATTTTTGATGTCAAGCCTCTGCAGAAAGCTGACAGGCCCTAAGATGGATAAAACAGGACTCCACGCCGAGTTTATATGAAGATATAACCACAAACCATTCAAGATCATTGCAGCTGGTTCGGTTTAATGCAGAGTTGTAAAAATTAATATGAAACAAATGTCCCACATGGCTGATCATTTTTCTGCTGTCTTTTTGTGTGTACTCTAGCCCTTGATAATGATTTGTTTGTCTTAAATCAATGCGTTTCAGGTCACAGTGAACTGACTAAAAAACTGACGGCCTGTTCATGGTTATGCTGATATGTTTACCGCTGCGTCTATGAGTCAGTGTTGCATGTAATGTGCAATAAACTTCAGGCATCTGTGAACTTGTTTGACATGTTTCATTCAAACTTCATTAAGCTTTCTTTCATGGTTTGAAGACTTTGACACACAATGCATCGCTCCCTAAGGAAAAAACAAGCAATAAATATAAATCAATAGAAAAAACAACAATAAATCACATTTTTATTTACAGCAGTGTAGCAGTTAGGGTGAGCAACAGTTTGCGTTCATGATACCTCGGTCGTCTTTGACCTTTCAGAAAACTTATTTCTTAATAAAAAGTTCAGACTGTGAGACAAAGGTGTAATTCTTGGCCATACACATATTCTTCAGTCATCCTCCACCCTAGCAACCCCGAGAATGTGGAAGCGAAAAGGCCTCTGCATTGTTTCTGTAGCCCACCCACTAGGAAAACATAACGTCTATGATGTGATTTGAATTTCTTCCTCTGGTGACGTACCAACAGGAGTTATTAGCATATGTAGGCATGCATGCTCCCACTTCTCAAGCAAATCCACTTCCTCCCTTCTGTGTTGCAGAGTCAAGATGTTAAATGTTAAAGCCCGACACACCAACTTCTCTGATTTCGGTTGCAAAAAACCAACACAATGTCTACATTCTTTCCAGCACAACATGACCTAAGAAATCAGCGTTTGCTTCTTATTTTTGACAACAAAGTGCCAGCAACTGTTGGAGTTTTACTGCTTCAACAAAGACAGTTCAAATAGAGCTGGGCGATATGGGAAAAAGTTTGTCACAATACATTTTTTTCACATCAGCCGATATCGATATATATCACAATACAAAAAAAAAAGAAATTTAACAGTGTTTATTGACAGCATGTCTTTTGCAATATAATAAGCTACTGCATCTGTGAGGTCTTTG